CCGATCGAAAAGAAAAAAATCTAATAAGACCCAGCCCAAGAAGAGAACCAATCGAGAATAAACAAGACGCCATCGTTATTGTCGCGAGTTGTAAATTGAAAATCGAATTTCAATCAGACGAGAAAGGTGCTGCGTCACCGCCGGTGGGCCGAACCTTAATGAATAAATTTATAATAAATAAGCAGCACAGGCGGAGCAGCATTACGTGTATTAATTATACATTTGGAGAGAGAGAGGAGGCGGTTTGATGTGCTGTTGTTGTTAGATGGGTTTGGTATTGAATGTATGGAGAGGGATTACTGCGCGGGCAAAGTATGCTGGTAACTTGATCTTATAAGCTCTCTTTCTCTGCTCTGTGCGCCGGGCTGACTCGCGGTAATATGGCCTGCTGTGTCCTTTTTTTAACGTATATAGATAGATAATAAACGAACACACATCGCTCCGAACTCACCTCTAATCCCGGATGGTTTGTTATAAAATTATGTATTTTTTAAACTCCAAAAGAGACGAGGTCCTTTTTCGTCATCTGGTTTTCGAGAGAGCGTATTTTTTTTTGCGCGCAGGATATGAGGGTGGCTTAAGTCAGATTTGGCGCCTGTCTAATTTGCTCCTAAAAGGTGACACAGGTTGACATAAGGAGAAAATACTATTCGATAACCCAGATTAAAACAACGAAGTGAAATATGAATAGGATGTGCGATAGAAAGGTCTTCTTGATGTTGTTATACCAAAAAATATCATTTGATACAATTTTCATTGCGTTTTTTAAGTTTAAACAGAGTAAAATTGCTTTTTATGATTTTTGTTTGATTATTTTTTTTTTTTACTTTTTTGCGACTATATTAGAAAGTTCTAGATTATTTCACAAATTTCTTAAATTTTTTAACTATACCAAATTTTTGTTAATTCTGTGCTTGTCTGTTTCTGTTTTAATTATATAATTAGTGTCGTTTGTTTCATTTAAAGTGCAAAGCAGTTTCGGGATTTCATTTTATTGAGTTTTAATAAAGTTTTCGATTTTTTAAATAATTGAAAATTAATGACCTAATTAAGTCAAAATTTTAGATTTTCTATTCACGATTAAGCCATTTTTGTTCTCTCATTAAAACCACATAAAAACCTTTTTAATAAATTATAACTGAAACACTTTTTATGCTACTTCATTCTACTTTTTCTAACATTTTGAAGATTAGTTCAAAGCTAACATTTATCGTCATCTAATTTAAAACTTTAAGAAAAATTTAAATATTTTTATAGATTTGAAGACTTTCTCTCTTTCAAAATTCAAAATCTGTGAATTTATAAATTGATGAATACTTCAAACTAAATTAAATCCTTAATGTCACTTTATGTTAAATTGGTTCCAAATGAAATTTAAAAAAAAAGAACCTTTTTGATCTACTTTTTGATTGGTTTGTCCTTGTTGCGGCTCAAAATTTAAACTTTCAACAAATACATGAAATCTTTTTTATTACAAGACGGAGATATTTATCGAACCAGGTAACACAAAATCTCGCTCAAAAATCAAATTTTTTCAATGTTTTGATACAGCAGAATGTTTCCGGAGCATCGGTGGGAATTATTAATATCAAGAATTGAGTGCAATGTTGCGTGTGTTTATGCGGTGCGATGTGCGAGGCGAATGTTGCCGCCTCCCAGCAGTAATGGATGTAATTTGAGACGTGCGCCTGGCATGCATTTATAATTCACGCGGACGAGAAGATGCTGAAACACTAGACGCGAGGAAAAGAGAGAAGAGCCGGAGAAGAGGTGCCATGGCGGATGAAAAGCGGTCGCGCGGCTGACAGACGCAAATGGGCGACTTGTCAACTTCCAGTTTGAGCTGCACATAAGCAGCAAAAAGTTCAAAAAATTGTATTTCTAAAACGCCAGTGAAAAGCAACACAGTAAAGGTATTAAATAAAAATTAAAAAAAATAAATAAATAAATATCAAAACAATAATTATTTTTTATAGTATTTTAAACATTTTTACATTACAACAATTTTTATAATTACTCCTTAATAAAAAATTTATTTGTTACTTATTTGTTATTTTCTAATTGCTTTATATAAAGTTTTTTGTTTAAAAACAAATAAGTTTTAAAATTATAAAAATATATTAAATATAACATTTGTTTGTGTAAATTTCGTAGTGGTTAAATCCCCAAGATTCCTGAAATCAATCATATATGGTCATTTCGTTCCTTTTAGCTCGTAACTCTTTTATTTATATAAAAATTAATGAGAATTTCCACTATCTATTCCGCCAAAATAAGAAATTATATATAATAAAAAATTAACAGGTGGCATGAGTGGCAAATCTAATAAGTTTGTGTTTTGACAGCAGCTTTTATTAAATTTGTTAAAGATGGGTCAGCAGTGCGAGTAGGTGTAATTAATCTGCATGCGCGTGGAAGGGTGTGGAGGGTGGCATGAGGGTGGGTGGCGAATCATGTGCTGCACGATGCTGTTATTCTTCACATTACTTTTCGCGTCTCGTGCCCAGCCATAGTACAGCGGCCGGTGTCAAAGAACCCGTGTAAATGCTGCGTATGGAAAGCGCGGCCCTGTAGGTTTTCCTTCTTCCGAGAGAAAGACATGCAGCACGGGGTGGGTTGCCGAGCGAGTCGTAAGGGTGGTGCACGGGTATGTCGACATGCAAGCGATGCAAAAAGTTAAAAGAGAGAGAAGAAGAATTGCATGAGCATAGCGCCGAGTGCGTGGCTGCACGCCACACTATATAATGCAGGCCGCTGCATTTCTAATGGTGCATTTATGTAATTAGCACGGGGTGAATGCAGGGGTGGCACGAAGACTAATTATCGCTAATTACATTTGCAGAGACGAAAACACGCTTCGTGTAACATACAAAATGTAGGGTTTCGAGAGAGCGTATTTTTATAAGAAAGAATCGGAGTGAATATCAATTTGAAAAAAAGAGATGCAACCCGCAGTGCACGAGTGATGTACAAAATGCATAAGCATAATTTTGAAATAAATTATAAACATATACATAACTAAGCAAATTTATTTTTAAATATAAATTAGTTATTTACAAATATTTTTTAATAATATTTATTTTTTATTTTTTGCTTGCTTTAAATAAAATATATTATTATAAAACACTTTTAAATAATTATTTTATTTTGTTAATAAACTTGATAGATTACCAATGTATATGTATTTTTAAAAATTTTAATCTACTTATAAAATTAGTGACCATTAAATATAAACGTATGTTCTCAAATGATGGTTGTGTAATTTTTTAAAGAAATTAGATTGTCATTATACAGTTTTATTTTTCATTGATATAATTGATGTGAAAATTTCATAAAATTTCAAAAATAGCTTATAATAATACTGTACTTTTTCACTGCGGCATATGGGGACTTTTTTATCTCGGAAGTTTCGGCCGGAGTTTTAATTTAAACTTCTTGCTAGCGATGGTACCGTTTTGTACAAAAATTCCTTTACTTCCTAAATAAATCATTTAAAATTTTTCAATAATTGAATTTAAACAATTTGGAAAGTAAAGAACAACAATAATAAAAATTATTGCAATCATTATTTTAATAATTAATTCAACATATTGAAAGTCATTTACGATGACTTCCAGATCCTGCAGTTATAATAATTTTCATCTATATGCATTTCTAACTTATAAAAATATAAGCATTGTATAATTGTTATATTTTATTTAAAAAGAAGTTTTCTCATCATTTCTTTGTCGCAGCAGCGTTCGCGGTGCCTTTGACTCTCAAAACTTTGCACAAAGGATCTCGTTCGCGTGCGCACCCTTTGCGGCTGCACAAGAGTTGCCATGCACCCCCGGCACCCCTTTTCTCTTGCTTGGATTCGACACTGATTGCAGGCCACATTTCATTATCCTTTCCTTTGTTCCGGCGTTCGTCTCGCGGCCGCGCGCACTTCTATGTGACTTTGAGCTCTTTTGAATAAATCTGCACGATTTCATATGAAATTTTCCCTCTCTCGTGCTGGATGGTCCCTTTATATTTATAGTATGAGTGGTGAAAACGAGCGGCAAAAGAGAGAGATGAGTAATGACATAAACGTTTTCCGAGCAACTTTTGTATCCTTTGATGTAGAATTGTACGCACGCACATTTCGCTTTCTGGTGAAAATTTGCGTCGCCGCTGGAAAAGGAACCGCGCCGCGTCGATTGACGAGCTTCCTCTCTATTGCAACCTTCTTGAGATGGGGCCAGATGCGGTTTCCAACAAAGGGAAAAAACTTGCATAAAGTCTTCATCTGCTGGAGATTTTCAGATTTGTTGAAAAAATATTGCGACAAAAAACTAAATTCAGTAAAATTTATTAAGGTTTCGTTACTTTGCCAATGGATTTTCTTCCCAAAATTCGGTTTCAAACTTGGCTCAAAAAACAATCAAAATCCTCTGTGATATCTCTTGTTTTAAAATAAAAAATAAAAAATAATTTTAAATACATGCAAATTAGAAATTTTTGATTGATTTTCAGGAGGTCCAGTGAGGCCAATTAAAAATTAGGTTTTCAACTGAGTTTATGTGCATACAAGCATTTTAAAGTAGGAAGAATAAAAATAGTTAATATTCTTTAATTATTAAATGCACAAAAATGCCTAAAAAAGTTAATAATTGTTTTAAATTCAATAAAAATAATTTCAATCCAATTTTTTGTGTTAAATGAATAAAGTTAAGTGTTAGAGGAAGAATTTGACCCAAAATTCGTATTTATTGGAATTAAAGGCCCGCGGGGCGAAGACGGTCCCCGAGTGCGGGCGGGCGGGCGGGGGATGGATCGTCATTTTGGGCCGCGAGAGGCAGCGGCGCTGTGCGGGATGTTTGGCGGGCCGCAGCATCACACGGGGCGACGACGACGACGGTCGGCAACGGCGAGACACAATAGGCCGAGGGGAGGTTCCGTTGGCGGGCGTTCGCCGGCGCCGATTGGTCGGGGCCGCTGGGCACGTGACTTTTGCGCATCCAGCGCCGCCGGTTCGGCCATTAGTGTGGTACAGAACCCCCCTGCATCGCGGGGGCCAGGCCTCTCTATGTGCACCGTGTGTTTGAAAAGTTGGGGATTGGGGAAGGATCAATCGTTGTCTTATTTAATACGGATTGAGACGCTCTAAGCTCCTCTGTAACAGGCTTAAGGCTTGTTTTATCTGGGGTTTGCTGACTCGCTTTTGCTCGCATTCATCGGCAACCCTGAGCTTTCGGGATTTCTAACTCGGCTGTGCCCATCATCAGCTTAGGAGGTGAGTTTATTGTGTTTTATCTGCTTTAAATGTTTAGACACATAAGACGATTACTACAAAAGGCTCCAATGCCAAGAGTAAGCCAACTAGTTTTGCACAATCCATACGCTCGGCAATGAAAGTCCGTGCAGTGTCTCTCTCATAACTCATCGGTGCAGCGGCCCGGCCGCATCTTCTCGCGCGCTCCGTGCAGCCGCAATCCCAAAAGTGTGTTTCTTGTTTCTCCAAAAAGAGGGAAAATATGCAGTTCGGCCGAGTGTTTTTCCATTGTTCCGTTCGCCGATGCAATCCGATCGTGAACTGCAGTGTTCGAAACGGTGCAAGTCGATGCTTCGGTTCGAGTTTTTGACCAAAAGTGCACCGATCTTTCGCAACTGGCAATGGTGGGTAAAATTTCATTTTGCTTTTTTCATTTGTTAAACAGGGAAGCCAAAAAAATATCTCTGAAATCAAAGAAAAGAAGATAAATTAATCAAGGGGGGATTTTAAATTATTAAATCGAGCTCTAAATTGTTTTGTCAGAAAAATAATCAATTTAAATTCAAAAATCTTTTTAAGTTTTGTCGTTTTTTATATTATTTAAAAAGATGACATTACAAAGATTAAGAAAAAATCAAGCCATCGCGTCCATCGCACTCTTCCAAATTTCTTAGAATTGATAAAAGTTGTATTTTAAATTTTCATTTTAAATTCAACAATTCGCCTATTTTAAGTGTAAAGAATGGAAATTGTTCACTTGCTATATTTTGCAACAATTGTGATGCAAACTCCGCCTCCAGCATTCCATTTTGCAACCCCGTCGTTGCAAAAATTCGCACTTGAAGTCGCGGCGCCGGAAACGTTTTTTGCCGGCACTCGGGGTGCCCTTGTCAGCGGGAGGCGCGCGCTCACCTCACGCCAGTCGGCGACTTGGAATCGAGCGTGCAGCTGCGAGATCGGCCGGTCGTGCTGGGAAATTTAACGGCTGCCGATGCGAAAGGTTTTCTGGCGGATTTTTTGCGAACGGCAGCTGACGGTAAACTAGTTTTCATTTTATCTCTGCGAAATTTCAAATTTTAGAGAGAAAAAATCTATACATCGTTCAAAAACTTTTAAGTTATCATTTTTTCATTAGTATCAAAAAAGTGACGTGCGAAAGACCGTAATTTTCCATTTTTCAAGCTTTGGCTTGAGTGAAAAATAGTGTACTTAATCTGTGACGCTCTCTCGCTCTGGTTATTTATATAAATTGCGTTTTGCATAAAAATGCGAGCGCGATATGGAATTTCACGCCGGCGGCTGCAGCAATCAACTCGCTCTCTGTATTTAATTATTCCGCTCTTTGCAGCGCGTGTTGACGCGACCCCGTCCTCGCGGTGATGATTTCATTTTCATTGCAGCTCTGGATTGCTAATTAGTCATACTGTCTGCAGCTATAGTGTCGCAAGTTGCAACCATAGTACTGCCGGCTTTCGCGTTTATGTAAGAGCTGCATTTGCATTTATTGCTATCAAAATAATTGTGCCTTTCTTCATTGGCACAATGGAAATTTCCCTTCAAATTTGTATATCAGGATGGCATATAAATTAATAAAAGAATAAGGTCATTATTTGAATTATTTTTGATCATTATATGGAATGGTAGCTGACTCGGACGAGTAATTTTGTTTGTTACAAATGTTTTATTATAGTACATAGCCATCTCTAGATTATTAATGCGTTTTTGAATTTAAAATTGTATTTTCCTTCTTCTTAAAACACAATATTAACAATGCAATATTTCAATTATAATATTAATTACTATTAAAATATATTTATCACAAAATTGTCAAAAATCAATTAAAATAATTTTAATAAATCATCAATTAAATTTCGAAGTTAAAGTGTTATTTAATTTTAATGATGTTTTTTTTTAAATAGCAATATTATTTAATACTAACAATAAAAGCCAAAAAAAGCTAATCGATTGAGAATTTCTGTGGCGAGCTATGCAACCGGCACGGCCGACGCGTCACACGTACTGCCTACTTTTGTCTCACTTCCGAAGACAAACGGAATCAAAAGTGGTGAATCTCAGCGAAGAGGGTGATAATCATTATGCACCCTCCCGCACTCTCACCCCGGCCGTTTGAGAGCAGCGGAAAGGCCATCGGCCGTGCACGATATACAAATGCAATAAAATTAATAAGGCCCTCCAGGCTTTTGACTAGAGCGCATATTTGCTCAGCAATCAGTGTGTAACACGATAGCACTTTTTAGCACCCTCTTCTTTCCTCTCTCTCGGTGGCGCGTGTGTTGTGTTTCGACGGCGTGTGTGTGTGTGTTAGCATGTCAATAATCAATAAAACGCCGCCGCTGAAATAATTGTTGTTTTTACCGGGAAGTGAGAATGTGTTTGCTGTTCAGCGCGAAACCCCCGCGGGCCGAGATTAGAGCTTTTCGCTCCGAATTGCTGCTTTGCATTCTGTGTGCAGAGAGGACCAGCAGATGATGCTCTCTCTCGCTTTTTAATTTATGCCCGCGGCCGCTGCCATGTATATAATGTTTGCTCTGCTCAAACTCCACTGAGCAAACGCAATATTTTGAATAATTTCTGCTCCGTTGCTCTTTTGAAATGAACACGACTTTGTCCTAAGAGAAATACGAGTTGCTGGTTTTGTATTTGAAAAGGGAGAATTTAGTATATTCGAAGAATTTATTTTAAAACAAGTTATATTAAATTTCCTCTGCCCTATGGAATACGTTTTAGATTATTTTCTTCCTTGATATTTTACTGGCGAAAAAAAAATTAAAATCTTATAAAAAATAAAGGCACATTTTTTTTTAATTAAGTCATTTAAAAGGGATTCATTGTTACAAATTTAAGTACAATTAAGGATATTTTATTTAATTACCGATGGCAAGAGTTGTAAGAAATAAAATTATTCCGTGTTAGAAATAAAATACAAAAATTTGTTTTAAACATATTAATAGTAACGATATTCAAAATTCAAATCCTTGAATAAAATTTAAATCAATTTTACCGGAATCAAACCTAAATAAAAAAAACAAATTTTAATTTCAAATTATTTCGGTTTAGAAAGACTCAATTGTCTGCAAAATGTAAAGCAAACTAAAAAATTACGAAAATCAACTGGTTGTGAAATGAAATGAATATATTTTATTTCATTTTCTGGAATTTGGTGAGGATGTTAAATAAAATTCTCTCTTCTTGGCTCTGTTCAAGTTTTCATTATCAGAGAGAAAGTGGTGCACGACGTATTATTCTCAGCATGATCTCAATGTCTCATTCTTTTTTGTCGTTAAAAGTTGCCGCGCCGCCCAACACGAGCGACTTGGGAAAGATTACACTTTAAAAGGACTTTACAATTTTTAATACGGCTAATGCTCTGTAAGAAGGACAAATACTTTTGCACATTTTTATGCATGCAAAAGAAGAGAATATGATGGAGCTGCCACGGTGCTTAAAGAATATTGTTTACACCTAAAAATTTTTAAGCGCCTTAGAACAGTGGTTTTCACCAAAGCGCTCCAGCACAGCTACACAAATAAAACTTTGGTGTTTTGCTCGTGCGAGAAAAATCTCTACTTAGAAAGTGAAAGGTCCACCCACGTGACAATTAATAATGTGATTTAAAATAAATTCTTCGCCTCATTAGGCATGAAGCGGTACAAAGGGACTTTTCTCCTCAAATGAATTTAAGAAATTTGTTTATTAAAAAAATGAAATAGCTAAAGTTGACAAATTTTTTCATCTTGAACAAAAATAAGAAATTAAAAAGAAACACGATATTTCTAAAGAATTTTAAGTTTTGCTTAATGTAAAGGTGTCTTGCAAAAGGTATATAAATTGAAAAAAAATATTTTCCTAATTGAATGTTTAATTTAAATTTAAAGTGAAATTATCCTTTAATTTTAGTTTTACAAATAAATAGAGAATTAATTTCAAATTATTTATGAAATTTTAGTAAATTTTAGTCCGTCAGCGAGTCAGAAACAAAGAATATTGAAAAACATTCTCAATTAAAACGTTCTGCTAATTTCTACATTCAGTTTTCAATGCTAACCTAAATTATTTTTATATCTTTTTGCAATTTTTCTGCAAGTGTCACTAAAGATAAAGAAAGAATTCTCATAAATAAACACCACAGGCAAAATTTTTACCTGATGAATTCTTATTAAATTATTTATATTTCAATATGCAAAAATTGAGTATTTTCCCTTTGATATTTTTCTTCTTTACAAATTTTCCGGTTTTAATATAAAAATTTTAGGCATAAGGAAAATTTTCCATCCCTTTTTTCATTAACGGCAGGAAAATGAGAGTAAATCATTTGATGCGCAGCGTCGTTGTTGGGTACTTTTAATTCCCGACGAGGGACTCTGCTCATTTAAATGAGAAACTCCCTTTCCTTTTCGGTAAAAGCCTGTGCCGCTCTCTCGCGTCGTGTTAATTATATTCTCTCTCTTTTTGCTGCTCTTGAGGAGGAAACCTCTGAAATCGTTTTCAGCAAAGCAGGGGGAAGCGAAATAGGAGCCGCGCGCATCTCCCGAGCCGGCCGCGTTTGTTCAAAAAGAAATAATCAATTTTCTCTCCGGCCGCCGCCGCCGCCAAATGAATGAATAATAAAACGTCGCAATCTGTGCATTGCAACGGAGAGGGGGTGGTTTATTGTGATTTCGACCCCTAATCACCCCCGTACACATATATACGTCTGCCGAAATTCGATACGCGCCGCTAATAACTTTTTAAGAGCTTGGCGCTTCCTTGCATGTGATGAAATAAATGATACTCGGGGGCGCGTCCAATACCACACAGGAACACACACACACATGTCTGATAAACATGCTCGTGTTGAGATGAGTATTAAGTGAATAGTTGGTTGATGAGCTGCAACCCTCCCAGAGAGAGTAATTTTCTGCTCATTTGCTGGTATATTAATTTGTCATTTGGAGAATAATTAAAGAGAGCAAAGAGAATCGAAAATTATAACCCAAATTTATAAGCTGCTTATCACTGCTTACTAATAAATTTTATTATAATTTTTGAATGTATTTCATTTTAATTACATCCTATTAATGTTGTTTATAACTCATAATTAAATTAATAAATAAATTTATTTAAAAATAAAATGTTATTTTAGCCCTTATACTTCGGCAAACATTTCTTATAAATTGCTTTCAAATGTTATATTTTATACTCAATGACTTTTAACAAAATATATTCATACTTTGTGGAAAATTATGAAAACACCACTTTCTAATTACTTTTTTGCCTTCTCTATTTTTGAGACCCAATACCCCGTTGTTAGTTCACGAATTTTATATTATTATGTAATTGTATTCAATGCTCTTCCGTTTTGTACTATTTACAACAATTTATTATAATAAATACAATTTATAATATTAATTGAATGCTTATACATTTAAAAGAAATCAGCAATTTGATACGGTAAAAAATTAAAAATTTATCATCCATAACAAAAGTTTTATTGCTACATGAACTTTGAAGTCATACAATTTAAGATTAGATCATGATTATAAGTATTTTGTTATCAGTAATTTATGCGTACATATGGCAATATACAAAGTAAATCCTAACCCATGAAGAAGAGAAGAAAAATTTGTTGAAATTAATAGATATACACAATTGAATAGATTTGATAAATCAGTTTTTTTTCTACAAAATTGGGTTTTTTATTTAGTTGCAAAAGAGGTGTTTATTGATGTCTCAGTAGGGTAACTATACCCCATTCTTCGACATATCAAGAAAGTTTTACAATAACCATTAGCTTGGAGAGAGAAACTTACATTTTCAATTGATTACAAAAAATTAGTTGAACACTTGAAAAACCAGAAAAAACACAATGATTGGGCAGAAAAACAAAATTTAACTTGAATTCAACACATCGGCTGGCACTTAATCGGTTTCAACATTATCTTGAAAGTTCTTTATTTAATTGAATTTCTCAAACCTGGCAATGAGCCCTGAGGGAAAAATACTTCATATTTAATTGCAAAATTTCCAAGCTTGTTCAAGATCCAACCTTAAAATGTCAAACAAATTATCCTAATAAACGAAAAATATTGTTTGTAATTTTAATTAATTTATAAACTTTTCTAATTTTCTAATGAAAAACAGGAATTTTCGAACTTAAAATAAATTAATTTTGAATTTAAACCTTAAAAACTCAAAAAAACATAACTAAATTCTAATTTTCAAGCCTTATTTCCTCTGCTTTTTGACTTCGGATTGGTGCGGACGTTTTATTCCCCGTGTTCCATTTCCGAGCACCACACTTTTCCAATGCGAACAGCAAAAATACATTCGCTTGTATGTACTTTATATATTATAGCAGAGGGCGTGCTGCAGTACATAGCTTTTCTATTTGGCCCGTTCGTTGGCTTTCGCCGCACCGGTTTTAGTTTTCCGGGCGCTTCTCTCTCTCTCTCCGATGGCAGACTGGTATATATTCTCCTGGGGATATGTTTTGATGTATTTTTCTGCCTGGCTGACTTACTGTTGTTACGAAATACTGTTGATGTTGCATAGGCAGGGGCTTGTTCCGGCGGGGGGACCGTGCGTCGGTTTTCAATTACCATGCATTGGCTCCATTGATAAGTCTCTTGGGGAGGATGATTGTGTGGCGAAAAGGATGATGAATTTTCCACCGCAGAGCCATGGCAGCAGAAAACGCTGGCAAAACCTTTTTTCTGCACTCCCGCCCAGCCGCCGCCCCTCGGGACGCGGAATTTTAAAGTAATTCATTATCTGCCTGGCCGGACGATATATAAACGAGAGAGGGAGTGCTTTTCCATTTTCCACCAGAGCTTGCAGCTCCTATCAATCCAAACTTTTAATATATAGCAAAGTATTAAAAATATTAAAATGCCAACCGTAAAATTTTATTTTTATTATTAAAAATACGTTGAACAAAATTTACAAATTTTTAAACAATTTTAATTTTAACTATTTTTATTTAGTTTAAAAAATTAATTTCTTAACTAAATTATGAATTTATTTTTTTTTTTTATGAGTTATATTTATTTAATTGCATGCTTATATTGATCATTATATTTAATTGAGAAACTCATTCATCTTCACAAACTAGCCTTGAATTTGTATGAATTAGATTAAAATATCGATAATAATAATATATTAATATTATTTAATGATATGCTGACTAAATGAAAATAAATCCGACTTTGTTTTCTTCTCCTTTCAGGGTTAATTGTCCGCGGTATATAATACAGGATTTCTAACGACAAACACTTTCAGTTTTGGGCTTCTGCTGGCTCTGCGGCATAAAAAGATTGCACTTTGCGGGGCTTCTAATACTTATTCCTATGCAAATTCTAACACAAAAGCTGATTCCATTATTTTCTTTATATTCTGACCCTCTACGTCAATGTATTGAAAATGGATATGGGCTCAATAGCAAATTTATTTTGGGATTATAAGGGTTAAGGTAAATATTATTAAAAAGATTAGATTTTGCACACAGAACATTAATATGCATAATTTACAACGATTTGCAAAACATATATTATTTTTTTTTAGTTATACGCATGGAATATATTTTATTTTTCACAATTTTTTTCCCATTAAATGATCCGCATAATTTATGTAACAATTTATATGTTCATTGTAAGTGTCTTTTTTTTATTTTAAAGAAAAACTTATCATAAATTATAAAAAAAGAGTATTTTGTTTCTTCCCCAAAATTTCGGTATAAGAATTTAGTGGAAATTAGTTGGTTTTCTACAAAAACACATATTTTGTGAAATTATATTTATTTTAATTGAATAAAATTTTCATATAGAGAGAAATTTAGCAAAAGTGGTTGATACTTTTAACTTTTAAATGAATTAAATGAAATTGGCCGATTTGAGGATAAAACCAACAAATTTTAATATTAAATCTGGCTTAAAAATGACATTTTCCGATACAATTTGTTGTTATCCTTTAAACATTTTTCTCCTTTTAACTCCTGCCGACAGTGAAAAATGTATAAATGGAGTAATCAGGCTCGAAAGAGTGAACCGAAGCGAGCGTCGAGATGCACTTTGGCGATAAAAGAGCCCGCGTGCGTCTCGCTATAAACAAGTGTCTGGCGTTCGCACTTGATTTGAAAGAATTTGAGAAACTCTTCTGCTCGGCGGTGCAACGCGTTTTGTGAATGGGCTGCTGGGAAAAGGCACCATCTGGCGCAGCACGTCGGTCTGTGTCTGCACATCGAAAGCTACTCATTCCGCCATCTCGAGCGCTCACCAGTGCGGAATTGATATAGCGCAGCGCTCCATGCGTATTTGTTGGCACATATACGAATATACGTTGTTATCGCGGTGCACTGATGGAGACCGACGAGCGGAGAGAGAAGAGAAATGGTTTTGCAACATCCCTGCTCCCTCGCGATACACATTGGGGTGCGCTGCTCGATTTGCGATTGGTCGCTGCGAAAAGAGAGTTGCCTGCTTGCAGACGAGCAGGGTTTCCTCTCTTCATCTCAAAAAGACTTACAAAAAATTTCACAACATTTCATTATCCAACGTTTCTCTACGGCTTCTATAAATTTAAAAATAAAAATTCTTTCAAAAAAATTTCAAAGGCCGACAGTGAACAGAGGATTCAAAATAATAATTTTTTAATTTTACCGTTTTTGGAAGGTTTAGCAAAATTTTTTATATTGGCTAGGGTATATTTTGTATGAAGTTTTATAAAAGGCGAAGTTGTATTTTTTCTTTCTTTTTTTTTTGTAATTAAAATAATAATTTTATCAACATAAGCCTGTGTAAGCATTCACAGAAACACTGTTTTGACATCCAATGATAATAATGTAATTGAACTACTTTGTAAATAATATATTTTTAAGCAAAAAAAAAAAATAATAAAATAATAAAGAATTATTATTTAAAATTCTTTAAAAAAAATATCAAATACAACTAAACATTTGTTTTTAATAAAAATTTAAAAAAAAAATTACAAACAACATAATTTTAATTTTTTTATGTAAATTCAACACAAAATTCTTCATTTTAGAATTTATTTTTTCTTATTTTAGTTTTAATAATAACATTAACACAATTAAAATTTAACTCCATATCCTTAAATTGATAATTTTGAAAAATAGCGATTTCAATTAAATCAACTATCCAGAAATCAATCACGAAAACGCACCAAACAATAATTAAGTTCATGGTGATTTGAATTTAAATTCGGCTTTTCCTCGATGGGTTTTTTTGAATTTAAGAAAAACAATATCCTGCTCTCGACCACCGCTGAAGAAAGCTCATGAATTATGGCTGCAGCCCGCAGCCGAAACATGTAGAGCAGGATAATTATTGTTTTTCTTAAACAATAAAAAACTCACAAAAAACCCATCGAGGAAAAGCCGAATTTAAATTCAAATCACCATGAATCAACCCTCGATGTGAACTTCTACTACAAAAATAATTAAAAAGTTTTTTAATGTTCTTGTTAGTTTAAGTATGCTTTAAAGATATAACTGATTCAAAACTTAATAAACATTAATTCTATATTGAACTTTTTCTGTTGCAGATAAGAAACCCTGTGGGTCCATCTCATGTGGCCAAACAGCCTTGCCAGCGGGTAAGTTAATCACTTTCACTACATTTTTTTTTTTTACTCTAAACAACTATTAATACAATACAATTAAATATTTATATGAAATTATATAGTTTTCAAAGCAAGATTATATAAACATTAAAAATTTCAAGTTCAATATTGAGATTTTATTTTAATTAAAAACGACGATGCTTCCCATTTTTAATAAAATATTTAACCACTTTAATCAATTTCTGAATGACATCACTTGTTATCAAAAGATCACACGTTCTGATCTGGAGAACGATCCCCGTGAGAAATGCGCCGCTAAATAGCCTTTTAATATATACCAATCGTCACACAATATAATAGGACCGGCGTCATCCACGGTATATAATTCTCAAAGACCTGCACAAGTCGAGATAAAATCTAATTTTCCAAACCGGGCCTTTCATTGTTTGTTTGCAATGGCGTTTGTTATCGAAAAGCACAATCGAGAGACGCAATTATTCGGGGATGAGCTGCAAGTAAGGGTGGTTCACAAATTGTCAGCTCATTAGCAATCGGATGCCCTCGCACTTCTGATTCGAACGGCACGTGTTTGATATGAAACTAGATGCGCGCCGCGATTAAAGTGGATCGCTTATTCGGTGCTTTGAGGAGCTCCTTCAGCAGCCGCCGCCGATTCTCGCTCGCAGCGGGGAAAATTCGATGCCACCGCACGCAAGGGGTTTATTGAGAGAGGGAGCAGTGATTTGTGATTTCTATTTCGCTCTCTCCACTGATATATAGTTGTGCAGATAAGGGCACTTCGAGTGTTTGATGAGCAACACGAGTTTTCGCTCTAATTGGGACGCAAATTGTTTTGTCTCGCTGCTTCCTGTTGAGGAGGAAATATTGAACAATTGAATGGCAATCGGTCTCTATGGTTTTGCCTAAATATACATATTGAATGAGAAACTGCTCGGGAATTATGAATGGAAAAAATGCGAGCAATTATTTTGAATTGATATCTTTTTATTCAAAAAAGAAAATTGTTTTAGCACAGTAAGGAAATTGGTATATTCAAAACACTCAATGTCTGGCTTTTAAATGGAAAATGTTTTGATGTTAACAGAATTTCTTGGAATTTACAAAAAAGGAAAATACCTCTTGAACTTGCCCAAAAAAAACTTTAAATTTTTTATAATTTTTATCCTTTTTACTTAATTAAAATCAATCCCGTTGTTAAAATAAATTAATATAAAAACAAAAATGCACAATAAAAATGCTTTTTAAGAGCATATTTCAGCAGTTTCAGCTTTAATTTGAAAAGAGATATTTTACGGAAATATGAAAATGAGAAACAAAACACCAGTGCTCCAGAAAACGACCTTATATGCTGAAATTGCAAATTATTGATTTCCCGTTCGTCCAAGGTGTATAATGAAAAATAGCCTTAAGACAAAATAAAACAATATGACCAAGTTATGCAAACTGCACGACAGTGCTGAAAAGAAATTGCCTAACCACTCCATTGCGCAGGCTGAAAATTTAACTTATTGAATGTATTTTTATTTTATTTACTTATTTAAGTCTTTATCTTGTTTATATAAACAATTCAAATTAAATATAAATAATTACAAAAATATTTTGTTGGAAAATCCTTATGAAAAGAGCAATTCGATTGCTTTTTTCAATCTTCTTCTTCTATAATGCTTCTGCACAATTCAATTTTGATCAAAATTTTCTGCTTTTTTCTTTTCGACAAAAAAGCAGCAGCTCCGGACAGTTGGCTTGCTAAGGACACCTCATGTTGAAATGTTCTCAGGCGACTGCCTCGAAAAGTGGAGCACTTTTTTCTTCTCTTTTTTTACTGCCGTGATGAGAAACCGTAGCTTTTGATTGCCCATTCATGCAAAAAGCGGTGGCGGCAGAGAGGAAAAATTTAAGCCGCGCGCTGTGCGATTCATTGTGTTTCAAGGGTGCTCCTGCGTGTGCGCCCGAGCAGGCAGGGGTTGCAGCCGCAATCGCAAGATGGAGACTGCAAACAATGACTGTGCACTTGTTGATAAGGGCTGCTCTAATCACCATCGAGCCACACGAGTGCTGCTGCGGCCGTCGCAAATATTTACACTGCGTTCGCTCCGCGGGGAACGTTTAACTTTCCCGCACGCCCATTTCTGCACTGCAAACATTGAGAGATGCAAGGAATCGAAAAGCATACACACTCAAAATCGCAGCAGGTAGCCCCGAAATTGACTTACCAAAAACGGGGACCCCAGTATAGAGGGGGGTGCATAACACTGCTGATATTGGTTTGGCTGTTTGGAGATTGAAGATTGCTCTTATTAAATTTTGAACTCATTTTTATTAAGAATCTCACGCGTTTGAAGTAAAAATTGTTTCTAAAATTGGAATGCAATTTTCTACTTCAATTTTTGTAGTCTTTGTATCGCTAACATTTTAAATGCTATAAAATTAAAAGGGAAAAAATGAGATAATTCAGCAAGATTTTTCTGAATTAAGAAAGCTCTCATTTGACAAATATAAATTTTTCTGAGCTCCAGCTGCGTACACCTTTATAGCTATCCCATTTGTTGAAATTTCTCTAATAATTAGGGAGTTTTACAAATTAAAAAGAAATATTATAATATATATTTGTTGACTAAAATTTAAACGTAGATGATTTTTAATCAACTTTTTTTCCTGTTCTCTTTACAAATACACAGAAAACAATAAAACTTACACATAAATTTCTCTGCAATTGTAATTTTTTCCCAAGTCTGCTTCTTATTTCAGAATAACATGATAAATTCAACTTTTTTTCATCAGAAAGCAGTTTTTTATAAAATAAACCAAGTTTAAGTTTCAAAAATAAAACAATTTTTATTTTTTACCTCATATAGAGAAGGTTAATAAAAATTTTAATCCTGTTAGATAGAAACATGAATGAATGGAACATAATTATGTTCTTGGAAGAAACCCAGCTGTTGAGAAATGAAAATTTCAACGCCCGCATATTTTCTTGTTCATTCATCGCGGGTGCGCACGAAATTGTGTCTGTTTGTATGTTTTCCGTCATAAATTCCGTCTCTCATTGTGCTTTACACATCATTGTGAACGGAATCAGGTGGCATGGCACATATACTTTGCCCAATTTATATATCTATTTCCTTTGATATGGGCCGGCGGGCGATTCTTCTTTGTTGGCACTCCTTTGGTGCCGAACGCGTCCATAAATCTGCGGCCAACATGAGAAGGAGAGACGAAGAAAGGAAGCGCAAGGAACGGAGCCGGGCCGCCACTGCTGCTGCTGCTGGGAATCTGCTGGAAACTTTGTTTATTGATCCACGCACATGCAGCGGCGGCAGCGGGGAGCACGGCAGCCCCCGAACGACCGACCGGCGGCCAAGTGGGTGGTGAAACGTGAGAAAAGGCGAAAAACGCGATCGCGCCCTGACAAAGTGCAGGTGCACGTCGACCTTGCAAGGCTAATTGCACCGATCTCTCCTCTCAAAGGTGCACGACCCCCTTTTCCCCCTCAAAACTTTTCAAAAATGAATCGCTTTCACATAAATATTTCTCGGAAGAGATTTCGCCACCGGAAAATTGAAAGCGTTATTATATTGTGGCTCTCCGGCGGCGGTATCGATTTCTGTGACATTTTTGCACAATGCTTTATACCAGCAGGGGTATAGCGCAGAAAAAGAGAGGATTTGGCGCCCCTCCCACGCAACAGAAATGATGATATTGCTCTCTGCCGCCGCACCACCGCCGCTGACAATGTAATATCAACCGGAGAATAGAGCGTTTTATTTTCCGACGAGTTCGCTCGATATTGGTGAATGATTGAGCGGCGTTTCCAAACTGTCAAATCGCTATGGAAACGGCGCAAAATGTGGCAAAAGGGCCACCGGCGTTTTGCAATAAAAATCTCTCGATGAAATAAAAATTTATAACTACAAAAATCATTGAAATAATGGAGCATTTTAATAATAAAAGAGTGAGTTTTCATTCAATTAGATTTTTAGGGCTTATCAAAATTGTTGAGAGATAAAAATAATGTTGATTTCGCAAAGTTATAACTTGACCGAAATCCTCAAAACACTATTATTATTATTGATCTTTATTGACTTATGAAGTCACAAATTTGTCAAAAATTTGTTTTACTAGTCTAGATGAGATTTACGAAATTAAGAAAAATTTGTTTTTGCTTTTGATGGAAACAACCATTTCAATGCAGAGCTAAAATGATATTTTCAAAAATTTTCAAATATAAGAAAGAAAAAAATAGAAAGTGCTCACCAAAATTTTGTACATTCCGGTAATTTTTGTGTTTTTATTTTATATGTACAACATAATAAAAAACAAGGTGGAACATCTGACAAATCAATTTTTTTCAACAACCGCAGTAAAAGTTCCTAATTTTTGGTAAAAAAAAAATAGCAATGCTTTCTTGTATCCAGGGAACATGTTTGTTTGTTGATCTTTTCACAAAATTTGTCAATTAATTTTAAATTTAATTTATTTAATAAACTTTTTAAGGTTAAAAATAACATAAATCTTATTCAATTTAATAAATAAAAAAGTTAGTCGCATAATATATTAAATTCCAGCACCCACTTACAGGCCTTATTCCAGGTGCAACCCAGAGGCAGACTTGGCTTTCCCAACGTTCAGCAGCGCGTGCGGGGGGACCACGAGCGCCACCTCAGGGATGGCCAGCTACCTCAAGTCGTCAGGGTACGCCGTCAACGGCCTGGCCAGCCTCAACATGACCTCGATGCACCACGACCCTTTGCACGCCTCCATGGGCTACCCTGGCGCAGGTCAGTGTCGAACTCTTTTTAAGAACTTCCTTCAGTCTGAGATGAAAAAAGTCCACAAAGAACTCGATCTGAAAGGCAATTATCTGTTCTGCGCAGAAGTGTGGGGCCCTGGCAACCCCCGAAAGCAGAGGAGGGAGCGCACGACCTTCACCAGGGCGCAACTCGACGTGCTGGAAGCCCTGTTCGCCAAAACTCGATACCCTGACATCTTCATGAGAGAAGAGGTCGCTCTGAAAATCAGCCTTCCTGAATCTAGGGTGCAGGTAAGACAGAATCTCATTTTTACCCATTTTTACCACCCTTAAACCTCAATAATATTAAATCCAACTAAAGGCCATTAAACTATTTAGTTATATCAACTAAGTAAGAGCCACTAAAAAGTAAAGTTTATGGCAACTATAATAATTAATTCATATAAGAAAGAACGAGTTGAATTATATCAAAATGAATATGTAAAATATTTAAAAGTCACAGAAATTAAACATTAGTTTCATCAAATTATCATTTTCTGAGTGAATTTATTGATAAATTCTTTATTTAAAAAATAAAGCACTAGTTACAAACAAAGTTTTAAATAAATACACCAGATTTACCAGCTCTCCAGAAACAATCCCTTTCACTGTGTGCAAATATCTATCACAAATAGAGAAATAAAAAAAAATCACGCAATTTATTTGCCAATTAATAAATAAAAGCATCGAGCTTTTAATTAATTACAATTCAAGCAATCAAAAATACACAAGCCAATTAATTTTCATTGTACTCCAAAAAACGCCTGACAAAAGGACATTTAAATTAGTTTGATTACAATATTTATATTTTAATCTTCTATATGAAATGGAAATCTAGACAATTCAGTATTACTTACCAAACAAGCATTTTTTATAACAAAAGCAAAAGAAGCAACTGTACATGAATTTAACAGTGATGAATTAATTACGAAATGGTCGGAATTTTTCCTGAGGGCTTTGCGCGCAGAGGGAGATTAAACTTTTGTGTGTCAAAGCGCGTGCGGTGATTATCGCAAGTGCACAGCAACGTTCACTATAGGTGGTAATTTGATAGGACGAACGAGAGAGCGGCGGGGCGGGGGTGCGGCGAGGGTGGCGTCGCTCGCCGGGGCACAAAACAATCGCTAATAAGCGGCAGACAATGCACAGCGCGCGTCAATTAGTTTGATTAGATTGCTCAGCCAGATTGTTCACTTCAAACAAAACCTTTGCCGCGGAAAAAATGGCCCATTAAAACACAAATCGGGCGCGAAAATTTTGCGCTGACATCAAAGGGCGAATTTTAAATTTAATTTCCCGAAAAAAAGAGCACTCCTCCCTTTTTATCTCCGCAATTGAGTTTCCGACAAACAAGATCATTTCACGATTCGCTACATCTCATTGACTGCCGACTCTCTTTTCACAAAATATATTTTTTTTAAAAAACCTCTCCGCTCTTTTTCTCGTTTTGCCTTCGAGACAGACTCTGTCAGTTTGATTAAAAAATATTTCAATCATATTTTTATACACAAAACGTTTTCGTATATAACTGGGGTGAAACATTTTTATATAAGAATCGACGAGCTAGGTGTTGTGCCCGAAGGTGTGTTGCCGGGATGGAATTTCTTTTGTGCGCCCGACACAATAAAAAACTATTCCACTCTGTAGGTAAATTTTATGTTTTGTTGCCGCACGCGGGCTCTTTTTCCGTGTGCACCAATCAATTCTTTTCTATGAACGCACAATATCATATCCTGCAGCTTGCCCTACGTGGAATATGTATCAGTGTTTGGGAAAAAGCGCGGCTCTTCCTTTTTTTTCATTTATAGCGAGGGGGTGTTTTATTCCCGTTCCGTCGGCGGGGAAAGGAAATCGGACTCAATTTTGCGTGACACGGTATAAATCAAGAATAAATAGCTGCTTTTGTATGAACGATCATTCCCAAGTATGATATGTGTGTGGGAATGAAATAAATTCTCCTTGGTATCAACGATTACTGAGCGATCCAGATTTTATATAAAATTATCTTCAAAAATTTAAATAAAGATCTGAAGAAGAAGAAAATATATACAATAAAAAAAATGTAAATAAATTTTTATTTTTAAATTGTATTTATTGTTTTTTTAAATTTAATAATATAAATGTATTTTTAAATTTGTTTTGTTTTTATAATTTAACAAAGTTATTATGAATATTTCATGTAAAATTAATTTTTAAATTCAATTTGTTATAATTATATATTTTTGGTTGGTTCTTGCCTGACAACAAAAGTTCTAATAAGAGCAATCTTTTTCTTTCTTGTTTAAGTTATTAATCTTGCAGATAATTTGCAGATACATTTATTTTAATTAGAGTTATATTTCTTTGAAATAGATTTAATAGAAATAGAATAAATTTATAACAAAATAAATCGATTTGATTTAATTTGCTAAATAATGCCACATTAAATTCATCATTGGTTTGACTGGCAACATAAGTCCAAATAAAGACAATTATTTTGGTTTTAATTTCTATATCTATTTGCTAAACAGTAACATTACAAGATTATGAATTGAAATGGAAATATTAGAAATATAAATCCAGGACTTTAAAAAATATTCCAAAATTATACAGAAAAGTCCTAAAATTCTATTTTTAATCTACTTAGTTTCAGAATTTACAAAATTTAAAATTTGCAACGATCCAATATCAATTCTTGAATTAAGAGTGAATTAAAAAATCAAAATGACTTTTGCAATTGGAGAGTTTTTACAGATATTGTCACTACACGCAATTCAATGGTGTTGAAAAGAGCGGATGTGAGAAAACAAATTTAACGCCGTTGACAATTCGCCAAACAAATCCACGAAATATTCGCTCGCTGAGCAAACAAGCAGCGCCGATATTGAACGATTCCATTACGAGGCAGCATCCTTTTCACTTTACGAGCCAGTTTCATTATTTGCTTTTGCTGCCGGCCATTCATCCACCGAGACAGCGTGGCGTCCTGCACCTTTGCTGTTTGTATATTTCCCTTCCTTCCAGTTTGCATTCAGATTAAACGTGTAATTCCGATGTTTGACAAAAGTCACTGGCGCGGTTCAATTTTTCCTTCGCCGCCCGCTGCGGCAAAACATTATTGCTGCCTCATCCATCCATCCATCCCTAGCTGGCTCTTTTAAACTTGTGCGACGTGCCCGTGCATAAATTATGCATTCGACTGCATAGAAGCTGCAGTCGGCGGCCGTTTCCGTCATAAAACACACGCGCACAATGGCCGAGTGGGCCAAAGCGGCGACGCACAAACAGCCAAACGAAAACGGGCCCCTGTCACAAAATCGTGCCGCAGTTGCCCTCGGAAAATTTTTTACGCCCCGCCAGATGCACATTCTCGGCGTGTTTTACTCTGCCTGAAAAACAGCAAAATTTATTTAACATTGACTCAAAGCAAGCAATAAAAATATAAAATAATTATTTCAAATTAAAATAATTATTAGAAAACAAACTAATAAGAGATGAAAGGGGGCCAAAAACTTTTGTTTCTCTTTAAAATAACTGTTCTTAATCCAAATTTCATTCAAATTTTCCTTGCCAGCTACACGAACGGTATGCAAAATATTTTTAAATCTATTTTTCTAAATTTTCAATTCATTTTTCAATTACATTCATTTTATTTTTCTCCAAACAAGTCAGACAATCGCAGGTTGAACATTAATAACTGGTTAAAGAAAAATGCAATCAACTAGAAAAAAATACCTTTTTTGACTCAAATATTAATTAATTTAATCTTCGATTTAACGTTTGCTTTCAAATTGAGCCTATATGGCTTACGAGTTTTAGAAAGTTGTTTCTAGAGCTGGCTGCCAATTATCTACCAATGTAATTAAATTTTCTTCCTGTCTACGACTTGTTTTCCTGATGCATGTTCTTAGCAACAAGCTTTTTGCAAAATTCACGGTTTCTAAAATAAAACGCATTTTAAATTTCAAATAAAAATTTTAGAAAAAAATGACCCATTATAATTCCCGCTTTGGCATACTAAAATTTAAAAATTTTGAAGCTACCACAGATTTTGGCTTGCTCTAAATTTTAGTTCCATTCACACAAAAGAAGTTCATTAAAATTTATAATAATTTAGAAATTAAAAATCATTTTTATCAAATTTTTTGTATAAATGGTAAATTTTGAAGTTTTTCTGCTTTGTATACTTTTCATTTTTTCAAATAAATAAATTTCAAAGTTCGTGGTTTGACAAATTTACCTCTGCACGTGTAAGTGTAACACAAACAGAGAAAGAAAACTAATACAAGTCGCGGGAGAGAAAGAAAAACAATATCGCGCGGCGTGTGCGAGCGAGTGTAACTTGATGGGAGAAGTCGAAAAAATCACATGCCGTGCCGAAGCCGTACATATAATTATCGCGCGGCGTGGACCGTCGTCCGTCCACGCATTGTGCATACAACATTTTTACGTATTCGAATTCTGTCACACCGAATAACCGGCCGGCGTCTCAAATTACCGCCGAGCGAGAGAGACGGACGGAAAATCGAACGTTTTTCCCGACGACGCGAAAATTCTGCATACGGCCCTCGCGCATTTTGCAGAGAGTTACATACAAAAAGGGGCACCCTCGGTGCTGCTGGAGTGAGCGGAAGAAATATGAAAACGCACATTGCAATGTATGGTGCTCGCGAAGCCCTTGGAAGCTCCCAGCGGAGAGCAAAGCAGCCCTACACATTCCTCCATCATGCACGAGCACATTTTCTTTTATTATTTGTTTGTTTCTCTCTCGCCGTTTTTCTTTTTTATATACGTATACCGTTGTTTTTTCCGGTACTAGCAGGAAAATCGTGCTGGCCACTGTAATTTTCTCAACATCAACCACTTTTTAAAGCCAATGGATAAAATTAAATAAAATACATACTTGCAAATGAAAAATAAATGTTATAAATTTGTATTATGTAAAAATTTTACATTATTTCTTTTAAATGTAAAAATTTGGTTCATTTTTTAATTAAAAAATATAACTGTATTTTATTTTATAATTTACATTTTTTTTATAATATTTAATAATTTTTAAAAAAAATTAAACGTTTTTTAAGATTTTTTAATTGGTATAGATTTAACTTTTTTCTTTAAATAATAATTTATTAAAACTCCTTTATAACAGTAATTCATTACATTATCCAAAGTTATAATTTAAGTTAAATTGAGAATTTTTATGAAAACGTGTGTTGAAAGTCGTAATTAATGTAAGATAAGCACCAAAAATTGCAAAGAAACCGAAATCTTAAATGATTTTAACAAATCAAATTAAAATTCTTGGTCAACAAATTTAATAAAAAGATAACTTGTTAACTAGGGCAAAACGGCAAAGCAAAAAGATGAAGGATTAAAAAGTTAATATAACAAATAATAAGGAAATGAAAAAAAACACCCCTAATTTTAATCCCATTTGATCTGTATTGTTTCTACTTTATATTCTTGTAAAACTAATTTTGAAACTTGATTTTTTTTCCAGGTGTGGTTCAAAAACCGACGGGCCAAATGCCGGCAACAGCAGAAGCAACACCAGCAGCAGCACACGAGCAATTCGGAAAAGTCGAGCTCGCGCTCGTCGAAGAGCAAGTCGAGCACCACGAAATCGGCGAGCGCCCTGCCGCCCAACTCGACCCAAATCGCCGCGACCTCCACCTCGAACGCGACCATCGGCGCCTCGACGCCGCCGCCACCGATCGTCTCGAGAGACTCGCCGTACCTGAAGCCGCCGCCGATGACGCCGCCCTCGGGCAACTCGGGACCTGTGTCGGGTGCCCTGCTCGCCACCGGAGGCTCCAGTTCCTCTTCTTCGTCGGCCTCTTACGCTAGTGGAGCGGCCATCTGGAGTCCAGCGGCCGCTGAATTGGGATATGGAGTGCTCTCAGGTAATCAAAACATTTGATTAAAAAAATTCTTTTAGTGACTTGAAAAATGAAATTATTTAGAAAAATATTTTATTCACAATTTTTTTTTTTAAATCATGAAGAGGAAAAGTGAAATTAAAATTTAATCAATATTGTATAAAATAATTAATATAATTGATTTTATTTCCAAAGATTTTGTGTTTTTGTAAAATTCCATTAATTGATATTATTTTAATTCAAAACATCAGTCATGATTCAAATTAAATGCTGTATTTTGCTTCTAATTAACATTCAATAAAAGTAGAAATAATTTTTATTTTCAGATTTATTAGGTTAAGGCTATTATTTATTAATTAATTTCAATTAAGTTTTCAAAAATTCATTTAAAGCCGTTAACAAATGTTGAATCAAATCTACAGTTATAATTTTATTGCAAATTTACAATTAAATTTAAAAAAATTCAAATTTAAATGAAGATCACTAAATTTTGAAAAAATTCCTTCTCAGGCCAGGGAGGCGCAAGCACCCCAAGCGGCAGCACCACGCCAGGGACGGTGGGCAGTGGGGCAGCAGTGGTGGCCGCTGCAGCAGCGGCGGCCGCGGCCGCCAACTGTTACTCAACGCACCAAAATTACGGAGGGTACTACAGCAACATGGAGTACCTGGGACCCGCGGTGGGCCACCACGCTTCTCAGATCAATGCGGTAAAGATTAATATGAAAAAATTGATCTCCAAATTTTACTCATTTTTTAAAATTCTAGGACTCCACGGCCAGTTTAGAAAGTACATGGGTTAAAAGCAGAGATGCCGACGCATCGTGGTTTTACAATTCGGCAGGCTGGGATCACCGGAAATGAGAAAAGTTTTATCCCAACAAGTGAGTTGGATTTTTTTTTAATTAAGTATAGGAATTTTGCAATTGATTTTTTGTTTTGAAGGAGCAACCCGTTGCCAAAGTCAGCGTCTTCGCCGCATCAGATCGCGTCGCCGCCTCCAGCTTTGCATATTTGATTGAGAAGAAGCAGCAAAAGGTCTCAGCGAAAACGTACTGATAAGACTTCAACCTTCTCTAGCAAATTTGTAAATACATAATTTAACTGTAAACAGGCGAACCGGTTTACAAACAAAATGCCACACATATCGCCAAAACTTATTTAAGTTGACTACTTTTCAATGTTTATAATTTTTAAAAGCATTGCCAGAGTTTATGTAAAGAATTCTTTTGTTTTTTTTCTGTTGAATATTTTTGTAGCACACCGCCATTTAGACACAAGTACAAAACGGAACATCACATTCAAATCTTGTTAGATTTCTTTTTAGTTTCAAGTGATGTATTTTTAATTAAAGCCTTTAGCTGCCAATATGTTTTACACACACACTGCATATAGTGGGCTGAGTTGAAAATTTCTTGATGTGCCATTTTAATTATTATAACTTAAGTACAAGCACTGATCGTCAGAATCTCACTCCTTTTGGTCAATTCCAAAATTTTGTTTTGGCTTTTCAGCGTGTTGTGTCAAATTTTTGCATTTTGGACAAAGTGTACAAAAATGACGTCTTGATAATTATACTCTCAACACAAACTTTAAGAGTTCAATTTTCTTCATTTCCTTTAGGCAATTTATTTTTTATCAGTTATGCGCTTACATTCTTTTCTCAATAATATGAAGCTATAGTGATTTTAATAATTATTCTCTCAACCTTCATGAGTTACCTTGAGCAATTTGATCGACATCTCCTCAAAACTCATTTCGCTCCAAAATCGGAGATGCATGTACAACTTTATAATATCATAAATAGTGGCTAAAAACCGACGATTTGTAAATAAAACCTTCAATATAAACAAACGTAAAAAGACCTATCTCTATTTATCAATGTTGACTTGGAACCATAGTGTGCGTTTGTGCTTAAAAGAGTGTATGTCACCGAGAAGTAGTCATAGATGTTACACAAGATAAATCTCTGTCTATTGTTTCTGCTACAGTTTTTCCTATATTCCAAAATTTGTGAATAAAAATAACTCAGAATTTGTATGCCAAAGATAACAACGACAATGTGAAGAAAAAATTTTTAAATAAAAGATGTAGAATACTCAAAAGGCAAATGCGCTTGTTTCATTTTTATGTTCCTAACACAAAGACAACTACGAAAGAATGTAAAAGAGGATCGAATGCTGGACAGTTTTACCATCTCACTTAATATTCTTCTTCTCGACGACCTCCATGGCCAAGCCGTGAGATTGAAGTTCAGACATCAGGGAGGTTTCAGCGAAAGCGGCGCCAGGAGGATAAACTCCACCACTGCAAAAAATAAAGCATTTTAATTCAAAAGTTCCAAAACTTTTAATTAACCTACGTAGCAGGCATTTTATCAGCTTCCTTCATGATGGTGATGGCGCACAGAAGGAGACATCTGGTGGTGAAGCCATAGCCGGGATCAAATCCAGTCACCTGTATATATAAATAAAATTTAAAATCTTGTTTTTATATGAAATTTATTTCCGAACCTTTGTTACAACTCGAGTGTCCGGAGGGCTGGAATGCTGGTTGCCATCGACATTGTTCTTCTCTGTCCAGCCTTCGCCCACAAAGGTGATGCTGAACTTGGTGCTCTTCCTGCTTTCCTCCGTTGGTCCTTCGTGGCTCACAAAACCGCAGCTGAAGAGCTTCGGATACTACAAAATTACAATGAAAATTCAGGTTTAAAATTAATTTCTTTTTTATATAAAATTCTTACGGCAAGCAGAAGCTTCCTTCCCAAGCTGAACTTGGCCAGCACAAAGAAGATGGAGGCAATGAACATGACACCCATGACCGCAATCAGATTGGGCAGGGTGAAGTAGCACTGGATCTGCAGAGGTCGCAGACCCTTCTTCTCGTGGAAATGGTACTGCGAGCGGCGCATCACAGACAAGTCCGAGCCAAGGAAGGGCAGGCACCAACCCCTGCCGACGGGGTTGCGGAAAACCACGCCACGGGACTGCAGCCTGGGGCTCATTGTGGGAAGGCGGTGGGGGAAAAGTTGTTGCCGCAGAGGTCGCAGCTCATTAGCGTGACCCAGGCCGTAAACTGCCGACTCCCAAGTACCGTAATGGATTCCAGCGCTCTAATTAAAGTTAATGTTTGTTTCTTTATTTGCTTAAAATAAATTTTTCCCACCAACCTTTGAGCGGTTTTTGTTCGAAGAGGTGAGATAAGTTTCAACTGCGTTGGGTTCACCTAAAATATTTTATGAAAAATAAATAAATAGAAATGAGCCGAAAAATCACTGCTAGAGTTTCTTATAATTTGAATAGTTTTCAATTATATTGAATTTTAATCTTAAATAAATATGAGATAAAAATTCCTAAATGCAGATAAAAAAAAATTTCTTTCAAGTTTTACCTTCAAACTGTTTTGAGAAGAACTGACTTCCAATTTCAGCAGGAATGCTATCAAAGCCGCAAGCACTAACTATATAAATTCCCTTTTCCTGAGCCTTCTTGTTGTACAAAAGCTGCATTTTTTCCATGTACTAAATAAATTAATGGAGTTAAATTAATTACATTTTAATTAATTAATTATAATTCTACCTGTGGCTCTCCACTAACATCCACGTGGTTTGTGCCACTGTCAATGCATGCTTTCACAGCTTGCTCACCCCAATGCCGATAGGGGCCAACACAGTTGACCAGGACTTTGCACTGTTTCGTCATGTTCCTCATCGACTCCTCGTCATCGATGTTGGCGATGATAATCGGTATATCCTTCAGGGACACGCCTGTATTGAAATATGAAATAAATTAAAAATTGCTGCATCAAATTATTATTTTTTTTTTATTAATTTATAAAATTCGGGAGATCCAACCTGTCTTTTTTGCTACGTCATCGAGCGCATCCTGTAACTTCTTCTGGTTACGTCCGGCGATTCCCCAAGTGAGTCCTCCCTTCTCCTTGGCGAGAGGGATGATTTCCTCGATGCCCACTTTTCCGGTGTACCCGGTGGCTCCGAAAATAATTATGTCCAGTCTGTCAGCCATTTTAGCACGTACTAGGGTCGACAGTCAAAAAAGCGGCGTGCCGTCGGTGAGCTGAATAACAGAAAATGGCACTTACACTTTGTTCTAGAACAAAATAATTTTAGATAAAAAAAGGTTGAAATTGGACTCCTTCACAGCTGGTTATCACCTCTCTTATCTGATTTTAAAAAGCACTTTAAACGCCGGTCACTGTGCATTTATGTGCTTTTAATTGATATTTAAAAAAAATTATACAATAAATAAGGTAATATTTTTTGTAAATAAAAATTAACATAAAAATATCTTTTATAATATGAATAAATTTTAAATAATAGACTAATAAAAAATGTAAAAAATATAAATATTAACCATAAACCACATTACATTGCCTGATTGGATAAGAGATAAGAATTTGCGGTTGAATATTATACCGGCTTTTTACTATATGTATGAACGATGCGTACTGCGCAATATAATTATCCAAAGATGTGAAGAAAAACTTGAAATTTTGCTGCTATGTCTAAATTTTTGCAAGAATGTAGATTTCTTTAAATAAATAGAGATCTTTGGCAGGCAGACAAGTGAGTAAATACCTTAAAAAGTCTTAATTTTTGAAGTACTTATTTTGAGCTGTGTTTTGTGGGCTGGGTCCTCGCTCGCTTTTAAAGTTCAAGGTCTCTCTATCATTTCTACCAACGTTATAGATAACACCAGATAATTTAGAATAATTTGGCGGCAATTTCATAATTTTGCACACTTCTCAGTATAGTAGCTTTTCATTAAAATTTTGTTTTAGGATTTCTATATTTGATGCAATTATTAATAATTTATGATTTTGTGATATTTAAAGTTTATTGTTAGAAACCTTTCTCTTCTCAACAACCTCAAATTTTACACCATTGGCTTCGAGCTGTGCCATTAAAGACGTGTCAAAGAAAGCGGCCCCAGGTGGATAAACACCACCTCTGTAAAAATATTTATTCTAGTAAAATTTAAGCATAAATTTTGCCTCTTTGTTTTGATTTAAATATAATTTTTTGGTTTAAATTTAGATTTAAATCTGTTGCATAAATGCATTACTTGATGGAATATAGTTATTATTATTTACCTAGAAGGCATTTTATCAGCTTCGCTCAATATGGTATTCGCACAGAGCAAAGCACCAATGGCTGCCACTCCATAAGCAGGATCCACGCCTGAAATCTGATTTGCACTTTTGCGCTCAATTCTGAAAACTTGATAATATTCAATTACCTTGGTGACAACTTTTGTGTCAGGTAGAGAAGTGTGTTGCTGTCCAGCAGTCCTCTTCTCAGACCAGCCATCTCCAATAAAAGTCATGTTAAACTCCGTCCTCTTGCGACTTTCTTCATCTGGCCCTTCGTCACTGGAGCCGACAAAACCAAAACTGAAGATTTTTGGATGCTGCAAAAAATAGCTTAGTAAATATAAAAAAAAAATTGTTTTGCTTTACTTTGAGCAAGAGCTTCTGGCCCCACTTGTATTTGGTCAGCAGGTTGAACATTGCTCCGACAATGATGAAAGTGATGACAGTGGAAAGCGCAGTTACCGAGAAGTAGCACTGAACCTGTACAGGTCGTTGGCCTTTCTTGTCATGGAAAAAGTACTGCGATCGACGCATCACGGACTGGTCAGAGCCTAGGAAGGGCATGCACCAGCCCTTGCCAACTGGGTTGTTGAAGACGGAGCCTCTGGGCTTCAGTTTTGGGGTCATCGGGGGCAGTCGTTCTGGGAACAGCTGCTTCCGAATGGGCCTCAGGTCCTTGGCATTGGCCAGGCCGTGCACCATGCACTCCCAGGTTGCATAATTGATGGCAGGACCCTTAATTGTTTTGAAAATTAAAATTTTAATTTACAAAAATTATACTGATTTCATATTTCTTACTTTCTGCTTTTTGTTTTTCATCTGCAGAAAAGTTTCCACCGAATTGACGTCTCCATCGAATTGCTGCATAAAATGCAAACAGCCAATTTCAGCTGGAAGACTGTCAAAACCGCAGGCACTTATGACGTAGACTCCCTTTTCTTCAGCCGCTTTGTGATACAAAAGCTGCATCCGCTCCATGTACTAGCAAAATAAACATGTAAATATTAGATCGCCTAATTAATTAATTAATTTTACCTCTGGTTCGCCACTGACGTCAACGTGATGAGTTCCAGTTTCAATACAGGCCTTGACAGTTTGCTCACCCCAATGTCTGTACGGCCCAACACAATTAATCAGCACCTTGCACTTCTTGGTCATGTTCTTCAGAGAGACCTCATCACCCACATTTGCCACAACAACCTCTACGTCTTTCAAACTTTGGCCTAAAATTTAAAGGATTAGTAAAATTCAAAATTATTTATGCAAAAAGTACCAGTCTTTTTAGAAACTTCAGCCAGAAGTTCCTTCAGCTTGTTTTCATTCCGACCAGCAACGCCCCATGAAAGGTTCTCAACCTTGTTGGACAAGGTCAAAATCTTTTCAACCACCACCTTACCGGTGTAGCCAGTAGCACCAAAAATTAATATGCCCAATCTCCTTGCCATGGTTTTTCTAAATAATTCAAACTAAATTTGCTACCAAAAACCTGATAACAAAAATGGAGATAATATCCCAATTTAATTAACTGATATGAATTGAAACCTTGACCTGCACATAGGGAAATTTTACTTTGGACTTTGAACAATCAAGAGATATAAACTGATTGGGAACATAAAAGATCTCAATAATTATGAATCTTAATTTATTGTTTGGGTTGTGCTGGGTTGTGCCATTTAATTCTCTACCTGCCATCTGACGTTTAATTTTATAACTCATCTTATCTGATTTCAAATTTCTAATTTTAAATGTGAAACTAAAGAGGGGATGAGAAAATATGTAAAAATCATAGAATGGCAGACAGGAAATTTAGTAAATTTTAAATATCAATGCATGATTGTATTGCGGAAAAATGCATTTATGTTATTCTTTGGATTTCACTGACAGCTTTATTATAGCGCTGGAAAATATCTTAGTCTGATACCTCTTTACGGACTTTTTAACAATTAAGATAATAACTGATAAGAGTTCATTGCACCAAAAAATCACTGCTGCACAGGTATTTCAAACACCCGCGCTGTGTGATCATCCGAAGCAGTCAGCAGCAACTTTCCGTCTCTAAAATATCATTTCAATTTTCAGTCCAGATTAACAACAACAAAACTTAATCTAAGTAAAAAATCTCACCTGGACTGACACAAGTCGAGAATGGTGGACTTGTGTCCCAGGAGCATGGTGGCTTTGTTCGAGAGGTTCAACCCATCGAAGATCTGAACGTCACCCTTGACAGTGCCCACAATGAGAGACCTGTCCGCCCTAGACCAGGCGAGTTTGGTGACGTCCTCGAACAAACTGGCGCCGTCTCTCACTTCCTGGTGGGAAATCTCCCAAACGGAGAGGTCTCCGTTCAGAGTGACACAGGCGGCCAGGTCGGACTGGTTTTCCAGAGGGCAAAACTCAACCGACTCGACGCAGACTGGCTCGGGATCGGTGCAAAGCAAGCTGCCAAGAAGCTGAAATGTGACAAAATTATTTAATTGTAAAATAAAATTTAATGCTTTTTTTTACTTTTCCATTTTTGGTGTTGATCAGTTTGGCGTCGCCGTTGTTCGCACCTGCTAATACTAGGGTGTTGTCTCTGTGGCAACTCAAACTTTTGATCGGCACTCCGTCCGCAGGGATGACGAAGGTGGTCTTGCAGGAGCGCAAATCAAAAATGCGCACACTTCCGTCCTCGTAACCAACCACAGCTCTAGTGCCTTTGATTAGATTTTTAATAATGATTTTCAATTAAGAATTACTAATTAATTACCATCAGGCATGATCTTTCCAATTTCAGAGGAAACACCACTGCTGGGAAGGACTTTGCACTCGCCCGAGTTTACCCTCCAGAAAGTGACGTTGCCGTCGCCACCACCGGCGAAGAGCACATTGATAGCTGGATGCCAATCCATCCACTGCAAAAACATTCCAAAAGTAATCATGGATAAAATAAAAATTATATTTAAAATTACGTTAAGTTCGTTGATTGTGTCCTGAAGAATTCTTTCTTTAGAGGCAACTTTCCAGACTTGGACGTTGCCCTCCATGTCTCCAGTGGCCACCAAAGTTCCATCGTGGTTGAATTTAGCACTGACAACCGAATCCTGAGAATTCCAAAATTTAAAATGAAATGATTTAATATTAGAAAAATTAAGACATACAGTGTGTTCATTGCAGGTGATTTTCACTTCCCCTGTGCTCAGGTCCCAAACGTAAGCAATTTCATCCTCACCCCCTGTCACAGCCAGTTGTCCTGATTTGTCGATGTCACAGCAGAAAATCGAGCCTTGAGAACAAAAAATTTTAATTATTCTTTGCAGTACATAAATCAATAAATTATAATTCATAACATAAAAATCACATTATTTTATCTGGGTATGGATTTTTCAGTTTTTGAATCTCACTTTTGTGTTCTTTGAACACGAGTTTGGCGTCATCCCTCTCCGGGACGTATTCCTCGACCACTTCCCCGCCGTCGACGACCACCTCCTCGCCGTTCATCTCGAATTCGTCGTCATCGGACGCCCCTTCGTTCGAACTGTCATCGTCCAGCAGCAGGCCTTCGGGGTCGTACACCTCGACCTCCTCAAAGACGTCGTCGGCTTCCAGTGGCACGTCTTCGTCCGACATTTCTTCAACTTCTTTGCCGTCAACCTTCAGGTCTGCACGTGCGTTTGTATCCCGCATGTGTCCCACAGACGAGCGTGATGGAGAGCGAGATCAGCACGAGATGATGAGCAACAATAACAAATGAGGTTGGCAGCACTGCTCGGTCTGCTCGGCTCTTTTTTTGGTGCGAAAAAATTTGAAAGTTCAAAAGTTTTTGGGGGGATTTTGTAGCAAACTTGACCCGCTTTTCTTACAGTTATTAATTTAATTATTTACTAAAAACAGAAAAAAAAATCAAATCTATATCAAATTTTACTAAAATCGGGAGAATATTGAATTATTCTTCTAATTCTGCACACACTTTCAAATGCATAAATTTTACAAACCTGTGAAAATAAAAAAAGCGTTTGCACAGTATTCAAAAATTTAAATTTAATTAGGAGCCAACTTTATTGTGACTATGTCAAGCGGATTTTAAGTTAAAACGACAGATCTCTAAACATTTCGATTTTTATTTTAATATTTTTTTATATCACCATTATACTTTTACATTGATATACCAATTTTTAACCATTTTCAATCCCTGCAACAGAACTGCAGGGAATAATTCTCATCAGAGCTGCTGCAATTTATTTCAATGCCACTTTTTTTTAATTAAAGCCATTTAGACAACTTTCCTCACAAGTTGGTGCTGATTGTTTTAATGGTCAAAGATTAAAAATGGAATTGTATATTTCTGTTGTTTTGCTGCAATTCAGCGGATTGCAGGAGCTCCGTCGCGCGTTTTTATCAAAACTAACAATGATAAAGGAGACTTTTTTGCCAAGTCTCACACTACACTATGATATTTTTTTTCGATACATCCCAAATCTGAAAAAGCTCAATATGTACCATTTACAAAATAATTTTCAACAACATTTGTTAGAATCTTAAGAGCACCTCAAACAATCAACTGCGCTGTTTTTTTTTTATACATAATTCTCTCTGCTGGACGACGACAAAGAAAAAATATATGTCATGCAAACTCTACGAGTGTGATACTTTTAAGTGCATCTTCCAACGTCTGCATCGTTTTGTTCAAACAACTTTGATTTTTTTTATTATCTCGATTTTTTAGCTTTTCGTCGTTGTTTTCACACAAACTCTCCTTAAGTGTGCCTGTGTCGGGGTGTGGTTTTTTTCAAGAATGGTAAAGTCATTTTTACCGTGAATTGTCAACGCAAACAAGTCTGCGTACCAGTTTTTTACAAGTATATATAGACAAAATTGATCCGCTCACCCTAAAACATTGAGTACATTTTGCGAATTCATCGCGCACAATCGGAATTGAAACGCGCGAACGTGTTTTGCATTTTGTCAATATATGCACCGGAGAGAAACACCTGAGCAGTGAAAGGGACTTCAAAAACTTTTTGCACTGGCGTACAAGTGCAAACTACGCTTACAGTTTAGAGGAAGAAGTAGTTTTTAACTTTAACAATTCTGGTGCAAAGTTTATTATCGCATTTTTAACAAATTTCTCGCTTTTTGTAAGGAAAGTGTTGAGATAATGAGATTTTTTTGAAAAATTCCAGCACAAGTATATCAGGTATCCTATATGACAAAAGTTCTTTCCTTCGATAGGGCGTCGCATGTTTAAAAAATAACTGCCTCATTTTTCATCTCTCTACGAGCAGGACCCAAGTTTCAATTGTACAACAAGTTGATCTAATTGACTGCTGATATATAGAATTTTCTTTCTGTTCCTGACTCTTTTTTTAATGTGATATATCAAAAAGTCTATACACAACATCGACAATTTTTATACCCGGTACATTCATTTTTAAATAGTACACAATATAGTTAACACGATTTGAGATTCTCACAATTTTTTGGAGCGGCGTGGTTGCTACACGTTGAGACACACAATTTACTTAAGAAGAAGACAAAGTCTCCAAGAAAGAGGAAACCACTTTTAATAAAAAGCTGCAAAAAATTAATAATAAAAACTAAATTGGCAAAAATCTTTAAAGCAACTAAAGATATATGGAATTATTTTGATTGTACGTTTGGTTTATTTTAAAGATCAATTACAACAATGGTTATCTAGAAAATCGTGTTTTTGTTTTTATAAATGCGGTGCTTCGGAAATCAGAAGCTACCAAGTTTTAGGAGGTACAACATTTTTCATATTATTTGATTAGTAAAATCTTTGCTTTTTCATATTGAAATGGATTTGATGTTAAAATTTAAAAAGAAAAATTAGTTCCAGATAGGAAAACCATCCCAATTTGAAGAAAATGCAACCTGCTTGACGGCCATGTCTGCCAGGTTGCCTAACGAAGTAAAAAATTCTTTTATCCTTTAAAATTTTTAAAATTTTTTCAAAATTGACATTTCTTAATTTTGATCAAATAAATATTCTAAATTTAAAACATGAAAATCACTAAAATTTTAGCTTGATTAATTAATTAAAAAATGAAGTGGTTCCCTCGATATGAGCTTTTCAGTTTTTGGTTCTTTTACAGAGGCGAAGCCTGACGAAATTGCACGACCATAGAATGATATCAAGTCAGGAGAGATCAAGATTATAATACACAAAAAGGAACGAGCAGTTTTCAGAAAACGGTCTCGGTGATCAGCTCATTGTTTCCGTCGACCTTGCTAGCTAGTTGGTCGAGCGCGTTGGCGGTCATCTTATTACTACATGAGCTCAATTCTTGGCCGTTTTGCGGCGGCGAAAGGACGACGACGACGTTTGGACCCTGTTTGCTGCTCGACGGCGGCGACGGCGTCCGCTGGGAATGCGAACTGGAACTGTTGTCGGGCACAACACTCACGTCCTGGTCGCGACTCGCGGTGCCGCCGGTGGCGCCGCTCGTCGACGAGCACTCGGAGCACCCGTCCGAGGAGCACGAGCTGTCATCGCACAGGGTGGCGTCGTCGGCGTCGCTGCCCAGCCAGTACTCGTCGTTGTAGAACACCGAGTCGGAGCCGATGGAACGAGCGTCCGCCTGCTCGTCGAACGTGCCCAGGGTGGCGCTGCCGCACGACGCCAGCGGCGCCGCCAACATCATGGCCCGCCGCTGACGGTAGTTCAGCTGCTTCTCGCTGTTGCACGGCGAAATGTCCGGCGTCGGCTGAATCACGTTGATGTTGATGGCGCAGTTTCGCGCCGACTGGTCAGCAGCACGACCCGACTCAACCCCAACGCCATCCACGCGACCCTTGACCCTGACGTTTGGTGCAAAAACCTGAAGATGAGAATATTTTTAATGATTAAATTATTGTCAGAAAAGTTGAATTCTATAATTATTAAAATGAGTTATTAAATAAAATAAAAAGTGGAAGGCACCTCTGACAGTTATTTTATATTTTCCAGTAAAAATTTTATCATTTTAAGATATATAAATATAACTTTAATTAATAATGTACAATCGAGGGTTGATTCAATAAGCATAAATGAATATCATTAATTACCAGTTAAGTTTCTAAATGAAGTTTAATAAGGGAATATAATTTGAAGTCAGCTTTCCTCATTTTTGCAGGATTTTTTGAGCCTTTATTGTTTTATTGAAAAAAAAATATACCATGCTTTTTTCCTGTGAAACATTAAACAATTTCAAAAAACCATCGAGGAAAAGCTGACTTTAAATTTTTTGCAACTTCAACAACATGAATCACTCGTGAGACTTTACAACCAAGAGATTTTTTTTCTAGAATAATTCAATAAAATCTAGGTGTTGAGAACGAGATCGGCTCAATATAAATTATTTTTTAGCGTCCCATTTTGTATAAATCAAGCACTGACTTAGAAAGAAGACGTGTTCAAGGAATTGTAAATTCTCCATATAAGTGGCGCGACATGACAGCCCTTCAAAGTACAAAAATAGCACTTGTTTAGATTGCGTTCTTGCATGGTGATTCAGCACAAAGTTAACATCGATTTTCAACGTTGCGCTAAAAAAACCTCTTGCTCTTCTAAGTAGCCGTAAATTAGTTGAAAATAAAACCTGCGTTGAATTTATAAAATAAACAGTTTTAATGTACTTCTTATTGTTAATGAATTGAGAGAAGATTTGCAGCTCAAATTCTGGTTGTAAAGAGGAAAATCTTGAGAAAACTCTAGATGAATGAAACAAAATATTAAAAACGTGTGATTGAAGTGCTTAAAATATTAATAAAATTGATAATGAGGATAAATTATTTTTACTTTGAAACATGATAACCCTTGCGTAGGAAATGAAAAAAGTCATCTTTCACTTCAAATTATTTTGTATCTCAAAACGTTACTAATTTTAATTTTTAATTAATTATCTTGATGAGTTTTCTTGATTTCTTTTTTTAACGCTATAAGTCCCATAATTTCCTCGTCTCAATCGGAATCAAACAATGATTAGGTTCATATGAAAAATTTTGCAAAGAGCGCCTGCAATGCCAGTAACATAAAGTTTTTGCAGCGATGCAACCCGCTTGACGCTCATATATAATAAAGAGCCCCCAGCGATGTGCAAAAAAGCTCTCCTTTAATATCACCACTCTGTCGGGCTAAAAATAGTGAAAAATCGACGGACATCCGCTGCTTCCGAGGCTCCGATCCGGCCTCATGATAAACACCGCACATGAAAAATTAACGAGCGCCGTCGCCGAAAAATAAACTTGGCGGTATTTTTTTTTTATCCTCTTAAAAAAACTGCCTCCGGGCCAAATAATTAAAGCGGAATAAAATTAATTAATCTCACCATGGGCGGTGGAAGCCCAAGCTCCATGAGGCTGCGGTGCTCGAGGTAGTACGAGCTGTCCGACGAGGACCCTGTCGAGCTGAGGCGCACCCCTGGCACTGTGAGGAAACTCGAGTTCCTGCTGGTCGAGCAGGCCGTCGTGTCCAGGGAGGCTCTTTGCCGAAAGGGCGGCTCGCTCCACTGGTGGCTGCCGCGGCTCGGCCAGCCCATCACCGACCCCGGCAGACTTTTCGGCTCGTAATTGAGCATGTTCACGTAGCTACTGTTTGAGTATCTGAAAGTTAAAACGCACAATTAGTTCCAAGTGTGATGAAATAAACTTTAACCTTGCACTTAAGCACAATTAAAATTAGTGTATTTGGATGAAAAAGCGTAATTAGAAATTTTAAAACAAATTGTAAGACAGATGGAATGATTTATTTATTTAATAAATGCAGCTTATTTAGTTTTCAGTAAAAATAAGTTTTGAAAGACATATTGAGATTTTTAAGTCATAAATGAATAAATAAAAGGAATAAAAGTAGTAAAAAATGAAATTTTGCTCCCAGTTTGAAAATAACCAATAATAAATATGAAAACTTAGTTTTTAATAATAATTTTAATATCATAACAACAACAAAACTCATTTGATAAAGCAGTCTTTGAAATCAATTATAATGCACCAATCCTTGATCGGGAAATTCTTCAGCAAAATAATTTAATTTATCTGTTATTTACTTGTTTAAAAAGAAATCAGGTCTGAATTATGTATAATTATTAAAATTTAATTAAAATATTGACCGAGAAGAATAAATAACAATAAAAATAATAATTTAAAATGTATCAAAGTGTAACCACCTGACGGGTTTAATAAATAATTATATATTATTTATTACATAATATAAAAATAGCAATTACTGGACAAATTAATTGTATTGCTGGAATAACGTTTAAAATAACTGAAATAATTTGCTAAATTTTAGATTTTTCATTGTGATACCTCGTGCGTAATGAGGCTGCTGGTGCGCTCATGTTGCCCAAGGAGATGCGAGGCGAGCAGAAGGTGGGGCCGTGGGTGTCGTAGGGCAGTTCGGAGACGGCGTCGAGCTCGATGGCGACGTCAGAGGCGACCGACTTGGCGCCGCGGCTGCACTTGCTCTTGTAGATGACGAGGAAGATCATGAGGCTGAAGAAGCCGCCGAGCGTGGCCGCGATCCGCACGCCGGTCATCACATCGTACGTCTTGAAGAACTCGATCTTGTACAGCTCGCGCTCGCTCAGGGTCGACGTCTCCTGCAGACCGTCGTCCGCACTGGTGCCGGTCGGCTCGGGGGCGGCTGTCGCGGGGGCGGTGGAGGCAGTCAAGGTAGTTGTCGCGGCGCCATTCGATCCAGTCGAGTGTCGCGGCGGTATGCTCATTTCCTGTCGGCCAGCCGCTTCTGCCGCTGCTGCTGCAACAGAAAACAAAGGGGACTTTTTTTTAATTTTTAATACGCACAAAACGAGCTTTTGACACGCGGCGCTAAGTCGTCTGGCGAAAATTAAACCTGCACTGCGTCACTTTTGCGCGGCCAAGTCGCCTCCAGGTGTGTTAATTTAGATGCTATTTTCGTGACCGGATTATAAAAATATAGTCGGGCTGTAAAAGCACCAAATTGGCTGTACACGTGTTAAAAATAAAAACAGAAAGTTTAAAAAGAGGGGGACATATGTTGCTTAAATCAATGAAGCAAATCCAAAACATCTTAAAATCTAAAGTCTTCGTTAAACTTGAAGCCGGTATTTAATTTATTTGAAATGTGACAAAATTAAATATTAAACCTGTAAATTACCGGCGCGGCGCCGCAAGTATTATTGAGAGCAAACGTTTTCAAACAAGATGACTAGACTGCTGATCGCTAACAAAATTAAAAACAATCGTTTATACAAAAAATACATAAAAAAAAAAATTAGCACAGATTAAAACAAAACAAAAAATAAAAATAAAACCATATAATTTTTTCAATTTTTAAATCACATGATTGTGATTTGATTGATTTCCAATCAGTTTGACAGTAAATAAACTTACTGAATTTCTTACTTTACTAATAAAACCCACTAATTATAATTAAAATAAAAATAGTAATTACATTTATGTCGGTGTATACTATAGTGATGTGGTGAATATTTTAATCCATGAAAAAATTTATCATCTGCATTTGGTGTAATTATTTTCTAATAATACAGTTACAGTTACAATTAAATATAATTTAATATTATAATTTTGGAGATAAGTACATTATATAATAATTTAATATTGAATATTTATATTATATTACAAAAGCAATAGTAAACAAGTTAAATTATCAACCATTTCAAACTAAAATTAATTAATTTTCTAATTAAGTTTAACTTTATTAAGTCTACTAAAAACTGTCTAAAATTAAAGCACCGAAATTGCTTTTACTTCAAGTGTGCGTAGAAGATCACGGCTATTTTTGCGCTGCCTAAATTTGTGTAAATATAGCCGACAAGATTTGCCTTTTAAAAAGTTTGCCTGCGTCCAAGACCGGGCCGAAAGACGAAAAAGCAAAGAGCGTTGAGACTGTTGAGAGGTGCTTAGACAAAGTAGAAAAGCAGAGCGTGAAGGGGATTACGTAACTTTTTATGCGCTGTCACACGAAAGAGAAGCTGCTGCTTTTAGTCGACGTGCAGGTGCTAAACTAAACTGCTTCTCAATTTCCGTCTCTCAGATGCTAATATATCGAGACGAAGAATATGAGCAAAAAAGAAGGACAAAAACTTATACCTTTTTTGAAATAACATGTAGGTAAATATTTTCCTTAATTTTCCAGTTCCGTGGATTGTAACTTTATAATTTAAATTTACAAGAGTTCATTACTACTTTATCTTGGTACGAATTTAAATAACAAATGAGTGTTAAAAATATAATAAAACGATCATTTTCAATCAGACCAGGCGCCTCTTTTCTGCGTAAGATGAAACCCGCACAGCAGGTATATCTGGAAATCTTTAACAATGCGCCGACTTTGGGGAATTTCTTTTGTGCGCGCGAGCTTCTCATCCTAAAGAACTTTTTCTTTTCAAATCAGTTTAATATAAAAAAGTGTAATCTCTTGAGAATGACCCGCACTGCCGTGGGCGGTTCGCGGAATATTGTTTCGCAGGTTGCATAATCAAGACTTTGAAGGCGCTAAACTCGAGAACGCAGATGTTCGGAACAACAAAGAAAACACGCACCAAAAGAATAATTTTCTAATTAGCAAAAAATTAGATAAACAATATTATTTATTATATTTCAATTGACCAGATTTAATTTCTAAGTAAAAATCCCAACTTTTGCCGTCTCTGAGCTTGAAATTTTTGTGATTCTCATAGTCAGCATTGTTTTAACGTCAAAAGTTGACAGGAGAGTGACGTTAACGCAGCACTCGTTTGGCACACAAATAGGGCAAACATCAGTAATTCACCATCAAAGAGTTCGCCTTCGAGTTGTGATCGCGAGCAAAAAGGCAAAACGACTGTTATTATCGTTTCGAAAGCAAAGCGAACGTTATTAGGGTGATGAAAAGAGATTGATTAGGAATTCCAATAATAACAAAGGCGGAGAGAGAAAACACAAACACACTAATCCAGTGTTAAAACTGTAAACAAACAGTGCGTCTCTTTCTCTTTTAGAACCAAATGGATTTCGAGAGATCAAATAACTCGGTGGTGTATTAATTTCATCAGTGACGACTTTATTGAGACGATATTTTGATCGGCGCGATGGGATCGGAATGCCTCAACAGTTGCCGTTGAATTATTGACCAGCATCGCTCGCTAAATATAGAACGGCGCGCGGTGTGGAAAAGGTAAAATTGGCTTTACTACTCTCCAGAGATGGAATTAAATTACAAAGGAGTGAACGCAACTCGGCACTTGTACGAATTCTATCAAATATTAATAGGACGATGTACATGCCGAATTTAACTCCAGACGAAGCCCAATTCGCTGCTTTGTTCCAATTAAAGGCATTAAAGAGTCGGTCTGTGTTGATGATAAACGCGAGCAGCTTTATTGTATTCCGCCGGCCACGCACTGCGGGCAAGTTGCAAATTAGGCGCGGCACAAAGCAGCTTTCAGGCACAATTTAATCGCGCTTCAAAATATGCAAACCTCTGTGGTAGAAAGCCAAAATTGTATAATAGTACGAAATTTTATTCAGCCTTCATTTATTTAAAAATTCTCAAATTTTCGCACTCTGCTACGATGATGATCATTATTATAATTAATTTTATTTAAGAGAAGAAGAAAGAACAAAAATGTGGGGAAAACAAGGCTTTTCTTGTTTTCCTGCTAACACCGCCTATTTTTCCCTTTTCAAACCTTATTTTAAAGAAATTCGAATAAACATAATTAATAATAATTTAAAATAATAGTAAAATAAAAGACATGCTGAGTGAATATTTTGCTTCTAAGACAGAGAATGAGAGAACAAAATTAAAACTTGATAAGCAGCCAAGCTGAAATAGATTATGTAAGCGTTAGAAAAAAATGATCTCTCTTGCTAATGAAGAACTTCCTGCAAGGTTTTATAATTTCACTGGCTCAAAGTTTATTTCACAATCTCACAAAACAATTCTTAGAGATGAATTTTAAATAAAATACAATATATTCATCCTTCATGCTTGATATAAAACATACTAGTGAATTCAGATTTGAGTTTTTTAATATGCGAGGCAACTTTGCAACAAGCTGCTAATTTTTTTACCGTCGACAACGTAAATTATACTCATAATAAATTCGAAAAGTATCAAAATTATATAATAATAAAGACCATTTAAAAAATAAAATTTAGATTAACTTGAGCATTATTTATAATGCACAAAATTTACTTTAATTGTAAATATAATTATTTACAGTTTAATTAGAGAACAGTGCGAATTCGGCAGAGTAAACTGAAGCGAATAAAAACATAAATTGTGTAATAAAGGCCTTTTTATGACTTTTTATTTTGATCCACCCCTTTCAAATTCACACAGTGGAATGCTGCGCCAGATTATTTTCGTCCGAGCTCATGAACAACGGCATTCATTCAGCTGAGTGTCTCTCATGCACGACGCGAGTGGATTCGAACAAAGCCCTACGCGATCAATTAAACGACAAATCCAGCGACAAAGCTGGAAACAATGCCTAATCCATCTGCGGCTGGCACGCGCGTCCTGACTGCAAGTGCCAATCGGCCACAATGCAGCGGGTAAAGAATATATCGGACAAAGAAAGAGAGAAATCAATCAATCAATCAACGAGAGATAGGAAAGAGAGAAAGTAGAGCAGAAAATAAAAGGCAGAAAATGTGGCTCACGCGTACCTCGGGAACTTTTCTTCGACGCAGCGGAGACTCGCGTTGAGTCGGCGGGCGAATCAGGTGCTCATGCTCGACTCTTGTTTGGGATCACATCCCTCCGAAGGTGGCACACGTGAGCAGTGATTGGCAATTAGCAGGTGTGGAAGAAGGCACTGCTCATCTCTGCCACTTGTAGATCTGGGCAGGAGCGTCAGGTGGGCGGCCGGCGGTCGAGCAGGCGGTCTAGGCGGGCCGCGGTCACGACCGCTGCGAGGGCACCTGAGGTCATGGGCGCCGACGATCGGCCGAGATTTGGTCCGTGGCCGACTGGAATCGGATGAGAATGAGTGCTGGCGGCTCGATCCTCGACCTAAGGGAGCAACGCATGCGTCCTGCTCTTCTGCTTTATTTGTTTGGTTTTCGATGACAGCACCATTTGGTCGGGGCCGGGGCCGCGGCTGCTCCCCGTCATAAAGAGAACACACACACGAGCGTCGGTCCTCGCCGCGTAAACTCGCACCAAAAACCAATATACAAAGTGATGATTTAAAAGCAGCCGCCGCTTCCGTCTTCCTTCTTTCTCCTTTCGCAACTTTTCTTTCGCTCTCTCGCTCGGTAGTGCGGCGGTGAGTTTTATTGCGTGCACCGTCCGTGCTATCGATCGGCGCGCAACTGCTTCGGCGCCTCTCCGTGTCAGATGTCAATAATAAAATGTACGCCCCGAGTAATTGGCGCCGCTCGCCGTGTGTGTGTGTCTCCACTCCAATTGTGCCGGATGTGGAAATAGAGAATAATTACGCGCGTCTTCTCTCGCTTCCCGCCGCACACAATCGCCCTTAATTGAGAGCCGCCGCGCACAATAAATGCTCGCCTTTCCCATCTTGCCTGTCAGGTTTATTGGCAGCAGCGAGTTGCTTAATCATGTAATTGTGAGCGCAAAATTAATCAGCCGCTAACGAAGGCAAATTGAGTGCGCGGTATAATGAAGAGGGAAATATGTTTTAATTAAAAAAATCGTGTACATTCGTTGAAGCTAATTTTCTGCAAAAACAACACGCAAAAGAAATAAATAATCGGTAAAAAGCCGAAAGTTTTGAGAGTTTTCAGTTAAAAACAAAAATGATCGTTTTAACTCTTTATTGGACTTCGTTTTAACATTACTATTCAAAATATAAATTTTTTTTAATATCCACCGCTTTAATATGAAAAAGATGAAAATTATTGTATTTCTATACAAAATTCCTTGGAAAAAGTTATAAATTGGTTCAATGTTTTTTAGCCGTGCTTTTTAGAATCTCACTTTTTTTAGCTTACAATTATTATTTTGTTAAAAAAAGTTCCCATTTGCAATGAATCCATCTATTCCTCGATGAGTTGAATGATATTTTTTCCTTCTGGTGTTTAGTTACGGAAAAGAGCAGGATGTTGTTTTTACTCTAATTAAAAACAAAAACAAATTAAAATGTACTCGTCGAGTAATATTTGAGTTTCAATTCAACCACTTTTATTATTTTTTACTCAATTTTACTCAACGAGTGAATTAAAAAGCCAACGAGCCACTTTATGCAAATGAAACTGCGGTGCTTGAGTTGAATGGGAAATTTTCAGTTTACACCTCGCATTACTTTTGGCTCTATTCAACAACGCGCACTTTGCGGCTCTCCAAACCGCACGGTTCGCGGCGTTCGCGCAACTGCTGAAAGGCCGAGTTATGCAACCTGTGCGACGCTCGTGTCCAACAGGCTGCATCTGGCGAATCTGACTTGCTCCCGCTTGCTGGCGCGGGGGTAATAATCCGTCACGGCCTGCAGCGAGCATTAAGAAAGGAGCAGCAGCCGTTTAAAAGTTCCAGTTTGAACGATCTTTAGCAGAACATAGAGAGGTCTTAAGAAAGGGATTGAATAGAATTCGTCCTTGGCTGCAAAACCGTCAAGGAGACAAATGAAGCAGGCCATAAAAAGAGTGGCTCTTTCAACCCTTTATAGTGAGCAAGCCTAGATTACTCATGTCAAGTTACTGCACTGACCTTTTGCCGAAGTATCCTTGTACATAAAAAGAAAATATCCACAAAAGCTGAATAAAAATTGCTGCATATTGTCTTAGAAATACAATTTTTATTGAACTGTTTTTTTTTATAATTATGATGATGAATACAACATTTATGACTAAAGAATGCCATTAGAACCACAACTAGGTTGAATAATACATTATTGCCTCTGACAATATATCGTAGGAAAAGTCTTGTAATTTTTTTTCAACGGCGATAACTTTTTGCAACGACATAAAAAAAATTAAAAACTCACAATTTGAGCTTAATCGAGGATCAAGAGAATACTGATTAACATTCGAGTTGAAAACATCATACTTTTTATACACATGTATCCGATGGAGAGTCAAAAAACGAGTACTAAGTTAGCTCGCGATGATGAACAAAGGTACAATACACATTGAGTGATTGATTTTAGGCCGTAATTTGGAAAGCAAAAATCTTCTGCCAACTAAAGTGACGTTAGCACAAACGAATGAACGAGTCACGGGAATATCAATTATTAGACACTGACTTCAAAGTTTTCAAACACTCATAATAAAAAATGCATGCAATATTTTTTTTACGGCTGCGCAATCATCAACAACCATTGGTGTGGCATCATTTTTTTTCTCCGTGTTTGTGTGTCGCTCTTGGAAAGAACTTCTTCTCTATGGAATGTTGATGGCAGGACAATACACCACATAATTACAACAAGATGGAACCAGCCCAGTCTAATCATAAGCGCTTTGTGTGAAAACGCGAGTTCTAAAACCAGAGAGCACAAAAAATTTGTCCTGGTTAGATAAATTATTTTCTGGTCGGCTTTCAAACTGGCCTACCTGATTACGCGTCATTATCCAGGTAGGTCTCCTTAAAGGCCAGGGTCTCCTGGAAGATTAGTGCTTTCAGCTGCTCCTTTGGCAAATCGTCAAGTTCCATCGCCAAACGGAATGGTTCCTCTGCTACAGGCTGGGAAACAGATTTAATTTATTTTTACTATTTTGCAACAAACATTGCTTTTTCATTTAAATTTTTAAATTTTGTAGAAGAAATTTTCTTTTAGTACATTATTGTTTCATAAGAAAAAAACGATATCCTGCTCTACACTTTTCAGCTGGTGGTGGTTTAGAAAAAATTTAAGCAAAATATTGTTTTTTTCTACAAAGCAACTAAAAAAATAATCAAGTAAAAGTCAAATTTAACGATTTCAAACATTTTAATTTTAATATGAAACATTTAATTTCAATTTACCTCATCAGCCGGGTCATAATACTGCTCTAAGTAGGGGTGGGCCAAGGCGCTTTCAACTTCGATGCGGTTGTGAGGATTGAACGTCAGCATTTTATCAAGAAGGTCTAGAGCCTTCGGGTCCGCGTTGGGGAATATTTTTGTCCACGGGACTTTAGGCTTGTACGGTAATGATTGGAGGTAACTTCTAGCCTGAGAAATAATGTGGAAAGTCAGAAAAATATGAAATATTTTGCATTCAAGCTTACTTTCTCATTAATAATGCACTCCAAATCAGCCTCAGTTGGCGAACCGAGAACACCCAGAATGTGGTTCAGTTGGTCCAGGTAGTGTTTACCTGGGAAGATGGGCCTGTTGGAAAGCATTTCTGCCAGAATGCAGCCCACTGACCAGATATCTATTGATTTCGTGTAGCCCTGTAATTTGAAAATTTTTAATAGGAATTTTTACGGAAAAAAACCAATCAAACCTTAGAGTTAAGCATGATTTCAGGAGCACGGTACCACCTAGTAGCTACGTATTCAGTCAAAAATCCCGTGTGATCGTGGTCTGGGTCAGCAACTCGGGCGAGACCAAAGTCACAAATCTGCAAACAAAAACATTGCTCAACTGCAGGGACAGATTGAGGACGGTTTACTTTTAGATCACATGTTGTGTTCAGAAGCAAATTGCTCGGCTTCAAGTCTCTGTGCAGCACATTGGCTGAGTGGATGTATTTCAGTCCGCGAAGAATTTGGTAAAGGAAGTAGCAAACATGGTCATTGCTTAACCTCTGAAAATTGAAAACAAAATGAATTTGAAAGATAATTTATAAAATTGTTGGTTAAAACGAACCTGCGTTTTGAGAAGTTTATACAGGTCTGTTTCCATCAGGCACTGAACTATGTACACGTCCTTCATCTGGTCGATGGTCGGTGCTCTTAAAATGTCCCGTATGTCTATGATCTAGAAGCAATCAAAAGATTTGAATCAATTTATTTTATGAATTATATTTATCCAAATTCAATCAAAAAAAATTAAAAATAATAATAATATTACTAAAAAAATATCAAACCAAAATAGATTTGTAAAGCACTTGGGGTTTCCTTCATTTAATTTTATTTCAAATATTATTAAAAAATGAAATTGTTGAAACTTTACGCACAAAATTAGATGTAAAAAATTATGTTCTAATTGAAACGAGAAATTTTAAGGATTTAATTTTACTCTAGTTTTAATTAATTTTCCATTCTTAAAAGTGCTCCCTTATTTTAATAAAAACTTTGTCATTTTCACTGACATTTTCATGTTTGAATCTGGTGAGGATTTTAATTTCACGCAAGGTTCGCTGACAGTAGGTCTGGTGCTCAAACGGCGAGATTTTCTTGATCGCCACTTTGGTCTTGGTTTGGTTGTCGTAAGCGGATCTGCGGACAGAACACAATTGCAATGAATAAACAAGCAGAGAGAGAAGGAAAAACAAATATAAGAAACGGGATACGATTGTTTGAAAAAAAAAGCAGTGCGGATTTATTTATGTGATGCTGCTGGCAGGCGAGATTGCATTTCGCAAAGCAAACAAGGAGACTTTGCCAATTTTGAGAGTGAGCCGAGAAAGGGCGGCTAATTGAGGGCTATTTTTGGCTGGCTTTAGAACAACGGAGGAAAATGCGGCGTATAATGAACGAGGTGCGAGGCTGGTCTTTGTGTCGAGTGTCGTGGAGCAGAGCCAAATGTGCGCTTCTCGATTGCAGCCCCTTGACACCCGAGCCGCCTGCTCACTTCTTTGACCCGCCACCTGCTCGGCAAGAATTTCGCGGATGCCGCCGAGAGAGAGCGAAATTCGTGTGCGGCGCCGCATCCTCCCTGCGTGTAATCGTTTCATTGGCCGGATGTCGGTGGCCGCCGCCGCTTGCTGCAACCACTCGATTCACTCTCTCGGAAGCCGAGATTGGTTTTGGGAGTGTTCGTCGTCGCCGCCGCGATAACCGACGCAATTATTCATGTGGAACGGAATTAGAATAAAAACACAATCGTCTTGTTGCGGTGCTGCTTTCCCTTGTTCGAGTCGAATTGAATTAAATTTCACTTTTCTGCTTGGCTTCCGCCCAGCCGATTCTCATCAAATCTTAAAAAGTTGACCGTCTTGAATTAGATTTTAAATTTTAAACATGAATTATATTACTTATTTAAGACAATTTTTGACGCTGAAATGCACATGAAAATTGTAAATTTATTTGAAGAAATTGACACTCCAGGAGTTGATCATTGAGCTTTTCCTTGATATAAAAATTGTTTTTAATAAAAATCAATTGTAAATTCCAGTAAATAAATTAAGCAGAAACTTCAGTGAGTTTCGATTTAAACAGAGAGAAGAAATGGGCACACTACAGAACGTTCATGAATTTAAAGAATTTTGTGTTTTTAATTTTATTCAAAGGCCGTTTTGTTTTAAAAGAAATTAAAAAAAAAAAACGAGAGGAAACACAACGTTCAACTCCTGTTTAAATTTACTCTGCAGGGACTATTTTTGATTAAAAAATCATGTTTTTATTAGTAACAAATTCAAATACATTAATTTTAATTAAACAGATTTAATAATCAAACTAAAAAATAAATGATTAATTATTGAACTGAATAAGCAGAAAGTTCAATATTTAATATTTTAGACGTTATAAATTTTTTGTATATTTTTCCATTAAAACTTAAATTCACCAAAATGGATATCAAATATTTAAAAATGCACAAAAAGACTAATTTTGCCTAAAACAACATTTGTGAAACAAAAATCAATCGCATTTTATTTATTTATAGAGAATTTGTCCCTTTAATTAAGTTGGAAGATAAAAAAAATTCGCCAACCCTTTTCATTACTCCATTTCCTCGTGTTTTGCCAATTCGCATTTGGCATTATTTATCAGCCTTGATGGTTTTTAAACGTCAATCGAGTAGGAGTTTTTTTTTTTTGTGCTTGGACGGCATCGATTTGCGGCAAAAAGTCGTCAGCATCGCTAATTCGCCGCAGCAACAGCGTAAGTAATTACGATAAAATTGCGCAGGCGGAGGCAAATTGCGCTCGCATAATAAATTAGCGGGTGGCGCGCGTGAAATATGTATCGGCTTTTGTGTGCGAGAGGAAAATCAATTTGGGCGCTTTTCGTGCAAAGTTTGTTTCAGCGGCGAAATGTGCCGTGCGCGCGTTGACAGGCTAATTTCGCAAGTGAGCCGTGAAGGATGAGCGAGAAATGGATGCAACTCGCAGCCCGCCCGCCGCCGCCGCAGCCGCTCGTCTCTCTCGCGTGACCCACTTTTGCTTTTGCACCACCGGCCGACGAGCCGACCGGACCAAGTTTGCCCGCAAATAAAGGAAACCCTTTTAGCAGCCGTTGGTATAAAAGCGCAGGCGAAACTCGGTGGCTGCCCAGAGGAGCAGACTGTTTTTACAGCGGGTGGCCGCAATTTAAACGAAAAAAATTACTAAAAATACATGAATTTCATAAATTTTTTGGATTTTTTCCTAATTGAAGATTGGATCAGGCAGAAATTCATAAATTTGTTTTTATAGACTTCCCTATTTATTTTTATTAAAATTTTGCAACACAGTTTATATTTAAGTAAAAAAATTCACAGGAGAATTGAGGAGAATTTTTTTTTCTCACAAAATTAGCAAATTAAAACAAAATATTATTCCAATTAACTTCGTTTTTTTTAACACTTTTTTAAAGAACGACTTAAATATATCAGAAAAAATTTCTTCACCATTTTCAAGCAATTTATAAAAAACATGATGTTAATCAAGAAAAAATTTCCATTCTTGTGATTGCAAATATTGTGTATTTATCATTTAGAAAAAGAAAGATTTTGAGAAACTTCAAGGTGTAAAAAGAAGGTACTTGAAAAAAGTATCAAGGTTTGTTCAAATACACGAAATTTCGCTTTGTGTATGAGCTTGTTGAACCTTCCCGTGAATAACGCATTAATTTGAAACTTTTTGTTATGAACAAGTGCTGAAGGAATTGAATATTTGTGTTGATTTTTATGGTACCGAGATGATCATCAAGGAAAACTGGAAGGCGGCGCAATTTCATGATAGGCATGTTTTCACTAGATGGTTTCCATTTTTTTTTAAAACAGCACCATGTCACTGCAAAGCACTGGAAAATTGTGTATGTAAATTTTTTGGTCAAATATGTAAACAAAACAAATATGTAGTAAAAACAAAATTTATTAAAATGAAAGCGGAAAAATGTAAAACTAAACGGATTTAAAGGTTATTTAAAGTTTATGGCATTCAATCCAATAAACAAAAAATTTATCTTTTTCAAAATTCTCTTATTTTTTTTTCTCAATCCTTGATCCCAAACAAATTGTTTTCAAAAATTAAATGTTATCATGTGATGTTGGACAAATAAATAAGAATAATAATTTTGTGGGAGAGTTTCACGATCAAGGGTTGATTTATGGTGATTTGAATTTAAAATAAGTTTTTCCTCGATGGGTTTTGTGAGTTGTTTATCGTTTTAAAAAACAATAGAGCAGGATATTGTTTTTTATAACAATAAACAACCCACAAAACCCATCAAGGAAAACCAAACTTTAAATTGAAATCACCAAACAATAATGATTCATTTATTCAAATATTTATCAAACCACTTATACAACAACATAAAAGATAAAACAATTCACACACAAATCCGATAAATAAATTATGAAATTTAACACTTTTAATAAGTACTTGAAACATTAATAATAAAAATAATGATTAAAATAAAATTGATTGATTGATCGATTTAATTTCAGATATACGAGGGGCTCCCTTCGTTTATTCTGTTGGGCAAATGGATGGTGAAACTTGTGAATGCCGATTGGCTCGCGGCTGAATTTCCACTCGAATAATAATAACAACGCTCCAGCCGCGTGCGTGTTTTCTTTTGCGGCGCAAAACAAAAGGCAAAACCCGGCCGGCGTTTTGGTAATAATTTCCGCCGCAGTTCCATTTCATCAGCGCGTTTTGCGAATTGTATATTTTATTTTTACCCACAATATTCGCTAGCGCAAATTTAATCCTCTTGTTGCGGAAATTCAAATTTTAGAAAAGTCAAATGCAATCAATACTGTCGAAATAGGAAAAGTGAAACATAAAAGCAATAATTCTGACAAATTGAAATGAATTTAATTCAATCTTACTCTAAAAAAAATCACATTTAAATAAAACACTCGGGTTTGAAAAATTATGCTAAATTAATTCAATATTGGAAGTACTGAAAATTAATAAATGATTTATTTCCTTTCCTGCTTCTTTGATTCAAATCAAGTTCATTCAGAGATATTTTGATTTTTTTTACCAATTCTAGCAATATTTTGTTGCCGCGTCACTTTTTTACAATTCGATTTATTTCATTTTTGCAAATTGCAATCTCTCCATCTCTTTACCAAAATTACAATAAAAACAAGTTTCCTCGATTTGAAAAAAAAATTCTCAAATTACATCGATCTGTAAAAAAATTTGATTCCGTTTTATTTGAAATCGGAAACTTTCGTCCCGGAAAATTTTGACAACTTTCCGCCTTTCACTCGATATACTCTAATGAAGAGCAAACTTTTGAGTGACATCATCGGAACGAGCTCTTGATATCAAAAATTGAGTGGCTGCTGGAATTTCTCTGTCGTATTCGATTTCAAAAGCTCTCCGATTGCAAAAGCGTCCAAAGTTTTCCGCCGACACTGGGCCAGATTAAAAGTGAGCGAGTTTTTAATTAAACGGAGCAAAGTCTGCCGCCGAGCGTTGATATTTGTCTTGCGATTTCAATTTTCTCTTTTCAGCCGAGGATAAATTCGTCACGACGTGTCGGACGGAGGCGCCATTAAATTAAAAACGTGCCGCCCAGCAACCCCTAAACTGGCATTTCGCCCCAGTGATTATTGTTGCTCGCTCGCTCGCGCCGCAAAATTGATCCCTGCGTCCGTCCGGCAAATTGCTTTCTCACCGATCAAACGCGCACAAAGACCCCCGTCGGCCCAGCAACTGTCACTTTGCCACGCCGTCCGTTCATGCACATCAGTCACGAACGGCCAAATAAATGAAAAGGCCCAGAAATAATTTATCATTTTCGATGCAATTTGAAGGAAAGTGCTCTCGGTTTGTAGATTATGAACGATCAAAAAGAAAATTTCATGAAAACAATTTGCAATTTTAAGCAGAAAAAAAATAATTAAAAAATACAAAGTTCTTGTTTGAATCAATTATTTTTTTTATGGTGAAGAAGAAGCCGATTCGGATCTTTTTAAATTTAAAAAGATTTTCTTTATTATAACGAACAACTGGATTTTTCTTGTTGAAACATTAAAAAAAAACAGTTCGTTCAATAAAAAACATCGTTCCAACAAGGAAAAGCCCAGTCGTTCATTTCAACACGGTTTTTAGATTTGAAATTTTCCTTCCTTCAATTCATGGAAATGGAAAATAATTTACAACGCAAAATCCCCATGGGAAAAACGCTTTTAAAAGCGCAAATTGTTAGGAAAAGGGGATTTTTATCATTTTTATTTTCCTCTCTCACGATAAGAAGTTTTATTTCAAAACTTTGCACAAATAGAAAGTTGGTCTAAATTATAAATGATAATTAAAATTAAAATGATAAAAGAGCAAATAAAAATGTTGCAATTATCCGAGTTTTTTTATTTGTATGCTAATATTGAAATGAATTAAATTTAATGTTATATTACAATATTATATTATTGTTGTTTATTCATGTAATTGCTAAAAGCATATTGTTTACATTCCATTAGGTTTCATTTAATTAAATTCATCAACTCTACACTAATCATAGTAATTGTGGAAGTTGTTTCATTCTTCTACTTTTTACTAAGTAAAAATGACATGAAAAATAACAAGACAAGTGGAAATTTTAAATTTCATAATTTTAAGATTAATAAAATTTTCTTTGCAATGACAAAACGAATATTAAAATATAATAATGAAATCCACTTGAATGTTAGCATTGAATTTTTTAGAAAATACTCAATTTCAAACGAAAAAAGGAAATATTTGATTTGTTGCGGTTTGTACTCAAGATTTTAACTAGTAAATAAAATTTTCAGAAAATTCCACTAAAAAAATTACCAATCAAAGCTCAAAGCATAAAATTTGAAAAGTTTATTTAGTTTATCATCTTTCAATAGACTCTGACGTCTGCAACACGACGAGGGTCTTTTTTTACAGACGCAAACATACTAGACATAATATGCCACTTTTCTTTAATCAAACGCCGTCTTATCACGACCAAGATAAAAAATTCCACAAGAGGCTGCTGCTGCACATTACAAAAAATGCAAACCCCAAAATAAATACAAAATGCTGGAGCAATTTTTCCTCGTGAGATAATTTTTTTCATTTAAATCTCGGGCAAACAAACCGTGCAACGAATTGAAACAAAGGCAGCACGCCCATTTTTGCGGAAGGGAAGTTTTGACGGAATATAATGGAACAACCCCTCGTTGCGAAATTGAAGAAGAAAAAAACACCCGACGAAGAAGAGGAAGGGCGCGGGGGACTTTGAGACTGCTTTTGAGAGTCGAAACGGGGGCAGCAACAAGTTCGGCTCGGTGCGTCTCTGGTACGGGTGCGGAGGGTGCGTTTGTACGCATAGGGGTAGGACACTTGTTACTTACACGACCATCCCGTAGGCGCCCTCGCCGATGTAGGCCAGGTTGGTGTAGCGAGGGCCCACCTCGAACACCTGGCCCCGCACGATTTCGGCGCCCGCGCCAGCACTGCCTTCGCTCGCCATTTTCGCCGAGTGTCGCAGCAGCAACGGTGACAACTTTCCGCCCTTTCCTCTCTATCTATCTCTAACTTGGCCCCGACACTGCAGCGCGACTACACGGCCAGGCGAAACGCAAACAATTTGCGGACAAGATGTCAATAAACACGGGTGCGGCCGAGCGACGCCAGGCGGAGCTGCGAGCGCCCTACGGATGAAATCTGAAATCGGCGCCGATCTCCTGCGCACCGCGGCGGCTGCAGCCAACACGCGGCGCCCTGGAAATTTGCAAATTTGACCCAAAGCGTAAAAATACTCCGGCCGGGTATTGATTACGTTTGTCTCACCGGCGAATGCGAATTCGGAGAATCCAATCGGATTGGAATAATTGATGCGACGAGCTTCGTTTTTCCCTGACAAGTTAGTCGTTGATGCCAAAAAGTTGGAAGAACAAAAAATCGCAAAAAATAATTAGCCTGATCAATTAATATATGAACTTATAATTAATTTTGGCTTCGATGCAAGTATTGCAAGTTGATCAGATGTGTGCTTTGATTAACCAGAATTCACGTCATTTTTTAAATTAATTCATGAATATCTGACAATTATATAAAATTAAATAATTTTAATTTAATGATATAATTCAGAGCAGCTTATTTTTAAAAAAAAAAATTGTTTTTGTATGTTTTGATGTGCATTTGATCTGTTACGACACATAATAACTGAAATTTTTGTGAATTACATTACCTAATTTACTTTGTTAGGTTTTGTCAATTCCATGCAACTTAAGCAAATTAATATTCAAAATTTTAAATCATGAATCTTTATTAATTTAATTATCTTGTAAATCTATTGTTCAAACTTTGGTTCCACTCTCATTTCTCAAAATAATTTTCGATCACGCATTAGTTTGGTAGAAAAATAGTCGTAGTTTTTGTGAATTTGTTCAAATTTTATCTCAATAGTTGGTAAGGCACTCTTGAAGGCTTTTGTGAGACCAGCTACTCTTTTTCCAGTCCAGCTTCACCCTGCCAAATTAAATTACTTAAATTTCATTCAAAAGCTTTTGTTGAAAAATCACTTTTTCGCCGAGCTGCTTCACTATGGTGTTCTTCAAATTGTACATTGCCTTTCCAGCGTCTCGGTGCACCCTGGTGAGCTCAATCAGGGCCTTGCATTCGGCCTCCAGATTCTGTCTTTCCAAAGTGACAGCCTCTCGTCTGACACGAGCGTGGGCCTGCCACTCAGCCAGCACCTGTGACAACTGCTGCTGTCTCTCAGCCTTTTCCGTCTGCCATCGCTGCTCGCAAGCCTTCAGCTCGTTCCGAGCTTCTTCCCTAATTTTAATTTTATTTAAGGAAAATTGATCTTTAATTATGTAAATAAAATACTGGAAGATGTTGGCGCAATGGTTGGCCACCCTCTTTTCCCTTTCAGCCTGCTCAGTCATTTTTTTCAAGAGGCTGTTGACCTTCAGGTACATTTCCTTCTGGATGTCGTCTGACAGGGACGCCTGCTCAGAGGCTTTCTGCACCCGCTGGAGCAGGGCTCGGTCCTCTTCGATTTCCTGCAGCACTTGACTAGCCTTCCTACGGAGGTTGAACACAACCTGCCGTTCGTAGCTGCTTTTCGGAGCCAAGAATTCTGTCCGCTGCTTTTCCTTCTTCACCTTTTCCTGGTCGATTGCAAATAACTCTTGCTCCATTTTGCTGGCAATGGCCTCCTGACTCATCAGGGCAGCAACGTTGATCTCATTTTCCCTAAATTCTTTGTTAACTGCGAAGGTCAAATTTGAAAAAAAAAAATCTTACCTCAGTCTACCAAGAGCGTCTTCGATGTTGATGCTGGCCAATCTCAGTTGCTCGTCACGCTTTTTTCTTTCCTCATCCTCCAGGGCGATGGCGTGTCGAAGCTCTTTCAAGGTGAGGCTGTCAGATTTTTCCATTTCTGGCTCCAGAGAAGTTTGACTTTTGGCAGAATTCACACGAGACAACTGCTCAATCTCAGCCTGTGAACAAGTTTGAATTTGAAAAATTCTGATTGTTGCATCAACTGACAAACAATTAATAACTGACCAGATTATAACATTTTAGTTTTTATTGTTGTAAAAAAATTCATTGAATAAAAAAATCAGATCTTAAAATAAATAATTTACCTTTCTGGCCTCCTTTTTCTTGGCAACCAAATCGTCAAACTTCATCTTGAGCTGCTTGTCACTCAGATCATTCCATTCGAACATTTTATGCAGCTCTTCGTTCAAAGCCACATTCTCTTCGTACAGCATGTGAGACAAATTTTTCCGTCTCCTGTTCAAATTTGCCTCTCTCTGGCTGTTCTGTTCGGTCTCCTTTTGCTTGTTCACTCTGTAAAATATATTAAAATTTTTTATTAATAAATTTAATCAAATGAATTGCTAACATTACCTTGATTGGTAGTATTCAGGACGAGTCCAGTCTTTCTGCTTGGAAGTCTGAATGTCCCAGAATTTGAAGTATTCATTGGTCCTCTCACAGTCTTTCCGGAATTCGTTGCTGGCGGCAGTTCTCTTCACAAAATCCGTGTAACGCTTCATTCGTGGCTCCTTGGAAAACTTTAATATCGAGACAGGTTTTAATAAAAGCAGTCAAGAGAGTATTTTCTCTTAATAAAAACAAAATCCTCAAAGTACAAATCCAACAATGAAATAAATTATCATAATACGATTATTGAGCAGAGCACTCCATGTGGATAAAATAAGATCCTAAAAAGAGAAGCAGTGCCCCAGGCCCACCCAGGCCCCAGCAATGTCGAAATGCGAAAAATTCAAAGGAAACAAAACTCCGAGCAAACAGCGGAAAAGAGAAAAAATTACCATTTTGGCTTGAAGTCCTTAGCTGATCATTAAGAATTTTACTAAATTTCGATCAAAATATCCATTTGAAGACTAATTTCTGCAAATTTTCAGCGCATATTCCAGAATTTTGGCACTAATAAGTGTTTGTTTACGCCGTGTTAATTGCATGCTTCGTTATGTGACAGGAGTGGGAGTGGTTTTGCCGCCCAAACTTTTAGCCACATTTATTGGACGGTGCTGCCAAAACTCCACTCGCGGTGGAATTTGGAAATGATTGGCGGGAATATACATGGGGCTTATTATCACGAGGCCATATAGAAACGAGCGAGAGAAATGCGTTCTGGTTTTTAAATTAAAATCATAATAACAACACAGATTTTAAATTTATTTCCACATAAACAAATTAAATTTTATTCAGTTCGTACAATATGCATTTCCAAGTCACGGTCCTTCCTCAAAAAGCGCAGCAAACGGTCGACAACAGCGTTCCTTGCATCACATGGGTGTCCAATGATGAGTTTTACTCATGCGGGTGAAAGTTATTTCATTTTTCAAAATTTTTGAAAATCATCATTATTTCAATTTCAGGGGTGATCATACAATATATCGGTGGAATTCTCAAGGCGGTGAGGTCGTCAAGATTGCCGAATTGTCCAAAGATTTCACTCCGACTTCGCTGCACAACTTGCAAAAATCAAGATCCAATAAACCAGGATCGGATTTGCTGCTTCTGCTGACCACTTCAAATGGTAATAATTTTACTTCCGTTGAGGAAAAACTCATTTTTGAAAATTGGTGACGCAGGAAAAATAATGATGATGAGCGGCAGTGGTCGTCTGGAGAAATGCGTTGATGCTCACAAATCGGAAATATTGGTCGCCAAAATCAGCAAAGACGGTTCCAGTATTTTAACAGGTATTTTTTATAGTTCTTAATTTCAAAATTCAATGATAAGTAAATTTTAGGCTCTGAGGATGGAAGTATTAAAATTTGGTCTCGGTCTGCAATGCTGAGGGCGAGTTTCAACGAATCCACCCCTTCGTCAATAATAGCAGCCGACTGGTCTCCAGATTCGCAAGCAATCGCATACGCTCAGGGTGCTTCTGTCATAATGAAACCATTGATACCCGGCTTGGCTCCTACAAAGGTTGAAAACAAATTAAAATGCTCCAAAATTTTACTGATTTTTAAAAATTAGTGGCAAGCCCACGAAGGTATGATTTTGAGCCTTTCTTGGAGTCCGACGCAAAATGGTTTTATTGCCACTGGGGGCGAGGATGGAAAATGCAAAGTAATTTTTAGTTTTATTTTAATGAAAAAGATTTAATTAAAATATTTTTTAGGTATGGGATTCAATGGGCCATCTTATGTTTTCGAGCAGCAATCAGGGCTCGCCAGTAACTTGCTTGGCCTGGAATCTAAATGGGCAGATTTTGGCTGTCAGTTCGCACAACGCACTCCGACTCTGTCAAACTATGGGGGTAGCTAAATTTAATCAATATTAATAAAAAAAAAATAATAATAATAATGCAACAAAATAGCGCTTTTCAACGTCGGAATTGGTTTCAAATAATACGGCGCACGCTATCAATTGGAATAAAGACAATTCTCGACTAATTGGTGCTTGCGGATCTGGGAAAATTATTTCAGCCAATATTGTTGGCAGGTGAGATAAACGCCTATTATTATTAAATTAAATTTAACAACAATTTTTTAGGGAAATCCAGCGCGATGGAATTCAGGCAAAAATGGTCGGAGACAAAATTGTTCAGATGCGCGACCTGAAAATATCGGACATGTGGGAAACCTTGGAGGTCAAAAGTTCCATCCTATTACTCGAAGCCGGCCATGGACACGTGGTCCTCGCAACAAGCGACAGGTGCCTTATTTACAACATGACCACAATCAACACACCGATGGAAATTAAAGTCGCTGGCGTATTTTTGCTTCAAATAACGGCAAAGTAAAAATCTATTTAATTCCTAAAGAAAAAATTTAATACTGTATTCATTGTAATTAAAATTATTTTAGGTGCATTTTGGCTGTGAACGAATTCGGATTTTGGGTTTATTCACTACAGGGTCGCGCCATCACCGTTCCGCAAGTGCCTAATTTGCAGAACGTACACCTAACCGAAAATACAATTCATCTGGCGCCAGACCATTTAGCCATAAGAGATTCCACTGAATTTAGAGGCATGTGTCAAAATAAAAAATATTGTATAAATATTTAAACAGTTTTTAAAATTGCAGTGGTGCATGTTTTGGACTTTGGGTTTTCTCGAGCCACGGACAGTCAAGGCTCCCCGAAAATTCGGTTCAAGGAGCCCATCAAACAAGTAGCTCTGAATCAAACTGAGACGGAAAGATGTTTGGCCGCTCTTGATTTGCAAGGAGATCTTTACGTTGTTCCCAATCCGGCCTTGCAAGGCGCTGCAAGTTACAAAATTTGTAAGAAAAAATAGTAAAATTATAAATCTATATTGTTTTTTCTATTTATTAAATATTAGCTGGGATGGTTCGGCACATCATGTGGAACTCGTGTAATCCCTATCTGAGTGCCTTGACTGAGAGCGAGCTTATTGTGTGGTTCTATCCTCAGATTGTGGTTTTGGATAATCAACTTGTGACCAACACTCGCTTCGAAAAAGACTTGAGGTATAACTGTAAATTAAAATTAAAGAGAAAAACTAAAATATTCCATAAAAAAATGCAGCGAAATTGGAACGAATGCTATCTTAACTCAATTTAGTGGCGGATTATTGGAGATTCAGCGCCACGACAAAATGAAAATTTGCATGCCAATGAATTTGGTGCCAGCAACTCTATTTAGTTTGACAGAGAAAGGTGATTGGGTCAAGGCAATGAAACTGGTGCGGAAGGCATCATCGACCTCACTTTGCAAACCGGGAAGCATGCACAGCTTTTTTGCTGCAAGGTGCTTGATGAAGAATCAACCCAAAAAATCGCTCCCCTCTTACATTGCACTTGGAATGGTCGACGAAATTGAATATGTTATGAGTCAAAATCGATAAATTAAATTGCCAAGAATTTAAAAGAGTCTATAGCATTTTATTTTCTTAAAAAATAACAAATTTATTTCCAGCATAGGTCAAAAGCAAATAATTCATCCATTCGGAAAGCTTGTGGATCCTTGAAATGTTCTTTTTGTTAGCTGAGAGAGAAAGAGAGCTTCTCACTCATGAAATAGACCTTTCGTATCACAAGAAAAGTTTTATCATTCCATGGGCAAGCTTAACAGCAAAATACTGACATGGTAGGCTCACGGTTGAAGCCAGTCTGCCGAGACCAAAAATCGTTTCATTCATTTTGTGCGAGATAGATTGACAATTCCAATGGGTTTACCAGACATTAACTTTTGCAACAACAGGTCATCTCTTTGGCATGATATAAGTATCCTATTACTTTTTAAACATCGTTTGAAAAATTTACGCACTTAAAAAAACAGTGAGCCTACCCCACAAGAAAGTGTAAAAAACCTTAAAGCACAAAGCATATTCCTTAAGATGCCATTTAAACTAAAATGCAATACAACATTAAGTCAATTCCACATTTAAAATTTTGTTGTTGCCTTTGATGTTCACTAACCAAAGATTATGTTAAAAAAATCAAGATTACATTTTACGAGTTTACCTGCCGATCAAGAGCAATGATTCGAGTGTTAGTCGGCTATTGCAATTGACACAAAATGTGTTGTAGACCGATAAGTGGAGGGGAAGTACAATAAATTAACAATGATTGACACAAAGAGTGGCTGGTCAGCTCTGGTTAGACGCCTGGTTCATGTCGTACAGGACCTGTGCAATTGTCCGAGATGATTCCACGTTGCTCAGGGCGATACTTGCCAGGTGAGGTTCATAGCTCCTTAAGTGCCTGCAACACAAAATTTTAAATAAGTAATCGATCAAATTTATTTTTGGCCATTTAATTTACCTCTTGCCAGTGTTTGAGTAGATGACTAGATTTCTTAGAATTAATGACGATGTCAGGCGAATACTCTTTGTTACAGGCCCTTCATTATCATCCTATAATAGAGAGAAAATTAAGACGTTTCCAAAGTGAAAAAATAAACAAGCGACAAAAATAAACACACACACAAAAATATTCATTAAGAATTTTTTAAAAATTAAGAAATTTAAAATTTATTATATTAAAAAATGTTATTAATAATTCATAATGATTTAAATAAAATAAAATTTTGGTTAAAATGAGTGAACAAAAATTAGAACAACACCAAACATGCATCGAGATATTAATAAGTAAGAAATAATTACTTGGAATGAAAGTCGTCTCGAGGGATTAGTTTCGGCAGGCTGTTAAATAAAAAATTTTCGTTAGTTGGTTTGCTTTTTGTTAATTCACGCTTTGCTCCACAATCTCTGGCTTCATTTTTTTATATTATTGAAAAATAATCAAACAGATTGTGCCAGAGAACTAGAGCAAGGCTCACCTGTTGGGTTGGGCGAATGATTTGAGTAACTTGAGGGGCCGCAGCCCCTATCTTAATAGAGGGAGGAGGAGGAGCAGCGTCTGGAGTAGAAGAAGTAACAGAAGTAGTGGCAGTTGAAGCAACTGCTGTTCCAGCCGCAGCAGTTCGTTGCTAAAAGTCGGTTGTTTTGTGTTAAATTAGTCAGTAAGTGTAAATGAAACCCTAGCCAAGTCGAGAAGTCAAGGTTTCCCATTATATTGGTTATAGAATTTAATTTAGAAAAATCTCACCATCAGCTCCTTGGGGTTGACAAACTCAAGGGCGTGTCTCTTGATGGCATGCAAGGCAGCATTCGGAGCGTAGCCTGGGTGAGGAGGTGGCGGCGCCGGAGCAGGAATTTCACTTTTGCCACTCATAGCCATTTGCTTTCTCCTCACAGCCATTGCCTTCATTGTCTAAAGGTAAAATTAGTTTATAATTATTTGTAATAATTTATGAATTAAGATTAGAACTTTTTCCTTTTAAGGAAAGAAGTTTATATTTAAGAACTAAAATAGTGAATAAAATACCTCATTATTGCAGTGCCGGTCGTAAAGGTGGGTCATCAGGGAAAACCTTTTCCGTTTCAAATTGTCGCACCTTTCCCATAAACACTGCACATCTTCTGGACCAGTCGGGCAGTGGCTCTGGCAGGCGTGCATGTACACTTCATTGGCAGACTTGAAAATTCTACAACAAAAATCACAGTTGAAAAAAAAAACATTTCAAACAAACTATTTTGAATCAAATTAAATCAATTTTGGATCAAATTCTCTTTCAAAAATATCCTACCTCATGCAGCCCCTCCACTCGCAAACAAAAGGAGAAACTGGAAGTGTGACGGTTATGGGAGCCGGTGTTGCTGTGGTGGTTGTCGTACTTGTGGGCGTTGAACTCGCACTTGTGGAATTTGCAGTAACTCCTGCAGAGGTTGTGACGGTGGCTGAGGTGGATGCTGGGGTGGCAGGTCTTGCAGGGGTGACAACTTTGATGACCTGTTGGGCACCTCCATTGGCTGGGTCGACTGGTCGGGCGATGATAGGGTTGCAGCCAGGCAAGGTGACAGTCATCTGGCCACCACTGCCCTGAGTGAACATCAGGTTTTGCAGACCTGAGGCGCCACCTTGGATGGCACTGCGTGGAAGCTGCACCATCATTGGCTGACCTGGCGTGCCGACCTTTTGACCTTGCTGGTGAAGGATGATGATAGTTTTTTGATTCGAGCCCTGCTGCTGATTCTGGGCTAACAGGAAGGTCTGGCCCTGAGACAGGCCCTGCGAAGGAGCAACCACATACGTTTGGCCGTTGTTCTGCGTGAGAAGGAGCTGCTGACCGCCACCTACAGTTGAGTTGATCAACATCGGCTGTTGGTTTTGTACGAGCATCTGGAATTAGAAAAATATAGATGATTTAATAGAGTTTCAATATTCAAGGTTCTGGTTTTCAGACATTATGAAATTGAAAATCTTACAGCGGCCTTTAAACCTTCTTGAATTTTTAACATTATATTTTACAAAATATTTAATTTGAAAGCAACTTACCGGTCGCTGGCCAGCTTGCTGGACGATCACCTGCGTCTTCATTGGCATGCCCGATGCCTGCGTAAATACCACCTGGCCAGGTTGGATGCCGCCCTGCGCGACAATGATCTGCCTCGGCGCTGCCATCAGGACAGGCGCTTGCGTAGTTATAGCTGCGGATGTGGTGGTTGCTGTGTTTTCAGTCGTGCTTGCAACCTCGGACGAATTTTCAGGTTCGGATTTGGCTTCAGGAGTTTCATTTTCAGCCTTGACTTCCCCGTTCAGGCAAATCTTTTTGGCTTCCTGTGGCGGGGTGGCCGTCGGCGCCGGTCGCTTTAGCCCCTGTTTGGTTTGTTCGGCACTTTGGTTGGTGTCGTCTAAACTATTCTCGACCAGCTCCAGGCCTTTTTCGCTGATTCGCAATTCCTTGCCAATGATGCCGTTGATGATGGGCTCTTTAGTGGCCACCTTCTTCTCAAGAAGATCAGCCAACATGCCTTTGGCCTTCGGCTTCTCCAGGTTGCCATTTGTCGGCTTTATCTCCTCGGTTGACTCATTGTCGATGTCTAGGTTGTGCGGCATGCCATTGAGCAAAATTCCTTCGAAACTGGTGAGCGAATTGTCACCGTCCCCATCTGTTGAAAGGCCGCCGCCACTGGAGATTATTGAGTTTGCTGTCGACGCTGCTGAATTTGAATCTTCGTCGATTTTCGTAGATTTAGGTGGAGGCGGTGGAAGAAGGGTGTTGCTTTTGGAGAGGTTGTCTGTTGTGTCCATGCTGTTTTCAGCCTATAAGTGAGAAGAAGATAAAAGTTTAGAAAAATCAATAATTAGAAAAGTATAAAAAACGTACCTGCAATTCTGGAGACAAAAGCCCTCTGGTGCCATTGACCTTGGGAATGACAACTGGCTGCTCTGTAGAATCTGCGGTTTTTGTAACTGGTTTGGTGGTTGTACTGACACTTGCACTGGCAGGCTGCAGAGGTGGAGGTGGTGAACTGATTTGAGGTGGGATATTTGTGCTGCTCACAGCTGTTGTTTGCTGCCCTGATTGGAGTTGCTGCTGCATCAACCTTTGCTGCCTTTGAGCTACCTGCAAATTCAATTGAAGTGTGAAAAATTGAGTTAGAATGTAAAAGTTGGTTGTTAGAGGCAGCTTCATGCCTTGCAAAATTAATGTTGAAGTGCACTTTTGCATTTCATGGGATGGGATTTGGAGAATTTGGAAGTTATTGAATTAGAGCCTTTGGTTAAATATTTTGGACGGTTAAAAGTTTTGTTATTTTCAGAAAACGTCACAAACGGTTAGTCACACAAGAGCAAGCAATCCCAATTCTAAAAATATTCAACTGAGCTGAGGAGAGAAGCAATTCGCCAACTTTACCGCCTAAACCACCAAGAATGAATGAATTTCCACGGCGAGGAGGAGGGATTCAAAAGCTGATTTTTTTTTTAGTTCAAATTTTTTGGAGAATTTTACCTGGGGCTGTTGAGCGTCTGTGATATTAGTAGCTGATGAGGTAGTCACGACGTTCAACATGCTCATGCTCTCAACTACAGAGGTTGAAGTTACAGTCGGGGCTGTGTTTACCTTTGAGGCCAGAAGGCTCTTGATCAGGGAGGTGTTTGGAGTGGAGGAGGAGGGGCTAGGTTGGGAGTTAGAGCATGTTGAATGGGCTCCTTGGGAGGTATTGGCTGGTGATAGGGGACCTGATGAGGGTCTCTGTGCTTGATGCTGTGCATTACCCAACAAAGCCTGCGTCAAATGAGGGTGTGCCATCACCTTCACACAACGAATCAGCAAATTAACGACAGGAATACAACCACACTGATTACAAGACTAATATGACAGCTTCTGTCAGCAAAAAATTGCCAACATAATCTGTCGCTGGAATAATTACCGAGTAACAAATTTACAGGATTACAGGCCCATTGAAGGTAAATATTTACATATTTTTTAAATGAATTCATTACCTTTAAATTACTGATCAATAAATCATTTGGAATACCTTCAATGAGCATGCAAACAGACTAAGTACAAAACAAAGGTAATAACAAAAATTGTGATGGGCATGAGAAAGAGTGACGAGAGTGAGCGTGACTGAGTGTCTACAGCTAGGACACGCACCTGACTCTTGCTGTCCACCTTAACACCAGATTTGGACGGCGCGCTAAGCTGAGCTTTAAGTATAGGCGACGGCGCATTTAACGCTGGGTCGCTAGCCGCCGCAGAGGCAACTGGTGTTATGGGGGCATTTTCAGCTACAGTGGCAGGAGCGGGGGATGGGGTGGGCTGCTGTTGGCTAGCAACAGGACCAGAAGCTACAACAAGGGGCACAGCACTTGCTCGCACCTTAATTCCTACGTATTGGTATTCCTGGCTGGCCCCGGATGCTGCGTTCGGTTTCGGGTTTGGTCCAACAGAGCCTCCAAAAACAGTCCTGTGGAAAAATTTGTGCGTTTTAGCCAACTGCTTGGAAATTTCATGGGTATGTTTTTTACCTGACGAAACGAGAGAACTGGAATGATGGAACGCCTCTTTTCCCAACTTTTGAACAAGCGGCCAAGTATTGGTGATAAATTTCGTTCTGATCGACGGTGGCCCCAACAGCAATCTCGTAATTTGTCCTTAGCCACGCCATTACAAATTGTTCGTTCTCTTGAATTTGTTGTTGCTGCTGCTGTTGCGCTATTTGAGGTGAAGGGGCTTGGATGACGATGGTTGTGGTTCCAGAACTTTGCTGGGGCATTGCTTGAATTGGCCCTGAGAACATAAAGATTAGATATCATGGAAGCACCTTAATTAAGTGAAATACAAAAACAATTTTGATGGAATAGTGCACTTAATTGCAGTCAGTAAAGTGATTGAACTCTTGAAAACAAAAGCTTTAATGGAAAGAGGAAACAAGCTTCACGGTAAGTAAAAATCTTAAGGAAAATAAGAGGATCTGGCTTACTTTGAGGTGTTATGATTTGTTTGGTAATGACTGTTGTTTGCGCAGCAGGAGTTGCATTCATTGTGGTGAGTTGGGTCAGCTGCGGGGCTTGGACAGCACCAGTGGGAGTGTTGATGACCGTGCTGCTGCTGCTAGGGTGAATCACTCCACCCTGCTCTGGCACCCTCTCAACAACTCGCATTAAAATGCACGCACGAGGACCATAACTTTGAGCCTGCAATAAACAATTTCAAATTTAATTTCTAGACCCTTTAAATTTTAAAGTTAAATTTTACCTCCACAGTGATAAGTGAAACTAGAGTGTCAATAGCACCATGGACCCTGCAAATGCTGTTGCAAGCCTTCTCGCCAAGCGAGGATAGCGAATAGAGGCACTCCAAGGTGTAGATTAGAAGCATGATGTCGTGGAGTGTGAGGAAGGTGCAGACCTGATCGTAGACCTTCTGCTCTATCACTTTGAGCATGAGCTCTTCATTGACCTCGTTTTGACTAAGCTTGTTTATTATTTCCAGACAAGAAATTATCATGAAGCGGTCCGGCGACGAGAGGCCTTTGGTGACGGTCGACAAAAACATTGCCGCCAGTGTGTCCGTTTGTGGGTCTTCCAGCACCATCTCACCAGCCACCTGACTCAGCATGTCCAGTCCCATTTGTGAAAGTCTGTTCCACTTGGACTGCATGCACATAAGGGCGAACCTGAGAAATTAGAAGAACACATATAAAAGTAAAAAAAAAGTCCCATTTTAATTCAAGAATTTGGAAACTTATATCTTATAATCAATTTAAAACGAAAGTAGGCAAATCTACTTTTAAAAGAAATCTAAATTTAGACTTTAGGCAAAACTGATTTGAAGTGTAGTTGGTGCTAATTAATCCAAATTTGAACATTCGACAAACTCTTACCTCATAAATGACAGGTTTTTAGTTAAAACGGGAATGTTGTCCTCCTCAAAGCTGAGATTCCTTAGAATGGTAGCAACTTGTAGCACCCGTTGTCCAAGCAAATCGTCTACACCCAGGCCACGACCAAGGCATAAAAAGTCCCTTTCAAACTGTCCAAAGTCGATCAACGCGTCCAACTTTGAGTAGTCCACAGGTTCGCACCAAAACAAACTTTTGCTCTCCTGCTTGGGTAGCTGAGGAATTTCATCCTCCGGCACATCAATCATCCGAATTTTCGGCTTCTCCACTTTCACCTCCTCCACTTCCACTGGCTTTTCGCTTTCCTCACTCTCAGGTTTGACCACTTCCGGCTTTATTTCGCCGTCAGGTTTGGACTCTTCGACAGTCTGTTCGTCGTCTGCCACATCCATGCGATTGGAAGTGTCAAGAACAACAGGCTCGGGAGGGTCAGTCTGGACTTCGGAAGGCATTTCGGCACTGGGGACTTCACTTAAGTCGACCATAGCGCAATCGTCAGTATTTTCACTTTCAGGCACTACACTTGGAGGTTTCGTGGATGGTGGCGAGGTTCTGTCCGGCAGTTCCTCGATGCATTTGCTCAACTCCCCGAGAACAGACTCGCTGTCCAACAAGTTGTCCGGTAACGAGGAGGGAGTGGGTGGAAGGCAATAATTGCTGAATTCTTTTACGGGAGGAGGGTCAGTCAGTTCCAGAAAGTCTTTCTCCTCAATGACGTCAGCCCAGAAGCGTCTGGTAGACTGATTCTTCGCCCGCTTGTACATGTCCATGAACACGTCTCGTAATGAAGCTGCAAAAATTAAATTTCACTTATTGTCACAAATTGAAGAAACTTGTTGAAATTCCTTATAATTTAAATTGAAATTTTAGTGTACCAGTGTACCAAATCTTATCTCAATCAAATATGCTTGTTATCAAACTTCATTCAAAACCTAATTATTATTGATTATAAAATATTTATTTTTCAATTACTGGGAAATAAAAATTAAAATCTATTTACCTTCTGCAAAAACTCCAGCGTGCGCCAAAAGGAAGTCAACGAGACGCGGACACCTATCCAACTTGAGGGTGTGTTTTCCCTCGTTGGACAACAGTGTGCAGACGTTGATGGCGTAGTCCTGTTCGTTGGGCAGAGGTGACAAAAGAGACAAAGCCAGTCGGTCGTACTCTGTCGCCTTGAAGAGCTTTGTCGACAGGCCCACATTACTCCGAACAGTATCTTTAGAACAAATTTAAAATTACAATTGACTTTTTCATTTAAATCAAAAGAAACTACCTGAGATGTTGTGGTGGTGGTGGTTGTAGGTGAGAGGAACGTTGTGAATCGCACGGACAGACCATCGTCGATTGTGAGCATCCTCGGCGTCTTCTTCCTGATCGCCGACTTCGCCCATGAAGTGGACCCGCTCGTAACGCTCCAGGTATCTGATGTAAATCTGCTTCAGTGCGATTCCTCCGTTCACACAACTCGACGGCAGCGAGAACTGCTCGAGGAGGACGTCCCATTCCGCCCGCTGGTTTACCTAAATTGTTGAAAATTTCACAATGATATTAGTTTCGTCAAAAATAAAAGTGGAGTAAAAGCTTTTCAATTAAAATAATCTAATGGCTTCAAACTGCCTTTTATTTATTTTAACCAACCAATTGCATTTTCTATTTTGAAATTTTAATATCATATTTTCCAAATGGAAATTTATATTTAAAATTAAATCCAGTAATAATTTTTTTCTTGGTGTGAAATAAAATAAAAAAAAAATTGTTAATAATAATAATGATTTTTTTTATCCCTTTAATTACTCTGCTATGATCATAACACCTTTAAATTTTAATCTGAAATTTTTAATTAATGTCCTTGACGCTAAATTAAAAATTAATTCCGATCTCATACACATATTAAGTTTTGAAAGAAATCCATAGGAGGAATGCGGGCCATTTATTTATGGTCCTCCCATCCATAAATGCCACACTTAATTGATCAGCTAAATGTTATCAAGGCCTTGAAAATGTCAAATTCAATGATATTAAATTTTTCACTGCAATTATTAATTAAAATTTAAGTCAATCAAGCTAATTAATTAAGAAATTAAAGTGAAAAAATTTTTGGATTAAAAAAAGGACGACGCAGTTGTAAAATGGCAATTGGGGGGCCGCGCGGATTCCGAAGTGGAAAGTGGAAGGCCTGAGGCCTGGGGGTGTCCGAGCGCGAGAGCGGCGCGTCGGACTGCGTCGGCAAACGTCTAAGACGGCGCGGCGGAACGCAAACAAACACAAACATACCTTCTCCCATCCTCCGTGTGCGGTCACCAGCACGTACAACAAATACAAATCGACTTCATGGCCGTGCAATCGGGGAACCTGTCTGAACGGAGTCCTGCGAACACGAAAACAAAACAATCGTCTCTCAGTTAGCGGGCGAGCGCGGTTGGGAACGGGAGGCGCGCGGCCGCCGGCCTCCTGCGGGCACGGCGGCCGAAACGCGGTCGGCGGGCACTCACCCTCGGCCATCGTGGAAGTGGTGCAGTTCTCTCAGAAAACCGTCACGTTCCTTTTGGTATGTGACTGGGTCCTTATTTAGAATTTTGGCCATTCCGCGGACAAAATCCTGCGTGCTCACAGAGGGTTAATCACACATTTTGGCCCTTGGCGGCCGAGCGTTGCCCGTCTGAGCGCTCACAACACGTCGTTTGGGGCAGTATCTAGGTGGAAACGACGAACGAACGGCACTCACTCGCACACGTTAAGCCCCTCAGCCAGCCAGCGAGGTTAGCAAGCGAGACCCGAGCGCGACTCCCGTTCCAACTTCCCGCTCGTCCAGTATCGCGATTCCTAAAACCCAAAGGGCCGGTTATTTTCAAGATTTAACCGGTTTTTATTAAAACTTACCGGTTTTTGAAACAAATTCATGATAAAATAAAATTTAAAAACCGGTTTTTAAACTTTTGCTAGAAAAATACCGGTGAATTTGTTCGGAAAAAAATCGAGCATCGATGCAAGCGTGCGAGACGGAGGTTGATTGAGGCACCCGCAGGCTTGGCTTTATCCTCACCCCTGTGCTCTCCTCGCTACTCGCTAGCCGCTTATCGCCAACCGTGCGGCAGACACTCGGACGCGAGCCCGCACGCGCCCGCCGAATTTCCCGCCGAAATAAACTTAATTCCCACGCTATTCGGGCCGACTCTGCGAATTAATCCCAAATAAAAAATGCAAAAAGCAGCAATCGTGCATTAGCACTTTTATCATCAAAATGGCGGAGGACGATGAGTGTCTTGGCGGGTATTCGACGTGAGAACAGGTGCACCCGCGAGTGAGAGCCAGTTTTATTGCCGGCCTTCGCGAGTTTGGCGGAAAAGCATCTGCCAGTCAGTTGAATGGGGAGCCGCTTTAAGACCGTCTCGCTATTTTTTTTAATAAAAAATAATTTATTAGAAAAATAATAATTTTAATTGGGCCTCTTTAGGGGGCGGGTCTAGTGGTGGGGCGACTTGTCCGCTTTCCCCGCGTATAATTTTATTTTTTGAATGAGCTAAGCGGCCTCGCGAATGCATGCCGGACGGCAGGGTGCTCTTTTCGGAATGTCATCTCGCCGGCGGAGCGCCGAGAGTGAACGAGAGACGGGGCTGTGCGGCCGCGAAATCGCACGCTCAGTGGGAAAAGAGCCGCCGGCCGGCTCGTTGCTCTTCCACCGGCTGAAGCTGCGAGAGCGCACAGTCGCGCTTCAGCTTAGCGCGCACTCGATCAATGTTTTCTGCACAATTTATCGTCGGGGTCGCTGTGCTTTGTCATATCGTAAAATATGATATTATGTGCAAATAAAAGCGCCTGCAGGCAATAATTTGCTTCTCATAAGCTCTGGCACAAAAAATGGTGAAAATAAAAATTAATAAATTACAGCAAATTAAGAACAAGGAAAATTAGACAATAAAATTTCTTTACGGAAACTGGTGTAAAATAATAAATAAAATTTTCGTCGCAAATCTAACGCAAAAAAGTTTTTTTTATAAATACCCGTTTTACTAACCATGGACCATGGAAACTAAATAATAATCCGTTTAATTCAAAAAAGATGTTATTTGATTAAAAAATTTCATCTTATAAGTTTTACAAATACAAGTATTTTATCATCTATGTGAAATGCATTATAATATCATATTTTAATTTATAAAAGAATTCAAGTTTTAGAATTCCACGTTCTTTGAAAATAAAATTTTGGTTTCACAAAATTTTTTAATCCAATTATATTTTTGCAATTTTGGCTTTTTAATTTCTGTCATAAAAAAGTTGGAGAAAAATATTCTTGATATTATTTGCATTTTTGAGCATTTCGAAGAATTTTGTTTTTCCTGAATATAATATTATTCAAGAGAGGTAAAGCAAACCAGCTTTTTAATAACATAAATAATAAAATAAAAATTTAATCTTGAGCTAATTATTTAATACGGCTGCTACAGAAAACAAGATTCCACTTTTTCAAAATCCATCACAGTGCCGGTGATGATGTTCGGGAAGTCACTTGTCTTGTCTTGCTTGTACTTCATCAGCAGTCTTTCGCTGATGAAAGATCCACACAAAGACACAAACCCAACTCGGACAAACTCCTTCCTGCGCTCGGAATAAATTTCTATTGCTGTGGACAGCGACTCCCAGCTCTTCAGTTCACTTCCACTCAAGCTAACGAATCGGTACCCCACTAAGAGAGAGTTGTACAATTTCTTGACATCCTCCAAAATGTCCAGGTAGACGTCATACTCCTTCTCTCGGCTGTTTTCAACTAATGCGAACAATTCGGCCGCTGTTGTTTGGTTAGGAGAGGCGGTTTCAGGTTCAGGGAAATATTGGCGGCCGACGGTGATCATCTTCAAAGGCAGATCTTTGACGGAAATTTGCGATTTGGTGAACAGGGCGCAGAAAGCAGCTCGAGAAGCGCCACCGACAAGGTGCAGATTTGAGTCTGGGGAATTGTTTTCTTCCGACTGCAGAATCAAAAGGGACTTTGGATCACGGTGCTTCAGACAACAGCCCTCAGCTACCACACTTTTCACAAAGTCGCAATTTGAAGTTTTCACGTAGTCTTTTTCGAAATTCTTGTAACACAAACTGGTGAGAAAAAGTTCCAGATGCGTCCGGGCTTCAGTCACATCTCCTTTGCCTGCATCTTGAAAGTTTTCCAGGGCTGGGTGGAGCTTATTAAGAGGCCAAGATTCGCAATTGAAAGCTATTTTGCTTTTATCCAGCGGCGTTTTGGGATGAATTTTGTTAGGCAGGTGTAAATATTTGAGGACGACGTTCTCCTCCAGAGCTGCAATTTCCTTTGACATGCTTTTAAAATTCTCTTTCAACATCTTGACCATGGCTGTCAAAGGTTTTATTTCTTTCTCATTCTTAGTTTGGTCTTTTAAAAGTTCGTGCAGCTCTTTAGATTTTGCTTGTCTCTTCTGTTCTAGATTCAATTTAGTGGCTTTTACATTTTCCAAAAATTCCCACGACTCTTTGAGTTTCTCGACGTCAATGTCTGTCCTGCCTCGAATTGCAAGCATGCTTTTTAATTCTTCAATGTTTTTCAATTTTTCCTCAAAGTTTAAGCTGGGAAGCAGGATGGCAGTAGTTTCTTTAGCTCGGAGGGCCGACACAAAAAGGGCGGAGCATTTTCTTGGTGCGGAGAAATGAAGTTTCCTGGGGAGAACCAGGAAACGAGACAGGCCAACTCTCAAAACCATTATTCTGCAGTTTCTTCTGAAACCATCGAAGCGTCGTCAGTCTCAGTACCTTGGGTCACAATTTTCCTGCGCTTCGGCAACTGGAAATTGCCAAAGCCGGCGGCTTTCTCCGAATCCTCAACGCTGTACGGCTCAAGTTCCAGAGCTTTCAGTCTCCTCTTGTGCACCTTTGTGCGAAAGTGGTCTTGAAGAGCGTTGTCGGTGATGAAATATCGACTGGAACACAAAATGACCTTTAATTTTTAGACACTGTAAAAATTTTAAATGAATCGATATAAATTGGTTGGATAAAAATTAAAAATAAATTTCACTTTTAATCAAAATTTCTTTGAAATTAGATGATTTATAAATTTTATTTATATGAAAAACTTACGCGCAATGAAGGCAATAATGCTGTGCCTCTCCTGGTTTATCGAGATCAATTTCCTGGTTCAGAAGTTGATCCGCCTTTTCTGGTTGTAAATCAGCGTCAATCTGAAAAAATTTAGTTGTAATTTCAAGTACGCACATTGCGAAAAAAATACAGCGTTTGAAAAAATGCAGATGAAAACTTACCTCATCCAAATCTTTGGTGCGCCGTTTTGTTCGCCAACCTTTCTTCAAGTGCGTGTCTCCCTTGTGGTACTTCCTCCTCTTGTAAGTCATATCGTACGTTCAGAAGTGGGTATTTTCAGCGGCATCGGCCTGTAGATCTGATTTTAAAAACGAGCTTTGAATATTCATAAACAAAGGAGCCGACAAGAAAAAGAATCTTCGAGTTCTTGTGCACGTGCGTTGCTACCTGCTACATATGGTGGAGCAGGCTTGCCAACTTGTCGGCAAGTTCCTGACAATAATTCAAAGTTGTCGAGTTTTGTTAATTTAATTTTTTTTTTTTAGTTTCTCCGATAAATTGCAATAAATTAAACACATTATTTAATTTTTAAGACTGATCTTATTTACAACATAATTTAATTGTAAACTTTTTTATTTCTATATAATTATCTAATACATTAAATATATTTTATATGTTGCATCTAGGATCGATATTCTGAAATTATTAAAAGATGAGAGGATAGTACAGCACTTAATGCTCTTTTTGCATTTTTAATCAAGGCACTTCTCACTTTTTTGTTGAAACTTAACGATTAACGCAATCCTGGAGAGCAAATTAAAGTATGTCGTATACAACACGGATTGATTCACAATTTTTTTAAAGGGCATTCTTTACCATTATTCAGAGAAAAATAAAAAATAAAGATTCTAAAGATGAGCTCAGATTAATAAATTTGCAGTCACAGAACACGAGAGATCACAAATTCTTAGCCAACCATGGCAGAGTTGTTCACTTCTAAAAGTTAGTAGAGTATTCCTAATTCTCCAGTGTTTGTGCCGTACATCATTCCCTGGCCAGAAATGGGCGCCCAGCGCATGCAATTAATGCCTCGATATGTGCATGATGCGTCACTGTGTTGCATCAAATATTTCAATGACTCCAAACTACTAGGCTTAGCATTGTAATAAGGGTTATCATTCGGCGGAACTCTGAAGATCTGAGCCATAGGGTACCGTTCCCTTCGAAATGCCAGGAGACGGTTTGCTGCAAAACCCACTAACAGGAACTGGGTGCTTGGTGAGAAACTAATGGAAACGACGTTACGAGCCAGCGAATGTGTGAAAAGGAGATGACCTAGAGACTCTTTCCCTAGACTGTAGACGTCTGAAAATTAATAATTATTAATTTAGTAATTATTTTAATCTAATCGATGGGTTTTACTTATTTTCACGTCGTGAGAATGGCACTCGGGGATGATGGCAGCCAATAGCTGACTGCAGGAGGAGATGCTCACACTGGAGTCGTTGTTGATCTTGCACTTAGGAACAACAATGTTTTTCAAAGAGTCTGAAATGTCTGGTGGAAAATCCAGTACGTTGAAGGTCCAGCACTGAATCCTGTGATTTACATGGATGTTTGCAAAAATGTAGCCTGCAAAAAAAAAATGAAGAATAATGACATTTTAATATTTAATTGACCAAGTTAGAAAAATATAGCCCGAAATTTTACTTATATACACATATTATATTATAATTAATTATAAAAATCAATGTGCACAACTGCAACGGTCTTATCTTTAAAAATAATTTGAAATTCTATATAATGAAACACTATTCAAATATATTTATACCTCTCTCTCCAGGAGTTGGCTGTCGAGAACCACTAGCTGCCTCGTTGGGCGAATGAATGATTAAGTTGCTTTGGGTAATAATGTTAGAGTTCCATCTGCCAACCCTGCAAAAGTTTCTTATTACATTTAAAACAATTTAATTGTGAAATTAACAAACCTCAAAGGACGAAACCTCCGATATCTTTCAGTCAAGGAGGGAACTCCTCCAGACCTTGACCTAACAGCCTGGGGTGCCGGAACGGCTGGAGCCTCTGGTTCGACAGCGTCGTTTTCACTGTCGGAAGACATCTCATGCACATAACTGGCAAACATAGAGAAAAGCTGGTTGGCAAACTCTCTGACAAAAAGTCTCCTGTTCTGCTGAGTGGTTAGAGTACGGCTGGCCTCATTTCTGCTCAGAAAACTGGACGAAACAGGAATCCTCCTCCGCGACTGAGGGGTTGTCGAAGATCTTCTTGCAGGCAGAGAAAGACGCACCCTTTCCTGAGTGCCTGCATTTCCACCCATAATTGCATAGGCCAGTGACCATGGAGATGAGGATGGACTTGAGGTTGAAGACGAACTGTCGCCAGGAGAATTGGAGGTGCTTGTGCTTGCAGTTGCAGACGTGGTAGGAACAGCGTTGTAGCGCAGAAGTGGGTTAGGTGGCCTCTGGCTTGTTAACAAATAGGATGGCAGTCTTTCTGGTGGTTCAATCTCTCCGTTGGATTGGTTGTCTGGTTGCTGAGGTGGCCTAGACGCAGCAGACTGAAAATTTCAGTAATCATTTGAAATATAAATTTCATTGGATATAAGTAAAGAGTTACGGTTATGGTTCGTCTCTCCGGTTCCGCAGCTCCACCTGACGGAGGTACCCTGGATGTGTTTTCTCTAGGTCTAGTAGATTGCTCTGATTAAGTTGCACAAAATTTATCTGCTTTAACTTACCTAACACTTGAGACTTCTCCAGGCTCACTGTCATCGCTCACCGTATGAGCCTCGACGACAGAGGCGGAGTAAAGAAGTCTGTTAGCTATGCCGGTGATTAAAAAATGACCAGTTGAATCAAAAGTGACATATCTGGAAGAATAAGGACATTTTTATTACAGGCGACACGGGAAATTCAATCTCTTTGTCTAACCTGACTCGCTCTTTCTCATGCTTGGTGCTGATTTTCATGAAAGGGGTTTTCCTGCTCCAGTCCCAAAACAGGAGCTCGTTGTGAGTTGCAATCACTAAGAGACAGTCTGAAGTGGGGTGGAAAGCTATTGACGCAATCACAGTTTGACCCCCAGAACACCAAACCTCACTTGCACCCTAGAAATGGAGAACGTTCAATTTATGAATAAATTTTATCTTTTAGAGAAAGCAATTTAATTTACACAGAGATCCCAGACCCTGACTTCTCCTCCGAGACAGCCAGAAGCCAACAAGTCGTTGTTTGAGGGGTGAAATGCCAGGCACCAGGGGGTTCTGGGGTGTCCACTCAGCTGTCGGACACATCTGCCGGTCGCCACCTCACTTACGTAGATTATATGATCGCCGTGGGTAGATGCAACAAGTTTTCTGAAAGTAAAATATCTCATAGTCGAAATTCATCAATTTTTTGTTTTTATTTACCCATTAGGACTAAAAACCATAAGGAACGTTGACCTCGTCATAGGTGGAATGTGGAATTTCTAAAATAATCATCAAATGCATGATTAATAAATCACTTTCTTCTTTCAATCGATCATGACGCAAGTAAACTGAGAAATGAGAAATCACATACCCGGTCTGCATATTCCTCTTTGTCAACCAGAGCGGTTTCCGCAGCCACCTTTAAACCTCTGGCAAACACATGGTCCGAACATCCACTCTGGCGGTTTTGCAGCGAAAAGGGCAGGCTCTGTTTCTTAGCACCTTTTGACACAGGCTCTCCTCCAGCATATCCATGGCCTGCAGCTTGAGTTTCGGCCATCAAAGAAAGCCGAGTTGCGATTTGAGCCTGGGAATGAGAGTCCTGCAACGAGTTGTAAACAAAAATCAGCCAAACATTTTTCAATTCATGAACTCCCTTTGTCAAGTCATGAAAAAGAGATGAAGTCAAGTGAATTATGGGCCAGGGAAAAAGTCGTGGCCATGTCATTGAAGGAGGGATTTGTTCGGAAAACGCTTGCCTTGCTCACCGACGCATCTATTTAGCAATCGAGAAATTCGCCACCGCAAAAGGGAGTAGCAATCAGAGAATTAAGAGAGCTGAAAATAAAATTGTGTTTGGGTTCGGCTGTTTGTGTTTATGAAATTTTCGACACTCCGTTCCGCGAGCGCCAGCTGTGCGAGTGCCGTCTGAACTGAGGCGGTGCTGCCCTCTGCTGTACTTGCAACTTGCAGGATTTTTAATCGCTTTATTACAAACTTTACTTTTGTGTTTTTTAATAATAAACGTCATTTGGTGTTTATTTCGTTTAGTTATAAACATTACTCTTTGTATTTAAATAAACAAAACAATAAATATTCCAGGGCGGCGCGGTAGAAAAACTGGTATTGCTCCTGAAAAAAAGAAAAATTTTTAAAAATTTAAGCAAGAAAAAATGGTCAGGAGCACCGACTCCTCAGGAGCGCCGACTCCTCAGGAGCGCCGGCTCCTCAGGAGCGCCGGCTCCTCAGGAGCGCCGGCTCCTCAGGAGCGCCGGCTCCTCAGGAGCGCCGGCTCCTCAGGAGGCTCCTCAGGAGCGCCGGCTCCTCAGGAGGCTCCTCAGGAGCGCCGGCTCCTCAGGAGCGCCGGCTCCTCAGGAGCGCCGGCTCCTCAGGAGCGCCGGCTCCTCAGGAGCGCCGGCTCCTCAGGAGCGCCGGCTCCTCAGGAGCGCCGGCTCCTCAGGAGCGCCGGCTCCTCAGGAGCGCCGGCTCCTCAGGAGCGCCGGCTCCTCAGGAGCGCCGGCTCCTCAGGAGCGCCGGCTCCCAGGAGCGCCGGCTCCCAGGAGCGCCGGCTCCCAGGAGCGCCGGGCCGGCTCCTCAGGAGCGCCGGCTCCTCAGGAGCGCCGGCTCCTCAGGAGCGCCGGCTCCTCAGGAGCGCCGGCTCCCAGGAGCGCCGGCTCCTCAGGAGCGCCGGCTCCTCAGGAGCGCCGGCTCCCACGAGCGCCGGCTCCCAGGAGCGCCGGCTCCTCAGGAGCGCCGGCTCCCAGGAGCGCCGGCTCCTCAGGAGCGCCGGCTCCTCAGGAGCGCCAGCTCCCAGGAGCGCCGGCTCCTCAGGATCGCCATCTCTCCATTTTTTCCACAATACATAATAATCATTTACTTAACTCGCTTAATTTATCTTCGTTCTGAGTTTCTTAATAGAGAGAATTAAGGTGTTGTTATATGAAAATCGGATCATTTTTCCAATTTTTAGGGCAATTTTCATTAATTAAAAAGATTTTAAAATTCAAACTGCCCTAATAATTGGAAAATGATCCGATTTTGATAAAAATTTATTTTTAGCATCTCCTTGATGTGCCCAATCGAATGATGTATCGCACATGCCTTTCCGGAAAAGTTTTGGTTTTCTCAAAAGGGGTCGGAAAAATCAGCGTCGCAATGCACGCAGCGCGGTACTTGTATCCGTCGATGAAACTGGCTTTGATGTAGTCCGAGCCTTCCATGCCCTTGATCGGCTGCAGACACACTCGGGTGGCCTCGTAAGGCAGAATGTGGACGAGCCTGTTTTTGGGCTTGTTGCACATGTCATCATGTTGGCAGTCACAAAACGCGTCCCGTCCGCCAGCTAATTGTTTAATTTCTAAAAATAAAAACAAATAAGAAATGAAAACACTTTCTTTCAAATAAGTTGTAAATCACAATGAAAAACTATTATACTAAATCATTACCCTCAAAAATTACATAAAACAAAAAATTTAATAACTATTGAAACTGTTTTTCCTCATCATTTTTTCCAAAAAATCCAATTTAACCATTATTTCCAAGACCATTAGTTAATTCATTATAACAATTTAACAAATATTAAAGTGTATATCAACAACGACCAAATTTTTTTTTTTAATATCATTAGTTTTGGATAGGATGCATCAAAACTCATCAATAGGGACTAAAATATTTTAAAAATAACACTAATTTTAAAGTTTACAGTCGTCAGAAAAGGTCTCGATCATCGTAATTCCGTCATTCGAAGACAATTTTTTAATTATATACATTTCGCCAATGGCTAAACCAAATTTTTTGAAAAATTAGAGCTGGACGTAAAAAGACATGGCGCGCGCATCTTTTGACAATCTCAGATCTTTGTTCTAGTTGCATACTTTCAAGGGGCAGAAAAATTTAATTTTTGACCTTTTGCCAGGGTCAATGACTTTTAAATTACAAACTTTGTTTCCACTGATAAAAGATACCTTGGTTTATTAGCTTCAACTTCCCGCAGAGAAAAGTAAAAAATGTTCACTCGTTTTAATTTGACAGGAGTTTTAGTAAACCCTTAAGTATCTCCTGCGGCCATATTGAAATTTGAAAAATATGAAATTTTTTATTACTTGGTTATTTTGGAAGAGCGATGGTTCTTTCCCGAGGAGCGATGGCTCTTTCCCCAGGAGCGATGGCTCTTTCCCCAGGAGCCATGGCTCTTTCCCGAGGAGTTATTAAATAATAATTAATTATTTAATATTTAAAAGCACATTGCGTTGCTTGTGCGTCGCTTTTTGCGCAAGGAGGGCTTTACCCTCCTTACTTGTGCGGCCAACATAATTATGCGAGCACTGAGAAATCCGAGACGGTAGAAGGAACTCCTTCTGGATCTGTAAACGCGCGGTTTCGGTAATGATTTAGAGTTGCGGACAAAAAAATTGTCGAGTGCGAAATGTAATCGGACGTTAACTGCTGCAAAACTGAGAAAAAGAACGAGCCACCAAAGCGAGCGTGCTCCGACGGCCATCTCTTAATTAAGCTTTAATTTAAAAACACAAAGTGGCGTTTATTTAAAAACACAAAATAACAAAGTAATTATTATTATTGGTGTTTAGGAATAAAGTAATTTAAACTTGTCAATACAATTTTTTGTTTTACTTTTAATTTATAATTAATTCTTTTTTTTTAAAACTGAACTTAAAAAGTTTATTTCGGCTGATTAGTGATTGTGTCATTAAAATTTATTAAATTTTAAATAGAAAGGAATTATGAAGCTTAAATTATATTATAATGTTGTGAGAAAATTTTTGTTCTGAAATATAAAAGCTAGTATGCGAGCGAAGCGTGCAAAATTATTCGCTTAAAACATTACTTGCAAAAAAATATTCAAAGGGTTACATATATATATTTTTACATAACGATTTGTCAATTTTACTACTTCCTTTTTAATTAGATTTAAGACGCAGTTTTAACCATTATTTCCAAGACTATTAGTTAATTCATTATAGCAATTTAACAAATATTAAGAAAAAGACATTATTATAAATGTATCAAAGTTATCATCTGTGATCTTTTCGTAACTTCTACACATCATTTAAAATTCATTTTTTAGACCTTAAATTATATTAATTTAATTTAATTGAACTAAGAATTAGTCATTTTTTTTTTTACCTTAAATTCAAGCTCCATTCCTGTGGGTTGATCAGGTGCGATTGGAGCTATGAGCAGTCTTTGCAAGTGAGAGTGCAGACTTCGGGCGGGAACTTCGGAGTTGCCGCAAATGAAGTGCTCAAGCAGAGCGTCGTTAATAAAAATATACTGGTCTTCAGTCTGGAAAAAAGCAAATTATGAATTTTTCCATAAAAGGAGCCCAAGGAGCAATGGCTCTTTCCCGAGGAGCGATGGAGGAAAAAGGGACAAATTTTTAAAAATTTTAGCAGGAAAAAATGGAGCTAAAATTGAAGAAATATAATTCCTGAGTTTAAAAAAATAAGAATTTTGTATTAAATTATAACTTAAAATCATTTATTTGATTTATTTATTGAATCCTTTAATAATTTAATTTTGGCAAATAATTCCATTCTATGCTTTATAAATTGAATTAGCTAAATATGTAAAATTACTCAAATTCATTAAATTATGAGTTTCGTTACCTCCGTTTGGACCATCGCTGTTCTCTGCGTCCTCAAAATTCGCGCATGTGGGAATTTTGGGAACGCCTTGCTCTGGCCAGTCCACAAACTGGAACTGACGAATCGTCCGCGACTGCTGTCTCTCGAATCAGATATCTAATTAAATTAATTTTATATTTAATTTTTTTAATGGAAAGCAAATACTTTGAATTCTCTCAGAATGTACTGGGGCATGTTGTACTCAGCAATTGGGTCCACCACTAAGCAATCGTAGCGCACGGACCATTCGTTTGGCCAGTATTGGAAACATTTTTCCTAAATTTTTTTGAAAATTAGAAAAATTTATGATGAAACATTTGAATTTCTCACTCGGCCCATTTCTTTGAGTTTGGTGAGCAGGACGATAATGGTCGAGTTGCGCTCCCACAGCATGCGCCAAAGGTTCTCCGAGGTGTGGGCCCGAGGTCCTTGCGTCGCAATGTACGCAGCGCGGTACTTGTATCCGTCGATGAAACTGGCTTTGATGTAGTCCGAGCCTTCCATGCCCCTGATCGGCTGCAGACACACTCGGGTGGCCTCGTAAGGCAGAATGTGGACGAGCCTGTTTTAGGGCTTGTTGCACATCATGTTTGGCAGTCACAAAACGCGTCCCGTCCGCCAGCTAGTTGTTTAATTTCTAAAAATAAAAAACGAATAAGAAATGAAAACACTTTCATTCAAATAAGTTATAAATCACAATGAAAAACTATTATACTAAAAATCATTACCCTCAAATATTATATAAAACAAAAAATTTAATAACTATTGAAACTGTTTTTCCTCATCATTTTTTCCAAAAAATCCAATTTAACCATTATTTCCAAGACTATAAGTTAATTCATTTTAACAATTTAACAAATATTAAAGTGTATCTCAACAACGACCAAATTTTTTTTTTAATATCATTAGTTTTGGATAGGATGCATCAAAACTCATCAATAGGGACTAAAATATTTTAAAAATAACACTAATTTTAAAGTTTACAGTCGTCAGAAAAGGTCTCGATCATCGTAATTCAGTCATTCGAAGACAATTTTTTAATTATATACATTTCGCCAATGGCTAAACCATATTTTTTGAAAAATTAGAGCTGGACGTAAAAAGACATGGCGCGCGCATCTTTTGACAATCTCAGATCTTTGTTCTGGTTGCATACTTTCAAGGGGCAGAAAAATTTAATTTTTGACCTTTTGCCAGGGTCAATAACTTTTAAATTACAAACTTTGTTTCCACTGATAAAAGACACCTTGGTTTATTAGCTTCAACTTCCCGCAGAGAAAAGTAAAAAATATTCGCTCGTTTTAATTTGACAGCAGTTTTAGTAAACCCTTAAGTATCTGCGGCCATTTTGAAATTTGACAAATATGAAATTTTTTTATTACTTGGGTATTTTTGAAAGAGCGATGGCTCTTTCCCGAGGAGCGATGGCTCTTTCCCGAGGAGCGATGGCTCTTTCCCGAGGAGCGATGGCTCTTTCCCGAGGAGCCATGGCTCATTCCCCAGGAGCGCCGGCTCCTCAGGAGCGCCGGCTCCCAGGAGCGCCGGCTCCTCAGGAGCGCCGGCTCCTCAGGAGCGCCGGCTCCTCAGGAGCGCCGGCTCCCAGGAGCGCCGGCTCCTCAGGAGCGCCGACTCCCAGGAGCGCCGGCTCCCAGGAGCGCCGGCTCCTCAGGAGCGCCGGCTCCTCAGGAGCGCCGGCTCCTCAGGAGCGCCGGCTCCTCAGGAGCGCCGGCTCCTCAGGAGCGCCGGCTCCTCAGGAGCGCCGGCTCCTCAGGAGCGCCGGCTCCTCAGGAGCGCCGGCTCCTCAGGAGCGCCGGCTCCTCAGGAGCGCCGGCTCCTCAGGAGCGCCGGCTCCTCAGGAGCGCCGGCTCCTCAGGAGCGCCGGCTCCTCAGGAGCGCCGGCTCTTCAGGAGCGCCGGCTCCTCAGGAGCGCCGGCTCCTCAGGAGCGCCGGCTCCACAGGAGCGCCGGCTCCTCAGGAGCTCCGGCTCCTCAGGAGCGCCGGCTCCTCAGGAGCGCCGGCTCCTCAGGAGCGCCGGCTCCTCAGGAGCGCCGGCTCCACAGGAGCGCCGGCTCCCAGGAGCGCCGGCTCCTCAGGAGCGCCGGCTCCTCAGGAGCGCCGGCTCCTCAGGAGCGCCGGCTCCTCAGGAGCGTGGCTCCTCAGGATCGCCATCTCTCCATTTTTTCCACAATGCATAATAATCATTTACTTAACTCGCTTAATTTATCTTCGTTCTGAGTTTCTTAATAGAGAGAATTAAGGTGTTGTTATATGAAAATCGGATCATTTTTCCAATTTTTAGGGCAATTTTCATTAATTAAAAAGATTTTAAAATTCAAACTGCCCTAATAATTGGAAAATGATCCGATTTTGATAAAAATTTATTTTTAGCATCTCCTTGATGTGCCCAATCGAATGATGTATCGCACACGCCTTTCCGGAAAAGTTTTGGTTTTCTCAAAAGGGGTCGGAAAAATCAGCGTCGCAATGTACGCAGCGCGGTACTTGTATCCGTCGATGAAACTGGCTTTGATGTAGTCCGAGCCTTCCATGCCCTTGATCGGCTGCAGACACACTCGGGTGGCCTCGTAAGGCAGAATGTGGACGAGCCTGTTTTTGGGCTTGTTGCACATGTCATCATGTTGGCAGTCACAAAACGCGTCCCGTCCGCCAGCTAATTGTTTAATTTCTAAAAATAAAAACAAATAAGAAATGAAAACACTTTCTTTCAAATAAGTTGTAAATCACAATGAAAAACTATTATACTAAATCATTCCCCTCAAAAATTACATAAAACAAAAAATTTAATAACTATTGAAACTGTTTTTCCTCATCATTTTTGCCAAAAAATCCAATTTAACCATTATTTCCAAGACCATTAGTTAATTCATTATAACAATTTAACAAATATTAAAGTGTATATCAACAACGACCAAATTTTTTTTTTTAATATCATTAGTTTTGGATAGGATGCATCAAAACTCATCAATAGGGACTAAAATATTTCAAAAATAACACTAATTTTAAAGTTTACAGTCGTCAGAAAAGGTCTCGATCATCGTAATTCAGTCATTCGAAGACAATTTTTTAATTATATACATTTCGCCAATGGCTAAACCAAATTTTTTGAAAAATTAGAGCTGGACGTAAAAAGACATGGCGCGCGCATCTTTTGACAATCTCAGATCTTTGTTCTAGTTGCATACTTTCAAGGGGCAGAAAAATTTAATTTTTGACCTTTTGCCAGGGTCAATGACTTTTAAATTACAAACTTTGTTTTCACTGATAAAAGATACCTTGGTTTATTAGCTTCAACTTCCCGCAGAGAAAAGTAAAAAATGTTCAATCGTTTTAATTTGACAGGAGTTTTAGTAAACCCTTAAGTATCTCCTGCGGCCATATTGAAATTTGACAAACATGAATTTTTTTTATTACTTGGGTATTTTTGGAAGTGCGATGGCTCTTTCCCGAGGAGCGATGGCTCATTCCCCAGGAGCGAACTGCTCCGATTGTTGATTGAATCGTCCATCTCGGCACAATAGCCAAGCGACGATAATTTCTTCGCCTCCACTTTTCTCTTGCTGGATTGAGATAGATGAAACGAACAAATGATCCGTCGCCACATTCCCAAGCCAAACCACACAGCATCTTACTTAGTCGTGTCAAATTGCGAGAAAAAGCAGAGAAAGTAATTGCTTGAGCAAATATATAGAATACTCTTGCTGCGAGAGAAATAAGAAATAATAATTGAATATATATTTCTTCTCGACAGGGAAATTGTATTATTCTGATGCGCGCCTAGAAGTGACCGCGGCGAATATAATTTGTCTCGAAAATATGAAAAAACATTTTTCACAACCGGCACGACTTTCGCCTCCCGCCGTGTTATTCTGCAAAATGTATCATCAGCACTTTCCAGTCAGCTCTGTTTCAACATAAATTCTTGTGATTCCAACTGAAAATGCAATTTGACACACAAAAAAGCAATAAAAATACCAAAATCTCAATAACCAATCATCAATTAAATAAAAAAAAATAATAATATAATAAGCTACTATAAAATCTGCTATTTTTTCAACATTAAAATAATTAAATTTCTGTTATAATTCCAATTATTTGTTTTCAGTTTATTAAAAAAAAAAAAAGCTTTCAAACCTGTTTCAAACTTCAAATTGCCGCAACAATACTGTCCAGATTAATAATATTTATTTCTTTATGAAAGATTCTAAATTAGGGATGAACGCTTAAAACTTTTATCAAACCTAACAGAAATGCTAGCGGGACTTATCACGCAAATGCAGATAACAAAAACTTCAGTATCATTATTACCATAAAACTATTTCTTCAATAAAATTTTATTATTAGTTCATATAATTATTTCAATATTTACTCCATTTGAAAATTAATTTAAAATTAAATTTTTCATCAGTCTACTGAGTGTGAATCAACTTTGCGTATCTAATATAAAAGTATTTAATTTATGTTTTGTTTAAAAATATCTTGCCTGTTTTTGAGGAAACTGTTGAAATGTAAATTTTCAGGAATAGACCTCCAGGGTAAATTATGAAGATGTTTCATTTTACTCTGCAAAATTTCACCCATCAAAATATGATTGATTCACCTTGCCGGTTCGGAGTGACGTGCAAGGCAAAGTCACCTGCTGTTGTTGTTGCAGCACCGATCATCGGCACCATCAATCACAAAGCATCGGAATTCTCACGAATCTCTCAAATTCTCCCAAGCCAGGACCCGAATTGCAAACGGTTGCATAACGGCAGCACTTTAATTAACTATAATCCTGCATAGTACGATACACACACATAGAGACAATCGGCCGGGGCACCTTTCCAATTTTTGCAATGCCCTTGTCGGTGCCGCCGATGGGAATTTGAATTTCACCTCTTCGCTCTTCTCCCGCGCTGTTTGGTCATTACCGTGAATTAATGGTCTCATTGTTGCTCTTTGGCCCTTTCCATACGTAGTGTGACCCATAAATATTCCGGCCGATCGCACGCAAAACACATTTCCACGGCGGCTGCAATTAGTTTCGGTGCGCACCCAGAAATAACCACACGGTTATGAGAATCCAATAAGACGTGTGTATTTATGTGCGAACTGCAAAAGCTGCACTTAAACCACTGACAACGTCAACAGAAAAAAACTTAAACAAGATAAATTAAAGCAATAAAACTCTGCCTATTACAACCATTGCATTCATTGAGTAACGGAGTTTGACAAAGTGAACCTTTTTAATGTGGAAATGATCCATGTACCCGCATGTACCTTTCCAACAAAAATTAAGAATTATCTTCCTTTCGACTTTTAATTAGAAATTTCAATTTTCTCGAAACAGATTTTCCAATACTGAATTTTATATTAAAATGTTAAAAAATTGAATTAGAAGAAAAAAGACATTTAAATCAGTATATATTTTTAATTTTAACTTGCAGCAATGTTTGATTTTTTTCTGTTTTGTGACATTGGATGTTTTTTCTCTCAGTTGCAGAAATTCACATGAGAAATATTTATATTTTCTGAAAATTAAACAAGAATTTTAAAAACAAAATATTCATTTTAGACATACAAATATAATTTCGTAAACGCTGGCCAACAGTTTTTAGAACTCAAAATAATATTCTCTATTTTATTTTATATTTTTTTTTAAATAATTCAGATTCAATTCAATTCACCGGCAGATTTAAACCGTAAATAATTCAATTCAATTCAATTTTATTGTTGTTCTGTTAGACAAGAATATTAACAGTAGTCTTTAGAACATGTCAGGTCTAAAATTAATCATCAAAATTGTTCGCCTTAAATAACAAAAATTGAAAAAGAAATTTATAAATTTATGATTAAATGTAATTTATTTTTAAAAGTTATCAACTATAATGATAAAGGTTTTTGCTCGACGCCATTCCTATTAATCATGAAATATTAAAGAAAACTATACAATGATGCAGTTTTGCTCTTTTGTACAATCAACTCTCGGCGAACACATGCCCAATTTTATTGTTTGCTTCGGCGTAATTCATTGTCAGCCGGGCACATCTCGCATCGAAGAGATGTGAGCACCATTCGCACATTGTTCTCGTCGCCCTTTTATATCTCTCGTGTGAGAACCAAATTGTTTCCAAACGTAATACATTAGCAACACAACCTATTTGTTCGTACAAGTACTTTTCACATTGCACAACTTGGAAATTATTCTCGCTCAATCAGATTGAAATTTTCGCTCCTCTTGTCGTCGGCTCTCATCAATAACCCTTGGCCGGTGTATTCAATTTACACACTCGTTTCGAAATTCTTCAGAGAAAATAAATTTGCTGTCGAGAAGAGATGCGTCAGTCGATTATAGAACACGCTGTAAATTTCTCTCCTCGCCGAAAAAATTGAAATTCTATTTACTTTTTCGGTTCCCATGACAAGAGATCAGACCAATCTCCCTGTCAAGAATATCTCACGAATGCGGTTTGTGAAAAGTAAAAATGCGACAAATCCGTGTAAAGCTGCAGCCGCAAAAGTGACAGAGTGACTTGTTGGTTAAAATCCACGACGAATTATTTTCCGCCGAGACTCGGCGGGGAGTCGAATTTCAAAATCGTCGCGTTTCCGAGAGACTCCCGGGGCGAGATGATCCTCCAACTTTGAATGGACTGAACCGAGGGTCATGCAAATGGAAATCTCATCCTCAATGTTTGACAGTGAGAAGCTCATTTATAATTGTTATCTGGGCCTTTAATCTCTGCAGAGGTTTGTTCCTGACGCGGCGAACAACTTCTGGCATTTGTTTTTGTTTTCACTTTTTCGCGTCTCACAATAATCATGAGGCGCACACACGTGCGTTTTATGGCAATGGCACCTGCGTTTCCCTTTCCTTTGAGGCTCGCGAAATTTAGCTGTGCATGACCCATGCGACCTATCGATGATCTTTATTGGGCATGGCTTTCATCAAGATTGCTTTATGTGCTGGGCTATTAATTGCCTTAATGACGATGCAAAGAAAATTTGCATTGGAGTTTCCTATTCGAAAATATATGACTATTGAATTTACATTCTCAAATTTGTAAGTTTCAAGATGAATCAAGTTGACTGTTTCTAATTTGCATTGAATGAATGATTATTCCATCTAATATAATTCAGCTGGATTTTTTTATGTTTCAAATTTCTGAAAGTATTGAGAGGTTTGTTCACGATTGAGTTTAAGCTTTTTTTTATTTACTTTCAAAGAATTTAAAAATATACCATATTTATTAAACAGATTAAAAGATTAAGGTCAAATTTTAGATTGATTATTAATGGTGATTTGATTTTTCAAATTATTTTATTAAATTTCTTAAATGATTTCAAGTATTGAGAAAAGAAAAGAAATTGCTGGAAAAAACAGCACCACCTGCACTAGCACTAGCAAGAATTTTCTAAAAAAAAAAAATATATAAATTTTTAATGTTTTTACTTTGAAGATCTTTGCCATTATAAGGACCTCTGTCTGTGAAGCAGTGACTGAGTAAAAATAAAGTCAATATTATTTTTTTTTTATCAAGAAGAGAAAATACTCTAATGGAATGTCTCTTTCTTTAATGAACGGTCCAAATTTTCTAAACCCTAATATTTTATTGCGGCCCTTGAACTACACGGATCCGTCCTTGATGAGCTTCCTGCTGGCAAAAAATTAATTGAACAACTTTAGCGATAAATCAAGTTTTTTTTATATTCGACGATTAAATTAGAAACCGTGATCATCTTTCGGTGGACGGACAAAAATGAAAGCTGCAGGTGGAGATCTAATTCCAGAAAGCGAGTGTCATTTTTTGTCAAAAGCAGCGATTAATTTAATACTCGCGGTGTGTACTTAATGGCGGTTGAATTACCCGCACTTGAATAAGCGCCCAGAAGTTAAATTATCTTTTATTTCTTTTTGCTGCCGAGAGATAAAATCAAAAGTGTTTCCGTGAAAAAAGAAGAAGAAGATCCGCCAGCAGCTTTCTTTCGCTTTGGGTGTGTGAGAGAAAATCTCTCTTGCTCTATTGCTGTTTGTTGTTTTTCGCGAGAGCTTAGAGTGAGATTTCGTCGGCTTATACAATAAACCACTCGTTTTGAAAAAAACAGTGAACAAGAAGGCGTTTGCCTCACTCATTTGCGTCCGTTTTTCTGCTTGGAATATAAACGACGGATGCTGCCGTGGTGAGAACCAGGCCTCGCCGTATAAAATAATATAATATAAGCGCTCTGTAAGCTGAATTAATTAATGCGTCTCTCTTCGGCCCAGTTGCTGAACAATGCAAAGTACTACATTCGGTGTCCCTTTTTCGATGGGAAAATAAATCGGAACATACTGTCCCTTTTAAACATTGCAAAATTATTCCTATTTTCTGTTTTCATTGACAAGAGTGGTTTCCACTTGGCGGATCACAAGTTCTTTTTAATTGAGCCGATTCTGTTTTAATTTGAACCTGACCATCTCTTGCCGAAACCGCAAATTTTCACGAACCAAGGATATAATACAACTTCTGGCTAATTTAATTACGAGTCTCTTCTGTGGTCGGATCGCAGCATGTAATTCTTAACATCCGTTTGTTAAAAATTGTACGCAAAACAGTACTTTAATTGAGTTTTGAAATGCTTCAATGATTTTTCCACCATTTAATTTGCCTCGGTAACATCGTGTTCCGAAACATAGTTTCTCAAGGAAAGGACGCGCGTGGCACTTTATTGCTTGTAACTTTTAGTAGGAATGTATAATTATGACTCTTCCCTATCAAGGAAATGTTAAGTGAGGGGCCACATTATTGAAAATGAAAACTCATTTCATAAGGCAGTACGACATTTAGTCAAGAATTCCAAGGATAATTTTAGTGTTAATAGAATTTTACAGTCTAAACTAGTCTGTTTTTAATTTTGCTAAATGCAACATAAAAATTAATAAAATTGATATAAAACTTCACTTTTTTAAATTGGTGTTTCACCGTCCAAAATTATCGTTTTTTTATTTAATTTAAGCGACCCGCGTAACCATTTAGTATTTTTTATTTTACAAAAAAAATTAATTTCAAATTTCAATGTAATTAATGAAATTTAAATTATGATGATATTTTTTTTATTACAAATCTGCAAATTTATTTACTAAAAATCTAAATGTCTGTATTGCTGAGGATATTGGCTTGAAAATTGTTAATAACCAGATAGTGCCAAGGATTTTCATTTTCCTCAATAGAATTATCAAGTCTTTGTCAGTAAATTTTTAATTATGGCCTGTACAGATCGGTGCTTTGTTTAATTTAGACAAATTATTCACGCCTTTGATAGGAAACGCCACAAACAACAACAAAATTCTCTCAAAAAGCGCCTTGAAATTCTTAACCTTTCATATTTTTTCTGCCATTTGGTATTTACACCAAATTCATGGCCACTTCTAACAACATTTTTAGTGTATTGTGTCGAACATGCATGCGATTTTTCCAGTGACGTCTCCATCTCACCTTTGGCGTTCGGTTTGGCAATGAATCCCGAAGCCAATTTTCCCATAGCCGTGACGCAGGAGCGTCCCAAAAAAATTAGTTATTAGTTAACAATGAGTTCGGCCGGCCCCAAAAATCCGCATCAGAAAAGTGAGCGTGGGAGAAATTTGATGTGTCTACATTTTTTGCATCACGAACCGGTCAAATTAATTCTCAATGCTACCGACTGGCCAGCCACGCTGATTGACAAACAAGCTAGAAACACTGACGCGGCAGAGCCCTTCACTGGCCGGCTGCTGGGAAAATTCGTCAACACAAAAAGTGTTCGTCTCTACGACCGGCCTTGCCTTTCTTATACGCGCGATATAAATAAGCTATTATCCTCGTTTATACCCAATGCAGTAAAAACTAAAGTGAAGTTGATGCAACCCGTTCCAACATTATTTTTATTTTCGAACATATCCTGTCTTGTTGCACCACAACACAACTTGAGTTTTGCCGAGAAAACAATAAAAATGGCGCGCGCGCGCGTGTAATTCCAAATATCCGGCCCAAGTTTTATAATGTATGCTAATAACAGAAAGGTGAAATTGATGAGAGGCCGTTGCGTAATTGGGAAAAGTATGGTAGCCGGTGCGAGTGCTGGCTGAGGTAATCGATTTGGGTTAAGAGAGAAAGAAGTCTCGCCTCGGTGATAATCACAGGACAAGCAGTGGCTTCTTTGATATTGGCAGGATAATGGGCCTGAAATGACATCACGCGCGTCAATAAACCGTGTCTCGTTCGTCCCATTGTCGAACAGTCAGAGTGAAGCACAATCAAGTGGAATTATCTTGAGGATAATAAATTGACGTTTCGGCTAAAAATTAAGTAAATTAAATCATTTTGAAATAAAATTGAATTTAATGAATGGCCTTAAAATTTGATGAAAAATAAGAAATGTAAACAAATTTTAAACCGATTTTTTTAATTGGCAATTATTGGCGCTATTGACACGAAGCGCTACTTTTTTTAAATTTAAAAATTAGAGAAATTATAAAATATGAGATATTCATATTACTTTTTCAAACTTACGTAAATTTTGTGACTAATAATTTTATTTAAATTTATTTTTAAATTGTCAATTACCAGTTTCAGCTGTTAAAGCCGTTTTCTATTTCTAAATATTGCATTCAGATTGCAATTTTGGCTTCTCCGATCATTAGCAACCGATAGATTAAAAAAAAAATGATTGGCCTTTCCGCGCGGCCGATCTTGAATAACAAATTTCGCAACTAATTTATCCAATATTAAAAGATATCGATACGCGATTATGACAGGTGCGCCTTGCATAAATATAAAAGAGCGATCTCAAAAGTGTGCCGCGTCCGTCAGCTTCGATTTAAACAAAAAGAGAAAAAGTTTTGTTGAGCAAATTTGTAAAGGCTTTCGCGACTAATAGACATTGTTATGGAGCGCATCAGCAAAAAAATACGATTATTATCTTTGCCGTCAAGTCAAGTGTCACGGGAGACCAAAAAAGGCCGAGTATTAATCAGCGCGTAAGGCACTTGAATAGCGTCGACGCTTTAATCATATCATCTTTCCACACGTCTCATTTCCTCGTAATTTCACTTTTACATTATTATATTGTTTCCAAATAGCGATTCGCCGCACGGCGAGAAAGAGAAGATTTGATTTTCTCGCTCAAGCAGATGGCAACCAATTTCACAATGAAAAAAAAAACCAACACCGACTGCAGCAAAATTAAAAATCACCCATGGCTCTTCACGGTGCGCGCCTCGTCAACAAAACATCTCACACACCACAATACGGCACTCTTGTATGGAGTGCGTTGAGGTTAAGGGCCAAATTAACCTCACGTGGATGCGCATAGTAGGTGAAACTCTCGCACCTATTTGCCGCCAAAGCAATTGAATTATAATCCGTCTCCGCTGCGTTTCCAATTGGAAATTATCCTTTGCGTTTTATTCAAATTCAGTTCCAACTCAACAAATATGCGCACCTTTTATAAAAGGGGAAAGTTTTGACTTTTGAGAGTGGAATTTTTAGAACAAATAATTGTAAGCTGCTTGTTTTAAAATTGATTGCTTCTAGTTTGGAAAATTTTATTTATATTCCTATTTGATAGAGAGGAATTCAGGTTAGCGAATTATCAGCAATTTGTTCGTAGTGAAATATGTCGGCGATTTCTACTCGATTATTTATATTTGCGTTAGATCGAGCGCTCCAGTGAAGTGAAGGCAGATGTGAAAATGAAAACAATTCTCAGTGAATTATGGAGCCAATTTTATTGTGTGCCAATATTCATTCGAGGTGTGTGGATGAAAAGGAAGGATTAGAAAACCTGCTACAGATTTTGATCGAATTGTTTACGCAACGTGAAATTATCATTTCAATTTTGTGTAGAAGCGCCTTGGGCGAAAAAATAGATTTATACATTTAGAAATCAATTGTGACATGACTTATTATTGGTTGTGACAAAACTAGATATGCCTGTAAATTTGAATAGAATGAATAAAAATTATAAAGGAAGAATTATTAATTAAAAAAAAAACATTTCGGAAGTAAAAAAAAAATATTTCATTCAAAATAGTTTTATAAAGGAGGGGGGTTTTATACAATTATATTTAAATTTTTCATTTAATTGAATTTAAAAAATTATTATAATGAAATACCATGTAATTGGCACATTTTTCCATATTTACATAAATATTTAAACATGATCTTGTTTTTCTAAAATTTATTTTGACCTAGACAAAAAATACTTATGACCATTTTAAATTTATTATTGTAATTCAACTTAAAAAACAAAAAAATCATCAAGGAGAGTGGATAAAGAATCATAATATTGAAATTAATTTTCTGAATTGAATTAACTTAACTGCTTATAGAATTATTTTACAGCTGATAAATGAATATTATTTTACATTTCGCATACAAGTTGTTTTAAAACCACATTTTTTCAGCTACAGCAGTTAATATCGAGATAGATCTAGTAGATCCGAAACTCGCATTTCTCTTTTTACAGAAAAAAATCGTGCCCACTATTAATTCGGGAATTATTGGGGCGAGTAATAGACGTTTTATATACTTTCAATTTTTAATGCTTGTTTTATTAATAATAATGTGTGTCTATTCGTATATAAATGTTTAAATAGTCCAATTTCTATCTCGTTAGAGTTTCTCTCCTAATTTGCGGCTGGACTAATTAATATGCAAAAAAGCCCCCTCTCTTTTCATGACGAATTAGTGCGCGCCTCTGCGTAAAGAATTCGCGAGTGAAACCGGCGGAGCATCTCGTACAACCAAATTGAATTAAATCGGTCCGCCCGGCAGACTTGTTTAATCGAGTGACCTCCTTAGCTCGGAAGTCCGTCGAGAGTGGAAGCACTTTTGACTTGTGGCGGGAGGAGCTCGCAGACTCTTCTGCCCTGCCAGGGGCCCAGGCAGTTAGTCGCTCGCTCAGACGCTCACCACGAGCACGGTGATTTCGACGCACGGCATTTTATTCTTTCGTTCGCAGTTTGTTCGCGTTGACCTGGTCCCCTTTTCTTGGATACCCGTCTTTGTTCTCCGACCAACCGATTCGACGTTCATGACCTCTGACCCGTGCTGGCGTGTGAGTTAATTTTCTGTCAATTGTCATACATCCCATTGAGGTTTCATTGGTGCACTGAACAACTTAGGGGTCAAAATGTCGTGTGACAATATAACGATTGCGAAAAGTGTGAACACCAATCGATTACCATCAACGTTTAATTTATTGTCCATAAATGTTTGTGCCTTTCTTGATGTTAAGTCCACTTTTAGCTTAAAAGACTGAGCAATACAGAAAAATATTTTCTCAAAATAAGAAATTGTTTATTATTTTTCTGTCAATTTAATTCTTAAATTTTAACCAACTTTGACTATTTTTTATTAGAATATATTTGCAATACTTTTATTCTAATAATTTTTTGCCATTGAAATTTTTTTCACTTTCTTTTTATATCATTGCTAATCACAGTATATCTTTTAACCTTTTTAATTAGTATAAATTTGTTATCATTGAATATTTATGCATTTATACAATTAATAATTTTTTATTAATTTTATTATAGAATTTAATTTTTTATTTCATTGTTAATATTAACTAATTTTATTGAGATGATTCACAATAATTTCATTTCTTATTTAATTTTTCAGCTATTATTTTATTTAATTTATAAAGTTCACCATTAAAATTTTATTTTAAGCCGTAGCATTTCATATTTGTAAACAATTATTTTTAGTTTTAGTCTTTGTTGATTTGCAAATTACTTATTAAAGAAATCTTATGTATAATTAAAATGATTAGAATTACCAAATTACGCTCTTGTATTTGTTAATGACAGCAACAGTAACTTTTAATTATTAACTATTATTTAGAAACTTTTTTTTAATTTGGTATATTCTTCCCTCTATAATGAATGTCACACGTTTTTATGGAGTAAAAGTGGCTCTTTTATGCTAACACAAAGAGTAACAAGAGAGACGTTCGTGCGGTGCGTAATTGAGAATGAGACGAGCGAATCTCATGCGGGCGTATATGAACTCAAAAGAGAGAGAAGCTGTCTCTTTTTCCTTGCTAATTACATCGAACGAAAGAAGGAGAGTGACACATATTTAGCGAGCGAAAAACCAGCCTGGGAGAAAGGTGACAAAAGTATAAACATTATAAAATGAGATTGTCGCGGCTCCCACATGAACGTTGAGAATTTTTTTTCGGATGACACTGAAATTTGCGAAATTGGCACTCATTATCTTGATTTCACTGTTTCCAAAGAAAAGTTATAAAAGTCAAAAACCAAATTACAACTGCGCAGGAATGTTCTCCGCTGCTAATTGTTTGGATAACGGTGCGTCGCGAAAAATGCAATGAAATATAAAGTTAAATAATTGAGATGAAATCTGCGGAAATATGACCAATTTGTAAAAATTTAATGTTAAAAACAAATTTATGCTAAAAAAAGTTGTCCAGATCATGCTCTTATTTCTAATAAGATGCATTTACTTTTGTTAACAAAGAAAAATTAATATCCTTGGTACTTCAGACTAGTGTTCTATTTTTGATTTTTTTTTCATAATTCCAAAGAAAATTAATCTCGACAGCTGGTCTTTGCAAATTGCGTCAATCTTATTTATAATAACGACTTTTTTTTCTTTTATTGTGTAAAATAAAAATAATTGTAATTTTTTACTATTCATTTCTTTTATTAAAGTTGTTAAAAATAATAAATTGTAATTAAACAGACATTATTAATGATTATTTTAATAATTTGAAAATTTTAATTCTTCTTTATATGTAAATTTATCTCTTTGTCGATTGTTCATTGCAAAATTTAATTAGAATATTTTGTTAATTCTTATTTATTTTTAACACAAAATTTTGTTAGTTGTCCAGAAATCATCTTTCAATAGAAAACTTAATGCATCAAACTGGTTTTTCATTATGAGCAATAAGAATTCATATATTTTAATAATATCTAAACAATGTACACCTGTTACACTTTTCACAACAAGTGGGAAGAGGAGCCTTGAATCATCTTCAATCCAAGTGAGCAAATCGAGCGCGAGTTGCATGTTTGACGCAAACGGCGTGATTTAATTGTTATTATTTCATTAACTCATGCATTGAGAATATAATAATAAGTGTTGCACCAAAATCGAAAGCATAGGAAGGTCACACACGATATCGTTTTGTTGTTCACGCCGCCGCGCGTTATCGCTTAAGAATTCCACACGTAAATGAGCTTTCGGCTTAAAAGCTCTAAAAATAATAATGAGATCCTAAATCTGGACGACGGCAATAAAAGTACTCGGCACACATTACCCTAAATTCGAGCAAGACATAAAAAATATTACCAAAAGAAAAAGGACGTTCGCATTCGTGTACTAACGGGCGAGAAAAAAACAAAAGCGAAAGCAGTAAAGCAAAAATGGACACAAATTACTGCCCGGAGGTTTAAATTTATAAGCTCTCTGCAGATCGTGGGACAATAAATTTGCCGCAAGGAAGAGCACCGGATCGAATCTTCTCTGACCCGTGGGGCTTTGCCGTTAATAACAGAGTCTGGTAGCAAATATAGAGCTGGATTTCACTTCCAAATTTCGGTCTCGTTTTGTCTCTCGCGGCTCTCGTATAATAAATAGCCCAGCAATGCCGAGACTGAAATCATGCTGGAGAAAGAAAGAATTTTACACCAGCAACACGCTGCCAGTTTTTTTTCCGCTGGACTTTCTTTATTTCTTCCATTTGCTGAATAAATTAAGCCGCGTGCGGAATAAAAAAAAAATCGATCGCCGTTCACTTCGTCCGATTGTTTAATTGCTCTGCGTCGGATTATGCAAATTTTAAGTACGATCCCACGCGCTCTTAATTATGGCAGTCGGAACTGAAAGCGTCTTTTAAACTTAACCGGATAGTTAATTAGGTTGTCTCGAGATTGGCTTATCAACTTAGGCACTCGTTGTTTGTTTAATATTTAATTGTGACTTGGGCGAATCTCACTTTCTTCGTTAATTAAAATATACCGGACCGATGCACTTCTTCTTCTTATTGCAATTAAGAAATGCACTGGAAACAATTAAATTATTTGTATGTACAAGCAAGAAGTAATGCTTTCCATTTTATTAATTAACAAGAGGACATATAGGTGCGGAATGATATTGCACATTTCGAGAGAAGCAGGTGCCTGAGAAAATATTTGTGGTGGAAAACAATGATTGAATGAGATGCGGATGGCGAACTGATCTCGCAACTTTTCAATCGAGAATTTTTCCATTGTAACAAAGTGAAAGGTTTGATATTATATTTGAAGGTAATTTAAAAATAACTTTAATTTTTTGGATTGAAGTTCAGCACTTATTTAATTAACTTTTAAATTCCTCGATAATAATAATTTGAAAACGAAAACAGGAAAAACTTACTTTTTTATAATTTCTATAATTAACCATAATTATATAACAGAAAGTAAAATTTTATGTGGAGATTTTATTTGAAAATTCAATTTTTATTTATTATTATTATTATCATTGTTGTTTATTTGTCCACATTGTTACAATTTATTGTTTTTTATTGCATTATCGGAAAAATAACTTTAAATTGCAATGTTTAAGGACTCAATATAGACATAGCCAAATCAAGTCTTTCCAACAATAGAAGCCATTTTTGTCAATTATTGAAAATTTTACAAACCATTGTTGTAAAGACTTGATTCGACTGTGCCAATCCTTAGATTCGTTTTTTGTTTCGTAGAGAAAACCAAATCCGGCGCTTATATTTTCATGAAACAATACAATAAACATCTCACAAAAAGCCCAATTCCAATTCAAACACCATGAAACAAAACTCGATTGTAAAATTATTCTTCGGCAAAATAAAAATTCCTTTATATACATTCTCTCTTAAAAAAATAACAGTTTATTTTATACCACGAGTATAATAAATCTAACCATTTTACGCTCTATAAAATGCAAACATTACTGAAAATGTTATCAATGTTGGAATTGTGAAATATACAGAAAAATTCCTCCACTTTTATGAATTTTTATACAAGATTGAGGGATTCAACTGACATATATGCTGAGGAGGAAAAAGGATGTGTTAATTTCAGGCAAATAAAAACACTTTTCCTCATTAAAATTCAAACGAAGGCGATATAATTTCCACAGTGAGTGCGTTTGCGTGTTGCAAGCCTTGTGAGATGCATTGAGCGATTATCTTTTAGTCGGGGCGAGAACAATTTTTATTGTCTGGTGCTTTTCCGCGACGTCTCCAGCGGCGGCGCTAATGGATAAGTGAGGGAAGAGAACAATCCCGGGCAATCATAATCCAGAATGCAGCCGCCGTGGAAAAGTGTGAAATGAAATAAAAGAGAAAAATTCGAAGAGCTGCATCTTCGTGCACATTATTTCCGGCGTGCTCGCGAACGGCAGGCATGCAGAAATAGTGGAGCAGGTCTACACGTTAGTGGGACGCTCGGCTGCTTTCTTCGGCCGAATGTGGGAACCCCGTGGGCCATCCGTGGCGGAGAGAAAATTTCATCCCAGCACTCAGTGACCCCCGCGGGTCAACGGCTCCTTTTATTGATTATTTCATTTCTTCTCTTCATATGCGATATTTATGTCGTGCTCGATAAATAAACCTCGGTACTTTGCTTATTTGGCCAGTCCGGTCCGCTCGCTCTTTCTCTCCTTATTAAATAAGCGATTATGGATCGTCGGATATATTGTTTGCATACTTGATGAGCAGATCGAAAGTTCCCATCTTTTTTTATTGAGGGGAGGATCTTTTGATTATACGGTGCTGTTGAAGAGTATTATCATTTTCAAAGTAATTTGATACAGTTTGTGAAAGCTTACATTGTAAACGGCTCTTGTTTGTTTTCACCAAGTATAATCGTTGGCTAATTTTATTAGAATTTTGTCGGAACATAAAATCTGACATTGGAAATGTATTAAGCAGGTTTTCTGCTTATGATTTCAATAGAGGGAATTAAAAAACTATGAAAACTATAATACTAATTTCTAATTTTAACTGACACTGACAGAATTGAAAAGGAATTATATTGAGGGAAAACATACATTTATTTGCGAAATTAAACAGCAGTATATTTCAAAACAATAAAAATTTACAATTTAATACTTTTGTTAAATAATTTTCAAATTTTAAAATTTTATTAACATTTTCATTTTAATTTAATTATTATTTTTAATATTAGTATTTTTATATTTAATATTGTCTTTATTTTTATATATTAATATTATCACTGTGTGTAATTTTTTATATAATTAAAGTTTTTACAAAAATAGTTGATTATTTATTTTCCATGTTAAAAAATTTTGATAAATCATCAAATAATTTTTTTTTCTCATTGTGATCTCTTAATTTTTCCTACTAAGTAAAAAAATTCGCTACAGTCCATTTTTATCTTGACAACTTTTGATGAATTATTCATCAATCTTTTAGCACGCCTTGACATTTACGGTTCATATATTAATTACAGTACATGCTTAAATTAAACAGTACCGCCCATTTAATAATTAATAATTATAATTTCATCGCGCTGATGCAAAATAATCGCACGGACCAAACAAGTAGAACCAATTGCATTAATGAACATGTGTGCGCGCCCAAGCCGAGAACGCTCTCTCGCACGCGGTCGTGGAATTTCTCACACCTGATTGCGTCAAACAAGCGGTACGAAGAACTTACGCGGCTGGAAATTAATTTGAATTACATCACGTAGCATTGTACTTTTAATTGCCGATTGCACAGAGAATAATGAGCAGCTCGGATTCGGCTGCTCCAGAATTTGGCGCCGAGAAAACTTTTAATTTCCATGAGAGCTGTCGAGCTTTATAATTGGATGTTTCTGCGCGGGTTTTCGAGTGCACGGCGCCCTTGAGGTGTCGCTGGGAATTTTCGGGCTCCGCAATTAAGTAATTTTGGCAAAATCCGGTCAGTGAAGGTATTTAAAATTAAATTTAATAATCGATTATTAAATTCAAACGCACAATTCAATTGCGCCGTCAAAATAAAAAATTTCCAAACTTGCATAAAAACATTGCAATTTAAATGAAATTCACATATATATGAATCAAAATTAACTTATTTAAGGCACGAGTTGTTTGGATCAAATTTCTTTATAAATCTTAAACAACATTTCATTTTTAAACATTTCTCACGACTCGACCGACCTCAAAATAGATCTGTCTAAACTCGCCTTACAAGATTTGTGACAAAGTTTATTTGACGATTACCTAAATCGTGATGCTGGTTTGACACTACTTTAGAAAATGCGTAACAGAGACGACCCACTAAACTTTCTTCTACCCGCAGAACTTCTATTTTATTCCAATTGCGTCACTCAAAATAGCAGTTTCTTTTCATTTGTACATTTCTACACGTGTGATTAATCGAATCTATTCAACCAAAAAATTAATTTGCGCCTAATTAGTGGCTTATTTCACATACTGTGTGTTTAATCAAGCGCGCCTTTTTTTAATTATTCGGCATTAGCGGTCGTTCATTATAATTGGCATCTCTGGTTTCTCTATAACCAAATGAAGCGTAATTAGGACGAACCTTTTTCATTCGGATAGGATCCCTATTTTGAAACTCTTTGACCCCAGTCAAGTGATATCCCAAAAGAAACAAACGAACAAGAGTCGTCGTTAATTCAGAAATTATTTGTGAAAAAATTCCTTGAAATTTCTCAATTTTCACTCGTCTCTCATCGCAGCGATCAATCATTTTTTTTATATTCTCACTTATGTATTTCGGTACAAGGTGCATAATTAACACGCGTTATGTGCGAAGCTTTGCATTTTTTGAGGACGCCCAACAGCCTTGGGCCGCATCTAGTGAAAGTCCTCGTGGTCCTCTCGCATCTCTAATCCGCACCAGGTCAAAAGTCGTCTTTCTAATTAACAAATAATAATAATCCTCGCTTCGCAGAAAGAATATCTGCGATAATTGCGTCTAATGGCGGATGGATTTCGCAGCTCCGAAGAGCGATGATCACTTTTTTTCTTTGTGCGATATGGACACCTCTGCTAATTGTATATGAGTGAAATCGCCTCTATTCAAATATATGGTTCCATTATTCGCGCAGGACACACGCGTCTGAATGAGAGGACTAATTAATTTCTCTCTCCGCATACATTTCCTTGATTCGAATATATGTATGATTTTTACAAATTGATCTCTGACATTTGAGCTTCTTATCTAACTCAAAATATCAACTAGATTTCACCAAAGACCCTCATTCTTGAGGTGAAAATCTCATTAAAAGCAGGTGTCTATAATTCATTAAAAAAGAAACTATTTGTAATTAAAATGACAGATGGACAATGGGGTCTCGATCCGAATATTTATGGTCATGCGTCCGCTTCTAGTACCGGAAGGGGAGTGGCAATTTATTTTACAACAAACGAGAGACATAATTTTAGGGGCAATTTCTTTAAAAACTAGAAAATTACAACGGAAAAATTCACCTACCTGGCGAGTCGATGAGTGCAGCGACACTTCCGAGTGGTCGGCGCGGCGAGAAAATCCATTATTCGCCTTAATTCGGTGAGACACGGGTTGATTGCTGATATTTTTGCCCGATTCGCCATTTTTTCCTCCAGCGAGGAAGTTTCTGGAGTTGCTTGAGCAGCAGGCGAGGGAAAAGGAAATGAGGGAGGGTTGGGAGGGAGGGAGCGCTATGTGCCCATGCAGCGGCATTGGAATGCGCTCCCACCAACGCTCTCTCTTTCTCTTATCACTCGCCGCTGCCCTTGTGCCCTACAAGTCTCCTTGGAAGAAAATGGCGAGAACGGCGAAAATTATCATGAATCGCCACCATATCACAACGAATTGAGGCAAATGGGGAATTTTCTCTTTCAGCCGACCACTCGGAAAAGGCGCCGCATAAACAGGTCCCAGGTATGTGAATTTTGCCATTATTTGTTCAAATTAATGCTTTCCCGTTGATTTTATATGATCTTGTCACTTTTCTCAAGACCCAAGACCCATTAGAATATAAATTAAATCAGATTAAACTAAAAATTTATTGCATTTTTTTTATTATTTTAATTATTTATAATTATTTCATTTATTTTATAAAAGGCAGTTTCAAATGTATATTTCACAACTCTTTGATAAATAGTTTTACACTTATTGTTTTTTTGCTTGTTTTTACTTCTGAAAGTATTTCCCAATGAAATGAAAATTAAATAAATGTATTAAAAAAAATCAACAAGTTTTTTTTTATTCATCTGGATCAGATCTGGATAGAGACTATGATCCTTCCCAGCTCCATTCCAAAAGCCTTCCAAATTAGCCAGGTGCCTCTGGACTTTATGAAAAGCCCCCATTTGGTGCAGGAATTCCAACAACTCGAAACGGCACCAACCTCGAGCAGGCAAGTTCGGCGCCTTTTGCGACACCTCCCGAACATGAGTGACGATACAGAGCACTTTTTGACGCGCCAATAACGTCAAAGCAATAACATTTTGAATATTTTGAAACTTAAATTTTTGTGTATAATTTAAAAACAAAAATGTTAATTTTGCAGAATCTCTTGTACGATCTTAAAATACTAAAAATAAATCTTAATTATCATAATGTCATTTAATTTTGAAACTTCAAATATATTTATTTTTTTATTTTTAATTCTGTGTTTTATAATTTTTGTAGATGCGAGGGCCATGAGAGCAGGCGTGGTGAGCGCGGCCCTCGTCCTGCTGGCAGCAGCCGCCGGCGCCATGGACGTGGCGCTGTCGCCGCCGGCGCTGCTTTTGCCGTGCGAGGGCCTGGACACGTGCCAACAGGGCGAGTTGGGCGAGGGGTCGTCGCCGGCGCGGGCGCCGCGTCTGCTGCCGCTGGACACGGACTGGAAGGAGCGCAACTGCATGTGCGACCGCGAGTGCAGCCGCCACGGCGATTGCTGCGACGACGCACCCAGCATTCAACTCACCGCCAAAGAGCAACTGTGAGTCAAATAATTCAGATCGTGAAAAAACTTTCCTTTCCTCCTGTTCGTCTTTGTCACTTATCCTGATTAGCGGCGTGAGAGGCGTTTTCGTTCAATGTCAACTTCGAAACCGGAATTTATGAAACGGAAAGTGGTTTTTAAACTGACACGACACGGCATTACTATAAGTGCATTAAGCGTTTCTAGATAGAAATTTTTTAAGTACAGATTTACCGAACATTGATTTTTCTCATTTTAAAGAATACATTAAAAAAAAGGCAAAATTTGTCTAAAAATTGGTTCTAAGTTCCAATTTTTGTCAAATAGTAACAATCGAATTCATTTAAATAAAAATACTTTTTTTAAACACTTTCAGTGCCAAAAGAAGTGCATAAATTAGAAATATTTCAATGTATTAAAATATGTAAATTAAATATTGATTAATTTATAGTTTTTATGTTTTTTCATAGATAAACCAGAATGACGCAATTTGCAAAGATCCCTTGTCAGAGTGATTTGTGCTAAATTTTGGAGAAATTTAACAATAATTAAATAGGCTTTCCACCAGTCTTTCTATTCAAGCTATAAGGACGCCCATTATCAATTTTATTGTTTCTGCTTCTAAAGGCGAAAATTCTAAATTGAAATACCTGGAAAAATGTTTTGTAATAAAATCCCATTAACAATCATTTTTCAATATCTTTGGCCTACTAGCATTTGAAACTTTCTATTAACCGAAAACTAATATCTTATTAAAATGGACCACCAAGAATCCACTCAAAATTTACTCACCCAAATAAACACCTGTTTAGAACCAATTATTTACAATAGTCTCGTTTCAATACGGCGCTCTCGTTACAAATTTAATACTGACACGGAGTGTGTTAAAACGTTAAAAGGCACGCTTGAGCACTTCGCGTGAGCAGTAAAGTGTGTGTCTGTATGTTATGTGAGCCGCTTTATCTTGAGTAACGCGCGTAATTCGCTGTGAAAATTGGTTTTATGTTATAATAATATAGGCTATACATATCTGGCCGATGCTGGGAAGTGTATATAATTGCACCTTATGTACAGTTTGGCGTTCACTCGCAAACATGCGGACCAGTTTCCTGGTTGTTTTTGGGTGAAAGGTTGTGGCCGAATAAAGTAATTTGCATTGCTAAACTTGTATAATTTGGTGGGCCATTAAAAATTAACAGTTGGTTTCTCAGAAATGAGAATGAGCCAAAGTTATATGTTTAAAAATTGGAAAGGATTTCTACAAATTTAAATTTTACCAACTAACAATTATTTTAACTTAAAAATGATGAAAAGTGACTAAAATTTGTTCTTCAACTTCCTTCTTCACATTATAACTAAAAAAAAATTAGACTCTTATTCTATTTTATTAAACGTTTACCAAAAAATGTAGACACACGTAATAATTCTAATCTTTAATTTTCCATTTTTCAGACCGTTTGAGTGCAGAGAACTACGCAACTTTGGTGGCATCTACCTCATCTCCTCCTGCCCCTCCAATTATTCAGCCTCCAACGAGACTCTCGAGGGCTGCGAAAATCCCCATTCGAACTCAACCCACCGCGACCCTTTGGCCGATCTGCCGGTCACGGACCGCGAGTCGGCCCTGACCTATCGCAACGCCCACTGCGCCGTCTGCAACAACGCCAACCCGAGTAATTTGGAACTTTGGGCGGCTCGACTCGAGTGTCCGTCTCTGCACTCGGCCGACCAGATGGAAGTTCGACGCAAGCTGCGCTTTGAAAACGGAACGTGGGGCGTGTGGCTTCCGCGAGTGGAGCCGCCGAAGCCGCCGCCGACCGAGAAAGAGGTCAGCGACAAGGTCACCGCCTTCCTCCGTCGAGGGCAGCAACGCCGAAGCAACAACTCGACGACGTCTGCGGCCCTTCTGCAGCGCCTCAGACGCCGTCAGCAACGCAGCGTTTCGTGGCACGCCTGTAATGTTGACCCTGTTTTGCCCGAAGGCCTCGTTCACCTCATCCGGAGGTGCCGACCCAACGTGATCGGACAGTGTCCGGACACTTGGCGCGAGCCGAAGGTGGCGGAAATGTGCAAGGCCCACACGGCCCACGTTTTCCACGGCGTGGGTCGCACCTTCAGGAACGTCTACTGCGCCATGTGCTCAGGCGTCCCTGTTCAAGAACTGTCCTGCCAAGGTCTGTTGGGCACCAGAAATGGAATCTACAAGGACTTCAGTCCCACGGCCTTTGCAATTCTGTTTGACTTTTCGCCGACGCACACTTGCCACGGAAAATTCTTCGATCCTTTTTACGGCTCCTGCAGAACTCTGGTGTGCCAAGACTCGCCGGACACTTCGGACTGCGTGTCCAAAAAACCCAAGTCTGAACCTTTGAGGCAACAAACCACCACCGAAGAATCAAACTCCATTCCGAATGACTCGCCGAACAAACTGGATTGCAACACAGTCCAGTTGTCGGCGGAAGAATTCACCGTAATCGATCCGGACACTCTGCTCGTGTCCCATTCCGGTGTGCAACTAAGAGAATTTCGGCTCCTGCCCAATGGCTCGGCCATTCTTTGCAAGGAGCCGCTTCTGCAGGACGCCGCCAGCTTTGCCGAAGACAGATTTGGAGCCGCCCTCGGCTATGTGACCCTAGTTTGTCTTGGGGTGTCCATAATCTGTCTCGTCCTGCACTTGCTGGCCTTCTGTCTGTCAAAGACGCACAGAGCGTCGGCTAATAATTTGGCTTCTTTGTGCATTGCGCTGCTGGTTGCCTACATAGCCTTTTTGGTTGGTCAGGTCGTCCGTCAGCATCACGCCTTCTGCGTCGCTTCGGCGGTGCTCACCCTTTACTGCTTCTTGGCCGCGTTTTGCTGGATGCTGGCCATCGCCGTCGACGTTTGGAGCTCACTCAGGATGGCCACCACTCAACTGCGGTGCTCTTCATCATCAAAGTATGATTTTTAAAATAATTAAAATCAATTTTAATATGTATTACTAAAAATTAGGTATTAAATTTAGTTTTTATGTTTTTAAACTTTAAACACAGAAGAGAAATAAGCAGTCTTGATTTGTAAGAAAAAATTATTTTAATGTTTAATTTTTTATGTAAAGTAATGGATTTTATTAAAAATTTTATTTAATAAATGCAGCTTGATAAATATTTTACTACTATATAATGAAATTAATTTCCATTTTTAATATTTCAATTTTTACCTTTTCAACTGTTGATAAAATCCTTATTCATTAAAAAAAACCAAAATTTAAAAAATAGTATAACCTTAAGTATTAAAGATATTTCGTGTTATTTAATTTAATTATTTGCTCAATTTTTGCAGATGGAAAAGATTTTTCTTCACTTCCCTGCTGTGCTGGCTGATTCCGGCCATGATTGTTCTGGCAGCTGTGCTCATCGAGAACGCTCCTGCCGGCGCTGTTCCCGAAATGCTGCGGCCTGCCTTTGCCGCCCGGCCAGGCATTTGCTGGTTCACAAGCCGCCGCTCCCTTTTGCTCTTTTTCGCAGCGCCAGTTTCAGTTGTGATGCTCCTGAACGCGATCTTCTTCACCTCGAGCGCCCTCATGATCCACACCTCGAGCATTTCCAGGACCGACTTCCGGCTGTACCTGCGCCTGGCCGTCCTGATGGGCCTGACCTGGTCCGTCGGCCTCTTGGCCGGCTTCCTCGACACGCCCGCCCTGTGGGTGGTGTTCGTGGTGCTCAACAGTCTGCAAGGGCTGTTCATCTTCCTCGCCTTCACATGCACAACCAAGGTGCTCAAGGAGGCCAAGGACAATTGCTGTTGTTGCTGTTTGCGGCGCCGACGACGCGGCGTCATCAACACCGACAGCATTCAGGGCATCAAGGGCACCACCAAGGTGACCAGCAGCGCCGACCTTTTGCCCTGGTCCGCCTTCTCCAGCAGCGTCATCTCCACCAAGTCGTCGCTGCACAGTATGGACTCGAGCAGAAGTACAGATGAGACGCTTTATTGAGATTTTATATTATTTACAATAAAAATTCTATTTTTAATTGATTGAGATGGAATGTGTAAAAAGTTCAAACTATGTATTTTTGTACATAATAAGCAGAGAAGTGCATTTTCCTACATCTTGTTTTGTATAATTTAATCCTGTACATATCAGCCAAATAAATGTTTAGTGAATATATAAACAAAATAGAATAAAAATAAGAGTATAATATTTCATTGTTTACTTTTCCTTTTCCTTGATCCCTTTGCTAATTTTTAGTTGTAAAATAATCTTATCACCAAGAAAAGTTAAAATTGTTCAATCAGGTATTCTTTTTATTTTATTATTAACCTTTTGGTTTTTTCTTATCAAAAATCAATTTAAGTGCATGACACACGTTTGCAAAACAGGAAGAGGAGTTTTAATTATTGCTTTTTAACTCTCACTCATTGGGATCACAATAATTATTATTGTTTGTTTCAAAATTTTCCAATATGTTTTTTTTCAATGAGAAAAAAAAACCTGAAGACCAAATAAGCAAAATTTCCTATCTTTTGACAATTTTCCCTAGCCTTTGCCCCGCATAAGCACAAGTGGATATCCCGCCTTTCACGGCAAAATTTTTATAAGAGCATCGGCAAGGATTTCCATTGGCCCTCGATCCCTACCACAAACACTGAGCAACCAATGAAAGCGCCAGATTTCTTATTCAGCTCATGCTCGTGTTTACAAACAATTTGCACAATTTTACCTCCAAGAAAAATCAAATTTTTGGCAACTGCTTGCAAAATTTAAATGTTATTTACTCGTCTGAAGCTTTGACTGAAAATTCTTCACATGATTTCCTCTTAACCTTTTTCAAAAACGATCTCTAAAACATGGAAAACGAAGGTTGTTTGCTTTTGTTAATTTCTAAATTATTTTTCAAAGATTTTTATTAATATAATTACTATGCATTTTAGATCAATCAGAGTCGAGTCTGTTAGTACTGGTGCTGGACATCGGGTTGAGCAGGGCGACCACCCTGAGGAATGACCCTGCCCTGGCGGCGCAGGTGCTCGAAGCGGTGATCGCCTTCAGTAATGCTCACCTCATGATGAAGCTGAAGAACCAACTGGCCCTAGTGGCCTGCGACACGGAAACGACCGAGTGGATCTACCCTGAGGACAAGAAGAGCGACTTAGCAGAACTGCGGCAGCAGGACGGCCAGCACGAGTTGTTCAATGAACTCGAACGGACCGTCCGAAGGAAAATCGCCGAGTTGCTAAAACGCAGTGCCGGGGCCACCGGCAAGGGCGAGAGCATGCTTTCGGGGGCCCTCGGCAGGGCCCTTTGCTACATCCACCGACTGCAGCATGAGGAGAGAAGGGTCAACGCCAGGGTGCTCGTGGTCACTGCCAACGGACAGAGTGTTTCGCAGTACATGAACTTCATGAATGTGTTCTTCACTTCTCAGAAATTGGTGCGGATTTTGAAAATATTTAAATTTTAATTAGAAATAAAAGAAAACAAATTATTTTAAAAATTTCAAATAATATAAATACAAATTGTCGAGTGTTTCTAACAATTTTTAGCCTGATTAATTATTGGAAACAAGTTTTCATTTTGCTATTAACTGATTGATTATTTTTTTAATTAATTTCAGGGTGTGTTGATTGATGTTTGCTGTTTGGGACCCGAATCGAGTCTTTTGCAGCAAGGCTGTGATATTACCGGAGGACAGTACTTCCGAGCGCCTCAACCGCAAGGCCTCCTCCAATATCTTTTAGTAATTATTACTCATATTTAATTTCTAAGCAAAATATTAAAAAATTATCACTTTAGTGGGTTTTCCTGCCTGAACCGCTGCTTAGAAATAAACTCGCTCTTCCTCCGAGAGTCAAGGTTGACTACAGAGCTGCGTGCTTTTGCCACAGAGAACTGGTGGACATTGGATTCGTCTGTTCTGTTTGTTTGTCGAGTAAGTTTGAAATAAGGAAGATAAAATATTTAGTTTGGAAAATTATTGAGCCTGTTTGCTTTTTGTTCGAGTAATTTGGGGATGCTCATTTACAAACAAGATACGATGCCTAATTCTATTGAAAATAATCACTATTAATCAGTTTGATTGATTATTAAGTAAACTGTTAAGCTTGTTGAAAGTTCATTTTTTTATAATTATCTTGTTCTGATTTCAGTCGTCTGTAAATTCAGCCCAATATGTACAACATGCCAGTACGTATTAAAATTATTAACGATTTTGAATGAAATTGGATTAAAAAAAAATATTAATTTTTCAGCACTGTTTTCAAAGCTCCTGGTGCCCTGCCTGTAAAGCCGAAGAGGAAAAAACCCAAATTGGCATAATAAGAAGACTCATAATCTTTTAAATTTAATTTGTTAATAATAAGTAAAAAAAGAAGCTGAAAATAAATTCATTGATCCGAGTTAAAATTTTGGATCAAGTGAAAAAAAAGTGAAGAGAGGATCTGTTTTTGATTAACTATGCGTCTGAGCGCATCTCATTATTTCACGCGGAGCTTGTTGATCTCGGTCGCCATCTCATCTAATTTGCATACGCAAGCGGTGGCGTTAATTAGCGCGTTTCGGCAAGAAATTTCGGGGGTCATTCCTCCCGCTGCGAAGCAAGTTTGAACGTGTTTTGCAGCAGCGAGGCGCGAGAGGGGAGGGTGTAGAGAAGGGAGAGCCCATTACGCTTGTACATTGCATGGGAGAAGCGAGGAACACGGGCCGAAGCGACTTCTCTCCCGAGCGAACACTCTCGTCAGAGGCAGGGAAAGCAAGCAGATTTTATTGATTGCAGAGTGAGTGAGTGAAGTGAAGTCTGCGTCTGGCCCAGCACCACTTTCGGCCCGAATATATCGTTGTTGTTGCGCGAAATGCGTGTGCCCGTCCGCTTGGCGTGTTCGACCCCCAGGCCCGGCTAAACGCGAGCGCAGACGAGGAAAAAAAACGTACCCCACCGGCCGCCGACGACAAACGCAAGAAGAAGGAGTTTTGACACTGCCGCCGAATATTATATTCGTGTAGCCGCGCCGAGGTGAGTCAAGTGCGCAGTTGAAAATAGAAAGTGCCGTGCTGGTGTGCGCGCCCGGTCGCGATATTTTTTTCGGCCGCCGAACCGCTCTCGCTCGCCCACCCCCGAATTCCGTCGTCTCTTTACTTCATCCCCCATTGTTGCGGGGCGACCTTGAGCAGCAGCAGCCGCCGCGCTTTGTCTCGTGAATGTGTTGCCGAGTGGCCTAGGTCAAGTAAAAATGTATGATGGCTAGAATTCCCCCCGCAGCATGCACGGAGACGAGTCACGGCGGCGCCGAGCCCCCGCTCGCATTCGCTCTTGATCGGCACCCCGACGGCACCACATTCGCGTGCGCTTTTGTTGTTGTTTTGGTCGGCCGACAGTGCCGAACCATACGGAACAACGACCGGCTTTCGATCGCATTTTATTTTATAAAAAAAAAATTTTTGCGTGAAGAGAAATTTTGCTATGAAAGATGCGCTGATATTTAGTTTCAGCGGTTTTCGTAATTTTCGTGAATATTTGAGTTCAGGAATTTATATGTCGAGCGATTTAAAAGGCAGACTTTTTTCTTTCAAAATTAAAGCAAATGGCCGCTGAAGACGAGCCGAAATTTCAGGCTCGATTTGTCGTATGGCCTCCCCTGCTTTACATAATTTTCTTCATTTTTTTAATTTTTATTAATAGTCATTAAATAATGAAGATAAATATAAAGATAATTGAAGTGGTGTTATTTTATAATTCTCATATGAATTAATCGTCTAAAAAATAATTTTCAACTAATAATTTTTTTAAACCTGCGAAAAATTGGCTTCGACAATATGATCGAGTGCCAAAATTCTGGGATCGCGACCTAAATTGCGATTCTACTTTGCACCATCATGTAATAATACACCCACGCACTATTCTGTGGAAAACAACAAAATCCTTAATTTTTTTTCTAATTCAAAGTTGGACCGTAAAAATTAATTTATTTAATTTCTCCTTGAAACTGCAACGGCGCAAATTTTAAAAACTTCTGAATGATTAAATTAACCCTGAGAATTGTTCTAGAAATTTACATGCATATTATCTCATTAAGATTGGTGAATAATTATTGTCCTAATTGGCAATCGTCAATCTGTTAAAGTTAAAATATATTAACGTCTGAAGATAATCTAATCTCTAATTGGCCAAACTGGCTCTTAAACATTACTTCATAAAGTTTTTTTCCCTATCAGTTTTTACCAGTTCAATTTCGATTATTTCGTAGATATAAAAAAACAGAAAAATTTACTCATAAATATGAATTAAAAAACATTAGACTTTATTTCTGATATATTTTAAATCTACGCCTATTTAGTTTGCAAGATTTTGCTTGTTTCTATCGAAATTGGAGTGAACTAATTAAAACCATGTAATCTTGGTGAAATTCATCAGGTTTAATTCTATCATCTTTACACTTTTTTTTTTTATTTAGTTAGTGATTCATGCTGCAGGACTAGATTTTGACAGATTGAAACATTCAGACTTGATAATATTTTTTTAACATGGCAAAAAATTAATCGACTGGCTTTAAAGTAACAAACCTCGATAGGAAGTATGCTATTATAATTGTAGAGATAGTGAAACAAGTCACGAAAATGTACCAAGTGTCCTCGTCGAAGATGTCCGTGAACGACGGGACGTACTCGTTGTACAGGGTGTCGATCATCTTCATGCTATACTGCTTTTCCTGCCTCATGGTCTAGAAAGATAACAAAACTTGCTCATTTCCTGTCTGGCCCAAGTTATTTTGTATCCTTACCACTGATTTTAGTTCTACGCTCTAGTCAGTCAAAATGCGTCGTCTAGTTCTCGGCTGATTACCTCTTCTTTTTGGCCGCCAATTGGTGCGACGTCTTGGTCGCTTTTGTTTTGAGTGCCGTGCCGACCTCTTCTACTGGAGCAAGCGGTGTGACGTGCTTGTTGTAGATTTTCAAAATTTCCAGACAGGACAGATTCTCGCTCTTGACGGTTACTTTTCCGCCTTCGTCTAAAATTAGAATTCAAATTAAATTTAACCGTTTAGGTATAAATAATTTAATTCACTTACTCAATTGAATTTCAACTGACGGTGTTGATAAATCACTTTGAACTTCTGTCTTGAGAATGCAATACAAATTCGTGTCCAGCACACTCTGGTCTGAGATGTGGTACAAAAATTTCCTGCAAACCAAACAATTTTGTGTAAATTAATACATTTTTTAAATTTTTAATTTCAGAAATGACGAGCACGGAAAGGATCAACGTGCCCTTGGGCAGCCCCACCGAGCCAGTTCAGACGGGCTCGACAATTTTGTCATCGGGGCAGGGATTGGCAAGGAGCGCTTGTGGATACGGTATGTGTATGTATAAAAAAATTTGTTCAACATGTCGAGTTCCCTCCCGTCCCCTGAAAGTAGGCTGTGCCGCACAATTCATCAGGCGAACGCGTGCACATTTCGGCGTCTGAATTCTCAATTTACCTGGTCTCGGGAGCTTTTTCGTGAAAGGGGTCGAATTTTACTACGATCCGCTTGGCTGGTTTCAATGTGATCAGCTTAACCTGCTTTCTAATTGCGTCTAAAACGCCCGATGAACGTTTTAGAGAGCCAGATGTGAAAATAGACATTTTGTCGATTTTTGGGCTCTGCACTGTTTACCAACTTAATATTACTATATATTTTAAATTTATTATTTAGTTTCTAAATATTTTGCTACTTTAATTATAAGATTCTTAAATATAAACTTGTTGTTGAATTTAATATTTTGAAGGTAGTTGAAATTCATGAAATTAATTAAAGTTCTCATTGCAAAATAGTTTTGTTACCTTGGTAAAGATCATGACGTCGTGAAAGTGCGCGCATCTGAAAACGGCAGCCAATTGGCGCCTGGAACCATTGTGACGTCACGTGACGCACCGCCATGTTGCTAACCGAGAAATTTGGAAGTGGTTAGTTAGTGCGTCTGGGGGGCTCAATTAATTCGTTTTTGACCCGAATTTGTTCACAAAGACTTAAAAATTTCGTCGGAATTCCAGAATATGTTCAACGTAGGGCAGCGTGAGTATTGATTTTGAGGCCGAACAGCCTCCGTTTCGCGAATTTTCATTCGGAAACTTGGCAGCCAACGGGGGCCTCAGCGAAGAGGTCATTGCTCACCCTGGCTGTTCCTCGCATTTCGAATTTGAATGAGTCACGTTGAGGATTCCCCCTGTATGTAACACTCGCTTTCATTTTTAATTTAAAATGATTTTTTCTGTAACCATTTGAAGAAGCATTCTTAAAAGAAAAATGAAGCAATTTATATTGGTAGCTTTCGTGTGAAAACCATTTCCTCTTCCCTGTTCCAAGAGCTAGGCACATGTTTGACCCATATCTCCATTTTGGATACGCCAACGCAGTTCAGTAGATCAGATTTACTATTTTTGGATTCATTAAACGCTTGCAATTAATTTGGTCCGCTTATTTTTAAATCATTGGTCACTTCTTATTGGGAATTTGCTAAACAACGGGGTCCTAAAAGGGTGTTGGCTCTCACAAGACAAATGCGACCAAGTTGGCAAGTGAAATAATATGGCGTGGCCCTGTTTACATAGATCGGGATGACAAGATAAGAAATATAAAGCTCGTCTGCCTCGCCAGCACAGATAAAGTTTCCCGACCAAATAAAACCGCAGGCTATGTTTATTCAATTCTGCTAATCTCGCTCTTTTCCTGTTGCAGCTCCCCCTCCAGGGCCTCCAGGTCCTGGGCCGGTGGGGCCCCCTGCCGTTGTCCCAGCTGCAGGCATTAACCCTGCGTTGCCCCCAGCAGCGCCCAATCCGGCAGCACCAGCAGATGTGCCAGGTATGATCTTTTTACTTATTTAAAAAAAACTTTGTTATTTTGACATGAATTTTTCTAATAATTTTTTTTTTAGTATTCATGTGTCCAAGAAGACCAAACTTGGGCCGTGAGGGCCGGCCCATCCTGCTGAAGGCCAACCACTTCCAAATAACAATGCCGAGGGGCTTTGTGCACCACTATGATGTCAATATCCAGCCAGACAAGTGTCCCCGCAAGGTCAACAGGGAGATCATAGAGACCATGGTGCAAGCCTACTCTAAGCTCTTCGGCACCATCAAGCCTGTCTTTGACGGCCGCAACAACCTGTACACCCGAGACCCTCTGCCCATCGGCAACGACAGGGCCGACCTGGAAGTCACCCTTCCAGGTGAAGGCAAGGATAGAGTCTTCAGGGTCACAATCAAGTGGGTGGCCCAGGTCTCTTTGTCCGCTTTGGAAGAGGCCTTGGAAGGAAGGACCAGGCAAATTCCCTTCGATGCAATATTGGTACATATTTATTTCAATTCGGCCAGTTTGAATATTAAAACTGTAATTTAAAATAGGCCCTTGATGTTGTGATGCGTCACTTGCCATCAATGACTTACACTCCAGTCGGCCGCAGCTTTTTCTCATCTCCTGATGGCTATTATCATCCTCTGGGAGGAGGTCGTGAAGTTTGGTTTGGTTTCCATCAGTCTGTTCGTCCTTCCCAATGGAAGATGATGCTGAACATTGATGGTGAGTTAGTTTTAAAGTTGCTTGAAATGGTTCTTGTTTATGTAGAAAATTAGTTTAGTTTGAGTATCTAATATGATCTTGTTTGCAGTTTCTGCAACTGCTTTCTACAAGGCCCAACCTGTGATTGAGTTCATGTGTGAGGTGCTCGATATCAGGGATGTCAACGAGCAAAGAAAGCCACTTACTGACTCTCAAAGAGTAAAATTCACCAAGGAAATCAAAGGTCTGAAGATTGAGATCACTCACTGTGGTGCCATGAGGCGCAAGTACAGAGTCTGCAACGTCACAAGGAGGCCAGCTCAAATGCAATCGTAATTAAATAAAATTTCTAATCCAGCTGCATATTTAGTAAAATATCTTTTGTAGCTTCCCTCTCCAGCTCGAAAACGGACAGACTGTTGAATGCACTGTGGCCAAGTACTTCCTTGATAAGTACAAGATGAAACTTCGCTATCCCCACCTTCCATGCCTTCAAGTTGGACAGGAACACAAGCACACATACTTGCCTCTTGAAGTAACTATTTCAATTGATTATGCTACTTGGTTGACTAACATTACTATTTTATTAGGTGTGTAACATTGTTGCTGGACAGAGGTGCATCAAGAAGCTTACAGACATGCAGACGTCGACCATGATCAAAGCAACAGCCAGATCTGCTCCAGATAGGGAAAGGGAAATCAACAACCTTGTGAGGCGGGCTGATTTCAACAACGACTCTTACGTCCAAGAATTTGGATTGGCAATCTCAAACAACATGATGGAAGTGAGAGGACGAGTCTTGCCCCCGCCAAAACTGCAATACGGAGGACGGGCCAACTCCATCAGTGGCCTGGTAAATGTACATTCACAAATTTTCTTTTTCAAAATCTTATACAATCTAATACATTTATTTTAATTTTTAAACCGAGTTTCTAAAATTCATTGTAATTTTGCATTTTTAGACCTGTGTGAAGCAACAAGCTCTGCCTAACCAAGGCGTCTGGGACATGCGTGGCAAGCAGTTCTTCTCTGGTGTTGAAATCAGAGTTTGGGCAATTGCCTGCTTTGCTCCTCAGCGTACTGTGCGCGAAGACGCCTTGCGCAACTTCACCCAGCAGCTGCAGAAGATAAGCAATGACGCTGGTATGCCCATCATTGGCCAGCCTTGCTTCTGCAAGTATGCCACTGGACCTGACCAGGTCGAGCCCATGTTCCGCTACCTGAAGACAACATTCCCCGGGCTGCAACTGGTGGTTGTCGTTCTGCCCGGCAAGACTCCAGTCTACGCTGAGGTCAAGCGTGTTGGTGACACCGTCCTTGGCATGGCGACGCAATGCGTGCAGGCCAAGAATGTGAACAAAACATCGCCCCAGACGCTGTCCAACCTGTGCCTCAAGATAAACGTCAAGCTTGGTGGTATCAACAGCATCCTGGTTCCCAGCATCCGACCCAAGGTTTTCAACGAACCAGTCATCTTCCTTGGCGCCGACGTCACACACCCACCAGCCGGTGACAACAAGAAGCCAAGCATTGCCGCTGTTGTGGGGTCCATGGACGCTCATCCTTCTCGCTACTCGGCCACTGTTCGGGTTCAGCAGCACAGGCAGGAGATCATTCAGGAACTCAGCTCCATGGTCAGGTATGTTATTGAAACACTTTTTTTCAATGAAATTTATTTATATGATGAAAATTTTACCCTTGATTGATGGCTAGTGATTTTCAAGATTAGTCTTTCTGAAGGATATTCATTTCAAGCAGTTGGCTGAATTTCTAAACTGGAGCTAATTAAATTTTCTTTGTTTCAGGGAGCTGCTTATAATGTTCTACAAAAGCACCGGTGGGTACAAACCAAATAGGATCATTCTATATCGAGATGGTGTCTCGGAGGGTCAATTCCTGCATGTGCTCACTCATGAATTGACTGCTATTCGCGAGGCCTGCATCAAGCTGGAAGGCGATTACAAACCAGGCATCACCTTCATTGTTGTCCAGAAGAGGCATCACACCAGGTAAGAAAATAAATTTGTTAACATACACTTTTTATTTTTGAAATTAAGAATTTACAGAAATTAATCAATTCTCAATTTTCTTCTAGGCTATTCTGTGCAGACAAGAAAGAGCAGTCGGGCAAATCTGGCAACATCCCCGCCGGTACAACAGTGGACGTGGGCATCACTCATCCAACAGAGTTTGACTTCTACCTGTGCAGTCACCAGGGCATCCAAGGAACGAGCCGTCCGAGCCACTACCACGTTTTGTGGGACGACAACCACTTCGACGCCGACGAGCTGCAGTGCCTGACCTACCAGCTGTGCCACACCTACGTCCGCTGCACCCGCTCCGTCTCTATTCCGGCGCCGGCCTACTACGCTCACTTGGTGGCATTCAGGGCACGTTACCACCTGGTCGAAAAAGAGCACGACAGTGGCGAGGGCTCGCACCAGTCCGGCTGCAGTGAAGATCGCACTCCTGGCGCCATGGCACGCGCCATCACTGTGCATGCCGACACCAAGAAAGTCATGTATTTTGCCTGAGCAAGTATTATTCCATGCAGGCAGCCGTACCTTCTCTTGTCACCACACATCATGTTTTTTCTACTGCATATATTTTTTGATTCTTTTGACACGTGGAATCGGCCCATTCCATAAAACACATCCAACTACACGAATAGAAGAGTTCCATTGTATTTTTGTCTCTCGAACTTGATTGGGGTATCTGAAAGTGTTGTAAATCAAGTTATTTTTGAGGTTGACACAACTTGCCAGATTAACAGCTGAAAAATCCAAATTTTTCTAATTCTAGAAGGACCTCTTCTTGTCGCTTTGTTTCTTGTGATGTTCTTTGGGGTTCGGACTTCTTTTTTGTTTAAGGAATGTAAAGCAACGAGGGCTGCACAAATCAAGTAGTATTTACGTTTCACTGAGGAAATGCCAGAAATCATGTAAAGCGAAGAAAATGTTGTGTTGTTGTGCTCTTAGTGTTTGTAACTCATTTCCATTGATAAGGAAAATTGTGAAAATTTGACCACACAATATTTATTCGCAATGGCTCTGTTGATTAGAATCGACTATGGAATTAATTTAGGAAAGCACTGAACAACGTTTTAGTCACCTTGTGTTCTGACTTGCAAATGACGTAGATGTTAGACGTTAAATCAAGATCTATTATTTCTTTTTAAAATTAATGCAGCCAAGAGAATTCAACAAGATAGAATACTGTTGATTTCTGGTCCCATGAAATATCAGAACCAGTTATTTGCTGACATAAAATTATTGAACATACGAATTCTCTTGGCCTTTTAGAAAATCCATGGTTTTATAAACCCTGTGACTTAACGGAAGCGAATAAGAAATGTCCAAGGAAGGAATTCTGGCTGAATTCCTTCATTGCCAATAACAATTACTTTGATGGAAATTATTCCGAACCCTGCCTTTTATTATTTTGTAAGCTGTCGTGTGTAGCTGTTACTAAAGAAGCAAAAATGTAATCATACTAATTATGACAAGGTCATGTAATAAATGAGAAATTAAAGTAAGCAAGAAATAGGAAAAGGGTCCACGGAGAGCCGTGACAACCTCTCAACTGCATAGGCAGTCCCGTGCACAATCAGCTTTTCAGACAACTGCTCGAGGCTACCTTTCGTGCGGCTTCACAGGACCTCCACGGCGCTCTGTTGCCCTTGCCACCACCATTATTATTCACGTAAATTGACAATGATTTGCCCCCCGAATTGGCGCTCCTGATTGATACTTACTATAACGTTGTAGAATGTACTTTGTATCGCATTAATATAATTATAGTCTTGGATTTTTCCTCAAGTTTCTCTCCGTTTTACAATTGAATCAATTGGTTATTCAATTATGATCACACACAGTGCTGGCAGTTAATTGGTCGCAACAAAACTGATCGCAAGCGCTGCTGAAAGAGAACAAATCATGAAAACGAATTTGCTATTCAATTATCCATTAATCGTGCTTTGTGGCGTTAGTAATTATACTTACATTCATATAAAGATTACTTCATTGTCTTAAAAGAATAAAATCGTCTATCGTTTAAACTTCAACTAATGCTTCTCTTTGAAAATATGAAAAATACCCAACTCATTTAAAATTGTTAATTCTACAAATCCTAATTAAAAATAGGAGTAAGGAAGACCTTGAAGCAGACACATCATTTATATCAAAGAACAATTCAAGAGGAAGTTTTTTAGTAGTCATTTAAAAGAATTTCTCAAAAAGCTTCCAATTTTTAATCATTAGCAATCGAGTGTAGTTCTAAATTAACAAGTGACAATGAAATTCAAATTTTACCCAAATATTGTCGGGGAAATAATTTCACAAACAAATCCACTAATAAATTATTGTTAACAAAACCAATTGAACAAAATTAATTATCAAAGGTCCAACCATAAACATAAAAACAAATTTTGAAACTTAAGATTTGTATATTAATAAATAAATCAATTAAATATTTTTTATAATTAATTTATTAATGTTTAAAAATCGATAAGATACGATTTAATTTTTTTTTTCATTTATTTCATTATTACTTATTTCAAAAGGTTTATCACTATTCACTATACTACTTTTGTTTGGTGTTTTGTGTCTAATTTCACATTTTATTCCCTTTATTTTATAATCATCTTTCATTGAATGATCGAATTCAAAAATACATAATTTTTCGTAGAAAAAAACGAAGCGAATAAAAATTTGAGGAGTTCATCAGCAGAGGAAAACGAACATCCGCGATGCGATCTGCAACCCGCATTTTAAATTATTCTAAACCCCTTCAAAGCCTTGATGCTTTCTCTCAGCAGGAAGATCGAAGGGCGGACGCACCCTCGCGCAGCCAGCCAGGCAGGGAGTTTCTCCCCTGCGCTCCACCCCAGACACCGAGAGGGAGTGAGTCGGGCGGCCGGTCGGTCGGAGGCACACGTGCAAGCGCTCGCTTTCATTCATTCATCCGGCCGCCGTGCCGCCGTGTCGGTTCTTTTTCTGCTCCTCCGAAGAGAAGAAAAAGAGGAAACGCTCGCTCTCTCTCGCACATTTTTATGGGTGTTTGTGTGCGTATCAGGCGCGGCAGCGGCGGCTTCAACGCACACCTTGGACCCTCGCAAAGTTTATTTGCCTTTCCTCCGCAGGCAGCTGCTCTTATCGCAAACTCACGATAAAAACGAAGGTAAGGGAATTATCTCGTATTACACCTAAAAGAGGAAGGAAAATGTGTACACCCTGAACTCGCGTGCCTGCAAAAAGTTATAGAAGTGCAGCAGGCTTTGGCTGGAAATTTGAGAGAGTTTCAATCGTTCAATTTCAGCTCCAGTCTTGATCGTGGGATATAATTCTCATTCTGGGTTTGTTAAATTGTTTTTTTTTCTCCGAAAGTTTTGATCGAATTAGTTAAGTTTCAACTAATCATTATAAATTTTAATTGAGATAGTAAAGAATAACATGGCATGTAATATTTTCATTTTTCACATATTATTTTGCTTTATAAATTAGAAAACTGCGGAATAAAACCCATGTGAACCAAATAATTTTTAACAAATCTTTGAAATTTTTCGAATGCCTCATCTAAATTTGAATAAATATGTTTAAGTAGATATATTTTATTGTTGGGAAACGCTTTTTGAATTTTATAATTTGAGTCAATTTATATGTAAAAAAAAGGAAATTTGAAATTTTACTTACCCAGCCAAGCGTTAAAAATTAGATTATTTAATTAATCGCTGGACCTTTTTAAACCATTAAAAAAAATTATAGTAAAAATATTTAAATTTTCTGCAATATCCAAAACTTGACACAAAACAAGGATTAAATCTTTACCTCTTTCTAATAGATTGAACAATAAGAGAGATAAATTGAAGAAATATATCTTTATGAGCATTAATTTTTAAAAAATTGATTTTATTTGTAAAAAAGTTGTATTAAAATATGAAATGATTCAACGAAAAAGTGATAAATAGCGTAAAATCATGTAAACGCATTTTTTTCGTTTGTTATTTTATTCTTCGAGACAATTATTATAAATTGAATTCCAATTCTTTTTCTTGCCAAAATTGCTTTTTTAACTTTTTGAATCTTTAGAAATGCACTTGTCACAAAATTCCTTAACCGTTGTTCGACCTTTCCCTTTCTTTAGGTCTATACCTGTCGGAGGAATTTTTCTTACCAAAGACCTCAAAGACCGGTAGCTCGCTCGTTTCTTTTTATTATCATTTTTTTCCTTTTAACCAGAATTTTCCTCGGTATCACAAATCCATAATATATTTTGTCAGCGGCACGCAGCCGAGCCGAAAACGGATATTGACTAATAATAAAGGCGCTGTTTGAAGAGAAGCTGAATGGCCGTGTGGTTTATCACCTGCCCCCCGTACTTCCTGCCTCCTCGCGGCGCACAAATTGCTTTCCTAGTCACGCTCCACTCATCACACACACTCTCGCACCCCACACACATATGCACACCCGCGCTCCGAGATCTGCGGGCAATAGGAAAAAATATATTATACGCAGCAATAGGCGGCGGCGGCTGCTGCACGCCCACGACTTATTTTTGGAAGTAACGAGCAGCAGCGCAGAGTGCATCTTGCATTTTATTATTAATTTGGCTCCAGCCTGCCGCGAGTGCCGACTGACACAGGACAGATGCTCGATGGGAAAATTGGGTATATACATTGTTATAAAAGTACAATAAAAGGGTCAAGAATCATCTGCTAAGCACTATTTAATTCAAATCAATAAATCAAAAGTATAATCTAAATTTTGGATTATTTATAAATAAATAATGTAAATATAATCAATTTTGAGAAATTTTTAGTTTATTTTGATTTTTTTGCTTTAACAATTTTTGCTATTTTGATTTTGAACGTGTAAAAAATTGAACATTTTCATTAATTTTATTATTTATTCCATATTCAAATACGTTTAAATAAAACAACACTAATATCCAATCAATAATAAAAAATCAAATTAAAAACAAAACTGTAAATTATGTAAGAAGATTGTTGGTATGTAATACAAGTTAACAGGGAAATAGCAAGAAGATTGAAAATATTTTTCAGTTTGTATTGACGTTGAATCAATAATTTTATATAAATTCATTTTTATTTTATAAAATATTTAAAAAAAATTAATTAAAGGAGAGATAAATTATACTTTGATGCCTCTGATAAGCTGAAATTAACTTCGGGAAAAAACTTCAGAATTATTAAAAATTTCAATGTGCGCAAGCAAATCACCTGTTAATTTCGAACATTAAAAAAAAATTAATTTTTTTTTGTACAAGACGATTAAGAAAAATCAGCCTTCAAGCATAACAATTTATAACCGTAAATACCTCAAGTTTTTTTGTAATTGGTGGTAAATCTGTATTTTTTGCAAATGCCAATTGAATATCTGTTCATCAGTTTCATTAATCCAAATTAATAAATTAAACTTATTAACACTGATTTTTACTGAAATGGAAAAGAATAAACTTTAGGGTCTTTTATATCTTATTTATCAATATAATATTTTTAATTTGTGCTTTCTGTCCACATATTTCCTCACAAACATACTTTTTTCCTTCAATGTAAATGGATTTTTAATAATTTTGACAAAGAAACACACATTTCCTGAACTAGAATTTATTTGCTTAAAAAATAAAAGAATAATTTAATTGGTTTATTGAAAATAAACTGTGCAATGCCAGACAAGCGCGAGTCTGCTTTTTCTTATGTGCGTGCCTTTCAACCAGCATTTCCTCTATATTCTCTCGCTTCTCTTTCTCTATTTTTTTATTTCATTCATTCTTATTGTAACGAGACGCAGGAAGTCCAAATCCTCTTGACGCGCGCACTGCACGCATATATATACCAAAAAAGCTCCTTACGATTTTTTCCGCCGTAAAGTTCCACGCCAGAAATAAGATTACTCGGTTTTACCATTCGTTCAAATCCCTATTATGTTCTCGCCGCGTCGATTTCTGCAACGGTCGTTAAATTTTACAATTTTAAGTCAATATATTTATTCATTTTTCTAGAAAATTTTCTTTTGTTTGGAGCCGCCGTCGCTTTTTATGGCCAATTTCCTTTCCCACGCACAAACACCAAATCGAACGGCGTGTTAATAATTATGCCGCGCTTTTTCGCAATCGATAAATAACTCGTCCTCGCCAAGGAAACCGACGCGACCAACAAAAGAGCAGAGAAAGCAAACCCGAAATGAATGTAAAACACAAAAATAGTTATAAAAAGAGGACAGCCCAAAATGACACATAGCGTGGGCAGCTCTTTCTTTGTGCCTCTAAAATTAATGGTGCCAACTAGCTGCGGGGACACCATTCATTTAAATATAAAAGTGTAATATGCAAAGCCAGCACGTCACCCTTTTATTCGTTTTATTCCGAGTGGAAATTGAAAATGTCAAAACAGTCGAAAATAACTGCAAGATCAAAGAGTGATTTTATTATAGAAGAAAAGACCCAAAACCCGCCCTATGTATTGAGGCAGAGCCTAATTTTTAATTTAATCACGAATTTTACTTGTTTTTGTAACACCAGAGTTTTCAAATTGAATGATGAGTTAATTGGGACTAAACTGAAAATTTCAGTCTGAAATAGATAAAAGATGATTAATTCAAAATAGACTCCAAAGACAAAGTGTTTGCCTATAATCTAGCAGTTCATATTTTTACCAAAACCCCCGTAATTAATTTTGAAAGTATAATTTAGGCCAAATATCAACCCCTAATTTTTATTTGTAATTATACTAAAAATTACCCTCCCCTATAAGAAGGATTAAAACAATTAATAAACATTTCAGAACGTAAATTTTCCATTTAAATCGTGGTTTATATTAAATTTTGTTATGGTTCACAAATTTGTGGTGAATTTTTATGAACTAGCACACAGATATCTGGAATTCAAAACAAAGACTGTCCTTATTTTTCCATTCGTGATAAAAAGGCAATAAATTATTTTAACTGCAGCGCTAGCTCGGCATGAAAATGCAAATTGTTTATAACTATGCTCGCAATGCAATCGATATACAACATTCTGCTTTGAAAGTGTAACGCAGCCGCGCGTTTCACCTATTTCCCTATTCACATGTCAGTCCCATATTGCATGTCATTTTGTGCCGCAGCTTTCTGTGTTACATAAAATGTAATCCTCTTTTTCCCGCTGCAACAAATAAACAGTCTGTCACTAGGGGAATTCAGGCCGGATAAATGTAATAACCCTTTTGATCGCGCGGTGTCAATGTCAAGGAAACAAACTGCTCAGGGACAATCTGAACTGAAATATTTTACGTAGAGTTATAAAGCTGAGCGGGCAAAAATATTATGGTTAAAATAAAATGAATTTAAACTTCTTTTATTCAGAAATTTCAATTGATTTTTTCTAGCTTATTTTGATTAAAATATAATGAACGCGTAGTTAATTAATTTTTCTTCAATAGGCAAACGTCAAAACCTTTATTTCTTTATTTATAATTTTTTGTTCTCTAAATTTTAAAGCACTTTATTTACTCGATTTTATAATATGAGGGTAGAGCATAAGGATGATACTTAATATTGACCATATTATCAGAAATGCAAAAAAAAAGTATCCAATTCCAATTAATTTTCTTTCCTCGTCCGCGTTTTTGGATCACTAGAGACCCGTCTCAAATTTCGGCTAATTGGCCGAGGCACCTGCTCAAAGGTGGTATTACAAATTTAGTTTATTGCAAACCAAAATGATAATAAGAAGTTGCAAGTAAGGGGTTTGCATATGATTATACTGACTGATTGTTTAATTGCTTAATAAATTATTAATGGGTAATTGTTCAGTAATTTCTATTGTGTAAATTATTATGATTAATTTGTAATTGTTTAAAACAATGTAAGTTGGCTTACACACGGGCTTTATTGTATTCACAACAATTCTGGCTGGATAGGGTAAATTCACTGGCTCGAAATTGTCCGTATAGTGTCACTTAAAAATCAACAAATGGGAGCGGTGTTCCCTGGGTAGGCCGGCAGGCTGCCCTGGAAACGTCCTTGCTGGGAACCCGGACGGCTCCCTGCAGGTCGGCGGCGGCTCTCGGCGCGGCCGGGGCCCACGGCGTGCGGGTCTCTGGCGGCGGACGTTCGGACGCCTTCGTCCGAGCGCTCGCTGGCGGCGTGCCACGTCGGCGCCCGATTCCTCGGACAGGAAGGAGCTGGGGACAAAAACAATGGGTCACTCGGCTGTACTTCCGTCTCACGTAGTGGTTTGACCTTTTGGCCAAAAGAAGGCCTCAGGGAGAAACAATTGTAATTTCTCTTACCTGGCAAAACTGCTCCGTACGGCTTCGGACGGCTCGGCCACACCCCGGACAGTACGATGGACACAGGCGTGCCGCTCGAGGGGCTCGGGACGCGGTCGGCCTTCCGGCTGTCCTCGGACGAGACAGCGTCGGGACAAGACAGCGGTCGGGGCCTTGGGACGGCTCGGACGAGTGCGAAGGGTTCGGACGGGTGTCCGAAACTGCACTGGAAGTCCAGGTGTCCTGCGAACAAAGAGCAAAGGGTTGAATGCTCTCCGTCAGCTGGCTCGAGTGTCGGAGCTTTACCTCGGATTTCTCTGAGGTCTGTCAGCCTTCTGCCTCGAGCCAGCGGACGGAGCGCCTTTTTATAGCGCGGGTAGCAGCCCTGGGAGGGTCGTGCAAAACCCACCCACCCATTTGATTTACATTGAGAACTTTCTAGATGCATCTAGAAAGTTCTGTGAATCTGCAGTTGAATTCTAAAATGCCTTTATAAATTCCCTTGTATCGAAATAGAATCCCATGAATTTTACAAGCTAATTCCAATTGAATTTATACTAATTATTTGTAAATTTAAAGCTACTTTAAATTTAAAATAAATGCAAGATTTATTTGTAAGAATTCAACTTAAAACAATTGCCAGAAATTAAAAAAAAATAATTAAAAAGAAAGCCCTTAAAAAATGAATTTAATTGTAAGCCGAAAATTAATTGAATAATAATAATAAAAAAAAAACAATGAAGTTCTCCGATGACACAGCCACAGTCAAAACAAACAAATTAAGAGAGGAATAAAATAATTATTCCACACCAAAGGTCACGTTACCCTCCACGAGAGCTGCCAAGGGTCGCGGACGGGTTTCCTGTTTCCTTCCTCTCTCGCGCGCGCGTTAATTTGTTGATTTTCTCTATATCCCTTGTGTGTGCACCGCACGGGGTGGCTCTCGAAGGGGTTGCACTTGATCGGCTTCGAGAAAAACACAAACACTGCGGTCTGCTAAGCTACTCTCTCTATACGCAATAAAATAATACACTTAACGGATGCAGAATTGCTCAACTCTTACAAATAAATGGGATTTCCAAGTAATTTAACCAAAAGATTAAATATTTTATTAACTTTATTTAAATATTTTACGTTTTATTTTTAGTAGTTTCTTATTCATCTACATTTTTAAATTGCGAACTACAATACGAGGATCATATTTTGATAAGTTGCTAAGTCGTTTAATAGTTTAATAATTTAAGAAGGTTAAATATATTAAAATTTGAGACTGAATAATTAAATACTTTCAATTTTTGAAATTGTTTTTCTGTTAGATTAATTTTTTTATGTAACTTCTATATAAACTGCTTAAAAAAAGCTTTTTCATATACAAATTTGAGAATTTTTTTTAGAAAAGCGTTAAAAATATTATTTTCCAATAAAAAATCCACAAATTTAAGTATTTTTCGTGATTATGCAACCCGCGAAACACTTTAAACTTCATTCAAAATGTTTTATATTTAAAATATCCTTTGTAATTTCATTCATTGGATTGCGTTAAAATACACTTCCATTTCCTTCTTCGAAATAAAAAAAATATTTTCAATATCATTTTAAAACATTTTGTTTCGAAGGTTGCATCTTCAAATTTGCTACAAAACCGCAAAATTTAAAGCGGGTGTCGCAGGCTTACTTTTCATCGATCGGCAATTTTCTTTTTTCGTATAATATTCATTAGGCAAAGAGCTCTCTGGTAATTAAGATCGGTCAGTGGGCGAGATAAGGCACGCCAAGTCCCATCTCGCCTGTGTGTAACGATTGCGACCGAGCCAAGGTCACTCTTGGTGCAGGTCATTCTTCCCGTCCTGGCGTGTCCACTATCGGCCGAAAGATTCCCAGCTCGATAATCACGCGAGCTCTGTGTATGTGTTTTTATTAGGCGACTACACTCCTGCTTTTTGTGTGTTGTAATTCAGCTCCGAATAAATGTACATATAAGCCTTATTCATTCTCTGCATGGTCACCGCGGTGAGGAAAATCAAGTACGGGGAAAAATAAAAAATAAAATTTCCAAGTCATTTCTCAGTTCACGTCAGCAGATTGACAAGACAAACGATTGTTGGACAGTTCAAAAGATTATATAAATGAGGAGGAATGTTTAATTTGTTTGATAAATTTATTTCTTTGTGGTTTTTGATGGACATATTTCAATTCATTTAACAAAAAAAATTTCACCCAAACTTATTATGTATTTGATAATACAAAAAGAGACATAAATTTATATAAGATTGAAAAAAAAATATTAAAATAAATAAATACAAATTCTTAATTTTAAATAGTAATATTGACAAAAAAAAATTAATGATTTTATTTTACAAATTATTAAAGTAAGTGTAAAAAAACATTAAATACGTGATGTTTCTTGTATTTTTTTCAAAGTATCTGGATTGGGAATAAATTGTATAAAAATTACGTAAATTAAAAAAACACGAAAATAATTTTGTACAAATTCCTTGTTTTTTTTTTGTATTAGTCAAAAAGACAATTTTTTTTAAAAACTTCACCGCTTTAAACTTCCTTTCATTGTCAAGTCTTTTGTGTTGAAATTATTTGCAGAGGTTTTCCGCATGCCTCTTTTTTGTCGGTAAAATTTCTTGCGGCATGATTGTGTTTTATTTTCTCTTCCTCGTCGCTATTTGTTTATTCATGCAAATTGCCGTTTTCTTCGGTTGATCCATCTAAATTGCCGTTTTTATTGTTATTGTCACGTGAGACGAGTGGGTATGTTTATGCAAACTCGTAAAAATTTATGGCCCTCTTTAATAAACGTACGGCGGCGAGGGCGAAATCAGAATTTCAGCTTTTATTGTTCGAGGTGATTTCATAAATAATATACACATTTGCCATTCCGCCTCGGCTGCTGACAATACAAAGCACCGGAAGCTGCCAATGTAAATGCATATCTGCTCGAATTATTAATTTACAACATAGTGCAAATTTAAGACTGTTCACTGTTCTTAAAACAGCCCCGATGGGGATTTGTAATCGAAATAATTTGGTGAAGGTTAAAAGCGTTAAAACAAAGGGTTAAAAACGTTAATTAAGACATCTATTATAAATATTTATCTACAACGTTTTATAACAATCTTCTGCTATTGAAATATTAGCAATTTCCCAGTTGTCAAATTATTTTAAAATGAATTATTAATAGGTTGCAATTTTTATGAAATAAATTGCATTGATATTTTTCTTTTATTATTTCTATTTTATTTGAAAGAATTGTATTTTTTAAATATGGAAGTTCAAAATAGAAATATGAGTAGATAAATTTCAAATAATATTTTCATTTTTTCAGTTTTATCAGGTTAATTTTAATATCAATTTATTTTTTAAATTCCTTAAATTACAGTTGATAATGGATTAAAATTGTTTTTGCCCCTATTTTTAATGTTCAAACTTAGGATTTGTCCTAAATTTTTCTGATTAATTTGAATTTTGAAAATATAAAAGTCCCAAATTTTTCAATATATCGAGTTCATAATTCATAGCAAAAGTATCAAAAATTTATCCATTCTTTAGGTTTAATAATGCATTTTATTTATAGAGTTCAATATAATAAGCCTCAAATTTGTCCTTATATTTTGATTTTCAGATAATTTTTGAAAAATGGAGGAACCGCCTGGCGTCTTTCGCGTCGGCGACCTCGACATCCTGCTGCGGCCGCGTTCGTCCACCCCCAGGGCACCCAAGGGCCTTCAGACTGTTCAGAGCCCCCGAGTGCCCGATTTCCACGTGATGCCGCCCCACGACTACCTGCCCCCGCTGCCCCCGAGGGAACCGTGCGTGCCCAGTTTGGCCGCCAACGTGCCCTTTTACCACGTGCCGGGTCCTTTGGCCGACAACCGACGCAACCTGCGACACGCGCCGCCCCCAGGGGTGGCAGTGGAGGCGGCGCGACTCAGCAAAAAGTCGACTGGTCTGCTGTGCGGCCCCTCCACGTGGACGCTCAGTCTGCAGCCGACCAGGGCCAAAGGGACCCTCAGGTGGCGATTCCTCGCCGTCCTCCTCCTCACGGCCTCCGTTTCGGCCGCCGGGGGCCTCATCCTCATGCTTTTGACTACGTGTAAGAGGATTTCACATTAACTCCTTTCGCATGCAAATAAATTGAATAATTTAGGTCCAAAATTTAATAATTTAACCATTGCTGGAAATTACTTCAAGCAATCCTAGAACTCTTCTTACACTATAAATTCATAGTTTTTTTTATATTTTCTCTTTAAACTTTCCTAAAATCCAAATATTATTATTAAGTTTTCTTCGTCCCTTATCAGTAGTAAATATGTAGGACTTTATCTATATTATGGAAAACTGTCATGTGTCTATTTTAAGTTATTATATTTTTTTATTCCTTTTAAAAACATTTTTATTTTTTAACTGCTATTTTTTTTTAATTTATATATTATTGAATTTCATTTTATTAGTAATCTAAATTTTTAATTAATCAGGATTTTTGTGATATTTTGCCATTTATATTTTAATTCAGTTTACTTGACCATTTCTATCTGCATGAAGCAATTAAGTTTTACCAATTTAAACAGAATTAAAAAAAAAATTAGTAAATTCCGCTAATATTTTATTCCATTTGAAATAGTCTTACAAAAATCAATTTCTTATTATCCCGTGACAAAGAAACATATCTCCGACCCCGCTTTATTATATCATGACAATTCAATCTTTCTTTCTTTCGACTCCAGGGAAATTACGCCCTTATTTCCAATAAAATTCTACGTGCTCTGTAATCACAATCTGCGGCCATTAAATTAATTCACCCCCTTTTCAGTGGCAAACCAGCCAATCGAGGTTGTCACGGAGTTCCGTCTCGAACCGATCGTCGGCGAGTCAAGTGAGTTCTTCTTTTTTTTTTAAATAAGAAGGTGCAGATAATTTTCACATAAAATATCCCAAAATCTCAATTGCAGATGAAGTCGTCAGTGTGATCAGCGGCGAGTTTCTATTTCCGAGGGTCGACTTTGTCCCTGAGTTTCATGACACCAATTCCGATGCGTTCAAACTTATGGCACTGCAGATCAAAGAAAAGGTCAGTTTGTGAATACATTTTGAGATTTGCATGAAACAAAATTTCAATTAAAAAAATCATATATAAACATATAAATTTCAATTTTTTTAAATTAAAAAATGCAAAATATTAAAAATTTTATCATAATTATTTAATTATATAAATATTTATATTTACAAATTAAAACATTTAGTTGTAAAAATGAGAGCGTTATGGGAAAAGTTTGCATTTTTATTGAATTACGTATACTTCCTTGAACAGTCTGAATGGAATAAATCGCGTACTTTTTTCCTTCCTAATATGGAAAAAAGAGAGTAAACGTGAATGGGTTTAATAAGTTGCTCTTCCGGCGGCAGTGGTTTGTCGTTTAATTTATTGGGCGCGTCCCTTTGCCTCGTTTGCCGGGGTGTAATTTTTCATCATTATTTCCGAAATTCAAACGTCACGGTGCGAGATTAATGTCTGCCAGGTTGGGAGAAAAGGCTTGGCCCACGCACCTGTCACCGTGACTCACCCGATTGTGTTTCTCATTTATACGGAGCGAGCACCACCGCGTGCATTTTGCGCTGATCGATTTTCCGCTCGGAAATATACAAATAGGCTGCCCTGGCTAGTTGCGGCTTCTTGCACACAACGCAAACTCGCGGCCGGCGAATTAATCTACGGGGATTTGCGGTTTCCGCTGGTAAATTTTGAATTTCGTTATGAAATTTTATAAAGTAAAAATTCGTCAGTTTTGTTAAACATTCAATTAAGGGTTAGAAAATCTAAAACCTTAAAGTGAGTTGATGGATATTGATTCCGCTTCAAATTTTCCACTGAACAATAAATATATGAATTTAAAAATATATAATAAATAAATAAATTGAAGTAGTTATTTTATTACTATGGGCATAATATCACAAAAAAATCACCCCATAAACGAAAATTAATCCACAAAAATCACAAAATCGAGAATCGAAATCAACAACGTTCAGTACTAGTAGTGCTGTAAATCAAAAATTGGGCAAAACGAAAAAAACAAACGGTTTATTTTTTAAGAGGTTTTTTCCGTGGATTTACTGAAACGCTCTGTTTACCCTAATTTTCCAAGTTTTAATTGAAATTTTGATTTTTTTTTGTGTGACTCAAAATTATTACTTTTTGAGACATTTAAAAAAAATTAATTTTTCAATTAAAAGTCAAAATTTTGGTTTGTATATTCCATTCTTTAAAGCCAAGTGTTTCTCGCACAGTTTCAGTAAATCCACGGAAAAAACCTCTTAAAAAATTAACCCTTGAAACTGCTTTACACTTTACAACACAAACAAAACACTACTCTACACTAATTTGAACAGAAAAAACACAGGCACACTAACAATTATCTGAGGTTTATTTTTTATTGATTCAAGAAGGTGTGAATTTATTTTTTTAGTAATTTAACTTAAAAATTCATAAATCTATATAATGGTGTGGTAAAAATTAAAATTTTCTTTAAACATACAGAAAACAAAATGTTTTAATTTATTTCATTTTTATTGAAGGGACGTTGGTCTCGAGTTGGGCGTTGTGTTCAGTTGCGTGGAAATTTTACGTGGTAATTTCTGGTTGATCAATCAGCAGTAAAAATAATGATCCTGCCCGCACTTCATGCTTAAAAAGCGCAGGGCTATTTTTGTTGCACCTGTTCGTGCACAGGTGCGTCCAAAAATATAAATAACCAATTTGTTTTGAGGTATAGTTTCTTACGAAAGGATTTGAGATGTGCATGTTGCGATGATTGACAGTTTGAAACAAAGTTAAAAATAGAATCTTGAAAATTATTTGCTCAATAAAAAAGATAGATACCGTACTTTTATGTTGAAAAATACAAAGATTGATGTTGATGTTTACCTAGATTAATTTAAATTCTACAAGTTTCAAAATATTATGAAAAAAAAATCAAAATCAAATTAATATTTAAATTTTATTTTCCCATTAAATTTTTATACACACAAAAGTATTGTTTTTTTTTAACTGATTGTATTCCGATCTTTTTTAATCTAACCAGAACAAAAATATTTTGATAAATTTTTAATTTTATTTTTTTTTAGCTGGACAGTTTGTTTTACACAAGCGAACTTTCCTCTTGCTTCAACGGCTCCACTGTTTACGCCTTTCGTCCATCTCCCAACGGCGAGGGTTTAGAGGTATTTGCTATTTTCTATGTTTAATTAATTTTTCCTAATGTTTTCCCAAATCGAAATTTCCACTCTAGGTCTTGTGTCACCTGCAACTGATCATCACCGAGCAGCCGATGAGTGAAGCGGAGGAGCCGGCGAACAGGGCCGGACTGGCCTTTTTGCGTGGGCTGCGTCACCACGAGGGTCACATGTGGCTCGGCAAGTGGATCGTCGACGTGCAGTCAATCGTCTTTTCCGGGTACGCGGCCAGGGGCGCCTTTCGGGAGCATCACTCGACCGCCGAGGTCGGCTGGACCAGCTGGGGGCCTTGGAGCGTCTGTGGTGTGGGCGGCGTGCAGACCAGGTCCAGGAAGTGCGCCCTCAAAAATGGCACAGGAGTGGTCAGTATTTTTTGTATAATTTTTTATCTCTATATATTTTTGTGTAAATAAAAATATTTTATTATTTTATTACAAAAATTATAATGAAATTTGTAACTAACAAAAATTTACAAAATAATAGTTTATTCATTTTGCATTTCTATTAAATTTTTGTATTTGGTTTTAATAAAATGTTTTCTATTGCAAATTACTTATAATCATTTATTTGTAATTTTTTTTTATTTTTTAATATAAATTTTTTACAATTTTAATTTAACAAACCGTTTCGAGTCAAATAAAACTTTCCCTATAAAAACGGTTGAGAATAATTAATTTATTATAGATTTCATATCATAAATTTTAAACAAAAAAAATTGTGAAATATAACTTTTATTTTTGTCATATTTTTCTGTTTTCACTCAAAATTAGACTATGGATTAAAATTTATATCCTATGTAATAATTTCTATCTGAATTAACTTAAAACTTAAAATAACAAAATAAAAATATTATTCATGATTATTTAGGTTTTGAAGAGTGCCGAGCAGTGTCTGCAACTCGGAGGTGGTGACCTGCAGATCAAGGACTGCACGCACTCAAAAACAGAGGCGGTCGTGGCCGTCTGGCGTCCTCCTCGACCCGATCGAACTGACAGTGAAGAGTCGTCGGTCCGCCTGTGCGACGAGTGTCGGCCAGACGAGGTATGCGTGGCGCTGGTTGGAGAACCGGTGCCCTCCTGCCGTGCGTCCAAAGACCCCGCCGACCCCACGGGATGCGGAGGCCTCTGCAAAATCAACACCGAGTTCTGCAGACAGCTCGACAAAGACGCGTTCAGGTATATAAATTTCACAAAGATGATTTGTTTTAATTTATAAAGCTTTTCTTCATATTTGCTTAACTAAATTTAATTTTTGAGTGAAATTCATTTTTAAAACAATAAAAACAGAAGAAATTGGGAACATAAAGCAAATTAAATTAAGAGAAAACAGATTGAAAATTATAGAATCGTTGGAAAAATTATGACGGAGGAGAAAAAAATCACACACAATTTTCCAATTGTTTGAGGGCTTTTTGTTAATTATCCATTAAAATTAATCAAGTTGTGTTATTTCAGAATTAAAAGCCGGCAAAATTTAAATTCAGAAATAAATTTCACTTTAAATTTTTCACAAGCTTGCAAAAAGCTTTTTTAATAAGGTGTTAATGAACTGTAATTTTATATGAAACGTTGAGTAATTTCATAAAAGGTGTTATTATTTCTTAGTAATTATTACTTCACATTCACCTCAGGTGCACTGATGATTCGCACTGCCTGGAGTCGGAGTGGCGCTGCGCCAACAAATTGTGCATTCCCCGCAGCGGCCGGTGCGACGGACATATGAACTGCTACGATCATTCCGACGAGTACAATTGTGGTAAGCCATTAACAACATCGTTAATTTTTTACATTTGATAAAAATGCAGCAATGGAAGGGGAAAGTTCTTATGTTGATGCACACAAATACCTCTGTTACCAAATTCCATGATTAACAACGCCCGATTATTTTGCATTTAGTGGAATTAAAAGCCGACTATTTTATTTATTCATCATTCATCGTTAAATACCTTCAATTATGTCAATATAAAGTACTTTAAACCTTAGTAATAATGCGGAAGCCACATTCAATTGCCTTTCTACATTGTATAATTATCTACTTCTGCTTAAAAATGTTAAGGATTCAGGATGTCAGCTCAAAATCTTCCGATTTTGCAAAAAAATTGTGTAAACCAGATTCAACAATAAAAATTGCTTTTTATTGTAAATTATGAACAACGTATTAAAATTAAAGAAACCTTTCTTCAATGGTTTCTAAGGTTGTTACAATTGCTCAAAATTTATAAAAGGGAAAATTTACAAAGGTAATTGTAATTTGATATTATTTTACATATTTTTTCAGTTAAAACTTCTCATCAGACTTCAATGACTCTAAAAAAACTGTGTGCTTGAGATTTAATTTATAAATTTAAAACAGCGTTTTAAAAATTTATAAAATTATTATTATTTTGTTTTTAATAAACCTTTTTTTATTTGTCCTCAATTAAAACAATAAATATGAGTTCAGCCAAAAGATTTATCTATAAAATATAGCGTTGGATGAATTTAACAAAGAATAATAATTTCATATTATTCAAAATTAATATTATTTAGACGAATTTTTTTTTGTTCCGTCGTGTTTCAGGTTGCAACGTGCTTACCCACTTTCACTGCGGCAACCGGACGTCGTGTCTGCCGATGTCGCGGCGGTGCGACGGAGTGGTCGATTGTTGGGACGCGTCGGACGAGACCAACTGCACGGCCGCGTGCGCCAGTCCGGCGCACTTCACGTGCTCGGACGGTCACTGCGTGCCTCACGGCCGCTTCTGCGACGGCTTCGCAGACTGTCCGGACCGCAGCGACGAACCGTTCGGCTGCAGCGGCGGCTGCGAAAGCGCCGAGTTCCGGTGCCGCAACGGGCGGTGCATTCGCCGGCTTGCAGTTTGCGACAACTTTGACACCTGCGGCGACGCCTCGGACGAGGAGGCCGGATGCACCGACCCCAGGAGCGACCCGGACATGTTCGCCTGGGCCACCGCGGCCAAAGCGGACAGGGCCAAGATGACAAGTGAGTTCAATAAACAGTCATCAAATTAATTACAGACTGTTGTGAGCCCTCTAGCGGCAGACAAATAAATTACTTTAGTCTTGATTTTCCTGCAAGAACACGAGTTGTTTCACTTCAGAAGTCCGAGAGATTTTAGTGAAAAAGTCAGGGTAGAAACCCTCAGGGCCATTAAGTTAGGGCCAGAAGTCTTCGAGACTAAGTAAGAAACATTCAGGGCTGAACTACAGCAAAGTGGCGACGAGTCTAAGGGAGAAATAGCAAGAAAACTGAACCTCGTGTGGCCGCCATCATCGTTAGAGAGAATTCGCGTGTGTGGAAGCAGGATTTAATCGTTGAAAATCAAGAAAGCAAGCGGTCATCCGGGTTTTCCCAGGGTATTTATTGAATCCAACATGAGTGATAAAGCGAAAGTAATTGGTTCATTTGACCCCAAAGGGGTTCTGTCATTCAGCCAGTACCTGAGCAGGTGGAAGTTCCATTTCGCTGTGAAGAAGGTGACAGAGGACGCAGACAAGAAGAACATGTTCGTTGATCATCAAAGTGAAGAAGCGTTTGAGGTCTTCTGCAAGGTGAGTGACCCTGAAGGGATTGAGGCCATCACCTTTGCGAAGCTGACTGAGAGGTTGGCAGTTTATTATAGACAAACAGAGCCGCAGACTATTGTCTATAAAAATGAGTTTAACCAGAGAGTCCAAGGACCTGATGAATCAGCTGCAGTATACCTAGCTGAGCTGACTAGTTTGGCCAAGAAATGCAAATTCTCAAAAACGGATGAGTTGCTAGTGCCCAAGATCATTTCAGGGTTGCGAGACCTGCGGCTGAAGCAAACGCTGCTGGCTGAAGAGGATGCAAAGTTGACTCTAGATTTTGTAAAGACAAAGGTCCTCGCACATGAACGAGCTGAACTGACCGCAAAGGCTCTTGGGCTGAGTAGCTCGCAGGGTACAGTGAACAAAATTGGCCAAGAAAAAAAGTCCCAGTGGAAAAAAGGTCAAGGTCAGCAAGGTAGTGACCAAAAGCAGCATGGACAGGTCACCTGTTTCGCCTGTGGTAAAGACGGGCACAAATTCTTCAAATGCAAGGTCAGAGACAAATTAACCTGCAAGAAGTGCAAGAAAAAAGGGCACGTTGAGCAAGTGTGCAGAAGTTCTACTCAGAAGGCAGCGCACCATCTGGAGGACCAAGAAGAGGGAGAAGATGAGGCCAGTGGAAGCGATGGCCAAGAACAATTGCAGGCAGTGACAAATTACCTGCTAAGAGTGGAGTCCACAAGCAAGCCACCAGTTTCAGCAGACCAGAAGCTGATGTTGGAAATTCTGCTGAATGGCAAGCCCTTGATGTTGGAAGTGGACACTGGTGCGACATTTTCGCTCATTGGACTCTCCACTTATGATAAATATTTCCCAGACAGAAAAGCGTTGCTTCCAAGCAATGTGCGGATGAAGGCGTGGGGTCAGCAAGGGGAAATTAGGGCAGCAGGAAAAGTTCAGGTGAAAGTGACTCCAAAAGGTGGCAAGCCGGTGAACCTTGAACTGTTGGTCATGGAGCAGAGTGGACCTTCGTTGCTTGGGAGGAACTGGTTCAAGCAGCTAGGAATTGCAGTGGAGTTGCCCATTATTCTGAAGACAGTGGACCTGAAAAAGGAGCCACCTGACCCTGAAAGACTGCCGGAGATCTTCAAGATGACACAAGTGCCGCCAGAATTTGAAGATCTCAAAGAAGTTTTTGAACCGGTGCTGGGAAAATGGAAGGGAGAACCGGTTCACATTCCGCTCAAGAAAGGAGCTACACCGGTGCGGCACTCCGCCAGACGTGTGCCGTTCGGACTGCAGGAGAAAGCGAGTGCTGCAATTGATGAGTTAGAAAGAAGAAAAGTCATCGAAAAAGTGATGTTCAGCGAGTGGGCTACACCGGTAGTGTATGTGGAGAAGGGGGAGGGAGTGCGCCTGTGTGCTGATTACAGCGCCACCGTCAACCCTTTGTGCTCAGCAGCTGATTTTCCGCTACCCACTATTGACAAACTGCTCGCCGAGGTCAAGCCGGGGTGCTTCTTCACCAAAATTGACCTGGCAGACGCATACTTGCAGTTCCCTGTGGATGAAGCGTCATCGGAGGTGCTCGCAATTGCTACTCACAAAGGTACTTACAGATTTTTGAGATTGCCCCCAGGGCTCTCCGTGTGTCCCCCCATTTTTCAAAAGAAGATTTCGGGATTAGTTTGCAAAATCTCCGGAGTGATTGTGTATTTTGATGACCTCCTGATTTTTGCATTTACCAGAGCACAACTGATTCAGAAAACAAGAGCAGTCCTGAAAATTTTTATAGAAAATGGGCTGAAAGTGAAACTGACCAAGTGCTCATTTTGCGTTCCAGAGTTGGAGTACTTGGGATATTCCTTCACTCAAGAGGGGATCCAGCCCAAGAAGGACAAGCTGGAGGCGCTGGAGAAAATGCCACCACCACAAAGTATTGAAGACCTTCGAGCCTTGCTAGGGTATTTCAACTACTACGACAGATTTGTTCCAAACAAAGCTCAAATTCTTTTTCCGGTCTACAGGTTGTTGAAGAAGGGCGTTCCATTTGATTGGACCCCTGAGTGCCAGCAGTCTATGGACAAGATGACTAAGTTGCTGGTCAACTCATTCAGCTTGGCGTACTTCGACCCAAAGAAAAGAATTCGGTTGGCCTGCGACGCCAGCAGGAAGGGGCTGGGCGCCGTACTGAGCCAGCTGGAGGACAGAATGGTAGAGGTACCAGTTATGTTTGTGTCACGAGCACTGAAGAAAAGTGAATTAAATTATTCGCAGGTTGAGCTGGAAGCACTTGCGATTGTCTGGGCCGTGAAAAAGCTGAAGAATTACTTGTGGGGACAACAATTTGAAATTTTGACGGATCACAAGCCGCTGCTGGGGATTTTTGGCAAAGGAAAGTTAATGTCTGATGACCTCTCCAGCAAGCTGAAAAGGTATTGCTTGTTCCTGAGAGAATATAATTTTGAGCTGAAGTTTTGCCCTGGAAAAGAAAACTGCAATGCTGATTGTCTGTCTAGGCTGCCACTGCCCGTCCTTGAAGATGAAGAGGAGGAAGAGGAGGCTCGAGTAGCTTTCTTGCAGGCTATCGAGTTGCCGCAGAGCCACATTTCGCTGCAAGAGTTGCGAGAGTTCACTGAGAAGGACGAGCAGCTCAGACGTATTCAACAGAAAATCCTTCAAGGTACACATCCTGATAATTTAACAAGTGAAGATGGAGAATTTGGAAAAAGGTGGAGAGATTTGAAATCCACTAATGGTGTGATTACCTTTGTAGGAAGGGCAGTGATTCCCCGAGACTTGAGGAGCAAAGTCTTGGGACTTCTACATTTGAATCATTTTGGCCAGACGAGAATGAAGACTTTGGCCAGGACGTACTTTTGGTGGCCAAACATGGACGAGGAAATCGAGCAGGTTACGCTCTCGTGCATGCCTTGCGCCATCACCAACAGAGCGCCATCGAAGGCGCCCATCATTCCGTGGTCGGTGCCCCATCGTCCATGGAGCAGAGTGCATCTGGACTTCTTCGAAGTGGTGCATGGCAAAAGCTACATTGTTGCAGCTGATGGACTCTCCAACTGGATTGATGCCGAGAGAACGAACAACTTGGAGACTGAGACGGCTATCAAGTACTGCAGAAAGCTTTTCCGAGTGCAGGGCTTATGTGACATTTTGGTGTGTGACAATGGGCCTGCATTCCGAGCTGAAAAGTTTAAGAAGTTCTGTGAAATGAATGGAATTGAACTAATTTACTCTCCTCCGTACAGCCCCCAAACTAACGGACTTGCAGAGAAGACTGTGCAGACTGTGAAATATTTCTTGAAGAAAGTGCCTGAGAAAGAGTGGGAGCTAAGACTGGACAGTTTTCTGTTGGGACACAATTCAACTCCAAGTTCTGCACTGGGAGGAGTGTCACCTGCAGAGTTCAACCTGGGTCGACGACCGCACACCCTTCTGGACAAGACTCGTCCAGCGTCGGCTGTCGTAAACCAAAAGGCAGCTCGGGACAAGAAAGTGGCAGCTGCCGTGGCAGAAAAGCCTTTGAAGTTGGTGCCAGATGACCAGCCAGTGGTCCTCCGGAGCTACCGAAACCCTAAAGTGAAATGGGAAGCCGGAGCCGTGGTGACCCAGCTGGGTCCTCGACGAGTGCTGGTGGAGACAGAGGCAGGCTTGACTGAGCGACACACTGACCAGATCAAGAAAATCATCAGACCTGCCGAGACACCGCCAGAGCCACCTCAAGTGGTCCAAGAAGTGCCCAGAGTCCGCCCCGACGTGGCCCCTGATCCTGTCCTTGATTCGGAGCAGAAGGATGGACCGAATCAGGGCCCCCTGGGAAGTGGATTGGCGAAGAGCGAACCACCAGACAAATCACCAATGTCGGTGCCGAGTCCCACTCGAGTCCAACCAACTCCACCTAGGCGCTCTCAAAGAGCTGCCGGATTGCCTGCTAAATTCAAAGATTTCATTGTGACCAAGAAATAATTCAGTTAAGTGAAGTGAGAAATTAAATTTAATTTTGTAAAGCAAGAAACACATCAAGAAAATAATACTGTACAATTTCCTGTTCGAACTTCTAAAATTCGTCAATAACTTTTCAAGTAATTGAATTAAATTGATTTCCAATTTTTATTTCCATTCTCATTTGCATATTTGTTCAAATCTCAGGAGGGAGGTGTTGTGAGCCCTCTAGCGGCAGACAAATAAATTACTTTAGTCTTGATTTTCCTGCAAGAACACGAGTTGTTTCACTTCAGAAGTCCGAGAGATTTTAGTGAAAAAGTCAGGGTAGAAACCCTCAGGGCCATTAAGTTAGGGCCAGAAGTCTTCGAGACTAAGTAAGAAACATTCAGGGCTGAACTACAGCACAGACCTTTTTATAATTATTTCCTGCCTCTTTTTCTCAGTTAGCCGGAAATTTAAAAAAAAAAATGAATAAAAACAAAAGTTTGTATCAGTTTAACCTAAAAAATAAACTTCAACAATAATTGAAGCGAATAGACATGTTTTAAAATATATCCTATCAATTGAAAGCGTCATTGTGATTATTTAAATTTGTTTTTTGGCCCTTATTAATTTTCCTTGAATTTTTATTTTTACAATAAAAAGTGCGACGTTTATCACTTGAAATGATTGAAATTGATCCATTTCCTTCCTCTACTGCTTTTTAGGCTTCCATCATCTGCTTTGGATTAGTTTATTCTTAAAAGCTTTTAAAGAAATTGATAAATAAAAGAAAAAAGTTCGATATCTAAACGTAAAATAGTATTTAATTGATATTTGTATGAATTTAATCAATGATAAATTCAATTTTTGTTAAAACCATTTCTCATAGATGAGTTCCATTAACAATCGATCACAAAATATTGTCCAAAAATTATTTATTAGTAGAAATTTTGCATAATAAAAAAAAATTAGGTGCATAATTTTATATTTTTTTTTTCAGGTTGTCCCCGAGGTCAATTCCGTTGCGCGAGCGGTGAGTGCGTGTTGGAGACGCTGCGGTGCGACGGGACAGACGACTGCGGTGACAAATCGGACGAGGCGAATTGTCCGAACGCGACGACAACGACAGTCAGCACCACTCTGAACACTTGATGACACACTAGACTACTAAGAGATAAATTTTAATTTTAATAATTATTGAACAATTCTATTTATTTTAATAAAAAAAGAATGTACCAAGCCTGATTTCTCTTAAGGACCAAATATAAAAAAATAGATTTTAAACTCGAATTAAATTGAATTTTATTTTGATTTTATTTTGCCTTAGGTTATGTGGAGAGTTCAATTCTAACCAGTTGGATTTTACCATTTTGTTTTTTAAAGGCCTTTGAATTCAATGTTAATTTGGAAAACACTCGGAAAAAACGGGTGGTTCATTTCTGAAACCTTGAGGTGACTTGAACTGTGAGGACATTGACTGGGGCGTGCAACAATTTAGACCTGATGGAGCATTTAATTTTTAGCTCATAAAAAATAAAATACAAGAAACAATTACTTCAAAATTAAACTCTCTGTTTTGTTTTTTTCATTTTTCGCGAAAGCCTTAAGAGCAATTAAATAAGAATTATGAATTTCAATTAATGAGGATTATACTGAACTTAATTAAAATTGAATTAAATTTATTCAGCTAAATTAAATTTCGAATCACGAGATTTCAGGTTGTCCACTTGGTCAATTCAAGCAGAGTGTTGGAAGACTCTGCACGGACAAGTCGGATGACTAATCGATTAATAGAAAAGACTTTTATTTAAATATTGAAAGGAATAATATCTATGCTAATTAGGGTCATTAAACTATTGTCATGAGCTTCTCGTCAATATATATGACAAGTTGTTTGTTTAGGTGCTGGGATATCCTAGAAAATTTTCATGCCGTCATATGTGCAAGAAGAAATCTTGCCTCAGGTTATGAAAAGAGTGAGAGAACCATGAGGCGCCTAGATTTATTTATATGGCATGCATTTTTAATATGGTCAGAGTTTCGAAATGGATTTGTAGAAAGTAATTAAGTAGAAAAATCATTTACAAGGGAGACAGATTTATTTAAGAGCAATTGATTCCTATCTACAATTAATTTTCTTTGTTTATTTAAAAATTGAATTATTTAAACTAATCATTTAACAATCATTGAAAAATCAGTAATTAATTACTAAAAAATTGGTTGAAGTTGCATTTTTGTAATTTTATTTATATTTATTTAGAACTTTTAGCATCTGGAAGATTCTCTTTCACAAATAATAATTTGAATTTTTACGAGCCCACTATATAAACGTTTACAAACAGCATTCCTTGTAATTTTTTTTCTCCTGCCATAAAAAAAAACTCTTCTCTCATATTAAACTAAATGTTAAAGGGTCAAAGAAAGAGTTGCCAAGCAGCACATTGTGTTTTTGTTCGTTCTCCACCTGTCCCGTGTGTGTTTATAGGAGCCGGACGTGTGTAACATGCGTGCATGTGTACCTGTTCTTTCTCATCGGCAGGTAGAGGTGGTTCCCCGGCTCGGAGCAGACGCGGCTTTAGTGACATGGGAATTCCGCCAGCTAAAGAAACAGGTTTTTAATTTGTATACACCTGAGAGCTGAAAGAAAGATCAGCCGCGGTCAGTCGAATTAGCGAGATGCGAGCGTTCGGAGTGGAATTTCTGCTGCTCTTCGGCGTCGTCGGCGCCGAACTTTGCGAAAAACACTTTCGCAGCAGAATAGAAAAGGGCAAATTGACCGCGAAAGGAGATCTGGAAACTGAAGATGGAATTCTGCACGCCAAGGGCACTTTTTGGAAGGACTCGGGAGATTCGTTTTGGGCTTGCCCGTGTCTCACTGGCTCGTGTTTGTGGATTTGCAATAAAGGTGAGTTTGCAAATTTCAAGGGTAATCTACTCGTCACTTTTATTTTTGTCACAATTTTTCCTTCTCACGCATCAAGTATGATATAAAAATTTCGTGAGCCAAAAGTAATTTAAATGATTATTTTTTCATCGCGAATAAATTAGTTTGTGGTTCGTCTCGGCGTTGACTTCGCGTTTTAAAGACTTTAATCATTTTCCATTTTTTCAGATTTTTTTACTATTTTCTCGTGGATTTACTTTATTTTTTTTCAGTAAGCAATATTTTAACATTATAATTGTGTAACTAATTTAATGGTAGAAAACTAGAAAGTAAAATTATTTTTAGAATTGATAATTTTCATTGCGCCAAAAAAATGATACTAAAAATGAAGTTCATCTTCTATTTCAGATTTAATCAAGAGAATAGAAGAAACGTTTAACGTGACCTTCAATTTAAACAGCACAATCGAGATTTGGGATGTGAACAACAGTTCGCGTCAGGTTGTGCTGAAAGAGCATTTCAAACTCGTCCAAGATTCAAAGTGTTCTCATCCTGTGCTACTTGAACCAGAGGTTGTCGATTTGGATGAGCACAGAATTCTCGCAAATGGCACTCTTCACTACACACATGCGAATTTGTCAGAAGAATACAGATTTTCAGATCCTAGAAATTTCTGTGTCATACCTTTGGTGAGTACCATTAAGTATTTCCACTCAAAATGTTGAAATAAATTGAATTTTTATTTTTAATAATAAAAAAAATCCACAAATTAATAGAAAACCTTGGATTATAATTGAAATATTAATCGTTTTAAAGTTAAGAGAATTTTTAAATCATAAACAAATTTTTTTAAATATTAATTTTATATTAAATTGAGATTTTTTTCACTTTATGAATATATTTTATATTATTTTTATAATTTTGTCTTTAGTTAAAAAAAATTATTTATAAAATTGTAATTATTTCAATAAACTTTGAGCAAAGTAACATATGATGGAACTAAACTAAAGATGGATTTCACTTGACTTTTCTGCTCAGATATTAAATTTCATTGTAGCTTTTATTTATTAATTTCTTTTCAGGATAACTCGCCACCTGTGATAACAGTTTGTGTTGATGTCGCGGAAACGCCGCTGAAATTTTACCTCTACACACCTTTTTTCATCCTGAGCGCCCTGTTTTTGCTGCTTACCTTAGTGGCCTATTGCTTTGTCGGCCCGGCCGAACGGAAATCCCTGCACAACAAGACGATTTGTTGTCAGTCGGCCGCCCTGCTCATCGTTTACATCTGCCTTTCGATCACTTATTTGACCGGTGGTTATAACGCCATGTGGTTCTGCGTCTCCACGAGTAAGTCGTTTTCTATACCCACACTGAGGACAAACACTAAACGCGCTAATTTATTTTTCGCAGCCTACTTCACTTATTACTTCCTGCTGGCGTCATTCTTCTGGCTCAACGTCATGTGCGTCGATATGTACTTAACTTTTAGGTAAATTTTATTTTTTCCAATTTATTTTTGTAACATAAATATTTGCAGGAGTTTGACGCGAACGGTGGAAATAAAATACTGGCAGGCGTCGGTTTACGCCTGGGGGGTTCCCTCAGTTTTCGCAGTGGTGATGATTCTTGCTGACCAACTTACTACTGGACCTCTCAGCCCTGATATTGGAAAGGCAAGATGTTGGTTCAACGGTAAATTTTCTTTAAATTTGTTTATAAATTTGTGATAATTTAATGCTATGTGACTAAAACATTTAAATAGAATTGATTTTTTTAATATCTTCCGTAAAATGTTTGCGAATTTGGACATGAATTTTTAATTGCCTAATCCAGGTAAATTAAAAAAAAAATTGTTGAACAAAAGAGACAACAGGAAAATAAAAATAAGATAATAAACAAAAGTTGACTCTTTAAGATCATTTCTCAGTCAATCTATCAAAAAAATGACAATTTTTAGCCTCTAAGTTAAGCATTAAAATTGCTTTTTTTTCAATTAAGTGTAATGAAAAATACTGCGATATTGCTTTTGATCGGCACATCAGCACAGTTTTTTTCAATATCCATATCTAGTCTAAATTGACATAAATTAATATTTTTTAAATATCATTCATTTTTGTTTGTCGGTTTTTTCTTTAATTTTTTTAGTTGCTAGATAATTATTTGTCTATTTTTTTCCCCAAACTTATCAAGAAACATCAATTTTTCAGGCTTTCTGACGGAGCTTCTGTACTTTGACGGAGTAATAATAATTTTGCTGGTCGCCAACGTGGTCCTGTTCGGAATGACGGCCATCCAGTTGTGGCGCCTGAGGCGAGAGTCGAGACGCGTCCTGCAGACGAGCAACAGCCGCACGCACATGGGCACCGACACGCAGCAGAACCGCGACCGATTGACCCTATTCTTCAAAATGTTCCTTCTGATGGGGTGCCTGTGGGTCATGGAGGTCATCTCGTGGGCCGCCAAGGGCCCGGACAGCTACTGGTACCTCACCGACATTCTCAACAGTCTGCGCGGGGTGCTCATTTTCTGGTTCTGCGTGTGGTCCAAGAAGTCGGTGCGGAAAGCGTTGCTCGGCAAAATCACGCAATGGTGGAAGAATCCGATTTTGGAGACGGCCAGTCCACAGCACTCGACGTCCAACACCGGCTCCACTCCCATGACGCTGAGCACGGCCAGCGGGCTTAACGAGTTATAAATATTCATTTAAATTCGGGATTGTCAAAAAATCTCATTTTAAACGATTTTGCTCACGTCGATCTTCTCAGTTGTAAATATATTTTCGGTGAAAGTACTCCTATAATTTGAGAAGTTTGAGCTTATGAAATCAGAAATAATTAAATGAGACCTTTTAAAATATAATGACTAAAGTGTAAGTTAAAGATATGAGCTTTTTTTCAATATTTTTGCTTTCATGATGTGACATTAATTTTACGTCTTGTTGTAAGTTGATAGGGAAATCAATTTAGTTTATTTTCTCGTGCCAAAATGTATATAAAAATAAGTTTGGATGTTAATGCTGGAAAATACGTTATAATTGTAACAAATTGTGAGAGGATGCGAGTTGAATCATAAATTTACTTTCCCTGTAAAAGGAAACAATAGTTCTGTGACCACTCCTTATTAACTATGCTATGGTACAATAGAAGTATTTTGTGATTCGGAGAAGTGAAATTAAATGTTCTGTTTGATTTTTTCACTAAATTAATATGCATAATTTTATTGAAATAAAATGGTAGATACAAAAGATCTGATTTTAATTATATTTTACTCAAAATGATTTGCCAAAAATAGCATTTCCTTTAATTTCATGACATCTTTAATATTCTCAACTGTCGACTGTCGTTTTAAATATTTTGTTAAGTGCTTAAACGTGAGTGGAATTTGCAGTATATTTAATTCCACATATATACAGTCTCATTTTTTCCACTTATGGAAACTGGTTTTAGAAACGTGTTTGAGCATCTGCAGCATTATAAAATTCTTGTTCTTTCAAAGTAATTCGCAAGTGCCGCAAAATTTTGAAAGATATAAAATTGAAACACTCGTTTTTTACTATACTGGTAAAAGCAACTCTAAATATTACAAAGGAAGAATAAAATTTAAGGAAATTTTTAAGTGTAAATAAAATGAAATTGTAACCAGTATGTCCAGAATTGAAATATCGTAATCCCAGAAAAAAATTATTATTATATGGGTAATTAGTTCATTTAATAAACAAAAAAATGGCAAAAATAACTGATGCCACACAACTTTAAGTCAGTGACGTCAGTCAGAATCTTCAAGAAAATATATTCGTTTATAAACGAAATGATAATATTTACCATGGGAAAGAGTCGGGCATTGTCTCTTACTCAACAAGACGAAAATAGTAATTAAAAAGATAAAATCACTTACTTAGTGGGAATTTCATATTATACGACACTTCCCGACCAAGGGAACAACAAAACCGCACCCACGTGGCTGCGCCTCAGAATAGCAACTTCCTGATTTAATTTGACATTAAATTTATAAAACAAATCTTTGGCTCATTCTAAAGCGTATTTAATTAAGATTTCAAAACGACGAAACCTTACAATTTTCAAATGAATTAAATATTCAAATTTTAAAACTGTGTAAATTTTATTTATATATAAAAATAGATCTTGACTGATCTTGGCGAGGAAAATGAGCAATGACGTAGCTTTGGTTTGCGTTCATCGGATATATGAACTGAGTAAGTGCGGAAATTCACTGCGGTTTTTTTGGTTGACATAAAACTGCAAGAGAACTCGGCTTTAGCATTCAATCTCACGATGGCGAGCACCGCTTTGTTATCAATTGTGCTTTTTCTCACACTGGCTGCTTTTTCTGGCGGCGCAATTTCAGCCAAGGACGGCCGATTTTGCGACGATGTCACGGTGGTGCAGTCGCACGACGCCGAACTTAGGACGGACGGCAGTTTGCAAACGACTAATGGAACGATTTACCCAAAGAGAACGTTTTGGAGGGAAGACCGGCTTTGGCACGTTTGCCCATGTCTCATTGGCCTCTGCATCCGCTACTGTCCAAATAGTAAGAATAAAAATCATTTTTTTCATTTACCGTTAATTTTAGTGCTTCAATAAGTTGTATTGAATTTCATCAAATCAAAGTAAAAGTTGAAAGCTCAGTTTCAGTTGATTAAAAAAAAAACATAATTAATTAATTTACTGTAAATATTAAGGTGATAAAAATTGTTTCAATTTTATTTTTAAAATTTTTATGATAAAATTTATTTCAAATACTTTAATTCTAACAATATACTTTTTTACTTGCACTATTCATGTATTGCATTAAATTTTTGATGAATTATTATTATTATTTATTCTTCTCGGTCAATACAAAAAAAATTTTAAATTGGAAAAAAAGAGAAGAAAGGGTTTACAACTAGCAGATGTCTGCTAAAACGCCCGACATCAAAAGAGACACGGCCGCTATTAAAAAAGGATTATTTTTCATTGTAGCTGATTGTTTTATTTTTTAGGTCTCATAAAAAAGAAGAACCACACTCTTGTGCCTGACGACGAAAGATTTCTTGTTTGGGATGGAGACACGCAGTTTTGGGTTTCACCGGAAAGAAAATTCAGAATCATCAAAAATTGCAAATGTGACCGTCCCAGATTAAACATCGACCAAAAATATCGAATCCTGACGGACGGAACCGCTTATTTGACCGAAGTGAAGAAAAATATTTCGCCTACAGATTACTGCATCATACGCACCGTAATTAAAAACGTAACCAAAAATGAAATATTGTTAACATCCAAAATTTGCAGCAAAACGAGCAAATCATGTACCACTGTTTGGAACAAGACATCACGAGATTTGAAGTGCTGTACGTTTTCTATTGCATTAGCGCCGTGTCTTTGCTGCTCACCCTAGTCCTGCTTTTGCTCTCCAAATTTCGGACCACGCCGCACGGTCTGTCATTGATTTGCCTGGTCATCAGCTTGTTCATCGTGTTTCTCAGCAAAATTGTCATCGGCACGGAAGACGTCGATCAACGCTGGCATTGGTGCACCATCAGTGGTAAATTACAAATCGAATCAAGATTGCAATCGGAATTAATATAAATATGCTTCTATTTCAGGCTACGTCATTTATTACTTTACAATGACCACGTTTTTCTGGCTGAACATTTTATGCATTGAGGTTCATGCAATCATCAAAAGGTAAAATAAAAAAATTATTTTAGTATTTTAAAGGCCTTTTTTTAGTAATAATATAATCTGTTATTAAATTCAAAGCAACTCACAGACTGATAGAATTGCAAATAATAATAAACAATTCTATAATAGGCTAAATAAAACGTTCATTTATTCATTAATTATTTATAAATGAATTTGTCAATATATTTGTATAAATATATAATTATTTATATATTTATATTTATTTTTTCATTTGCTGTTTATTCATTTATTTATCTAACCTCAGTTCCAACTGTCTAAAAGAATTGTGATTTTTTTTCTAATTTGTCTCCTTGCAAATTAAGGAATGATTATCAACTCTGAACCCTTTAATCATTTTTTTTTACTTATTTATCATAGTCTCTGGTTATAAATTAGAACCAGAAAATCCATAAAATAATATTCATTATTAATTTCATAATCGTTCTTGTTTTTTTTCAGTTGTCTATCTGATGGCACCCAAAGCAAATTCTTGCAATACTCGATCTTCGCTTGGGGCGCCCCTTTCATAATTTTGATCGTTGGCCTTTGCCTTGATCTGTTGGTAACGAGCAACGACACTCTCCACCCAGGAATTGGAGCCTACACTTGCTGGTTCCAGGGTAAAAACCAACAAAATTTAAAAATTACAGTTTTATTAATTTTTTTTTTTAAAATAGGAAAATTGACCGAATTGATTTTCCTACAAGCGTCCGTGTGCACCATTCTGCTGATCAACGCGATAATTTTCGCCTCGGCCGTGCGATTGCTTTTAGCGCTGAAAGCGAAAAGGTCCGAAATCGCTCTGAGGCGCGGAAAGGAAGAGTCGGTTTCGTGGTCGCAGCTCGAGTCGGGCTGTGTCGGCGTCACGGCCGGCCTGTGCCTCTTTTTGGGTTTTGTTTTTCTGACCCACATTTTGGTTTCGTGGGTGACGGACAGACGCTCATTTGTCAGGTTGATCTCTGACTCGACCGGCGCCCTTCAAGGCGTGTTTGTTTTCATTCTGTGCCTCGTTTTCACACAACTGCTGGATAAACTTTGCAAACGGGAAACGAACGAGAAAATGGTCCGAGTTACGTGCGAACCGGCACCGGTGGCTCGGTCCAGCGTCATTAGAACATCTATGATGCAGGTGGCCCTGCCGTAAAATGACATACATGTATGAAAATATTAAATTATTTTATGCTATTTTTCCGTATTTTTTTTATGTATAAAAAATAATAATATATTAAAATAAATTTAAATGTATAATGAAAAAAATTGACTTAAATTGAAAAATTAAAAACATTATTCATCGAATGGATACTTAGGACAACCATCTTCATATAATTATATTGCCTTTTTCTTATTCCCACTAATAGTTCATTTCAATATGAACATAAACCAATAAAATTTCATTAATTAATTTATTATATTAAAATTTAAAATCGGTTTTATGCAATTTTATTATACAATAAACTTATGATACAATATAAACTGGAATGTCGATTACAATTTTTTCGACCCGTGCAGATGCTAATTTTGTATTAAATATTTCATGTAATATTAAATAATATTCTTTACCACAAGGATGAGCAGATAAAAGATGAGAAACCCAAAGAAAATTTCTCACGCTGCAGAAATCAAAGAAATTCTATAGGATATAAGCAGCATGGCGCAAGTTCAATCAAATTTTATATAGTCTGTGTGTGTGTAAGAAAAATCAAGCTGGGCTGTATTCAGTATAATTATTTCCTTATTAATAAATCTCTGCTTGTTCCTGAAAACAGTTTTAAAAATTTTCTAAAATATAACTATTAGGAGCAGTGCGCATAATAGTACCTTCAATCACACACGCTTCGCATTTCATCTCTAATACTTTTTGCCTGCCTATCAGAATCAGAAATCAGATCAGGTGATGTGAAATGCCTTTTTGTTCAATTTTCCTCCTTTCTTGCTTTTTTATGCAAACAGTATTTTAAAGCTCCAATAAAAAAAAAATACATCCGCGGGACCATGGGATACGTCCATGTATAATGGGAACTTAAAATCATGAGAGCAAAAGTAGCAGTTCCAATTCCCCGGCTGAACAGCATAACTATGATTTTTTGTTTTAATTAAATTCTGTGACCTCCCAATGAAAAAGATAAGGCTAATTTTAATTAAACATATGCCTACCAGTTAAGAATTTTTGTCTTTCACGGTCCATCTAGCGTTGCAGCAAATTGAATTAAAATCCTAGAATTTGACGAAGGCACACAAGATTACAAAAACACGTAAAATTTGAATTAATTTTTATTACGCCCCCTTTTCTGTTTTTGATTTCCGCCTCAGGGGCAGCAGCGTCGCTTTTGTTCATCAGATAGGTGGGAGGAGACATAGCGCATATTTGTACTCGACCGCTTCGTTCCACTTTTCCGCCTCGCAAATAATCGCAACCAAAAGACTGCATGGTGGATATTAATTAGCACGCAGCTCTTCGTAATCGACAGGTCGTGCCGATCTGTTTGCGAGTCGTGCCAGAGGACGGGGCTTCTCGGGAGAGAAGGAAGCGCAAGGCGGATTCGCACAGGGAGCATTGACCCTCTCTCTTCCTTCGCAGAGCAGCCCTTTTATTTTGACAGGTAAACGCAAACGCCGAGCAAACAGACGAACCCTTGGCAAAGTCACACACATTCCTGAGGGCTGCGATAGTCTCCACGGCGACCCGCCACTCGACTCCTTATCGATTTGCCGTGATGAATCAGAGCGGAGATTCTCTTTGCCAGTTCTCTCGGGTTGAGCAATATGGATGGGCGTGACTCATCCGTTGTCAATTACTGCAAGGAATGCCTCACTCAGCTTAACCCTTGGCCCAAATTGCAGGTCCGTTTATCAGGCAACATGTCCAAGAAACCGGCCGTCCAGCCTGCGCTCCACAAGGTCATCATGGTCGGCAGTGGCGGCGTCGGCAAGTCGGCTCTCACCCTCCAGTTCATGTACGACGAGGTAAAAAATTTCTTTTCCTCTATTTTGGAATTTAATTTCACCTCACATTAATTTCTTCCATAGTTCGTCGAGGACTACGAGCCGACCAAGGCTGACTCGTACCGAAAGAAGGTTGTTTTGGACGGTGAGGAGGTGCAGATTGACATTCTGGACACCGCTGGACAGGAAGATTATGCAGCGATCAGGTGATTGTAATACCGCAGCAACAGTTAGGAAGCCGCTCAAAATCGCAGCAGCCTTCAAATTACATATTCTAATATTCTCGCAAGGCTTTTTTTGTATGCGTGCAGGAAAACTTATGGCCCTCCTTTAATTGCATTAAAAAAGAAAAATAGTACTATTTGTGGTACAACCAGGAATAGCATCCATTGATATTTATGGAGAAAGAGTTCCATCAAGTGTCCAGTGTCTGCCACATAGCTTGAGAAAAGTTTCATTATGATAATCCTAAACCGTCATATTGAGTTTTCTCTTTATTGTAATGTGTAGGCTAATATTTTTACTTTTGGCTGTATCTTTACATATTAGTTTCATGATAAATATTTCATCAAATTATTGTGAATTTATTGAGAAACATGAAACTTAAAATAAGCTTTTTTACCTGAATATTGCTGATTAAGAGGGATTTAACTATAAAAAACTTCTTCATAAAAAAATGTGTCATCTCACAATTTTAAATTGACAATGACTAATATTTAAAAAAAATCCCATATAATGATACCTACTTTTAAAATTTTGACATTCAATTAAAGACCCCAATTTTCATTAGTGCAGAATACAATCACTACACAACATGTCATTTTAAATTTATGCTTATTTATTATTTATTTTGAACTTGATCTTCCAAAATATTTCATTTTTCTATCGTTTCTTACAAAATTGTATAAATTATAATTTATGTAGTTCCACTCCATTAGTCAATACAAATTTATAATTGTCAAAAATTAAAAATGAACGATTTGGTAAATAAATACCTAATTGAGATTTAAATGGTACAATTGAAACGTAAAGCCAAGTACTCGAGTTATGAACCCATTACCGCTGAGGAGCAATTATATGCTAATGAGCCTTTGTATTGTTTCCCAGAGACAACTACTTTCGCAGCGGCGAGGGTTTTCTGTGCGTGTTCTCCATCACCGAGCACGAGAGTTTCCAGGCAACAGAGGAGTTCAGGTAAGCAAAGACTAAAGAGGAGCGTGGGAAAGTGTTTTGGCCAAAAGTAGTGCATTGTTTTTATTCTCAGGGAGCAGATCCTGCGAGTGAAAAACGACGACAACATTCCGTTCCTGCTGGTGGGGAACAAGAGCGACCTGAAGGACAAGCGGAAGGTGTCGCTGCAGGAGGCGACGTCGCGGGCGCAGCAGTGGGGCGTGCCGTACGTCGAGACGTCGGCCAAGACGCGCGAGAACGTGGACAAGGTGAGTAGTCGGAGCAAATTCTAACCGAGAGTGTGCGTGTGTGTTTCGTTGGCTTTTTTTGCACGAGTGACGCACGCACAGGCCTGGCGAGCGAGAGCAGCCGCAGCAGTCACTGGTCGGTGTTGCAGGTGTTTTTCGACCTGATGAGGGAAATAAGGTCGCGCAAGATGGAGGAGAACAAGGCCAACAACGGCAAGAGCAAAGACAAGTGCAAGAGGAAGAAACGCAAATGCACCATCTTGTAGAGCAGACTCTTCCGAATAGGTGTGCTGCACGCTTTGTTTGTCTATGTTTGACCAGCTTGGCCACTCACAAGTTTAAGACTTTGACAAACTTTTGCATTTTTGTTACATACTCGCCTATAATACTAATGATCGGTGCAAAGTTCAAATTCTTCTTTTTAACGATGACTCTGGAGAATTTTTAGTTTAGTGACTTTGTAACCTCGATGGTGGCTTTTTATATAAAAAAATTACTAATATAAGGCATCTTGTTATCCAACTATTTTCCTATTTTATTAATAAATTATTCTACTAAACTTTAATGGCTATAATTTTGTTTGTTTGAACAGAGCTAACTGAAAGGCATTATCAGAAACTATTTAATTTTTCAACCATTATTTGCACAATGAAGTATTTTTAATTTTTGACGGACTACTATTTTTACTGTTTACCTTTTGGTATTCTATTTTTTTTTTATCTCGATTTTCCCCAAAGAGTTGAAATTAAAATTGCTCTTTTCTGAGGATTCTGATTGTTGAAAAATTATTAATTTATAGTATTTTAATGATTTTTTTGGATAGTTTTTAGTGGGCTTCTTTTCCTTTCTAACAGGAAAGCAATTTTCTACGTAAAATTTTGGTGATGGTTTTTCTTCAAATTATCTTTGGCCAGCGCTTTTGAAGTCCAGGTATTTTTGGAAATAAAAACAAGCATGTGTATTTTTATTAAATTTTCATTTTGCTGGAAAGCGAACAGGGGAATTGGTTCTTGTCCCATCGTCTGTAGCAAAATACACCTTCTCACATCATCAATTTTCATTTTCTCTCAGGTTTTTTGTGAGCTGCTGCAGAAAATCGCCAAGCGCAAGGCTGCTGAAGAGGTGACCAACAACAAAGAAGACAAGGCCACCAAAAAGTGTTGTGTTATTATGTGAAAATCATTCCCCTAAAGTACTGAAAACAAATGCCTTTTTTTCTACAAAAGTAAAAGCAACCACATGGAGACGACCACTCGCATTTTCCTTGTAATTTTCTCGGCGGTTGCGCCTCTACAATGTTTTTATTTGTGTTCTTGCAAACTTTAAACAAAAATTTGCGCAGCTCCATTAAATGGAGTGCAACTGCTGAATATTTCACTTTTGTAAATAATAATATAAAATGTACCACGATGATAACTTATATTTACTAAGTTTGCTTCGCACACTCAAATTTTTTTAACGAGTAAATTGTAACAGGCTTTTTCTGTATCGTTGTGAATGGCGAAATCAACTGATTTTATATCAAACTCTTATAAAATTAATAATTTATGCTGTACAATTTGAGTTATATTAAACTTCTATTATTTAATAAAAATTGATATTTAGAATCTTCTATGTATTTGTAATATTTTACTAAATTCTAAATCTGTTAAAATATTAAAAATAGTTTACAATATTGCAAAGAAAAATGAAAAAAAAACGCATATCCCCGCCACAATTTTACTACTTCTTTTAAAATATAATCATACATAATTCTGATTGAAGTATCTTAAATTCAGAAAATAATTAAAAAAAAATTTCAGAGAAGCAAAGTATTGTTGCCCATCATAAAAAAGCTAAAACATTAAAAGTTATATTTAATATAGAGTTAGTCCAATAAATAAAAGAAGAGTTATTTTTATCAACTATTCCAAATTTTTAAATTCATTTTTATTTCTAGGTTACTTTTAATTTCGCGCTATTTGTCTCAAATAATGGCGGGCATTCGAAAGGCAGCCAACAAAGAATTTCGATGTTTTTCTCTTAGTCCCCTTCAAATGTTCGATTTTAACTATATTTTAATTTTATTATAGCAAATTTTATGAATAGAATTATTTTTAGTCATGAAAATATTGCAATAATTTGATAATTTATATAAATTCATGCTGCTGTAAAACATGTTAGGTTGGCGCAATGTGGTCAACAACATTACAACAGCATGGTCCATGGTGGTTTTGGGTATTGGTTTGCGTTTTGAGTCGAGATTGATCCACAAATGATCAGCCGGCAACGATTTTGAAATTGAAATTGTCTTTACCTTTCGGCTGGGATCATCGCCGATTCATTTTGCATTTTAAGAAGCAACTCTTTCCGAATCGACCACTGGAACACCAGACTCGATAATGGATTTCCTGGAGTACGCAGAGATCCAAACAGAGATCAAGGGGGCCATCGTAAGTAAAACTTTATTCCTGTTCTGCATAAATTTATTTATTTTGTCATCGTCGCGATTTGCAGACCCCTGGGAAGCTGAAACTTACTGACCAGCACATTATCTTCAAGAACAGCAAAACTGGCAAAGTCGAGCAGATCAATGGCTCCGACGTGGACGCTGCCAACTGGCAAAAACACGTCGGTTGCTGGGGCATTCGGCTTTTCATGAAGAATGGCAATTTGCACAGGTTCATTGGTTTCAAGGAGCAGGTTAGATCAATTATAATTAAATCCCTATTTGCACTAATATTTTTCTATGTAGGACCAAGATAAACTGGCCAAATTCTTTAAAAAGAACTACGAGAAAGATATGCTTGAAAAAGAGCTGAGTCTCAAAGGATGGAATTGGGGGACTGCTAAGTTCCTCGGCTCGCAGCTTAGCTTTGATGTCGGCTCACTGACAGCTTTTGAAATTCCTCTTAACAATGTGTCCCAATGCACAACTGGCAAAAACGAAGTCACCCTGGAATACCATCAAAATGACGATGCGGCTGTTGGATTGCTAGAGATGCGTTTCCACATTCCATCCAGTGAACTGGCTGGTGATGACCCTGTCGAGCAGTTCCAGCAAAATGTTATGAACAAAGCCAGCGTCATCAGTGCTGTTGGTGATGCTGTTGCTATTTTCAGGGAGATCCAATGTCTCACACCTCGGTATGGCAAAATTTCCATGCATTAATATGATAATTATTTTAATGATTAATTACTTCTTACAGTGGTCGCTACGACATCAAGGTGTTTCCTTCGTTCTTCCAACTTCACGGCAAGACCTTTGATTACAAAATTCCTATGTCCACTGTCCTTCGGCTCTTCATTCTGCCGCACAAGGATGGCCGCCAAATGTTCTTTGTTGCTTCGCTGGACCCTCCGATCAAGCAGGGCCAGACTCGTTATCACTTTCTTGTGTTTTCATTTGGACCTGATGAGGAAACTTCTATTGAGCTGCCAATGTCAGAGTAAGTATAAAAATAAAAATGTAATGCTTTTAAACTTATTTTGATCTCAGGAAAGAGCTTGAGGAAAAGTATGAAGGTAAATTGTCAAAAGAACTGACTGGCTCAACATGTGAGGTGCTCAGCAGAGTCATGAAGTGCATGACTGGAAGGAAAATCACAATGCCAAACACATTTGTGGGGTAATAATAATAATAATAATAATAATATTAAAAATCACTATTAAAATACGAATTCAAATCAATTTAATTCTTCATCGTGAATTAAAAAAATTAAAATGATTTAATTTTTATTGGTTTTTTCTTGTGAACTTTGAACAATCTATATTTTTCTCAGATATTTTTTTGTTGAATTTCAACTTAATTTTTTTACAGACATTCGGGCACTCCAGCTGTGGGTTGTTCCTACAAAGCTGCTGCTGGCTACTTGTACCCTCTGGAGCGTGGCTTCATTTACGTTCACAAGCCACCAGTTCACATTCGCTTTGAGGAAATTATGAATGTCAACTTTGCTCGAAGCGGTGGAAGCACACGTTCCTTTGACTTTGAAATTGAGCTGAAATCTGGAATCGTTCACACTTTTAGCAGCATCGAGAAAGATGAGTACACAAAGCTCTTTGATTTCATCCAGAACAAGAAGCTGCACATCAAGAATAAGGGCAAGACAGACAAGCCAAGCTATGCCGATGACTTTGGTGACTCTGACCAAGAGGACGCTCCAGATGCGTACCTGGCCAGAGTTAAAAGGGAAGCCAAGGAGCGAGACCAAGGTGATGATGATGAAGGCAGCGAGGACGAGTCTGAAGACGAAGACTTCAAACCTCCTGAAGAGACAAGCGATGTGGCTGAGGAGTTTGACAGTAATGTTTCCTCCAGTGAATCGGACGACAGCGACGCTTCCGAAGGAACCAAAGAGAAGAAGCGAAAGGAAAAAGAGAGAAAGAAAGAAAAGAAGGCTACAAAGGCAAAGTCTGTGGTAAGACAAATAACAATCTATCATTAAGACAGAATTTTACATTTTTTATCAATTTAGTCTGAGAAACCACGGAAAAAGAAGAAGGAAAAGAAGGAGGATGATGGAAAACCCAAGAGGCCTTTGTCTGCCTACATGATTTGGATTAATGACAATCGTGAGAGCATCAAGAAGAAGTACCCTGGAATCTCAATGACTGATGTTGCCAAGAAGGGCGGAGAACTCTGGAGGGAACTGAAAGACAAATCGGTGAGTTTTAGCTGTCAAGAGCCACTTTCAATGTGCATGAAATTTGATTTGAATTTAAGTTGGTTGACAAAGAGCTTATCAGTGAGGACCGAATGAGAATGTTGAAATACCAAAAGTTAGTCGATAGGGTCAGAAAAATTCCACTAGGTAAATTATACCAATTTGAGAGTAGGATCAGGGGCTTTAGTTTTAGTGTCTCTAGGCAATAATTTGGCACCAATCAGCTCAGGTGATGACCATCTCTTCAAAGTCCCAAAAAACCGGCCCCCAAAAGCAAGGGTTGAAGATGAGACTACCACCAAGGAAGTTATACCTGTTGAAACGAAGAGCTGTGACACGTTGTTTGTGGAAACTAATTCAGCTTATGAAGAATGCTTTTCATCTGAAACCTTGTCCAGCTATTCTTCGTCTTCTCCTGCTCTGTCCCTTGACTGTTCAGATTTTGACAGTGTAGACGAGGCTGAAATCATTTCCAAGATGAAAGCTGAAAGTGATCTCAAAGAAAAACTTACCAAAAAGATAATTGCTCATGAGGAAAAGACTGACGTTGACATTTCTGGTGGGGCTTTGCAGACCCAGCCCAAAACATGGACACCTGCACCAATACCTTTTGAAGGTCGTCCCTTGCTCAGTGTTCCGCCTTTTCACCACCAGATGCAGCAACCCCCTTCAGTGCAGCATTCTTACTATCTGCCATACCCTGCCTTTCATCCTCAATTGAGTCCAATTCGCTTCTTCAACCCTGCTGTCAATCAACCGCAGACTGATCCAAACTGTTGGCAAAACCAACAATACCCAACCTATTACTATCGCTAGACTAGCGATCCGAAAAATATATTGTGAAATTTTTTCGTTTTCTTTTGTAACTATGAGAAAAATTTCTCTGGTCATGTATTAACCCTCTTGATTGAAGAGGTGCTTGATTTAGGCATTTTATAGGATTATAAAAATTAAAACAAAGTATACCTGCATAATGATTTTTGTTTATTTCATTTAGACTATTTTGATGGAGCAAACAAATAGAATTAATCTAAAGAGCAATGTCTTAAAATTTTGATTTGCAGGAATGGGAAGAAAAGGCAGCCAAACTAAAGGCTGAGTACGAAGTGGCCATGAAGGAGTACAATGCTAGTGGAGGAAGTGGCGGAGGTGGAAGCTCAAAAAAGAGCAGTGGAGGTGGCAGCTCAAGTAAGACGTCAAGCAAGGTGGTTGTTTCTCCAACAAAGGTAAATATAATGAATTAAATATTTGAAATGTTTTAACTAATGACAAATTTTATTCTCCATTAGTCTGGCTCTGGCACAAACTACAAGAGCAAAGAGTACCTTTCAGACGATGACGACAGCTCTGATGAAGATTCGTCCAAGAAGAAACAGTCAAAGAGTGCACCGGTATTTTTAAAATCGTAAAAGCTCAAATCAATTTCATTTAATTTATTTATTTTAGAAACCTGCTTCGAAAAAGAGCAAAAAGGATGCTTCTAGCGAGGAAGAAAAGTCTGAGGAAGATGAGGAGGATGACAAGAAGAAGAGAAAGAAATCTCCCAAGAAGGATTCACCTGTGAGTATTCAATTCCACTACTTTTAATATTTTTAAATATGCAATATATTTAATTTTTTAGAAGAAGAAAAGCAAAAAGAAGGATAGTGATGAGGATGAGGAGGTAGAAGACGAGGAGGAGATTTTGAGCTCTCCTACTGCCTCTAGCGAATCTGGAGATGATTCTGATTAATATACAAAATCAGCTACTTCGCTTATATTTTGAATTAAAATTGTTCATTATTACTTTTAAATAAATTATCAATCCAAAACATAACTTCAATTCCATTCAAAAACGTATCAATGTTTTAAGAATAACATATAATCACTATCACTGCATGCACCCATGGACAAAATCCATGCGCAGTTCATCGGCAGGATCAACGTCCCTGAAACGGTTGAACTTGGAGACCTCAGAGTCCATGAGAAGGTCGTCATATTCCACTGCCAAGCTCTGAGGACCTGTGTGGTTTAAATTCAATAGAAAAATTCTTGGCAAAGATATTTTTATTTAGAAATGTATAATTATATGCAATCTTACTCTCCAAACCCATTATGACCTTTATTGTATTTGTTATCCCATGCAGACATCAGTCTAACTCTTTTTATATTGAACATAATGAAATTCTGATCCCACAATAAATAATACTATACAAAATGCCACAGAAGAGGGATTTTCTTTCAGAAAAAGTTTATTTTTGCAAATATTTTTAAATGACAGAGTGTAGATTACAGGAAACTTTCACAGCAGCACTCTTCTTCTTTCCCCTCTTCTTCAGTCGCACCCCCATCCCTGAATTGCGAGTGCTTTGCACAGAACTAAAAGCTTTCTGTTGGAGTCTTTGCCTTCGAACGTCCGTCAGCCTGGCCACTTTGAAGATCACCTTGCCCATGTATTTCTGCTTGTGCTGTCTCGGAGCCTTCTGTGCAACCATCTGTTGACGCTTTCTGGCTCTGGACGGCGTCGCTCGCATAGCCAAGGAAACATTTTTCTGAGCCTGCACTTTGACACCCAGTAATTTCGGAGCTCTCTTGGGCACTGGCCAACGACAACACATGACGTCGTCACCCATCAGATCACAGAAGAGGTGGTAAATCGCGTCAGGACACCCTGCTGAAGCTACCGAAGCAACATTCTTGATTGGAATGTCCACTCCAACAGTGAAACCCTGAAAGCAAAATGAAATTTTAAGCTTTTCATGTTCAAAATAAGATTCAATTCTCCTTGCAGAGTTCTTATTTTACCTGAAGGGCAAGAGAGCAGACAAGAAGGGTGTCCTGAATGGCAGCATAGTCTGCAGAGAGCTCAGTTTTGCTCCTGATGGCATCTAGGAAGACGCCGTAGGTGGGTCTGTTCAGCAGAAGGGGCCACAGCACCAAGGCCAAAGAGGCGTTACCCATTGTGGCCAATATGTGCAGAGCTCCTCTTTGCACTTGAAGAGGCAGCAAACTGTCCTGCAGACATTTATTCAATTTGTGCAGCACTTCTCGAACGAGCAGGATGTTTGGCCAACGAAGCATGGACCGACCCAGCATTTCCGCAGACTTGCGCCGCAGGTCGTCGTCTTTGCCTTGGTTTGGCGAGAAGGCCACTGACAGCAGGCTGGCCATCAGCTTGTTGATCTAAAATTTGTTTTAGCATCAAATCTATAAAAATTGAATTGAGGTTTTGAGTCGTCTTCTTACACTGACTGATTTGCTAAGGTCAACGAACTGGTTGCTGATCAGAGCATTGACAACGTCAAATAAGCAGTAGAGCTTTGCTTCTCTGCCATTGGCCAGTTTGATCTGCTCCGCTATGTCATCAACGACATAAGGTAAAATTGGGCCTAGTAGAGAGTTTGAGCGCAAGGAAAGCGCCAAGGACTGAAATATTAAAATAATTTAAAAATTTGTCAAAGTAAATAAATTAAAAAACTTTTACCCTGAAATGCTGCTCATTGCAGCCACAAAGAATGGCTCTGATGCTGTCATAGCATCGAGTGAGCGTCTCTGGCAAATGTCCAACATTTCCATCCTCTCCTCTGCCCATGATAAGCTCATCTAGATTTATAATTATTATAAAATGGCATTTTTTTCAAGCTATATTGTATTACTTTTAATGAAAAGCCCTCCAGAGAGTTGGAAAGTGTTTACATCATTTAGGACAGCACTGCAGAGGTCAACATCAGGGTCATTTTCAACAAGCACTCCACCAATATTCCAAAACTCCGTAACGCTTTCATTGTGACCGAAGATAACAGGATAATTCATCCTCTCCAAAACCTAATTAATAGCAACTTTTTAAATCAATACTTCATATTTATATTTTCTTTTTTACTTGATTGACATCTTCGACAGTCAGCTTTGAGCTGTTCTTCTGTGCTATCCACTGTGAACATTGCTAAACAAGACAATTTTTTATTAATAATTTTATCAATATTGAAACGGGTTTACTAATACCTGAATAAGCTCTTTGACTCTGTAGGTCGCGTCTCCAATGATTGCAGACGAAACGGCGACCGAAACTCGTTCGCTGATTAAATCTTCGAATGGGGCTGAAAAATTTGGCACATTTGAGAAGTCATTCTGCACTTCTAGCTGGTCCAAATCAGATTTCGTGTCATCCATCACGAAGCTGCGCATCCTGTAGGTCACCTAAGAGAGTTTTAAAACAATGGCAATCAATTAATAAATGAAATAAGTAGTGAAAAAATAACTACAGTTTTGAAGCGTGCATCTTTCCCATCCTCGCCGAAAAATAAACAGTCCCTCTCCTCTGGTGCCTCCCAGTCCTCCCACTTCGATCCGACTGCGCATGCTTTCTGCCAAGGATCTTTTTGGCGGTGAACTCAGCTCAGCATAAATCTATATAATTATGATTGGTACTGGTAAATGACTCAAAAACTTTCCCAGCACAAATAAATTAATCTAACATGACGTTGTCAGTGAAAGTGATTATTATGCCAAATCGAATTCCGATTTATTCATATGTATAGAAGCATAATGTATGCATATGATAATATGTAATTGCCATTTTCACACAGCGGATATCTGATTTTCATACCACTTCTTTTTGGCCTTTCGTGTTCGTGGTGATGATATGTTATTATTTGTTTATTGTCGGCATTTTTTTTAGCCCATAAATCAGCTCATACACAGCGGACGAGAAATCGGTGTGTTCTTCATCAACCGAAATATTTGATTATTGACTGATAGGCGCATATGGCATACACTATAATATCTTTACAATGAGAGGAAAAGCCCAATCTCTTCACTTCCAAGATCAGCTCCATGAGTGTCAATTTCTTCCATAAAAAACCCCGCATTGTACTTCCATCAATCGTAATTGAAACTTTTTTTTAATTATTTCTCAATTCTAAAATATAATATAAATTTCATAAATTTCAGTTTTAGTTGATAATTGTGTTTATTGATCTATCATCACAAACAACAGTTTTATTGTTTAGCAATTATGCAATTTAACAAAACTGGATTAGCGTCTTATTTTAATAATTTTAATTGATTTTAATATAAACATAATATCCTAAAAATCCTCAAATAAAGACAAATATAATTTCATAATTATTTATCAATTAAAAAATGAATTTCCCACACGCTGTATTGTAGAGAAAAAAAATTATTGCTAAAACCAGCCAGCACAGTGAAAAAATAGATCAATGCTTGCTGCGGACACACACGATCGAAAGTTTCGCGTCTTCTCGCTGTACGCATGGTGCACCCCACTTGCGCTTTTCATTGTAACAGTGGCTTTGGACAGAACCACTAAAAATCCAGCCTGGAGTCCTAGAATTGGGCAAAAAAGCTGCTGGTTTCAAAGTAAATTAGTAATTCTAGGAAAAATTTCCTGATACTCTTAAAAAATTTTGAAAAAGAAAATCTAAAAAAACCATTTGTTTTAAGTGTAATTATTTGTAATTTGACAAAATTATTCATATAAAAAAATAATATATTAAAATAAAATTTGAATGTATAATGAAAAAAACTGACTTTAATTGAAAAATTAAAAAAATTATTCATTGAATGGATACTTACGTTAGGACAACCATCTTCATATAATTATATTGCCTTTTTCATATTCCCACTAGTAATTTATTTCAATATGAACATAAACCAATAAAATTTCAATTTAGTTAATAATTAATTTAGTATTAAAATTTAAAATCTGTTTTTGCCATTTTATTATACACTTATATTATAATATAATATAAACTGGAGTGTTGATTTAATTTTTTTTTCGTGCAGATGCTTATAATTGTGTATTAAATATTGCATGTAATATTAATATGTATATTCTTTACCGCAAGGATGTGCAGATAACAAATGAGAAACCCAAAGAAAATTTCTCACGCCGCACAACGCCGCAGAAATTAAAAAAAAATTATATAGTAGATAAGCAGCATGGCGCAAGGTCAGTCAAATTTTATATAGTCTGTGTGTGTGAAAGGAAAAGTAAGCTGGGCTGGGCTGTATTCAGTATAATTATTTCCTGACTAATAAATCTCTGCTTGTCCCTCAAAACACAGTTTTAAAATTTTCTAAAATGTTACTAGGAGCAGTGCGCATAAAAGTACCTTCAATCACACACGCTTCACATTTCATCTCTAATACTTAAATAAAATTAATACAAATATTTTTGACCATGCTAAAGGTTATTTTACGCATTTTTTGCCTATCAGAAATCAGATCAGTGGAATGGTGATGTGAAATGCCTTTTTGTTCAATTACTCCTTTCTTGCTTTTTTCGGCAAACATTATTTTAAAGCTCCAATAAAAAAAAAATACATCCGTGGGACCAAGGGATACGTCCAAATATAATGGGAACTTAAACTATGAAAGAAACAGGTTTTGATGTGTACCTGTACCTGTACCTGAGAGCCGCAGAAAGATCAGTCTGCGCTCAGTTGGAATGCGAGATGCGAGCGTTTGGAGTGGAATTTTTGCTGCTCGTCGGCGTCGTCAGCGCTGAACTTTGTGAATTTGATCTTCGCAGCAAAATAGAAAAGGGAAAAGTGACTGCGAAAGGTGATCTTGAAACTGAGGATGGAATCCTGCACGCCAAGGGCACTTTTTGGAAAGACTCTGGAGAGTCGTTTTGGACTTGCCCATGTCTCACTGGGCCGTGCATAAGGATTTGTAATAGCGGTAAAATTGGATTTCTGAATTTTCTTCGCTTTAAGGTAAATTTTGTTAAATAAACTTAAATAATAATTATATTAATCACTGTCGTGTACAACATGTTTACAATGTATTATGTTTCATAAATTATGGGAATTAATGTAATAACGCTCAATTTGGTAATTTGTGTGAATGGATAGTGCATTTCAATAGAGAAAACACTTAAATTATAGGATCGCTATTTATTCCATGATTCTTAATAAAAAAAATCATCGAGCGTCTTAGATTAAGAATGATCTTTATTATTTCAGTATTAATCAAGATTCTTGACGCAGTTTGACGTGAAATTTAATATAAACAGCAAAATTGACAATATTATAACATTTTAATTGTGTAATTTAATAGCAGAAAGTAGCTATTTTTAGAATAGAGAATTATTATTGCGCCAAAGAAATGAAGTTCATCTTCTATTTCAGATTTAATCAAGAGGATAGAACGATCATTTAACGTGACCTTCAATTTAAACAGCACAATCGAGATTTGGGATGTGAACAACAGTTCGCGTCAGGTTGTGCTGAAAGAGCATTTCAAACTCGTCCAAGATTCAAAGTGTTCTAATCCTGTGCTACTTGAACCAGAGGAAATCGATTTGGATGAGCACAGAATTCTCGCAAATGGCACTCTTCACTACACACATGTGAATTTGTCAGAAGAATACAGATTTTCAGATCCTAGAAATTTCTGTGTCATACCTTTGGTGAGTACCATTTAAAGTATTTCCACTCAAAATGTTGAAATAAATTGAATTTTTATTTTTAATAATAAAAAAATCCACAAATTAATAGAAAACCTTAGATTATAATTGAAATATTGAAGTTTAGCAAATTTTTAAATCATAAACAAGTTTTTTTAAATATTAATTTTAAAATAAAAATGAGTTTTTTTTTCACTTTATGAAAATATTTTATATTATTTTTATAATTTTGTTTATAGTTAAAAAAATTATTTATAAAATTTTAATTCTTTCAATGAATTTTGAGCAAAGTAAATTATGATGGAACTAAACTAAAGATAGATTTCACTATATTTTTCTGCTCAAATATTGAATTTCATTGTATAACTTTTATTTATTAATTTACTTCTCAGGATAACTCGCCACCGTTGATAACAGCTTGTGTTGATGTCGGCGTCGCGGAAACGCCGCTGAAATTTTACCTCTACACACCTTTCTTCATCCTGAGCGCCCTGTTTTTGCTGCTGACTTTAGTGAACTATTGTTTTGTCGGCCCGGCCGAAAAAAAATCCCTGCACAACAAGACGATTTGTTGTCAGTCGGCCGCCCTGCTCATCGTTTACATCTGCCTATCGATCACTTATTTGACCATTTTGACCGGTGGCTATAGCGCCATGTGGTTCTGCGTCTCCACGAGTAAGTCATTTTTACTGCTGGATTTTCTTTATAAACCGGTATATATCAACAACACAAACTAATATTAGTCTGCGACCATCAATTAATTCGTAAGGGAGTTTTAATAAATCACCGTGAAAAAAATTATTACAGATATTTATATATTTTTTTTCAGAAACGTAAATGAATAAGTAAATTTCAAAGTATCCTTCCATAATCTCCTCATAAAAATAAGCTTTCAAAATTTAAAAGTTCTTGTTCTCTAATTGTAAAGTGACGAGCACATGTGTTCAGCATAGCTTTCTGAAACAATCTCTCTATGCAAAAAGAGACAGTTGCGTCACACCTTCCGGCACCTTCAATAGGGCTTATATACTGGTGGCGTTGTTATTTTTAAGGAAACCGATTCTTCCTGATTACATCGGAAACCTCTATAGCACGCGCGACGCAATTATTTTCATACATTCTCCATTTAGGGGACTGCTAGGAAGAATAGCTTACGCGCTGTCAACCTTTGAAAAAACACGTTGCGCCTACATTAAACCCTCCACATATTTTTCGTAATATTTGTTCTCCTTTATACATTTTCAAAAGCCAATTCTTTTCCAGCCTATGTCACAATGTATTTTCTGATGGCGTCCATATTTTGGCTCAACGTCATGTACATCGATATTTACTTGACCTTCAGGTAAATTAAAAAAAAATATCAATATTAGGCATTTGCAAACACAGTGAGCGGCATAGGCCGTTTAACAACTCTTGTTATTTATTAAAATTTTAAAATTGTTAATTAAATTTTGAAGTTAATTTTGATTCTTATTTTTAACAATTTCTCTATTTTTGAAATTTTAACTTCATGACACGATTTGTTTGCCAAAAAATGCGAATGAAGATTCACATTTTTATATAATATGTATATGGATCATATGTATGATGTATATTAATACCACGTGTTGTAGATTGAATTTGAATTATATACTTCCACTATAGTATGTACATGCAAATGTATTGTATGACCCCGTTAACAAATTCATATGTATTTTCAATTGAAATTATATTACACATTGTAATTTTATATACTTGCAGGAGTTTAACGCAAACAGTGGAAATAAAATATTGGCAGGCGTCAATTTACGCTTGGGGCATTCCTTTTTTCATCACATTGGCTATGATCCTTGCCGACCAACTTACTACTCGTGGACCTCTCAGCCCTAATATTGGAAAGACAAGATGTTGGTTCCAAGGTAATTTATCTCAATTTTATTATGCACTTAATCTGTACTGCAAACTAAGACTTTTACAAAAATCGTGTTACAATCTGATGGTGATAATTTTTAAGCCATGGATCAATGTTTGCGCGTCCCTTTCCCGCCACTTCAAAAAGCTGCTGCGCTAGTACAATTTACGCAGCATAATGCCTTTCATTGGGTGCTTTCCACTCATTTGAAAGTGAGATGCGAAAAGGTTGCCATGGGTGATGCAAATGTTTAAATTGTAACACCAAATTTACGTAAAAAAGAATTATTTCAAAAATCTATACAAACAAATTTTGAAATCAAACTTTGAAAATTTCAGATTTTCTATCAGAACTTTTCTTCTTTGATGGAGTAGTGTCCGTTTTACTGGTCATCAGCATGGTTCTTTTTGGTGTGACGGCCATCCAGTTGCGGCAGCAATACAAAGGGTTGAGACGCGACCTGCATTCGAGTAACAGCCAGGTGCACAACGGCAACCAAATTACTTGGCAGAACGTGGAACGCTTGACCTTATTTATTAAATTGTTCCTCAGTCTGGGATTATTAAGGGTGATAATGTATTTCACGGAAGTAATCTCATGGTTCGTCGAGGGCCCATACCGGCATTACTGGTTCCTCATACTAGACATACCATCCTGCTTGTTTGGGGTGATCTTTTTTTGGATCTGCGTCTGGTCAAATAAATTAATGCGCAAAGCCCTTCTGGAGACAATCACATGCAAGTGGCGGGCGACGTCACCTCCAAAGCAAGGCCCGCACATCCCTTCCCGCCACACCGAGTGTTTGCCAGTTGCTCAGTTTCATAACTCATTGCATGCAATCGACTCCTATACTGATTCACATTCGGGATGCGTGAACTTTGCTCCCGAGGCGGCCTCTCCTCACCACTTGGCGTCATTCACCGCTCCAATAACGCCAATAACGCTCAGTACCGCCAGCGGGCTTAATTTGTTATAAATTAATTTCTTGAAATATTAAAAAAAAAAAATAAAACAGTTATTTGTATTATTTCTTAATCAAAATTTCTTTTCTCTGTTGCTCAAATTTAGTTTCACAAGCATTTACAAGTTTTTAGAAATGCAATTTTACCATTTTTTATTAACGTTACGAGGAATCAGGTAACTCGCGGCGCGACCCAATTGGCGAGGTCGCCCGAACACCCTGGGTGGTGGTCAAGTGTCGGGCTTGGTATGAGACGCCCCGAGAGGGCTCCGCAAGACCGTTCAGTCAACACGAAAGCTCCCCAAAGGGCACCTAGAAGGTTGGGAAGAACCGAGTCAGTTTAACCCGTTTGGGAAAGAGAGTGGGGCACAGAAGTCCCACCGGAATTGGCCCGCGAGGGTAAATTAAAAGTGACAGTTACGTTCGTAATGCCGACAGAAAAAAATCTCGGATCCAATTCAAGGCACGCGGCCGATCGCTGTTGGGCAAAAGCACGCAAACGACAAGTACACGTCGCCCTTGAATTTTTGTGGGCCACTGACCTCGATTGCAACCCGCGGAGAGTGCACGCACTCACCACCTTTAGGCACTTATATATCAGTTGCGAGTGCAAAGTGCATTCGCCAATGAGCCCCACTCTCGCCCCACCATCAATCCTTCGATGTTGTTTGGCGAACGGATGTAATTACATATTTCAGGGTGAGAGGAGGTATGAAAATTAATTGGAATTAAAAAATAAATTATGAAAAAATATTCACTCTAAAAAATCCACCAAAATGTGTGTCTGTATATTTCGCCTGACTCATCTGCCAATTAATCGTTATAGCGCAATAAATGTACAATATAATAATTTAACTGTAAAATAATTTATTCAAGTCAAAATTCAAGTTGCTCATATATTTGAGACAATCTTTTAGTGATTTTTAAATTTAAAAGGTGTACAGAAAATAACAATACATAGTTAATTCTTCTAAAAACATTGTAACATTTTAAATGATATAAAATTGGCTCATGTATAGGTCAACAGTACCGCGGCCTCAGAGCGGTCAAGAGTACCGCGCTGACGCAGTGTAGCCAACTGCACATGTGGCTTCATCATTATTATCTTATGGATAAATTGAAAATTATGCTTAAAATATATTGTAAAATTTGGAATTTTATATCATTTACGTCCCGCTCTAAATGATGTTTCTAAAAAAGAAAGAAAAAACAACAATGAAAATATTTTAAAATTTAATAAATTTTTGAAATCTGCACCTTGTTATTTGAAGTGAATATATTTACAGTAAATAATCATGAATTTTTAAAATTATGTTTTCTATTTATGTTAATCATTACAATTATTTTAAACAATCTGTCCGTTTGCCATTTATAACCATTCACTCCGATCGATTCCAGTAAAGGCAGCTGCCGAGCCCCTAAATAATCTTAAAAATTAGAAATATGCAATGCTCTTGGTGCAGCATAAATCCATAAACAAAATTATTGAGAGGAGTCATTTGACCGAAATATGTATAATTACACCATATAAAAAAACATTATAGTTCACCTGTGGGATGGCGCGGACTAATTAAATTTTTAATTGCGTTTCGTAAAAAAAAATATAAAAAATCTGAATATTAAGAAATATGATGCACGATTTTTAATTTTTATAATTATTTATATTTACTGTGAGTTGTTCATCTCACTTACGAAAATTATTTTATTATAGTTTTTTTATAAAGGTTACTGATTTTTAATTGTTTTCATTTAAAAAATGATGAAGTAGGAGATAAAAATTCGCTTGCTTAAAATTTCATTTTTAATTTAAGCTTTTTCAAAACGTGATTTTTTTACTCGCCACAAACGTTGGCACTACTGCGTTAGCGCGGTACTCTTTACCGCTCTGAGGCCGCGGTACTGTTGGTCTGCGGTACTGTTGGTCCCCTACCGACAAAAGTCACCGGAAGTGCATACTTTGATAAGTTTGAGAGCCGATTTATACCCCGTAAGGTTGGATAGCTGCCTTTTGACATGGACAGTTCAAAAGTTTATTTCATTGAGAAGCGAGAAAAAAATGTAAACATCCATGCTCTCCGTCTAAAATTTGCAGCAGGTCGCTTTGAATGAAAAATGAGCCTGATTTTTTCAGTTTTTATCAAAATAAATTAATTTAACTTCTAATTTTTGAAAAGTAAGTACAGAATTCGATTTATCTTGAAAATTTGCATCTGAAAATGACACATGATTTTGACTGACAGTCGCGTAAAATTAATTAAAAATAAAACAAAATCTTACGATTCGGACGCGATTGCTCGAACCGGAAGGCGGCTGCGCACTTCCGGTTTGTGACGTCATGTGATCGCTAGGACCAAAAAATTTGTGTTTGATGTATAAGTGGGGTTATCGGTAACTTTTACCATAGAAACAGGGCCTTGAGCCGCAGAAAGATCAGTCTGCGCTCAGTTTGAATGCGAGATGCGAGCGTTTGGAGTGGAATTTTTGCTGCTCGTCGGCGTCGTCAGCGCTGAACTTTGTGAATTTGATCTTCGCAGCAAAATAGAAAAGGGAAAAGTGACTGCGAAAGGAGATCTTGAAACTGAGGATGGAATCCTGCACGCCAAGGGCACATTTTGGAAAGACTCCGGAGAGTCGTTTTGGACTTGCCCGTGTCTCACTGGGCCGTGCATAAGGATTTGTAATAGCGGTAAAATTGGATTTCTGAATTTTCTTCGCTTTAAGGTAAATTTTGTTAAATAAACTTAAATAATAATTATATTAATCACTGTCGTGTACAACATGTTTACAATGTATTATGTTTCATAAATTATGGGAATTAATGTAATAACGCTCAATTTGGTAATTTGTGTGAATGGATAGTGCATTTCAATAGAGAAAACACTTATATTATAGGATCGCTATTTATTCCATGATTCTTAATAAAAAAAATCATCGATCGTCTTAGAATAAGAATGATCTTTATTATTTCAGTATTAATCAAGATTCTTGACGCAGTTTGACGTGAAATTTAATATAAACAGCAAAATTGACAATATTATATAACATTTTAATTGTGTAATTTAATAGCAGAAAGTAGCTATTTTTAGAATAGAGAATTATTATTGCGCCAAAGAAATGAAGTTCATATTCTATTTCAGATTTAATCAAGATAATAGAAGAAATTTACAACGTGACCTTCAACTTAAACAGCACAATCGAGGTTTGGGATGTGAACAACAGTTCGCGTCAGGTTGTGCTGAAAGAGCATTTCAAACTCGTCCAAGATTCAAAGTGTTCTAATCCTGTGCTACTGGATCCAGAGGTTGAAGATTTGGATGAGCACAGAATTCTCGCAAATGGCACTCTTCACTTCACACATGCGAATGTGGCAGAAGAATACAGATTTTATGATCCTAGATATTTCTGTGTCGTACCTTTGGTGAGTACCATAGAGTATTTCCACTCAAATGTTGAAATAAATTGAATTTTTATTTTTAATAATAAAAAAAATCCACAAATTAATAGAAACCTTAGATTTGAATTAAAATATTAATCGTTTTAAAGTTTAGTAAATTTTTAAATCATAAATGAATTTTTATAATATTAATTTTATATTAAAATGAGGGTTTTTTTTCACTTTTTGAATATATTTTATATTATTTTTATAATTTTGTTTTTAGTTAAAAGAATTATTTAAAAATTGTAATTATTTCAATAAACTTTGTGCAAAGTAACATATGATGGAACTAAACTAAAGATAGATTGCACTTGATTTTTCTGCTCAGATATTAAATTTCATTGTAACTTTTATTTATTAATTTTCTTCTCAGGATAACTCGCCACCTTTGATAACAGATTGTGTTGATGACGCGGAAACGCCGCTGAGATTTTACCTCTACACACCTTTCTTCATCCTGAGCACCCTGTTTTTGCTGCTGACCTTAGTGACCTATTGTTTTGTCGGATCGGCCGAACGGAAATCTCTGCACAACAAGACGATTTGTTGTCAGTCGGCCGCCCTGCTCATCGTTTACATCTGCCTGTCCATCCGTTCCATCCTTGGTGTTTATAAAACCATGTGGTTCTGCGTCGCCTCGAGTAAGTTATTTTTACTACTGGATTTTCTTTTTAAACCGGTATATCAACAACACAAACTAATATTAGTCTGCGACCATCAATTAATTTGTAATCACCGTGAAAAAAATTATTACAGATATTTTATATTTTTTTTTCAGAAACGTTAATGAATAAGTAAATTTCAAAGTATCCTTCCATAATCTCCTCATAAAAATAAGCTTTCAAAATTTAAAAGTTCTTGTTGTCTAATTGTAAAGTGACGAGCACAGTGTTCAGCATAGTTTTTTAAAACAAATAAAACAATCTCTCTATGCAAAAAGAGACAGTTGCGTCACACCTTCCGGCACCTTCAATAGGGGTTTATATACTGGTGGCGTTGTTATTTTTAAGGAAACCGATTCTTCCTGATTACATCGGAAACCTCTATAGCACGCGCGACGCAATTATTTTCATACATTCTCCATTTAGGGGACTGCTAGGAAGAATAGCTTACGCGCTGTCAACCTTTGAAAAAACACGACGCGCCTACATTAAACCCTCCACATATTTTTCGTAATATTTGTTCTCCTTTATACATTTTCAAAAGCCAATTCTTTTCCAGCCTATGTCACAACGTATTTTCTGACGGCGACCATATTTTGGCTCAACGTCATGTACATCGATATTTACTTGACCTTCAGGTAAATTTAAAAAAAATATCAATATTAGGCATTTGCAAACACAGTGAGCGGCATAGGCCGTTTAACAACTCTTGTTATTTATTAAAATTTTAAAATTGTTAGTTAAATTTTGAAGTTAATTTTGATTCTTATTTTTAACAATAATTTCTCTATTTTTGAAATTTCAACTTCATGACACGATTTTTTTGCCAAAAAATGCAAATGAAGATTCACATTTTTGTATAATATGTATATGGATCATAATGTATGATGCAGTATGATGTATATTAATACCACGTGTTGTAGATTGAATTTGAATTATATACTTCCACTATAGTATGTACATGCAAATGTATTGTATGACTCCGTTAACAAATTCATATGTATTTTCAATTGAAAATTATATTATACATTGTAATTTTATATACTTGCAGGAGTTTAACGCAAACAGTGGAAATAAAATATTGGCAGGCGTCAATTTACGCTTGGGGCATTCCTTTTTTCATCACATTGGCTATGATCCTTGCCGACCAACTTACTACTCGTGGACCTCTCAGCCCTAATATTGGAAAGACAAGATGTTGGTTCCAAGGTAAATTTATCTCAATTTTCAATTTTATTATACACTTAATCTGTACTGCAAACTAAGACTTTTACAAAAATCGTGTTACTATATGGTGATAATTTTTAAGCCATGGATCAATGTTTGCGCGTCCCTTTCCCGCCACTTCAAAAAGCTGCTGCGCTAGTACAATTTACGCAGCATAATGCCTTTCATTGGGTGCTTTCCACTCATTTGAAAGTGAGATGCGCAAAGGTTGCCATGGGTGATGCAAATGTTTCAATTGTAACACCAAATTTACGTGCAAAAGAATTATTTCAAAAATCCATACAAAGAAATTTTGAAATCAAACTTTGAAAATTTCAGGTTTACTATCAGAACTTTTCTTCTTTGATGGAGTAGTGTCCGTTTTACTGGTCATCAGCATGGTTCTTTTTGGTGTGACGGCCATCCAGTTGTGGCAGCAATACAAAGTGTTGAGACGCGACCTGCATTCGAGTAACAGCCAGGTGCACAACGGCAACCAAATTACTTGGCAGAACGTGGAACGCTTGACCTTATTTATTAAATTTTTCCTCAGTCTGGTATTATTAAGCGTGATATGGTATTTCACGGAAGTAATCTCACGGTTCGTCGAGGGCCCATACCAGTATTACTGGACCCTCATACTAAACATGCCATCCTGCTTGTCTGGGGTGATCTTTTTTTGGATCTGCGTCTGGTCAAATAAATTAATGCGCAAAGCCCTTCTGGAGACAATCACATGCAAGTGGGCGACGTCACCTCCAAAGCAAGGCCCGCACATCCCTTCCCGCCACACCGAGTGTTTGCCAGTTGCTCAGTTTCATAACTCATTGCATGTAATCGACTCCTATACTGATTCAAATTCGGGATGCGTGAACTTTGCTCCCGAGGCGGCCTCTCCTCACCACTTGGCGTCATTCTCCGCTCCAATAACGCCAATAACGCACAGTACCGCCAGCGGGCTTAATTTGTTATAAATTAATTTCTTAAAATATTAAAAAATAAAAAAATAAAAATAAAACAGTTATTTGTATTATTTCTTAATCAAAATTTCTTTTCTCTGTTGCTCAAATTTAGTTTCACAAGCATTTACAAGTTTTTAGAAATGCAATTTTACCATTTTTTATTAACGTTACGAGGAATCAGGTAACTCGCGGCGCGACCCAATTGGCGAGGTCGCCCGAACACCCTGGGTGGTGGTCAAGTGTCGGGCTTGGTATGAGACGCCCCGAGAGGGCTCCGCAAGACCGTTCAGTCAACACGAAAACTCCCCAAAGGCCACCTAGAAGGTTGGGAAGAACCGAGTCAGTTTAACCCGTTTGGGAAAGAGAGTGGGGCACAGAAGTCCCACCGGAATTGGCCCGCGAGGGTAAATTAAAAGTGACAGTTACGTTCGTAATGCCGACAGAAAAAAATCTCGGATCCAATTCAAGGCACGCGGCCGATCGCTGTTGGGCAAAAGCACGCAAACGACAAGTACACGTCGCCCTTGAATTTTTGAGGGCCACTGACCTCGATTGCAACCCGCGGAGAGTGCACGCACTCACCACCTTTAGGCACTTATATATCAGTTGCGAGTGCAAAGTGCATTCGCCAATGAGCCCCACTCTCGCCCCACCATCAATCCTTCAATGTTGTTTGGCGAACGGATGTAATTACATATTTCAGGGTGAGAGGAGGTATGAAAATTAATTGGAATTAAAAAAAAATTATGAAAAAATATTCACTCAAAAAAATCCACCAAAATGTGTGTCTGTATATTTCGCCTGACTCATCTGCCAATTAATCAAATGTACAATATAATAATTTAACTGTAAAATAATATTCAAGTTAAACTTCAAGTTGCTCATATATTTGAGACAATCTTTTAGTGATTTTTAAAATTAAAAGGCGTACAAAAAATAACAATACATAGTTAATTATTCGAAAAACATTGTAACATTTAAAATGAAATAAAATTGGCTCATGTATAGGTTCATTTTATTGTGCAGCTGGTTGCCTAATTTCACAACGTGCAGGCGTTTCTAGATTTTAATTTTTAATTTTTTTAAACGATTCTTTTAAAACCAGTGGCATTATTACAGGAATTCTGCAATCGAGTAATAATCTCCCCAATATTAAAAACCATTATTCTATTCAAATCTGAATGGACGATTTCATTATTAATTTTATTTACACAATGACTTTGATATTGATGAAATTGAGTAAGTATTTCACGCTGCCCAGCGCTGTAACGTTAAATTATCAAATTAGTCCGCTTCCAAGACTGCACGATAATAAGCAACCTCAAGGCCAAACAGGTTGCTTTAAAAAAAAAGAAAATTGCCGCCTGGGAGTTTATTTGTCTCCCTCTACTCATTTATAAATTGCTCCTCAAAAAGGATAAAATATGTACAAATTATAGTTGCCAAGAGCCAAGAGCCAGTAATAGGCATGGCATTCTATATCTTTACCAATTTTTACAACGAGAGGAAAAAGCCAGTAATCTCTTCACTTCCACGATCATCTCCTTGAGTGTCAATTTCTTCCATAAAAACCCCCGCATTGGACTTTCAACACTCGTAACTGATTTTTTTTTTTTTAATATTTCTAAATTAAAAAATATATCATTTGAAGTTTTGTTGTTTAATAATCATACAATTTAACAAAACTGGATTAGCGTCTTATTTTATTAATGATTTTTATATACACATATCCTAAAAATCCTCAAATAAAGACAAATATAATTTCAAAATTATTTATCAATTAAAAAATGAATGTCCCAAACGCTGTATTGTAGAGAAAAAAATTATTGCTAAAACCAGTCAGCACAGTGAAAAAATGAAACACTTTCTTACGGATACTGCGGCTTGATTGTGTAATGCGAAAGGAAGCAGACGCATCGTTATTTGGTTTAGATGAGGAAAACTGACGCACACTCGCAGTTGGGCGATGGTTACGTTTGGGCGTTGGATTTTCATCGCCCTTTTGGGCCTCAGCGGGCCCTGCCTCGTGTGGGGCGGCAAACCTTGCGAGAAACCTTTGAGAACCAAAGTTACTCAAGGATTGGTTACAACGGACGGATCGCTTCAAACGCCGGATGGGATCACGTACCGGAAGGGAACTTTCTGGCCAGAGAAGAATTTCTGGTGGGCTTGTCCGTGCCTGTTGGGACCGTGCGTCCGACAATGCCAAGCAGGTACAATTTTATCAATACAAGAATATTTAAAATTAAATTTTTTTTAAAAAAAGAACTGGCAAGAAAGGCTAATTTGTCGATGGCCCGACAACCCGCCATGATCCAAATTTGGGAGGACGGAAGGGACCGTTGGGTTCCAATGAACAAATATTTCCACGTCGTTTTTGAGGTTGAATGCAAACAGGCTTTCCCGTTGGAACCAGAATATGAACCTTTAGACGAATTTCATATTCTTGCAAATGGATCGATCAAGTTCCCGCACCCCAATATTTCTGATGAAATCCGCCACGACACGGCTGAAAAATACTGCATGATCCCTCACGTAATTAATTTTTTTTATAATTGTAAAATAGAAAAATTATTATTTTTATTTTTAGGAGGGAAAACTGCAAACCGTCATGATATGTTCACATGTAATAGAAAGCACAATGCAGAACCTCAAATTCAAAATCTACCCGGCGTTTTTCATATTGAGCGCAATCTTTTTGCTTCTGACTCTGCTGGCGTTCGTTTTGACGCCCGACCACAACACGATTCACAGCAGATCCGTCGTTTGCCAGTCCGGAAGTTTGCTCATAACGTTCATTGGCCTCACGATTACATACTTGACCGGAGAAAGAAGCCACATAAATGTCTGCATTGTTGTTGGTAATATATTTAATTTTTTTAATTAAAATTTTCGTACATTGTTATTCTGCAGCTTACATCACTTATTACTTCCTGTTGGCCTCTTTTTTCTGGCTCAACGTGATGTGCATCGACATTTATTTGACTTTCAGCGGGTATTTTGTTTTAATTGTCACAAAAATAATTTGAAAATTAACGTCATATTATAGATCGATGCTGCGGACACACGATCGAAAGTTTCGCGTCTTCTCGCTGTACGCGTGGTGCACCCCACTTGCGCTTTTCATTGTAACAGTGGCTTTGGACCGAACCACTAAAAATCCAGCCTGGAGTCCTGGAATTGGGCAAAAAAGCTGCTGGTTTCAAAGTAAATTAGTAATTCTAGGAAAAATTTCCTGATCCTCTTAAAAAATTTCGAAAAAAAAAGTTAAAGAAACCATTTGTTCTAACAATAAGTGTAATTATTTGTAATTTAACATAACAAAATGGTTTGATTTAATACAATATTAAAATTATTAAAAAAAATTCCATGACAAAAAATAAGAAAATCAGATAAAAAAAATAGTTTAATTAATTTCATCTCTTCCTCAAAAGATGAAATACTTCAAAAATTAAGCTAAAACATTCCAAATGAAGGAACCTTTAAAAATGTACAATCCTCATGGTGTAATTTTATGGATTAGGAAGATAATTTTTGAAAAATTTGAATAATTATCAATTTTTACTAATTTTTAACAAATTATTAAAATACATCCCCCTTGAAAGTCCCATTTTTTTTTATTTAATTTGTAATGTTTTCAGGTTTTGGGTCGAGCTTCCTTTACTTTAATGGACCAGTTTTGGCTCTGCTGTTGCTCAATTCGTATTTGTTTGGAACGACAGTGTGGCGGCTGTGGAAGATGCGAAAGGAGACGGGCAGGATGCTGTCGACCGCCGACAGCCACGTCCACAAACAAAACCAGCACGAGAAGGACCGACTCAGCATGTACGTCAAACTGTTTCTGCTGATGGGGTGCACATGGTTTCTGGAAATCATCTCGTGGGCCATCGGCGGCCCGGACGCGATTTGGTTCGTCACGGACTCCATCAATTGTCTGCGCGGGGTGCTCATTTTCTGGTTCTGCGTTTGGTCCAACAAAACCATGCGCCAGGCGTTGAGGGACAAATTTTGGCCCAAGAAAAAGGGGAAAATGAAACTGAGCACAATTAAGCCGGAACCGGATGCCAGCTCCGGATTGACAGCCTCGACGTCCGCTTACAACATTTCATCTCAAGTCGAATAATTGCAAGAGGAGTACGTTGGATATTTATTTTGCTCTAATATGGTTTAGCATTAATTTTTGTATTACTCTCTTTGAATAGGGTTTCCAACAGCGTGAGCGTGAACAAAAGTTCCCATTGCCAAATATAATGAAGTTAATAATAACGCCTCCTCCACTGTTTGAAGCGTATTATGTGAATTCGGTGGTCACTGGTAAAGTCTTAGGAGTATATTATGATATCATGTACATACATCAAGGGTTAGGTGAATGATGATCATTAACAAGGAAATTAACATTTGAAACTCCAAGCAAAACTGAATGCTGAATTTTTAAAGTCTTGAAATTTTTGTCGGTATTTCGAATTTCTGCTGCAATTCCTCAGCCCTCCAGATGTGCCAATAAGCCGTGTATAATATCAAAGCTAAACAGCAAACTCCGAAGACTTTCACTCCCTATATAAGAATTATAATTATTATAGGTTTTCTGTCTCTTCTGGCTGTGTGGCATTTAAATGTATGTGTATAAAAAAGCGTATTGCCCAGCATGCAGTAAATTGTACTGAACCCTAGAAATGACAACAGAACCAAATTGTATAATTATAATTGAGAAGATTGCCTTTTTTTCTTATTCTTCCTGAAAGGCATCAGGTATACTTACACACAAAAAGCAGAGGCCATACAAAAAAATGTCGCTCCTTTCTGACACAACAACAATTTCGCTGCGCGCTTTTCTTCTGCTCTTTTTATTTAAAATATTTTTTACTTCTCATACCAATTTTATTGTTCCAACAAAAAGTGCATTATCGCATTATCACTGTCGAGATCAATAGAGATATTTGTTGGATTGTTTTAACCAAATGGGCCAATTTTGTCAGTAAGTTGTTATTGATTAGGAATTTCTATAAAATATGTATTATTCGTGACACAGAGATTCAAAAATTATTCTTGATTGCTGGAATTGCTGAAGCAAGTTTAGTTACATACGTTTCATATAGAGCTCAGTAAAAAATTTCCTATAATGGTAAGTGTATCCAACATATTTTTAAAACTCAGCCAGGCATTAATTTGCATCCTTCTAAACCATTTATGCATTTATCAGACTTTGGTGATGCGTGCAAGGCAATACGAAAAGCAATTTTAATCCTTTTGGTAATTCCGACTAGTTTACCCTCGATGATGAAATTATTGTTTTACTCTCGATGATGAAGAATTTAAAATTTCAGCATTGAAGTAACTTTTTTTTGTCCTCGATGACGGAAAAAATTTAGAGTTTTTTTCATTCGACGCTACTAGCACATAATTATTCAAAGTAATTCAAGTTCCATTTTTATAAACGAACTATTTTAATTCATAATTAATTGATTTTTAACTTGATGAGAAGTGGTTTTATGTGACTGTTCTTGATATCATTTGTATGCTTTTTTTAATTTTGATTTGTGCAATAAAACTAAAGTATATGAAATGGTCTGTTAATTTGGGTTGAAATTATATCAATTTGAAAAAAATTCTCACAATTTAGACACGTGGAATTGGTAAGAAAATTGTGATGAATTCAATACAATTTATAAAAAACTGTAATTTTTCTACTTTTATATAAAATGTTTGACCATTGATTAAAAGCTGATACAAATTCACAAGTAATTGCAAAAAATACCGTTTTTTGATTAATGTTTCAAAAATTAATTAAGTTGATTTGTTGCAAGAGAATTAACAAATTAATATTTTAAAAAAAAACCAATTTCAAAATTGGTTGCAAAACCATGCAAAATGCATTTTGAAACATTCAAACGCAAATGCCGGTTTTTATAAAAGTGTTTTTTTTTTTAAATTTATATGATAATTATAATTTACCGTAATTGTATTTTTCATGCGGTCATTATTTTTCTGTTAAACTTATCAAGTGTTTCAATAAAATTGTATAAACGTGACGCAAAAGCGTTCTGGCAAACAAGCACTTGGTTTTATGGGGAAAAAATTAATATAAAATGGTCAGATAAGAGGAAAAATATATTTCCTTAGTTTAATTGTCCATTCTATAATGCCAACATAAAATTCTTCAACATTGATCGATTTACTTATTTATTTCATTGTTTTTGTCGTGGCTTTATTTATTTTTCTTGCTAATGTTCCAAAATTCGTTCACCAAAACTTCAAAATCAAAGTGACTAAACTAACAAGTAGAGTAAGTAATTATTTTAATTAGATTTTTTTGTTCAGAAGTTATATTTAAAATGATTGAGGTTAAGGAAAACCGAAAACCATTACTTTAGAGTGATTCACGTCTATTGGGCCGTCACTGCAGCTCATTATAAAAAGGCTGTTGCCAGAATAGTCTTTGCAATTGAGCATTCGAAATGCACAGACATGGAATCGTCCTCGTCCTTTGTCTCGGAGGTCTCTGCCTAGCTCAGGGCACCGATCCCTGTGACAAGCGGACTAGGACAAAAGTGCCGCATGGGACGGTAATGAGAGACGGATCTCTCGAAACAAGGGACGGCACTAAATTCCAGAGTGGCACCTACTGGCGAGGGACAGGTTTCTGGTGGGCATGCCCCTGTCTGAATGGACCGTGCGTCCGTCAGTGCAGCATTGGTAGGAAAATATATAATTTTTTTTTTAAATTTAAACTTATTTATTTATTATTTACTATTGAAGCTGAGGCTAAACGTGGAAATTTCACGATTCTTCAAGGCCCTGTAGAAACCGCATGGATTCACGTTTGGGACGGAGAGAATGTGACAAAGGTGGATATGAATAAGCATTTTGGAGTGGTGTACGAGGCAGAGTGCGGCGGCTTCATGTTGGACCCGGAGAATAATGAAATGGACGAATACAGGATTTTGTCAAACGGATCGATTTACTCGACGCACCCTGACATTGTGAAACAACATCAACTGACCACCGCCCACGAGTATTGCCTGATGCCACCACTTGTAATAATATAAGATTTTAATTAAGCTGTTAAATTTGATCAAAATTTTAATAACGCCACTTTAATTAATAAAATATTTATATAATTTTTAAATTTACTTTACATCAAAACCCAAAAATTGAATCTTATTAAAATTTTAAATTGATTAATATAAATAATACACGTAGCAATTAAATTTAAATTAATAATAACATGAATAATTGGATCTGATTTTCAGAAAGAAGGCCAAAAAATAATGATGGGTTGCAAGGAAACATCAAATACTCCAGAAACAGAAAAACTCCAATACCAAATTTACCCCGCGTTATTCATTTTGAGTGCAATTTTTCTGACACTGACTTTGCTGGCGTTTATTCTTACACCCGAACGCAACTCGATTCACAGCAAAGCCGTGGTCTGCCAGTCCGGAAGTTTGCTAGTTACTTATGTTTGCCTGACCATTACATACTTGACCGGCGAAAAGAGCCACGCCGACATTTGCGTTATCGTTGGTAATTTATAATTTTTTCTTTTCTGCATGATACGGATTTGAAAAGAATGTTTTTAGCCTACATCATGTACTACTTTTTGATGGCGTCATTTTTCTGGATGAACGTCATGTGCATTGACATTTATCTAACTTTCGCCGGGTAAAAAAAAAATGCTAATTGAAGAAAAAAAATACTGATTCATAATAATTGATGAAATTTAGATCAATGTTGCGAAGCCACAAAAGAAAATTTCGCGCCTTCTTCATCTACGGTTGGTGCTCGCCATTAGCTTTTTTTGTCTTGACTGTTTTCTTGGACATGAAAACTCAAAATCCAACCTGGAGTCCAGCAATAGGATTGAAACGCTGCTGGTTCCAAGGTAATTATTGAAATATTTTAAAACAAGATTATATAATAATTTTCCAATTCCAAATTTAAATATTTGCATGTCTGAAAATTTAAATTTTCTTTGTTTGAATTAATCCTTTTTTAAATTTTAAACTGAACAGGTTTTTGGTCCGATTTCCTGTATTTTGACGGCCCAATTTCCATTCTGCTCTTGATCAACTCGTATCTGTTCGGAAAGACAGTGTGGCATTTGCGGCGCTACCAAAGAGAAACGAAAGGAATGCTACGCAGGGGAGACAGTCAAGTTCACAATCAAAATGAAAGGAACAGGCTCAGGTTGTACGTGAAGCTTTTCTTCCTGATGGGCTTTACGTGGTTCATGGAAATCATTTCTTGGGCCGTCGGAGGGCAGAAAGCAATTTGGTTTATCACCGACTCGGCCAATTGTCTAAGCGGGGTTTTTGTTTTCTGGCTGTGCGTGTGGTCGAATGAGACCATGCGCAAGTCCTTGAGGGACAGATTTTGGCACAACGGGCTTGACATTGCAAGATCCTCAAAAAATACAACTTCAAATAATTGCATGCCAATAGATTAACAGAAAAAAAATGCTGTTTTCAACTGATTGCTTAATTAAATTATGAAATATTCAACTTAAATTTTGTTTCCTTGTGACTTTTCATGATTTTTTTTTACTGAATCTTGGCTAAAGTGAACCTTAATATTTAATTTTCGTTTTGGTTTTTTAATTCAAATTAAAATCCTTTTTATTGGTACAAGATGCCATTCTAGTTATAGTTTTATTTTTTGGGTTCAAATATCAATGGAAAATATCATCAAAGTACAGCGGAACACTTGCCGAACAACATGCATTTTGTAAATTGTGTGGCTTGTATATTTAATATCATAAAATAATAATTAGCCTTGTCATGGTAATGCCTAAGTCAAAATCGCGTGAGTGTATATTAAACTACAACATTCAGCTCTCGGCACTTGAAGTGGCCATATTTTGATTAAATTTGAATACTGCTTCGTAAATCTCTTCCTTCACTTATTCACTTAACGAATATCAATTGATTTGCACTCGAGTTCGCACGCACCGTTGGAAATAGTTTTGAGGCCGGCAGTTGCACTACTTGTAGGTTAATAAGAGAAGAGGGGTCCTACCTTTTGGCATCACAGAAGCAGTACAACTTCAGCAGTTTGTGGGTGACACACGTCGACTGGTTGCCGTAGCGGTTGATCCTGTTCACGTCGCCAACAACAACGGCGTCCGACCAGGCGTCCTGCCGCAGGGTGCCTTCGAGCAGGGCGCCTGAGGGGAGGGCCCGGATGGTCACCCGGAAGTGCACCACGAAGTCCCGATAGTGGGCCACGCCCTGCGCCGGCAACAGTTTCTGGGCGCTGACAACTTTGTCTAAAGTGAGAGGGGCGCACTTGGACTTGAGATCCTTTTCTTGGACGAATTTGTTGGTGTGTTCGAGCAGACGGGCTGCCAGATCATTGGCTTCATTTGGAGACATTTGCTCTTCATTCCAGCAGACGCAATAGACGTTGGGGATGCCGATTTCAAAACACGACCGGTTGGCAGGGATGGGACGAAAAAGTGATAAACCCTTGTATCCATACCTTAACTGCAAAACAAAGACAATAATATACATTTAATATATAAAAATTAAATGTTTAAAGTTATTTAGGCTGTTTTAAACTAATCAAAAAGTTTTAGGTTAAATGAATTTTTCACTTCATTGTGGGCATTTTTCTTAATTGTATGTTTTGTCAACATATGAGAGAATTTTGTATTTATACCTTTTTAGATTTCAAGTCTAAATTCTGCATAGCAACGTCCATTACAGTCTCATAGCCGTCGTGCCAGCTCGTCAAAACTTCAGCATTTGCCTTTAAACTAGGCCGAAAATGTTCTAATGATTTTGGAACAACCACTGCCAAATAGGGCATTCTTTCCTCAATCCGGCCAATGACTGTGTTTCGAATTGAGTCGAATCTGTTGCCGTGGTCTCCCAGGACCAGCAGGAGAGTATTTTCCAAAATACCTTTGGCTTTCAGTCTCTTTAGGTACATTTTGAGATCCTCGTCAATCACCTACAAATTTATTAAATCAGCAAATTCAAAATTTTCAAGGAATTTTTACCTGAATGGGATTTATAGCTTCATGGCTGAGGTGACTGAGAAAAGTGAAGCTGAAATGTGCCCTTTTCTCAGCGTACATCTTTGTCAGATACTCTTCCATGTAGTCGAAGAGGAAGTTGAACTTTGGAATGTGTCCGTAGCATCTGCTGTCCCAGGCCCAGCGGCTCTGCTGGTCCATGGCCAGCCAAAAAGGCCTCATGTAGTAGTGGGTTGGCGGGTCTTTGAAGCCAGTGGCCATGTAATTGAAGATGGTGATGGAAGCGTCGTCTTCAGCAAACATGGTCAGGTAGCCGGCGTCTGAGAAGTTTTTCCATGTGGCTGGTAGGTCATCCGAGAAACCGCTCGGAGTGTTGCCGTCGCCAAAGCGAGGGCTCATTTCTGCGTATCCCGCGGCCAGACCACTCAGGAAGGGCACCATGTTTGCGTAGGTGTTGTCACCAACCTTGAAAAGAAAAAAAAAATTAAGGAATACTTCATTATAAATTTGACGATATTTCATACTTTTGTGAGGCCCTTCATGACAACGCCACCAAGCTCATTTGTAATGAATTCGTGACTAATGGGCAGTTGCCTCATAAAGTTGAGTCTGGACATGGACTCGAGGGCGAGTACCACCACGTTGAGTCTGCCTTCTTTGGCTGCCTGTTGACTTTTTGCAGACTGCTCGTGTGGCACAGGAACAATTTTGGCGTAACCAGTCTCGTAAATCACCCGTTTAGACGGAAACTCAACACAATGTACTAGGCTGAATTCAAAATCTAACGCCTCGTCCCCAGTTATAACCTGTAGATAACAAAATTGTTAATTTAGTTATAAACAGATTTAAATTTTATTTTTAATATATATCTCAAAACAGATTTATAAAATTATACCAATTGCATTTTTTTAAATTATCAACTAGGAAAATCTTACAAATTAAAATTTCATTGTACCTCTGGGGGTCCAAGGTCAATGTGGTCATCATCCCCTGATTTCCTGGTAACTCTTTGAACACTGCACTGCACCTCTCCGTAGTACTGCTTTGCGGCCGTCCTGTTGACCTGAAGGCGACCCTTGTGGTCCACGAAAGTGAGCGGCAGTTGCGAAGAGGCGCAGTCTATCTTAGGCCAAGGTTGCACTATGTACTTGCGGATGGAGGGATCAAAGGGGTCGTAGTTGGGCAGTTTGCACCTGCCCGACAGGTCGTTTTTGACGAACTCCATGTGTTTGTTGTAGAACGTCTTTAGCACCCAGCTGTGGTGGATGTAGGCGGCCGAGGCGAGCACCAGCACCAAGGCCAGCACCCGAACGTACTTGTACTTCCTCATCAAGCCGCTCCAAAATGCTGGGAGATCTGTGAAGCAAATTGGGACCGAATTATTCAAATAGCTCTTGGAGTCACGAATAGACGCTCAGAAATAGATCGAGAGCACAGAACTGCTGCTATTTAACATCTGCTGTTTGTTATATTATTCCTGTCAACATGTTCAAATAATGGGGCACAAATTTGAGGCTCAAAAAAATTGAAATTCTTTAGAGGAAAAAATTAAAAACAGATTTTTAAAATTTACAAGGACTAATGTTCGTTAAAAGAAATGCTAGCCAGTAATGAATCATTGCATTCTAGCAAATAAACAAAATTGTATTCAAATAAATTAAAAAATTTAGAGTGTAAAAATTTACTCAACAGATATTTAAATGGAAAATGTTTAAATAGCTCAGATAAAATTAGTATTTTTTAGAAAATACAATTTACATAGTGGCAGATAAATGAATATTTGGTCATTGAGGTGGTTGTGATTCTTCACACAAGGGTAGTCGCTGCTGACACGAAGAGCGATCTACCTATTCCCCCCTAAAAAAATAATAACATAACATGCAGCAAGCAACCTTTTTTCTGGAAAGCTCCTTTTTCAATGCGCGCAATGATCGTCGTCGTCACATTGACACAGAAGGCCCCTGTTGCGATTAAATGCAGCTAACTAATCGCAAATACATGTGCGGCTCGGCCGAGCTGACATTATCAGGAAGTTGCGGTGCCGACTGAGCCGGCTGTTGTTGAAAAATCAAGTATCACGAGTGCACTGCACCGCTTCTTCCTTCCAGCTGCCGGCGGCGCAATTACCATCATCGTAGTGCCTGCCTAGCCGTGTTGCCAAATAATACATTCTTGTCCCATACGTGAGCGAGCGCGAGTTACGAGTAAATCGCGTGCCAAGCATATTTATCTATCTCGTCAGCGCGGTGCGAGTCGTGCCGGTTGCATACATACAAATCCTACAGGCGCAAGGAAATGTGTAGTGGACAAAACAAAGCGCATTTAACTAAATTATTATACAATACAAGCCCATTAGCTAAAACTGAGTTATTTTGGGGACAATTTATTTCTATGTAATTTTATAGAGCAGGTCACTGAGGGTATTAATTACATACCAATTTTCTCAAAAAATAGACATTTGACAATTTTAAGTGAATTTTTTTTAATGAGCTTAAAATCCACCTGAAGAATATAAATTAAACTTTAAAATAAATCGATTTCAGATCGCTCTAATTAAATTAGGAAAAATAGAATTATCTGGAGGCTTGACGTTGAAATTTACTGTGGAATTGTGGAAAGAGTTCAGTAAAAAATTTAATGGCTGAAGAGATATGTAGCTTAATTAAATTTAAGTACAAAAATTGAAACTTCTAAGTTAAAAAATCAAAATAATGGATTTATTGAAAAATATTTTGCTTAGGCGTTGTTGCTTTTACCCTTATAAAATAGAAAAAAAGTTTAATGTGATCAAATCTATTTAACTTTGACCAGCCACGGAACAAATTTAAATTGTTATTGGTATTTGTTTGATTTAAAAATTTGTTCCATAATTATTTGGCTTATTTTGTTTAAAGGGCCAATACAGCTAAAAAGGTACAATTTTTTTAATTTCCATAATAGTTTGAGTGGTCTAAAATTAACCCATTAAACTTTTATCATATAATTTAATAATGAAAATTTTCTAATTTATTGATCAAGTGCCTAACTGTTGGCTTTTTGACTTTCTGGGTATAAAAACTAAAAATACAAATTGAATTTTTGTGCAAAGTTTCATATTTCTCTATAATTTACCTTAACTATGTTTAGCTTAGTTGGAATCGGATGAAGAAGACAAGGAAGATGACGAACGGCTTCTCTTTCGCTTCTTTGATTTCTTTTTCTTCTTGTCCTTGTCGCTTTTCTTGTCTTTCTTACTCTTCTTGTCCTTCGAGTGCCTTTTCCTTTCACTCTTCTCAGGTTTTTCCTCCTTGATTTCGACCCTCTTAGGAATTAACGGCTCTATAGAAAAAAAAACAGATAAGAGAAGCAACAACAATTTTTTCAGTACTAACCAACACTCGGTTTTGTGAGAATTTGTGTGTTATCATTACTTGGCTCTCCGTCTTTCCTCTTTTTGGCCATCTTATATTCTTCAACATGGTCAACTCGAATGGTTCTGCTCAAAATCTGAAACGAAGAAACTCTATTTTTAGCAACAATCTTCTGCTTGGTTTAATTCTTTCCTTACCTTGATTCCATTCAGGTTATCAACAGCTAGCACTGTGCTCCTTTGGTCTTCGTAACAAAGGAAACAAAACCCTCGACTCTTGCCAGTATCTTTGTCTCTGACCAGATTTATTGAAGCAACTTCTCCATACCTTGGAAATTAAAAATGATGCTTAGAATTACATAATTTTTCTGCTTACTGCATTGCTTACTGCGAAAAAACCGCTATGATGTCACCTTCTGAGAGCGTGAAAGGCAAACCTCCAATGAAAATCCAAGCGCTGTCCTTGTACTTGTCGTGCCAAGATGAACTCCAAGATTTGTTTAGCTCGATTTCACTTAATTTGGCTATATTTTTAATGTTTCTGTGGACATAAAAGAGTCATAAAATGGCATCAGCTTGTCATTTTACTTTCAAACGTGCTCGATCTAATAAGATTAACGACTTACGTCATAGGATTCATTCTAGAACTGCTTCACAAACGCTCGGCCAGTGGAAAATAATAAAACAGCTTGGGAATAAAATTAAAATTCGTAAAATTCTGTCTTCCCTGAGCGGCAACATGAAAAAGTAAACAAAAGCCAATTTATTCGCAAAAACTGGTAAATCTAAAACCGGTAAATTGTAACGGTTATTTAAATTCAAAAATGCATAAGGTCTTTCAATGGCCATAACCTACCGATCTTTGGATCCGGTTTTAACCGGTTATTTTTATCTACAAAACAAACAAACTTGATCCATGGCGGCGTGAGCGTGAATTGTTGCGTATTCCGTCCGAATTTTGCACCGGAAAACGTTGATAATTTTGAATTTGGAGTGACGAAACTGAAAATGAGTTCAGTACGCAGGAGCGGACGAGACCGTCCTTCAAGCCAATCTCAAGGGACAGGCACGAGGGGCCGAAGGAAAACACAGGTTTGTTAAGCCACATGGTTACAATTATTTATGATTTGGCGGGAGAACTCCGCACATTTTATTTCGATTAATTTAACTGTTTTTGGAAGCAATTAAAACAATTTTTTGAAAAAATTCTCTTCCCCAAGGAAACTGACGATGAGCCAACCCAATCGTCCACTGCTGGCACTTCAAGAAGGAATAAGAAGCAGAGCCGAATTTCGGATTTTTTGGAGGAGTCTCAGGAAGAGGGTGGCACTCAGAAAGCGTCCAAAGTGCCCCAGATCACTAATGACCAGGTCTTGGAACAGGCCCGTTCGGTGGCTTTCTATATGATCTCATGCTGCAAGGACAACTCGATCGTCAACAGAACCGACGTCACAAAGGAGGTTCTCAAGAACTTCCACTTCAAGCACTACCCGACCATCATGGCCAAAGCTTCCGAGATTCTGAAAGAGGTTTTTACAATATATACAAATTTAATGCTTCAGAAGATGTGAATTATTGTAATTATTCCGTAGGTTTTTGGTTTGGAGATCAAAAATTTGGACGGTGATGACGACAAATTTGACAAGATGATATTGATTGACACTCAGAGCATTCCCAAGTACGCAAGCAGTGAGGAAGACAAGGCTACTCTAGCTCTGCTTTTCCTTGTTCTCAGCTGCATTCAGGTTTCTGGCGAGGCCATCAAAGAAGGTGAGAAATGTAGTACATATTTTTGGCATTTAATTACTTCTATGATGACAACAAAGATCTGATTTTTAGGCTTTTAATTTAAGGCCATGATGGAAATTATTCCTTACTCAATCATTAGTTTAAGTCTGATATTTTTATTGAATAAAGTCTAGATTGTTTAATAATTTTTATTTTCTTAATATGTTTTTAAATGTTCCAGAGGATCTAATCAACTTCCTGAGAGAGCTCAACATTCTGTACTCAAAGCAGGATCCAAACTTTGGAGATGTTGAGGGAAAAGTGAATGTAAACACAATTTCAAATTTTATGAGCAAAGTTTTTAAATTAAATGCTTTATTTGTAGACATTCAAAGGGCAAGCCTACCTGAGATTTGATGTGGACAAATCGACCAACCCTCCTACCAAAATGATTGCTCTCGGTCCCAGGGCTAAGGCCGAAATCAACAAGGTGGAAATGTTGCGGTTCTTGAAGAAGGTGACTTTTTTTAAATTTTTGTTTTGCATAAATTTCATTAAATTTAAATTATGTTTGCCAGGTTTACCCCGATCTCGACTTTCTCTCGGACAATGCCAATAACTTGGCTGATTCTCAAGATGAGGGTGCTCTGTCAGAATAGGTATTATTTGCACACCGGTGCACAACATTATTTATAAGTTACAAAACATACAGGATTACTTTTGTGCTAGCAATCAAAATACGAATTGCATCGTCCTTCTTAACAGTGATAAATAATCAGTCTGATAATAAAAGTTACAAAATAGTATAAAAAGAATAATTTAAATATTTTACACTACAGTTCCTTGCTTAATCTAGAAATAGCGGTGAGGAAAAAACCTATAATAACCATAATGCAGCGTGTCAAGTTCAATGAGTTCCACTCAACTTGTAGTTTGTCAAAGTTTTACTTCGAACAAAAATTGCTGAATTTGCTTAAAATATTCAAACAGTTTATACCTTTGATGACTGCAGAAGAGTGGTTCCATTATTCAGCCGAAACACAGTCATGTCGTCTAGTTTTGCCGATAGGCCCCATGTCAGGTTGGCTCTGATGCAAGTAAAAAATAGACTCACTGGACTGTTGGCCAAGTGTCTCTGGAGATCTTTGAATGTCAATGCGCAAATTGGACGAACCTCAAGCTCTTTAAATGTCACTTTTGTCTGTGCTGAAAGAGAAGGTTTCAAGACAACTTCAGTCAGATTTTCTGTGCTTTCCTGCTCTACATTTGCGATATCTTGATTTCTTGAATCCGCAGCTACCAGTTTTTTACTTAAAAATAGAGCATGTTGCGTTGAATAATATTAATTGTTATTGTTGCTTTTGAGAATTACCGATTGCGCCTACGTTGAGTTCGCTGAAGAGTTGTCTCTCTTGCTGTCTTTTCCTTTCCACCATTAGACGAATCTCTAGCAGCCTCACTAATATCTTCGTATTTTGTGGTTTTCAGTTCTTTAATCTCTGAGACTGACTGAGAAATCTCCATTCTGAACATAAATAAGACAGGTGCTCAGCGTTGTTGAATACCACCGAGGGTGGTGTTTTAAAAGCGCGCCTTTTCTCCCCTTAAATAGCTTTGCATTACACTAGGTCCATATAACAACCAAATTATTTTATCTTCTAATGTTTTGTTTTACTTTAATTGGAGCTGGGTTGAAAATAAATGAAAACCAAAGCTGATGCTAGAGCTAAAAACTGTAGATTTTCGAAATCATGAAATTTAAATATTAAATTACGTTTATCCGTATCTTATTTAGATATATTTTCTGCAGCCTCATTAACATCTTCGCATTTTTCAGTTCTTTTATCTCTGAAACTGACCGAGCACTCTCCATTCGGATTAAGGCATGATGTGTTTGGCGCAGTTAAATACCACAGCGGGTGGTGCGTTTAGAAAAAAAGATCCTTGTGTTTTTAAAGCGCGCCAAATTTACTTTATATTACAATGCAAGCTGGGTTGAAAAAAAAATGAAAACCAAGTAAATGGCTATTATAATTTTTTATTGATTGCAAATATCTTATCGTAGCACAAGTATGTGACTGATAAAAGCACTTTATATTAAGAGTAAAACATATTTCTCAGTATGAAATTAAGACTTGAAAACTCTGTTTTTCTCCACCACAACGCAATCTTGAAAAAATTCTAAAAAAATTTTCAATGTGAATTTTTACAATTTCAAACTCAGAGCTTTTTTCATGAAGAAAAAATCAAAATAAAAAAATTTAATCCAAGACATTATGAAAGAATAGGTCTTTGGCAACAACTTTGTAATTAAGTTTTTTTCTCTAAAATAAATATTATTTTAATTACGGCAACACCATTAGCAAACCCTAATGCAACATTCTAACTCGTCATCGGATTTTAATGAAAAACATATATAAAAAAAGTTTTTTTTTTATAAAATTTGTTAATCTCCGTGCCTTTCTGTAATTAATTAATTTTTTAATTAGCGTTTTCGTTTTCATTCACTTTTCTTATTTCACCCCCGCGACTTCATCTTTGCGCAAAAACCCGGCTCCACGGCCCCCGTCGGTCACTTTTTTTGGTTATTTTTTCGATTTTAATCTCCCTAGTCGCATCGGCCGCATGAATATTAAGCTTTTAAATCATCCAGCTAAATAATTATGTGCATACGGCCGCGAGACATTCTTTATTTTATCACAGCAGGTGAGCTGCCGGGGAAATGTTTCAAAAAGAAGACTGGTGCAGCCACCTGCCGGAACCTTTGAAAGGTGAACTGTTCAGAGACGAGTCGTTGATAAAAACGCGAAACGCGAGAGACAGGTTTTCAAGAAGGTCGAAAAGGAAGGTTCCTGACTGAGAAGGATTAAAGATAAGGTTGGTATTAACTCACTGGCCCCGCCCGATCCCATTGATAAGAAAATCAACTGTCCCCGGACCCAAATAGACCCGATTTTCGCCCTGAAAGAGCTCGCCGGTGGCTGAGCGGACCCCGAGTTCTGACAAGGATGGCAGATTTTTATTTTAAAAAACTTGCTCATAAGCTCCGCCTACGTTTTATTTAATTGTCCCGCTGACCAAGAGTTAATTGTCCCGAATTAAAATCATCAATTAGAAATCTGAGGTACAAAAGCCGCAGCGCACGTTACGCCCGGTGCCCTTTTTTTCCCTCCGCCGTTCCTAAATAGTTCCTCCCAACCTGATTGACCGAGACCCTGAGCTGGATTTGAATCGACGCTTCTGATTGGCCGAAAGCGAACAGGCGATCCAAAAGAAACGCCCGGCTAGATTCAAAACTTTCAAAAGTGAAGCGTCAGTTAGAAATTGGAAATCGGTGGTCAGCGTGTCAGCGAGTACGGACGTATTGCTTGAGCCGATAGACTCAAGGTACGAGATAGTTGTTTGGGATACACACTACCAGGTTGCTCCGCGTCACCGGCTGGTTTACTGTGTGTGACGGTTGCCCTGATTTTGCCCATGTATGTAGTTTGAATTGCCCAAGTAGTGAATTTCCCTTTTGTTTGAATTAAGGACGTGAATCCGCGACTCCGCGTTGAGGACGCGAAGTTTTCCGTCATTTTTGATTTAAAATTAATTGTCTCTTGCCCATTAAATTGTAATTAACCCTCGGCATCGCCACGAGGCGTCAGGAAGAATGGCCTGAGTTTGACCTTTACACTAACACGTTTAGTGCTGTAAGTTTAAAATATTAGAATATTACATAAGACAAGAAGAAATTTTATTGAGCGTTTGCAAATTGTATGCGAATTTACACTTTATAATATTTTGTCTACGTTCCACAATCAAATCAAAACTCTCTTTCATACCCTACCGGAAAGCATCCTCGGCCTGGACTATCATTCTTACATTCGGCCTTAAGACATCGAATCAACTTGTGAACTAAAATAAGTTATTGCTTAATTAATATTCACCCTAATGTTAAATGAATAGGGAGCATCTCATCTCTCACTTAAAGCGCCTGTCTGCCTGCATCTGCACCAAAAGTGGTGCATTCTATTTGAAATTTATCCCGTATTATTATTATAGTTGTAGATCCGATTTAACTATGTCAATACAGATGCCTCAAGGACTCCTTACTTGACTATATATTTAAAAAGCATGATTTTACACTCGAAACAAAATCATAGATAATTTCAATTGCTATGCAGCTAAAAATTTGATTTTTTGCCTTATCCAATCCACCTAAAATATCCATTTTTTTTACATGATAAAATAAAGTCTGTACTATATAAAATTTCCAATGTGATTATGCCATAGTATTTTCATGGTCAAAACCAATTTTTATTTAAAAAGTTAGCTTTGCCCCTGCTAGAAGCATCCGAATGTGGAACATCAACCTTTAAGAGTAATTTTAATTTTCTTGTTACTCATTATTTTTGTTGCATATCTGATTTTATTAGTCACTCAAACTGGCCAGTGTCGCATTATTTTTTCTTGGGGGAACATGAGTGATTTCTCATACTAGGACTGCAAGTGAAGGGTTGTTCATCGCTGAAGATGGCCGGGGGCCGTAGGATTTCGTATTGAGAAGGGTGCACTTTGCATCCCAGTTGCAAACATTTTTAGTACAAAATCCTTTAACATTGTGTTTAATTTGATTGAACAAGTTTATATTATGTCTTTTTATTACATGTTCATTGGTGTTTTGCCATTGATTTGTGCATTAGGGAAATATTTTATTTGATAGTAAACTGATAACCACGATTTTAAATTTATTGTGTTTATGTTTTTAGGTGTTCTCACAGAAAAAGGAGAACAACGAAAGTGCTTGCAAGCGTTTTGCCCGTCGTACCCTGGCATCATTGGACCTACGTCAGAAGACATGGAAATGGTCGATCAGCTCGCGTGCGTTGTTCACGCATTTTTAAGCATGGAGAAGAGAATGCGAGAGGCCACCGATGTAAGTAAAAATAGATTTTATAAGTACTTGCTGTGAACTGATCTTGTGTTTTTAGTATTAAAGTAAATCCTTATTGGCATAGCCAATTCCTTGCAACAATGTAGAAGCCAATTTTTTCAATTATTAGTGGCAATTTAAAATAACGATCCCAGGCAAAAGTTTTGAGCAAGATTATTCAATTTGAGCGCTCAAGAATGAGCACAGCAGGCCTTGCACAGTCTGCTCAAAAGGGGTTTGGAGTGATTCTTGCTCAGCTTTTTCTTGCTCAACCTGCTCGAGGAGCATGAGCAAGCTCTGCTCACTCTGCTCAAGGAAGCTAAACTTCTTGCCTACCTAATTAGTTGAATCAACGTATAATTTGAAATTATAAAATACGATTTATTTCGTATTAGTTTAACTTAAATTATTAAAATAAACCCACCATGCTTTAATGGAAGCTAATTATTCACAAGCTACGCAAGGCTTGTTTTTTTAAAATTTTGCTAGGTGTTTATTTTACTATTCTCCAAGCTTATGAATATATTGAAGCTCCATTTTGCATTGGGTTTGTGACCCAGGGTTACTTTGTAGTTATTAAATTAATATTAATACATTTATTTTATTAAATTAAAAAATAAAATTAATTAAAAAAAAAAATATATCAATCTTGCTTTCTTTGCTCACTGAAAAATTTGGCATCGAGCAAGACTTGCTCACGCCTGCCTTTTCTGCTCTGACTAAGTCCTAGACACCAGAGCAAGCTTTGCTCACGTCTGCTCTTTCTGCTCCGACAAATTCCGATGCGGGTGAGCAAACCAGAATAATTTTTATTTTTATAAAATTGTTATTAATTAAAAAATTTATGGAATTATTATTATTTTTAATAAATAATATATTACATTAAATTATAATTATTTTATAGCTGGATTGAGAATAAATGAAAACCAAAGCTGTTGCCTGAGCTAACAACTCTAAATTTTCAAAAGCATATGGTACATATTTGAATAATCGAATTCGTCTATCTTATAGTCGACAAATTTGTAAATAAATTTTTAGACCGTGCTAGACCTAAAAACAGTGTCTTTTCAAAATCATGGAATTTGAATAATCGAATTCGTCTTTCTTATAGTCGTCAATTTTGTAAATAAATTTTTAGACCGTGCTAGACCTAAAAACAGTGTTTTTTCAAAATCATGGAATTTGAATAATCGAATTCGTCTTTCTTATAGTCGTCAATTTTGTAAATAAATATTTAGACCGTGCTAGACCATAAACAGTGTTTTTTTTTTCAAAATCATGGAATTTGAATAATCGAATTTGTCTTTCTTATAGTTAACAATTTTGTAAATAAATTTTTAGACCGTGCTAGACCTAAAAACAGTGTTTATTTTTCAAAATCATGGAATTTGAATAATCGATTTCGTCTTTCTTATAGTCGTCAATTAAGTAAATAAATTTAGACCGTCCTAGACCTAAAAACTTTTTTTTCAAAATCATGGTATTTGATTAATCAAATTCTTCTTGATGAATATTCCGCAACCTCAATAACATCTTCGTATTTTTATTTTCAGTTTTATATCTCTGAATCTGACTGAGGATTTGCCATTTTGAATTTAAATAAGTCATGTATTTTTTGTTGTTGAATTCCTTTGTTTTAAAAGCATTATGTTTAATTTGATTGAACAAGTTTATATTATGTCTTTTTATTACATTTTCATTGGTGTTTTGTCATTGAGTTGTGCATTTGGGAAATAATTTGATTTGATAGTAAACTGATAACCACGATTTTAAATTTATTGTGTTTATGTTTTTAGGTGTTCTCACAGAAAAAGGAGAACAACGAAAGTGCTTGCAAGCGTTTTGCCCGTCGTACCCTGGCATCATTGGACCTACGTCAGAAGACATGGAAATGGTCGATCAGCTCGCGTGCGTTGTTCACGCGTTTTTAAGCATGGAGAAGAGAATGCGAGATTCCTCCGACGTAAGTAAAAATAGATTTTATAAGTACTTGCTGTGAACAGATCTTGTGTTTTTAGTATTAATAGTTAAAGTAAATCCTTATTGGCATAGCCAATTCCTTGCAACAATGTAGAAGCCAATTTTTTCAATTATTAGTGGCAATTTAAAATAACGATCCCAGGCAAAAGTTTTGAGCAAGATTATTCAATTTGAGCGCTCAAGAATGAGCACAGCAGGCCTTGCACAGTCTGCTCAAAAGGGGTTTGGAGTGGTTCTTGCTCAGCTTTTTCTTGCTCAACCTGCTCGAGGAGCTTGAGCAAGCTCTGCTCACTCTGCTCAAGGAAGCTAAACTTCTTGCCTACCTAATTAGTTGAATCAACGTAAAATTTGAAATTATAAAATACGATTTATTTCGTATTAGTTTAATTTAAATTATTAAAATAAACCCACCATGCTTTAATGGAAGCTAATTATTCACAAGCTACGCAAGGCTTGTTTTTTAAAATTTTGTTAGGTGTTTATTTTACTATTCTCCAAGCTTATGAATATATTGAAGCTCCATTTTGCATTGGGTTTGTGACCCGGGGTTTCTTTGTAGTTATTAAATTAATATTAATACATTTATTTTATTAATTTAAAAATGAAATTAATTAAAAAAATATATATCAATCTTGCTTTCTTTGCTAACCGAAAAATTTGGCATCGAGCAAGACTTGCTCACGCCTGCTTTTTCTGCTCTGACTAAGTCCTAGACACCAGAGCAAACTTTGCTCACGTCTGCTCTTTCTGCTCCGACAAATTCCGATGCGGGTGAGCAAACCAGAATAATTTTTATTTTTATAAAATTGTTATTAATTAAAAAATATATGGAATTATTATTATTTTTAATGATTTTTATTAAATAATATATTATATTATAATTATTTCCTAAATTAAATTATTGATTTTGATATTATTTGAAAATAATGCAATTTATATTTTGATCAAAATAGAACTCTTATTATTAAGTTGAGTATTTAAAATTTTTTAAATAAATAAATAAATTATTTCATATTATATAATTTTTTTATATTAAATTTTCCTTGAGAATTTATAATTTGGTGAGTATCCATTGATTATTACATAAGAATTTGCACATTAAATATATAATATTTATTATAATCTAAAAAATTCTATTTGCTGCTTTTTAAATCTATCTAAAAAATGAAAATACTGGAAATAAATAAAATAGATTAAGAAAATAATTTTTAATGTTTACTAGTTAATTTAATTTTAATACCAAAATAAAAAAAGATCAGTTTTATTTTTCCAACATTAAAATATAAGCATTAAATTGGCCCCGAACTCTATAAAAAACTAATAAAACGAGCCCATTGCTTTGGTATTACAAATTTAGTTTATTGTAAACCAAAATAATAATAGGAAGTCGCAAGTAAAGGGTTTGCATATGATTATACTGACTGATTTTTTAATTGTTTAATAATTTATATTGTTTAAATTATTTCTATTGCTAATTGTAAGATAATTTCTAATGTTTGAATTATTAATATTTTTAATGTGTAATTGTTTAAAACAATGCAGGTTGGTTTACACACTGGCTTTATTTTATTTACAACAATTTTGGCAGAATGGTTAAAATTCACTGACTCGAAATTTTTCGTTTAATGTCTCTTAAAAATCAAAAAACGGGAGCGGTGTTCCCTGGGTGGGCAAACTGGCTGCCCTGGAAACGTCCTTGCTGGGAACTTGGCGGCTCCCTGCAGGTCGGCGGCGGCTCTCGGCGCGGCCAGGGCCCACGGCGTGCAGGTCTCTGGCGGCGGACGTTCGTACGCCTTCGTCCGAACGCTCGCTGGCGGCGTGCCACGTCGGCGCCCGATTCCTCGGACAGGAAGGAGCTGGGGACAAAAACAATGGGTCACTCGGCTGTACTTCCGTCCCACGTAGTGGTTTGACCTTTCGGCCAAAAGAAGGCCTCAGGGAGAGACAATAGTAATCTCTCTTACCTGGCAAAGCTGCTCCGTACGGCTTCGGACGGCTCAGCCGCACCCTGGACAGTACGAGGGACACAGGTGTGTCGCTCGAGGGGCTCGGGACGCGGTCGGCCTTCCGGCTGTTCTCGGACGAGACAGCGTCGGGACACGAAAGCGGTCGGGGCCGTGGGACAGCTCGGACGGGTGCGAAGGGATCGGACGGGCGTCCAAAACTGCACTGTGTGTCCAGGTGTCCTGCGAACAAAGAGCACTGAACGCCGCTCAACACCATGGAATCGGCTGGTGTTACTGTGGTGTCGGTGTGGTGTCGCGTTCCAGAAGGGTACTATCCTTTTCTTTGCCGCATTGCAAACAAATTTTTATAGAATTCAAGTAGTTCTTAGAGTTAGTTGATTAAAATTTTGAACTCAAGGTAATTTTGAGTTTTATCTTTCATCTCGGCACTCCAATTTCATACCTGCTTTCAAATCCACAACACATAGCAAAAGCTCATTAATAAAATTTTGTATTGTACTTTGCTCCGTATGGTGTCTCTTCAATTATGCTTTTTAACATGGGACGGTTGCGGTTGCGTTTATAAGAAATGAATTTTGGATCTCCGACAATTTTGGCAAAAATGACAGTAAATTTGCGGAGCTGAATTTATTAATTTCAGAAAATAGAGGGGTTTCCTTATACTTAAAAAAAATGTATTTTATTTGAATGCTCTAAATTGAAATTATCGGGAAATAAGTAAATTTTGTATTTTTACTATACCTACCAAAATTTTAAGAAATCAACAATGAAAGCTAAAAATTTCTCTTTCTAGATCTCTTCTATGCTCAAAGTAGCTCAGAATTGCAGGAAAAGGAGCCCAGTCCATGAGATTGTCAAAGAAATTCATCGGCACAAGGAACAACTCTCCCTGAGACTTGAACGAGAATTTCAAAAGTTAATTGTGTCCAAGTAAGTACCGGTGAAATAATCAGTAAAGTTGTGTGTACGAATTAATTTTTATAGACTGCCCCTGATGAAACAAAATAAATTCTCTCTGATTGTTGAGCAATTTTTGCTTGATGAACTGCGGGCAGAAACAGTGCTCATGCGAAGGCTTGTTTGCAAGGAATGCAAACATATCGTGTGCCAACCGGAGTTATCACCTTTTTGCAACACAAACGATATGCGCTGTTGGGCAGGCTTTGAGGACCCAAGGAGGTCATGTTTAAAAGTGTAATACCAAAGTCATACTGCTAAACTTTAATTCATATTCTTCTATATTTTTAAAGGAAAGATGCGATGGCAAGTACATTCAGGAGGTTGTGCTGAATGAGTCTTGTATCTGGATTGACTGCATGTCGAAGAACAGCCCAAACCGTTTTGAGGAGATGGAATATTTGGCTAACAATGGTCTCATGCCATCTGTGTTGCGGCTGAATGAAAAAGAATTCACTCTGAGTGGCGCATGTGAGTCTAATTGCATTTCTTCTTTTTCATTTATATTATTGTTTTTTTTTTTTTAAATAAGTTTTTGGAAATCAAAAACGTAACTCTTAAGTGGGAGGAATTATCCAAAAGGAACATAATTATGAAAAAATAGTCTTTTGGCCAGTTTAATATTGCTGACCAGTACATAATAGATATTTTTGTGGCCGGATTTATTTCTCATTTTAAATCGGATGATTTCCACATGCCCTGCCTGTAGTTAGAGGGGTTGCATTATGATCATTTGGTCCCTCAGCCGTCATGGGATCAATGCTCAACCTGAGGAGCTTAGTGGATAAAAAAGCCTCTGGTTTGCGAATCGTCATTGATAACATTTTGACTTAACAAGTCAGGAAATTTTGGAGGTTTGACGCAAGTGGTACTGACGTATTCAGAGGCTTGCAACGTTTCCTCCGATCCATGAGCTGGAAGAACTCAGCTTGTGTGACGAATGCCTGAGTTTCATTATAAGCCCTTTGAGGCAAGGCCGGGACAAGGGGTAAAGATCTCAAGGCAGGTGGGTGCCCATTCGAGCACCACCAAATTTGCTTGAGCTCCCTGACCGGGAGTCGGGTTTATTTTCAAGCAAACGTGCTGTTGACCTTTTAGGTATAAAGTGAAACAATTATAAAAATAATAAAAATTCATTTAAAGTAAATTGAATGTAAATATATAAAAGTGAATATATTAATGGCAATGTGATGTGTGTTCAACTACTGCAAGAGACCAACCCAATAGCCTAATAACTAATAAGAAAACGGGGGCCATTTAAGCAAATAAAAAATCCATTAACTACAAGTTAAGAAGGTAGTTATAAAATGATAATGATATTCTTTTTTAGTGATCCGAGAGCACAGACTTGGCGATGCAGATTTTGAGCCAGAAGAATGTGATTACCATCACTTAGGAGATATTTTTCTTCACCAGCCTTTGGAAGAAGAATATTTAGATATTTCTGAACTTGGCTCAAAGTCAGTTGACCAAGGAAATGCTGAGAGAGCAAGAACATACTTTGTTGAGAGACAGCAGACAGGTAAAAGCATCAAAACTAATAATATTCATAGCTCTTCTATGATTTGTAATTAGATTTTTAATCATTGAAACCAAACCTTACAGGAACATGGAATAAGATTGGTTACCTGAACACGGAACTATGGGGTGAACCGTGGGAAGCAGACGTGGAAAACTGCAGATTCCCAGGTTATCCAGCGAGCAGAACGCCCCGCCACCCCGCTGGCCGGATGACCCTCCTCGCCGCAAGCCTGGTCACGCAGAGCCCAGCCTGAGGACGCCGGGCTGCCCAAGTCCCGACCACCCCAGTTGGTAAGGTATCCACCCTCTAGTTTCCTTTGTGATTATCTAATGGTCATAATACTGTTCTAGGGCGGACACTTTTGCCAGCCGGCGACCTGGACCAGGCAGCACCTCCGGACTACTCACACACCAGCCTGACCTACGAGACCCACCCCCGAGTTTTGCCTGCAGAGTTGACAGGTAAATAAAGTGATAAAGCATTTGTGATGCATTTAGCACCCCATATGCTCACTTGTTTGAAGCCCAACTAATTATTCCCTCCTTGTCCCTAGGTTCCCAGCGAGAGGCCAGGCCTTCACCGTGACTGACGCTAGGCCTCTTCGGGGAACCTGTCCAACCCTGCGGCTGCCCTCCTCACGTGTCATCTGAGCAGCAACCACAAGACGTCACCCCACTTGCCCCACCTCCCATCTGTGTTTACCCCATTTAATTAAAACACATTATCCAAAGAGTTAGAATTGTACCTTTATAGGGAATATAACCCAAACAACAGCAGTTGAATCTATTTGTTTACTTTATTTTTATTTCCCGAATTAACCAAGTCATAAATTGAAAGTTTTCCGAAGTTCAGTACTTAATTAACAAAATCATCTTGCCTGCAATCTTATTTATTAGAAATAATTTATTTTAAAATTTTCCTAACCAAGATGTTGAGGGAAAAGTGAATATAAACACAATTTTAAATTTTATGAGAAAAGTTTTTAAATTAAATGCTTTATTTTTAGACATTCAAAGGGCAAGCCTACTTGAGATTTGATGTGGACTAACCGACCAACCCTCCTACCAAGATGATTGCTCTCGGTCCCAGGGCTAAGGCCGAAATCAACAAGGTGGAAATGTTGCAGTTCTTTTTTAATTTTTTTTTTTTTTTTTTACAAATTTCATTAAAATTAAATTATGTTTGCCAGGTTCACCCTGATCTCGACATTTTCTCGGATTTGGTATTATTTGCACACCGATGCACATTATTTATAAGTTACAAAACATACAGGATTATTTTTGTGCTAGCAATCAAAATACGAATTGCACCGTCCTTCTTAAAAGTGATACATAAGCAGTCTGATAATAAAAGATACAAAATAATAAAAAGAGATTTAAACATTTTACAGTCCAGTCAGTTACTTGTTTAATCTAGAAATAGCGGTGAGGAAAAATCCTATAATGACCAGAATGCAGCGTGTCAAGTTCAATGAGTTCCAATCGACTTGTAGTTCATTAAAATTTTCCTTAAAACAAAAAATTGTTGAATTTGCTTGAAATTTTCAAAAGTGCATACCATTGATAACTGCAGTAGTGTGGTTCCATTATTCAGCCGAAACGCTGTCATGTCGTCTAATTTTGCTGAGAGGCCCCATGTCAGGTGGGCTCCGATGCAAGCAAAAAGGGCAAATAGACTCACTGGGTTGTTGGCCAAGTGTTTTTGGAGATCTTTTAATGTCAATGCGCTGTTTGGAATGCACCTGATAATTTAGTATTTAAATATGTGAAAATTGTATTCCTAACAAAAAACAAAAATTACCAGTCCAGTACTGAAACGGTAGATATTGTTGAAAAAATATAAAACGTTATTTGGAAAATACGCTCTTTGTTGATTCCTACTTCTGACTTGTGAAAATTTTCCCCGTCAACCTTGTTAAGAAAGGTTTTTTTATTAAACAAGAGTAATAAATAATTTCTCACCATAATCATATGCCAAAAAGCCATTCCAGCTAAAAGTCCATGGCAAAATGATGCGAATGGTATAAATCTCTTTTGATATTCCACTGCGATAGTCTCTGCGGAATACAAAACTGTATTTGTCTGGTCGAGAAGATTTTGCGTCGAAGACAAGAAAAAAACGTCCTGACTGACAGGTATGAAGTTATGGTCTCTTTGTACGTAGATTTTGCCCTCGCAAATTGGACGAACCTCCAGCTCTTTAAATGTCACTGTTGTCTGTGCCAAAAGAGCAGGGGTCAAGACAACTTCAGTCAGATTTTCTGTGCTTTCCTGCTCTACATTTGCGATATCTTGATTTCTTGAATCCGCAGCTACCAGTTTTTTACTTAAAAATAGAGCACGTTGTGTTGAATGATATTAATTGTAAAGGTTGCTTGTGAGGATTACCGATTGCGCCTACGTTGAGTTCGCTGAAGAGTTGTCTCTCTTGCTGTCTTTTCCTTTCCACCATTAGACGAATCTCTAGCAGCCTCACTAATATCTTCGTATTTTGTGGTTTTCAGTTCTTTAATCTCTGAGACTGACTGAGAAATCTCCATTCTGAAAATAAATACGACAGGTGCTCAGCGATGACATACCACCGAGGGTGTTTTAAAAGCGCGCCTTTCCTCCCCTTAAATAGCATTGCATTAAACAAACTCCATCTAACGACCAAATTTTAGTTAGTTCAAGCTGGATTGAAAATAAATGAAAACCAAAAATGAGCTTTGCATTGCTGTTGACCAAATTTACTTTATATTGCAAATTACAATTCAAGCTGGGTTGAAAATAAATGGAAACCAAGTAAATGGCTATTATATTTTTTTTATTGATTGCAAATATCTTATCCGGGCACAAAGTATGTGACTGATAAAAACACTTCATATTAAGAGTGAAACATATTTCTCCGCATGAAATTAAGACTTGAAAACTCTGTTTTTCTCCACCACAACGCAAATTTATGAAGCAGTCCAATAAATAGTATGCACTTAAACCGATTTCTTTTTACCTTAATTGATGTTAAGAATGACAAACTTTGATAGCTTCTTTGTTCAAAATTAATGGTCAGATCACGCAGCAGCATCGACCATCAGAGTGCAACGCTCTACAAAATTCATCAGCTGAATCAAGCATCTACGATTAGCAAGACACTCGGTCGTTCATTCATTGACAGAGCAGTTTGTAAATAAATGGTTCCATTACATTCATAATAATTAATAATGAGTCTAAAGTGCTACTCCCAGTGATGAACAAAAATAAAGTTGTAATTAATTAATTAATTAAACCAAAGAGGACACTTGAGAGAAACGAAAGCCATCTATTAGTAAATCATTCAAACAACTCAATGTGTTTTGAAAAGCATCGCGGTGCTCCACCGGGGAGGACTACTTGGTGGTTAGTTGGGAGGCAGTTGGTATCTGATGTACGGCACCTCAACGTCCTCATCACTTGCAACATCGTTGCAGCAGATTTCCAACACAAGAGCCCTCACGTGCGGCTCAATGGTTTTCTTGGATACCCGGCGTACCAGCTCAGGGATTGTGAGGGCCAAGCGCTCGTCTTTCCTCTGAGGGGCCATGAAGAAGGAGAAGAGCATGCACACACCCTGCGAGAGCATTGTCACTTCCAGGCCGTACACTTTTCTGAAGTGTTCGAGCAATCCCTGCAGGGTCATTTCCTGGTTGATTTCAAAGCGGTCCCACAAGGTCCATTCCCTGCCGTTGAAGGACTGCCGGGCGGCGGCCAGTGGCTCGGAAAAGGCAAACAGTGGCAGCGCCAGGTTGACGAAGCCATTTTTGAAGTAGGCCAGCTTCTTGGCGTCCACAGGTGGTGCCCCCTCAGGACCCCAAATTTCTTTGCTGCGATCTCGGTCTGTTCGACTGCAACAAATATAAACATTTGGCTCATCAAGTCTTTTTTGAGTTCATTAAATTGATTAATAAGAAAACAATTTATAGATATGAAATTAGTTAAAATTGCATGTAATTATTACGTGTAGCCAAGGAGAACCAGCTTGAAGAGCTCAAGGGTGACCAGTCCAGCAACCACACTTGTTGTAGTAGCAATGGCAGGAATGATTTTGCCAGCGATCAACTTGCTCTTGTGTCGGTCAGCAGGCTCGATGCCATAGTTAGCCGCCCTCAGGTTTGACGCAGCAACAATGAAATCCATGTGCTGGTTGCTATCATCATCCTTCTCAAAGTCCAAGGGATTAATCTGTATAAAAATTATTTGTTTTATTGATAATACAAAAATCTTATAATTAATTGTTCTTACTATGAGACCAGCCACTTGGTTTCTAGCTTCCTCCAGTTCTTGGACAATGTTTTCTTGTTGGTCCATATCCATATTGTTACTGCCATTGGCCAACTGCGAATCATTCTCAGCAATTCTCACGCCATCTCGTGGCACAAAATGAGGAACGTCAACAGCTTGGACCATTTCTGTCACCCTTTGCCGGTCTAAGTTCTTCTGAATGCCGTAAACCTGCAAATTTTATTACGAGTTTGAAAAAAAGAATGTTGAACATATTTTTTCCCGTATACAATCAGATTTAAATTTTATTACGAATTAGGTTAGATTAATGTTGTCACTAAAAACGGTTCACATTTACGTATTAATTACCTGCGCAAGGAGGTTGGCAGCAGCAACAATGAAGTCTAAATGCACCTCATTTCTGATATCAAACTCCAAAGGTGTTGGCTGGCGCTTGGGTCCAGACCAGAAGTCATGTCCAGAGCTTGTTTTTAAGTCAGGAGGGAAATTGTGAAGCAGCTGTTTGATCTGATTTGAGTACTGCTCTTGCCAGTAGTTGCGTGCCCAAGCGACGCAGTCTTGGAAGTTTTTAGGGCGGTCGACGAGTGCTTTTTTCACTGCTACGAACACTTCCACCGGTTGGTACCCTGGCAGGGCCTGTGTTCGCTGGATGAAATTAGGGTCCTTGAGGAACATAGAGGCACTCTCGGCTGCCTGCGTGAAGAGGCCTTCGAAAGCATCACGTGCCCATTGCAGTGTGTGCTCGATGGCGTTTGGGAAGTTTTTCAAGGTGCAAATGGGGATGCTCTTCTCGGGTGGATCCTGCGATGAGCTGTACGACTCAGTCATGAATGGCACCACCACTTGCACGTTGCCCTTGGTGCCCAAAGTTCCAGATTCAAGCAGGGGCAGGTGGTAATAAACGCAACGACGATCCATGTAAATTCTTGCGTCCACATTATCCAGTGCGTTAGCCACACCATCCAAGTTGTGGAAGAACTCATCGTTGTAAATTGATTCAGTGTCGGGGCCAACACGGTTCAAGTGAGCAGTAATATTTACTTCTGGGTTCATTGCTCTGGAAAAAAATTAAACTTCAGAGAAATATAATGTCAAAGCTAACAAATGTTGTCCAAAATTACGGAGTCACAAATTGTGTTAGACAGTACAGAATTTGTGTTTATATACAAGATAATATTTTTCTTACTTGATGGCTTTAGCAGCGCAGGAAGACTTTGCCTTTTGCACGTCGTGCTGCCTGAACAGGAACTGTCTGTTCAGGTTAGACTTCTCAATGAGGTCCATGTCTGTGACAAAGATATTGCCATCTTTGCCAGCACCCACTCCAGACATGGCAAAGTTCTTCAACAGTTCACAACCGATGGCGCCAGCACCGACGATAAAGTAGCGAAGCTTGCCCAACTTCTCCTGGAATTTGTGACCAAGAACGCAAACTTGTGAGGCATAACGGACATCAGGGATTTCAAAGTTCTCCACTGGCTTCAAGTCCTCTGGCAAACACTCGATAGCATCAAAGTAGAGGAATTGCTTGATTGGGAAAAATTTGCCACTGCAACCTTTCATCACCTCTTGGGCAACAATTCCGCCAATCTGAAAATTGATTTTAAGTAAATTTTTGTCTCTTTCTCAAACTAAGGTGAAAATTTTCTCTGGATAAAACTCCTAAATCATGAGCTTTATTTCCAACTTACCACAGCACACATCGGGGCCAACTGTCCAGCTGCAGTGTAGCTGAAGGTCTTGATGAGTTTGCCATCACCTTCGTTAAAGTCGCCCTCGACAAGGCTGAGCAGAGAGGAGGCGTCAGCCTCATTCCATGGCTTTGGGAGGCGACTGTTGTTCTTCACAAACTCGTGCAGAGCCGTAAAGGCGGCGTGCAGAACAGGAGGGCTATCAAATTTGCCAAAGTCGGTCATTACAAACTCTGGGTTGCTCAGAGCTTTGCCGAAAGGCAGAAAATCCACTTTGACAGGCATCTTGACCTGTGTGGCCACCCCACCACCGGTGTAATGGGACAGGCCAGTTGTGTCCCCAATGGAGAATGTGTACGGACCCAAGACCTTGATTCGGTGAGCCTGAGCCTCAGGGCTCTGCATTGGGTCGGCATTCAACTCAGTCATGCCCTTGATTTCGTTGAATATCACGAAGTCTCCATCCTCAAAGCCGTGCCGCATCTCGTCAAGGCAAGTCACCACAGCTTCTTTGTCGTTGGTGATGCTGGCAATCATGGTGCTGATGGGGTTCTCACCATTTGTGTCCCTGACAACGAACTGTGTGCCGAAGTCGCAGAAGACTTGAGCAAATACACCTACAGTGTCAGCCACGATGAACGGGATGTTCAAGGGGTGTGTGATCTCAGAAATGCGCAGCTGCTCATCTCTGGTTGTCTCGGTCAAAACAACAACCTGAAAATTTAAGCAATGAGTATAAAAGGTATCTTGTACGGAAACTTGGTTAAAAGTTTCGAAAAGTATTTAGAAGAAGAATTTTAAGTTTTAGGGGTTTTTCAAGGTTAATATGAATTGCTCTAGTTTAAATTTGGCTTTTTCTCATTGCTTAAACTATAAAACAATGAGCGATTAGAAGATAAACAACACCGACTATAGCAATATTTGAAATGCATTCTGAATTCAACTAGTCAAAACTAATTTAAAATTTCTATTGAAACATAAAAATTCTCAATTAAATGATACTTGTATTTATCTTATCATTATCAATCATTAACCATATATTAGTATAGAATAGTTGACAGAAAATTTTAGTTTAAGAATATTAACGTAGCATTCATTTTCTTCATTTATTGAACAGTTCAAATTTCATTTTTTGGAAATTATACTTGATCTATTTCAGTTCAATAAGATGCGCCGGCAAGATGAAAAGTCTAAGATTGTAAAAAGTCTTGATTTTTTATATTATTTGTCTTGGCACGCTTTAATATTTTTTATTCAAATTAAAAAGTAGCTTAAAAGCTGTTGTGCATTTTTATGACTCTTTCAATTGCTTGCAAGTGAATAAGATAAGTTATCAGAGCCGTGTATTGTTGCTGGGAAGTTGTAAGCCTGCTAACCGCATTAACTAGCGTCACGTCATGCCAGGGGCTGCTAAATTGAATAATTCAATTACCAAAAAATACAAGAAAATAAAAATTCAGGATAAAACTATTTTAAATTAAATTGTTTTCTTGGAATTGCCGGTGATTTTTTTTTATAAAAATTAATTTAGAACCTTCTGGCAACAGAAGTGGGTCAGTTGGATTATTATCAAAGTATTTAGGACGTACAGCACACTCTTTGATGTAATCAGGGGTCAGTTCACCAATGTAGAACTCGACATCGACGTAGGTGTTCAACTCAGCCAGGTGCTGGCATGAGGCTTCAGCGCGGTTGCGTCCAATGTCGGCGTCCCTCAAGAAGTACTGGGTGGCAAGGTCGGCCTTCGAAACCAGCTTGGTGTCATGTAGCACGACCTTCTTCACGCCGGCCAAGATCACATTCTTGGCAATTTCGACTCCGAGGCCTCCGAGCCCCGAGATCAGCACCACGGACCTGGCCATCCGCACCATGGCTTCGTGGCCGAGGACATAGAGCTGGCGCGAGTAGAGGTTCTCATCCATGTTGTCTCGGAGCTTCTGCGACTCGGGGTCGGTGCCCTGCTGCTGCTGCTGGTTGGCGTCGGATTGCATTTGGCCGGTGCTGGGGACCGTTGCCGACGATGACTTGCCGTCCACTAACGAGGCCGCCACACACTCAAGTTTTCGCTTCTTTGTCGGAGGATCAACGGCTTTCTCCGCAGATCCGCTACAAGACATCTACGCAGAAAAGCACAAAATCAGGGTTTTAATTTGCCAGCCCGCCCTGTCTGCTGCCCGTGGAATTCTTTGCAAAATATTCAGTGCGAGAAAGAATCGGTGCGTCGATCGGCACTCGAACGGCTAGTGCTGCACCACCATTAGAGAATTACTTGCATATCACACGGCCAGCAGCAGCGGCAGCAGGAAAACGAACGAATTAGTCGAGAGGCGCGTGCTTTCAAAGTTTCAAAACCGGGCCGACGCGCCGCGGCCACGCTTGCCCGAAATTTACCTGCATAGGTGCGAATCAGACGCCCTGAAAGGTCGCAAACGAAGGATCGACGTCGGCACGAGTGATAAAGTTAACTGGGGAGAGGAAAACTGGACATTTAACTCGCTTCCTCGCGGGATGCTGACAGGCGTTGCCGGCGTTTCACTTTCCGAAAGACCTTTCTCTCGCAACTTCTACCACAAGAGCATCATGGGGAAGAGGGTTGTACATTCGGGAGAACCGGAAGCTGCAACGGCGCGACACCTACGAATTTTTCAAATAAAACCGGGATGGCGACGTGGTTTGATCAAAAGAGCCAAAAAAGCGAAGCGGATTTTGAAAGATTTTAATTTAGTTTATCGTTAAAAATTAATAATATGAACGAGAATTAATATTTATGACCCTGAATAAAAAAGTTGCGAATTTTATTTGTAACGGGCAACGGCCATTTTTAATGCAAAAGTAAAAATTCAAGTAGAAAGAAAATTCAAAATTAATTGCTGGCAAAGTTTGAATTAAGAAGATAATTAACGTAATTTAATTTACATAATATGCTTAGCAAAACTCACCGTATTGAGAAAGAAAACGTCTTTTCATGAAAAATGCTTGGGGAAGTTATTTGAATTTTCCAAGTCAAAAAAAGTAAGGAATTTTGTTGCTGTTTATGTTTAATTTCTTGCAACAATGCAACAAATTTTGAAAGATGGGGCAAGCTGAAAATGATTATCAATTTTGCCTAAATTCTATTAATAAAAAAAGGTATCATTGAAATAAAATTTGATTAATAAAGTGCGACAATGAAAACTTGTATTTCACAAAATGATAGAAGCAAATAGAAGCAAAAGTCATAAAGAGTTGTCCAGATAGATGAACCATACAGTCATGGTTGAGCCAATTGTTGCCATAGCGGCAGGTTAATTCATTTTATTATTATTATTAATTTTTGATATCAAATTATTAGATAGCAAAATTCGTCTTCAGTTTATTTTACTGCACAAATTTAGAGATCCTCTTCTTCTTTGTCAAGTGTGTTTTCAGGGACAAGTTGAGGCTCATCACCTGCATGTGATGGCACTTCGTTGAGTTGCACTGTTTCATCAGTTGAATCATATTCTCCTTGCAACTCTTCTAAAGGAAAAGCGGCATTTGCATCGTCAGGTGCTGGTTCATTCATTTGACCAAAAACTTCTTCAAAGCTGCTCTCAACCAACCCTGGATCTTGGCTGCATTCTCCAGCCTCTTCGGTGTTTAGCGGATTGCCCATATCAACTGCATGTTCTTCATTTTCCTCAAAAGAATTTTGCAGTTCCGCATCATCCCTTTCTTCAGTTTCCTCATTAATTGGCAAATGCACATCATCTTCTACTTCTCTTGATTCAGGATCCAAATTTCTATCCTCAATTACAAATTCACGATTTTCCTCTTGAGCGACCGAAGGAACTTCTTTGTCAAGATCAGCCAAAGGATCCTCAAAATGTTCATCTTCCACGTTTGCATTCTGCAAATTATTTGTGGCTCTCAAAGCCAAAGTGGCCAGAGTTTGAGGTTCATTGCAGATTTCCTTGTTGCCTTCGACGCTGACCACAATTGGCTGCACATACGAATTTTCCAGATTTTCGGCTGAAGAGTTTGCAGAGGATGTAGGAACTGGTGAATCCTTTGTAACATCGTTAGATTCGTCACCGGAAATTAGAACGGCGCTCAAGGGACTTTGATTCTGCGTTTCCATGAGAAGGTCGTTTCGAGTCTTGGTTTTCTTAATTCTGGGTCGAGGAGAGGCTCGGTGGGCAGGAGACATGACCATGGTGGGAATTTCCTGACAGTCAGAGGAGTTCTCGTGAATTTCCACCAGACACGGTGTTTCAATTCTGGTTGGTTGGTCTTCCGACAAGGTGATCACCTCTTCCACATCCATTGCTTCATCGTTGTTCTCTAAAAAATTATTAGTTTGTTAAATTTCATTGAGACAAAATATGATAAATTAATTTGCAAACAATAATATTGCACTATATTCGTAGAAAACCAAATTTTGACTCCATGTTGTTCAATAAGTTGATAATTGAGAATACCAAAAATAAATTTAAATAAAAATATATGTTCAAGTCTGAAATTCACATAATATGATTAATTTTTCTACAGCTATGTAAATATCTCTGGACTTTACCTTCTAAAATTGTCACCGTCTCATGAGTTTCATCTTCCTTAGAACTTTCTATCAAAGAATCCAAGCCAGAAATCTGGAAAATTCAACCAATAGTAGAATTATAAAATAAATAATAATAACCTAGAATTAGATTAAGTACCGATTGTGCTCCTTCGTAAATGACAACTCTTGGCTTCTCAATCCTAGCCTTTCTGATGGGCGAGATGCCGTGGAACTGAACAGTGGAGCATCTCTTTCTCGATTTTTCGCTGGGTTTGATTCTGACAATTCCTACTTCAGTCTCTTCGATGTCAATGGGATAGTCGATGCCTAGCATGCATGCCACTTCGAGGACCGTTTTGACCTCCTTCTTGGTGATTCGAATGAAGCCAGTGTAGATGAAGTTGATCAGAATGTTAACAGCACTGAAAGAGACGTCTGGAATTATGACGGTGGACACTTCGCTGGTGTCTGAGGCAAAAAGTGTGGCCAGAAAAGGGCTGACTGAGGCCAAACGCGACCGGTGAGCTGCGATCTTCCGGCCTCCGGCCACCAGATTTACGTCGGAGAATTTCTTTGAGTAGAAGAAATCTGAGAAGTTTGGAACTTCAGAGCAGTAGAACCGGACGGTCTTGGGCCTGACGTCCTTTGCTTGCTGCTCCTGCGACAGGTTGATGTTTGGGGAGACGTGCAGCTCGTGAACGTTGTTCACCACCACATCCGCAGCAGCCATTCTATAAACCTAGAAAAAAATCAAAACTTCGATTAAACATTTTCTTCGATGGAAAATTATTAAACTTCAAACAAGAAGGTATAAAATGGAAAAATTTAAGACCTGTTCAGCCTCCAAATATATGGGAAATTCGAGAAAAGGTCGAGCTCTTCAAAATCGTTTTAGTCTCGCGTGTTTACATTCACATGCAAAGCATGCAAAACAATAACAACTCTGTTAGGCTGGTAATCTGTGTACATTTTCCAAACATTTTCAATTTGTTAAGTTGCCGACATTATCGCTGTTTGCTGTTTGTGTTGCGCTGGGTGGAAAACCTTTCAGAAAAATTTGTAATTTTTGACTCTCTCAAATCCTTTTCGGGCCTTTTATAAATCTAAACAATGGACCCAAAGAGGAAGGCCGAGGAATCGGCCTTGGTGGTCGCTGCTCCTGCCAAGAAGCCGCGCACAGAACTCGTGGCCACCCAATCGAAGGACAAAGCATTGAAACTTGCGGTAAAAAATAAGATGTGAATAATTGAAAAAACTAAATTTTTTCTTGAAAATTAGGGCCCTGCTAGAACTTCAAGCCTTTTTGCACCCATCATGCAACTTGAGGGTCACGGAGGAGACATTTTTACAGCAGAATTCCACCCTGAAGGGCAATACTTGGCCTCCTCTGGCTTTGACAGACAAATCTGTAAGAGAATTGAAAACAAATATTGCTTAATTTTATTAATTTTTATCAATAAATAGTTTTCTGGAATGTCTACGGCGAGTGTGAGAACATTGCAGTGATGTCCGGACACACCGGGGCAGTGCTGGAAATGCATTTCACAACCGACGGCTCCAACCTGCTCACAGCCAGCACTGACAAGACTGTCGCCTTGTGGGACATTGCGGCCGGCGTGAGGATCAAACGCTTCAAGGGCCACTCGAGCTTTGTCAACAGCTGCCAGTCAGCCCGTCGAGGTCCTTCGATGTTCTGTTCTGGGTCAGACGATGGTACCGTCAGGGTGTGGGACCCTCGGAGGAAACAAAATACTGTCACTCTGAACAGTGGCTACCAGGTTACTGCTGTTGCTTTCAGCGATAATGCCACCCAAGTGATTTCTGGAGGCATCGATAATGACATAAAGGTAATTTGAATCAACTTCATAAAGTATAAAAAATTATTGTCTTGCTAATTTTTTTTAATTATTTTTTTGTTGTAATCAAGGTTTGGGATTTGCGTCAGAACACCCTTCTTTACAAACTGAAAGGTCACACAGACACTATCACTGGCATGAGCCTCTCGCCTGATGGTTCTTATGTCATGTCGAATGCAATGGACAACTTTTTGAGAATATGGGACATCAGGCCGTACGCCCCTCAAGAACGATGTGTGAAAATATTCCAAGGCCATCAGCACAACTTTGAAAAGGTTTGTTAGAAATTTTGAAATTCTGGGATTTAATAATAATTTGAATATTAGAACATGCTCCGCTGCGCCTGGTCTCCCGACGGCTCCAAAGTTGCTGCTGGCTCGTCGGACAGATTTGTCTACATCTGGGACACGACCTCGCGAAGAATTATCTACAAGTTGCCTGGGCACAACGGCAGCGTCAATGATGTCGATTTCCATCCCAAAGAGCCAATAAGTATGAGCTTAATTGATTTTTTGTTAACAATTAGTTGCTTATTTGAATTTGTTCATTTCAGTCCTATCAGCTTCAAGCGACAAGACTATATACTTGGGCGAGATTGAATGAATTTAAAATAATTGCTGAAGCGACTCTGAAGAAACATTTTAATTAGTTTACAAATTTGAAAAATTATGTTCATTTTTTAATTCTATTTAAAAAATGCTTGGAACATGCATTATTGTAGAATTAAATAAACAAATTAATAATAATTTCATTAGTTGCACTACTTAATTGTTGTACTAATCATTTTCTTTTATTAAATATTGGTAAAAAAGGCTATTTCAATTTTAACAGTAAAAAATTACCAAAATTAGGATTTAACATTATTCGTAAACTACAAAATAATTTTAAAGACTTTTAAATTGATAATAATTTTACGCTAAAAATATAAAAAAATCATTTATATGAGAGTGTGACCGAAACAATTAATTAACAAAGAGGTGCCATTCAAGAGGACGAGCTAAAAACTAATAGCGTGGCACGAGCGTACGTCTTGTTCTTTTTTCCACCTCTCCAGTCGCGCGAGCAAACGGGGCACCAGCGCTGACACCAACAGTCTCGGGAGAGAGCTGCTCATCGTCGGCCACTCGACTCTCCTCTCTTGTAAAAGTTCTCCGAGCCTGGCGATGCAAATGATGACTGGATTCGCAGGAAAATGAGTTCATCTCGCAGCCCGATGGATTTGATTATCCTGATTGTACTTTCATCAGGTGAGGAAATTGCAAATTCAAATTTTTAAGAAAAATATTTTATATACACGGGAATGCGGTATGATCAAGGGACGTTTTAATAGTTTCGCAACGAGTGAATCCTAAAAGCTTTTTAAGCTGTTGGGCAACAAAAAGAGGGAACGCGACATCATGCAGTATTGTGCGTGTGCCGCAGGCCTTTTTTAGAAAGAAAAATGTTTGGAGTGTGTTTTTGTCGTAAATTAATGGTGCGGTCAGCAGTATAATTATTTTTCCAATTGAAGCATCGCAGCTGCCGCAGTTTAAATTTAGCCTTTCGAGACGCGAAGAGTGCACGCGACGTACTTTTTTTTACATTTTTTTTTTATTTGATTCCGGAATGAAAAAAAAAATGCTGCGTTGGAAAGGGCACGGAATTTTCTGCTAATGACAAAGATTAGATAAAAGTGGTGTGCATCTTCTCTCCGTGTTTACAGCCCAGTTGTGTGTAGGCATCATAAATATGGGCTGGGTTCGATGGAGAGCTACTTTCGGTGTTCACTCACGTACAACCGGCCGGCAGACGATGGGCTGGGCAGAAATTATACCAAATATAAAAAAAAATGCTGAATTTAACTTTAATAAAATTCCTCGGTGCGTTTATTTCGATCAAGCGCGCTGACAAACAAAAAAATGATAAAATTATTCATGATGCTGACTGAGACTTGCTAATTAATTTTATCAAGTTGATTTATATATTTGGTAAATCTCCCTTTTCAAATAAAAATGCTATATTTAACGTTAATAATTTTCATGGTGATAAAATGGGTTGACGAGAAAATATAATAAAATTTGAGGCCGGCATTCTCCTGAATTTTATATTTTAACTGTGAGAAAACCTTTTGGACGGATCTTCGTTTTGTTGATAAATTTAATCATTCGTCAGCATGACCTTTTTCAAATAGTGTGCGCACTGAAAATGGGCTACTGGAAGCTGCTTCCGGTGTGCGTGGGATCACTCTTGGATATTCCAAGATAATATAATTCCTCTTCCTGCGAGCGTGACTTTCCTACTTAATGTCATGTATGTGTATAAACTTGGAGATGGATCAAATTTATGCGTTGAATGTTTTCCATTAAATTGGAAAAAGCTATCTTATAACAATTAAATGAATGATTTATTTGAATAATTGCAAAAAATTGCATTTATTATTAATTTAAAACTCTGAGCAATTATTAATATCTACTTAAGTTCTAACTTTTAATTGAATGGAAGAAATTAAAGAAATTATTATTTACTATAAAATCGATGTACTTTATAATTTTTTCTATCGAAATCTCGAAGAGAAACAGGATTTACTGCACCAACAGCCGATATGATAATATTTTAAAAACAAAATGATTCAGTATAATATGAGGAATTCAACAAGGATGATTGCACTAGCCTATCAAGTGAGTCACATTAATCAGGTTCCACAGGTGTGACGCGGCTCGGCCGCGAATGACGTCAGGAAATATGTTATTTACTCGCGAGCAGCTCTTGGCGGCGTGCGATAGTTTTAATATTATTTTTCTCCTGCTTTCTGGGGAGCTGCATTATAATAATGCGTGCGTATTATTATCCGTTCACGACGCGAGAATTGTGCATTCAGTCACGGATTGGGAAGGCGAGCGAGGTCACGTGGGCCGTGCTTTTAGAATAAAAAGAAGTCAAATGTACCGTACGCTTTGTGGGAGAGTCTGTGCCTCGACTGTGTGCACCGCGGACGCCGGCAGGTCACTATAGCGGCAAAGAGCATAGTGTATATTTTAAAGTGACAACAAACACGAATTCCACTGAGCTCTTGTTAGAGACGAATAACGAATAACTATTAGAGGCGTTTCGAAATAAGTTCAACATTTTGTAAAGCAACGAAAATATAAAAAATTATTTTATTTACATATAGGCATAGCAATTTGATTCAGAAATAGCCCATATTTCTGCTAATTGCAATAAACTAATTTGAATATTTCGAATGGGGCTAATTAAACTCTCACATTAAACTGAAATATTATTATATTCTTTTTTGCAACAAATTTTCACATGATCTTACTCAAACTCTGTATGAGTAAGATCATGTGAAAATGCTTGTAAAAAAAGTAATTTTTTGGAAATTATTTAAAAAAAAGTCTGATGAATTTTGTTTCATCAATAAAATTGGAAATTGCATCAATTATTAGTGCCGATATATTCTTTTCTTAAAATATTTTCTTTAAATTCTTCTTAGAAACACTTGAAATAAAAGTTATCAATTATACAATCTTATCAATCACTTAAGCGTCTAATTAATTTATTAATAAATAAAAATAGCAACGTTAATGTAAGTATAGTACGGTCCTGGTGTTGTTTATTGCGGGCTTAATTCTCTTCCAGGAAATCCTTATCTCGGACATGATATATAAAGAGATCAAACGCCAATTTTTATCATATTGGGCGACGGATGCAACGATTCTAGGAATCGCATTTCCTAAACTGCCCGCTGTCAATTCCTTTGAGCAAACACTCAATTATGGGCAGGGGTAGATAATATGACTATCGCCAAAGAACAGCAGCACTTTTCCTGACAGATAGTAATGACATGGGGTAAAGAGGCGAAGATTAAGGGCCCACGCAGCGATAATTACACTGAACAGAAAAATTCTCTCTGTGCTGGAAACGCCCTGGACAAAAGCACGCGAGGTCTCCCCAGGGAGCACACTTGGATTCATTAAATAGATGATACAACACAAGATAATTGAGAGAAATTAGACAGAAAATTGCAGCGCTCATAAAAAAGTTGATTCAACATAGTGCGGTGTTTTTCTGTTAGAAAAGAAAATAATAATTGGAAAAAATATCATTTAGGACAAGAATAATAATTTACCATTTTTTTTTCAGTCTCTCTGACTTCCGCTCTCTCACCGAAACTGCAACCCGAGGACACCGAGCTGGTGCACACAATTGGGCAGCAATTTACTTTGAAATGTCACTCGGACAAAAGAATCGTGTGGAAATATCCCACAGCAGTTGAGGTGAAAATATTCAAAGTCGTTTCGCCAAAAAGAAATTTGTTACAATTTATTTGATTGCAGGAGGAAAACGCCGTGGTGGACGACGAGACGGACGAAAACTCGCGAGACTACCCTTTCGTGTCCACCCTGACCGTGACGACGAAAAGCTACCTGGACACCGGCTACTTTTACTGCACAGATGAGGAAAACCAAAATCTAGCAGATGAAAAGCGCATTGCTAAAATTTACGTCTACGTCGATGGTATGCGATGAAAATGTAAAAATTTGTTTGTTTTAAATTTTTTTCAAAGACGGTGAGCGTCTGATTGCCCACGACCCTAGCAACATGGTGATTGTTGGCAGAGAGAGACAAGAAACCATAATTCCGTGCAAACCTACGGCGCCCAACGTCCAGATCAAGCTAGACCCAAATTTTGGCGAAAATGTAAGCACAACATGATTTTATAATAAAAATTAATTTTTACCTTTTAAATTTTAATTATAATAATATTTCGCCAAAAAGAGTGAAAACGTTTCAGATGCAGAGCAGTTTTTTCAAAATTTTGATCAGCACACGGGTTTCCTTTTGGTGAACAACTTTTCGTACCCACATTTAGCTAAATTTGTTTGCTCTGCGGCCAAAGGAAATTCAACCGAAGTCCAGATCCTCATCCTGCAGCTGAGTCGTACGTCGATTTTAATCTGATCATTTTCCTCAAAACTCTGTCCAGCTTGAGCAAGCAGCAGTTCGCAGCCAAATAATCAAGCTATTGGATAATTTTTTCAATATTCTCCGATAGCTCAAAGTTATTACATCCTCCTATTTACATTTTGCACTACTTTTGAAAAGCAAATGAGTATATAAGAGGTGGTTGCGACTTTTTCCACAGGAAGGACATTTCAAATATGACCCTCGTGTGGGATTCTTAATTGCCGAAACGCACATAGTCCACTCGAAAAGTTACGAGTGTGTCGCGAAGAGAGACTCCGTCGAGGATTTTATCGATTTTGACTTGAACGTCATTCGTAAGTTGTTCCCAAATTTGATTTTTCGTACGTGGCTGTTGGTATATAGTGCATAGCGGTGTCCCGTTTGTACAGTTTAATACACCTCGCTATACGTTGACTAAAATTTTTAACATGGTGTCTCTGAATCATTTGTTATTTTTGACGTGCTAATATAGAAAAAAATGTGCATATATTGCTTACTGATCTCGCATGTTTCAAACTTACTAACACGTTGTATTATATTAATGGCATTTATGTGAGAGCTCTGTGAAAATGTGAATATTTATTTTTTATTGATATTTAAATTCACTGCATGTTTCTTGTTTCAATGTTACTGAGGTTTGTGAGCATTAATTTTGTTAAAAAGGAGTGAATGTTTGGTTTAATATAGTCCTTTTTTTAAAAAATAATTCATTATTTTATTTTGTGAAAAATTTAGCGGCGACCGATGTGCCATCGCCTCCTCATATCGCATTATCTACAGACAATGAGCAAAACCACATAGCTGAAGAGTCGTCCTACTTCACCCTTAACTGTTCAGCAACAATTGAACAGGGCGTCGTTTTCATAATAAAGTGGATCACACCTAATGAGCTTGCCAAAAATGTATGTGTAATTTTTTTTTTTTTAAATTTACTTTTAATATTTTTTATTTATTTCCATAAATAATTTTTCAGGAAGGACGTCTTGAAATATCTGAAACAGCGAGTATTGTAGACAAGCACGACAAGAAGGTTTTCGCGTACGTCTTGTTAAAAGTTTCTAAAGTCAAAAAGGGCGACAGCGGAGATTACAAGTGCCAAATTCTGGACCACAACAGCCTGACCAGCTCGACCAACTACTACGTTTTCATCCACAGTACGAACTAAAAAATGTTTACTCACTATATAATAATAAATTAAATTTTATTCAATCTCAATGAAGACAAAGATGCGACTTATATCAATATCGACGAGTCAACTTTGGAAAAAGAAACGGTGGCTTTTGTGGAGGACACGCACGTCCAGTGGCTGGTCAAGTACTCGTCGCACCCGCCGGCGCAGGTGACCTGGCTCGATGCGAAGAAGAGGCCCATCAGCGAATCGCCCAAGTACAAAATCAACAACCTCATCAACGAAACTCTCCTGCGAATGATGAACATCAGTTTCGAAGACGCGGGAAATTACTCGTTGATTTTGGACAACGGTCGGACGGACACGAGGCGCACTTTCCGACTTGTAATCGAAGGTTAATATTAGATCAAAATTAAAGTGATTTTGGTGTAGAAATAAATATTTATCTCGCAGGCCAGCCTATTGTAAAAGTCGTATCAAACGAGACGCAATTCCGTCCGGACAAAAAGTATGTTGTGCAATGTGTGGTGCTCGCTTATCCCGAACCAGATGTAGAGTGGATTTATCAGCCGTGCGAGACAAAAAATAAATGCGAAAAAGGACGGCCTGTGGTAATTAAACTTTAAAATTGGCACTTGAATCGAGACTTTTTTAATTCTAAATTTTTATAGAAAGGAAAACTGAGGCGTAATGTTGAAAATAAAAAATATATGACCGTCTCCGAGTTGGAAATAGTGGCCGATCAAATTGCAGAGGTCACTTGTGTGGCAAGGAACATGCGCGGAACGAGCAGGAAAATTTTTCCAATTTTAGTCTCAGGTAAAAATAAACACATTTAAATCTTGAATAATTTTATTCTTTCATGAGGCTTTATGCAATTTGCCAAACATATGTGACAAGCGGGTTGCATCATTTTATTTTTAATTTCTTTTATTTATTTTAGAGGCTGACCAAGGTTTTCAACTGATAACGCCTGAAGAAACTGTGAAAGGACATCCACTGAATATCACCTGCGTCGTTTCCAAATACATATATAAGAAAAATCTGACCTGGGAAAAAGATCAAAAATTATTGCCGCCAAGTAAAATTTTATAAATTCTAATTTTTACAATTTATTTTTTATTTAAAACATTTTAGACCTCTACGAGATTCAAACTCGGACGACAAAATTTTCACACGTCAGCACACTGTACGTGCCATTCATGAATAAGTCGCACTCCGGGCAGTACAGCTGCGTGTCTGAAAAGCTGGACGGGCAGATTTTTGAGGACCAGTCGAAGCTGATCAGAGTGCTGGACGTGGTCAAGCCGAAATTCATCAACACCAACCTGAACGACGCTGAGAAGACCTTCAGCAGGGACACAAACCACCAGCTCGAGTGTCGAGTGGACGGCACCCCGCGACCTGTCATCACCTGGTTCAAGGACAACATCGTCTTCACCCCGAACGACACGCGGATCGGCCTGTTGAATCGAAACCAGACCCTGTACCTCCACTATTTGGGAATGGACGACGAAGGGCAGTACAGGTGTCAAGCCTCGAACGCAGGGGGCACCATTTCAGCGTTCATCGACCTCAGGGTCAAAGGTGGGATTTCAATTTTTTTGGGACGTTCTGAATTAAAATGACAAAACTTTCAGGAAAGAAACTGGGAACGATTTTTATTTCGTTATCGGTGGTTTTGTGCTGCGTTTCGATTTTCCTCTTCGTCATGCTGATCATGAAGATCCAGAAGGAAAGGGTAGGAAAATGGGAATTTTAAAAAATGAAATAAATTAATATTGAAAATGAATGCAGAAATTGCGAAACGAGTTGACGAGAGCCGGTCTGCACCAGTTCGAGGTTGGCGCCGTCGAGTGCATCAATCCCGACCTGGGCGTCGACGAGCAGGCCGAACTGCTGCCGTACGACAGGAAGTGGGAAATTCCTAAGGAGAAAATCAAATTGGGTGCGTGAGAGTCAAGCATTTTCTTAAATCTGATTTCAATAAAAGCCTTTTCTCTTTCCAGGCAAGCAACTGGGTGCTGGTGCTTTTGGCGTGGTAATGAAAGCCGAGGCCAGGGGCATTTTGGGCGACCGTGACGAGGTGCACCCTGTGGCCGTCAAAATGGTCAAGCGACATGCAGACCCTGCTCATATCAAGGCACTGGCCGACGAGCTGAAGATCATGGTCCATCTCGGACAACACCTGAACGTTGTCAACTTACTTGGCGCCTGCACCAAAAATATTATGAAAAGTATAAAAATTACTTAAATTAAAAAGAGCCAAGATAATTAATTATGAAACTTTTCAGTGGAGCTGTTGGTTGTGGTGGAGTATTGCTGCTTTGGGAATTTGCAGCAGTTCTTGCTGAGACACAGAAAGAACTTCATCGACCAGGTGGTGAATGACAAAATCGACGCTAATATTGGAAAGGATTTGCTCGAGCAGAGTCTGATTGAGGACAAAAAGGCGAGAGAAGCCAATGAGGACAGACCACCGTGAGTAAATTAAATACATTAAAAGAAAATGAAACAAAAAATTAATAAAAAGCAATAATCTTAAATTTTGTTGTTATAATTAGCTTAACAAACGTACCTTTATTCAAATGAAGAGTTCTTAATGTTAAAGATTTTTTTTTAAATTTTATTCACAGTTTATGACCTGGAAAAAATGAAAATTACTAATTTTGAATTATTTATTATTAAATGAAGTAATTAAATTTATTGCGCTACTTTTGAAAAAAAAGGGAGAAGAAAAGAATTCTAGTTATAATTTTTTTGTCTTTTTACTTTTGCTAATAATTTTATATTTATTGTTGATTTTTTTTTTAATAGAAACCGCTACTCGACCAACTCCTTCGAGGAAGTAGCGAGCTGCAGCCAGGTGAACACAAACCCCACAGGTTATCAGTGGAACACGGCAAACACGGTGAGCACTTGTGCCGGCGGCGACAGCGGAAATCAACCCTTGTGGCGCTCCAACTATCGCAGCGACGCCACCCGACCGGACACTCACCCCGTCTGCACCAAAGACCTGGTCTGCTGGGCTTACCAGGTTGCCAAGGGCATGGAGTACCTCGCCTCGAGGAAGGTGCTGCACGGCGACCTGGCGGCCAGAAACGTGCTCCTCGCCGAAGACAACGTGGTCAAAATTTGCGACTTTGGACTTGCGAGGAGCATGTACCGATCGAATAACTACAAAAAGGAGGGAGACGTGAGTTTCAATTTAATTTCTTATTGAAAAGAAAGAAAACGTGTGTTTTTGTTCAGGGACCTCTGCCGGTTAAATGGATGGCCATCGAGTCCATTAGGGACAGGGTCTTTTCCACCCAATCGGACGTCTGGTCCTTCGGAATTGTGCTGTGGGAATTTTTCACTCTGGCACACACACCGTATCCAGGTAAAAAAATGAGGCAAAATTAAAATTAGATAAAAATAAAAAATATCCAAATTAACAGGGATCGACGCTGACGACAGATTCTTTCAAAGACTTGAAGAGGGCTATCGAATGGACAAACCGCGTTATGCCACTTCAAAAATGTAAGTGAAAAAATGGAGCAAAAGAGTATAAAGTTGAATTTGAATCGAAAAACTATAACAAAGAGTCAAGAAGGTATTTTAAATATTTTATGATTAATAAAGCAAAGGGATATACAAGGAAATTTAAATATTAAATTCCGTTTTACAGTTGTAATTTGTAACTTAAATTAATGTAAAAAGAAAATAATTCTTTTTGAATTAAGAATGTCAGGGGAGTGTTCCTTTCTAGGATTAAAATATAACGTTGTGTGGATTTCATTCAACTTTTTTTGATAAAAATTAATAAAATTATTAAAAGATTTACAATAAATATTCCTAATTAAAATTATTATTTAAGATATCGTATTATGATGGACTGCTGGAATTTCCTGCCTGCGAAACGACCAAGTTTTACTGCCCTCGGAGACCTAATGGGCAGCATGCTTGAGGAGGATGAGAGAATGGTATAAAATTTAATTCTTAATTAAAAATATTAAAGTGAACAAAAACGGGCTTTGTCTTCGTTGAAAACTTGTTATTTAAAACTAATATACTAAGAAATTTAATGGGATTTTAAAATTATTTAAAAATTGTAAAAATTTCAGCACTACACCAATCTGAACACGGAGCAATATCCGGCGCCCACCATTGAAGTCGAGGACTATTTGCAAGTGATGCGAGCGCCGACCCACAACGACCAAAGCAACGGTCCTTCGTACGTGAATATTCCGCAGCGCCCGCCGGACGAAGAGGACTCGGGTTATCTGGCGATGAGTTCGTCGCCGTCGAGGGACGCCCTGGGCGTCATCACGGACGACGGCGGCTACCTGAGGATGAACATCTCGTCGCCGTCAGTTGCCTACACAAATCTGGCGGCCAAAGAGGAACTGCAGCCGATGCTGTCCGGCGAGGGCGCGGCGGCCGCCGTGGACAACCCGCAGTACCACGTGCTGAGGGACAGGAAAAGTTCCGAGGCCAGGTCGAGTGGATTCCACTCGGAGCGAGACTCGCTCAGCCAGTCGCCCAAAGAGCAAAGAAGCCATGAGTATCAAAACGTGCGCCCCAGCAACAGTGTTGCCGTGTGAATCTCCTGAGATTAAATATATTCAGAAAACTTTAAGAGCCTAGTCAGAGCAAAATAAAAATGACTATTTTTTTTTAATACAATTCTCATCGATAAGCGCGTGCGGTGCGTGTTTAAAAGTTTCGCCTAAAAGTGAAAACGATCATGCAGTATTACTTTGCACTTACTTTTGTTTTGTTATATTTGTAACGAGAAAAAAAAACAAGACTACATTTTTAACAGACTTTTGATATTGTAACTAAAGTGTTTATAATGGCTGAAAGATGTTGATTGATATAGGAAATTCTAGTTTGGTTTTAAATTTGTAAAAACTATATTTTGACTCATGTGTTCAGATATAAAAGGAATGTGTTGAAAGGGGTAAAAGTCTTTAAGTGTTTGTAAATTTTTAGAGAAAGAGCAAAACGACCAAAATTTAAATTTTGCAAATATTTTGAAAATATTGAGGGCACTCCAAATTAGTTGCCTAATAAGAAAATTATGCAATTTAAAATAATGTGAATAAAAAAGCCAATAAAAAGATAAGTAGGAAATCTGTTTCATTTATGCACTATTTAAATCATGACATTAAGCATTTTTTTTTCTTTAAAATCCTTTTTGGGATGCTTTTTCAAAATATTTCAATAATTTAAGAATTACTCTTAATTTCTGGTTTTGAACTAAGGATCCTATGCCACAAATTTGCATATATATATTTTATTTTTCAAGACATAAACACATTGAATATTTCTTATATTTTTTTCTACACACGAGAAGGGTGAACACAATAATGTGAAATGTTACCATAAATTTATGGAATTTGCTCGACAATCACAGATGGAGATTCCTGATTTTACTTTTCATTTGGAAAAATTTAGGAATGTCAAATTATAATTTTAGGGGAAACACTGAGCATTAAATGTGATATATATTAACGGCACATTTTTTAACGACGATGTCGATGGAAGACGATTTATTTCAATGTGGCGTTTATGAGTTGCATATGGCACAGGTAAATTATCGAAGCCATGCATTTTGACTTCTATAAAAATAAAATAAAAGCATTTTTGGTGGAAGACGCGTCTTGCTTGCTTGCTTTGTGCTCAGCCCAAAATAAAATGATTGGCCATCAAGAAGAGTGTTTGCACCACCACCGCTTGGCACCTTACCTTTAATACCTTTACTTGGTCTCGGAAAGCACCTGGCGGAGGCGGTCAAGGAAGATTTCAGCGTGGTGCTCCTGGAAGACAAGCGCTGGCCGAAGTCTGATTGAATCTTCGCCGCAGCCGCCACTCTGAATACCTATTCAAAAATAAAACAAATAATTGTTTAATTAATTATGAAAATAATATTTTATTCAAGGGCAATTCAATTTATTTATTAAAATAGAGTTATTGATGCAAACAATAATTTTAATTAAAGAAAAAACATTTTTAATGAAAAAATGTACATTTTTTTGCAATTTAATTTGAGTTACCTTTAGTTTTAAGGCGTCCGACCAGGTCATCCCTGAGTTTGGTGCTGCTGCAGGTGACCGCCAAGAAGGTGCCTCGGCCTCTGGCTCTGCTGATCAGAGCAGGATACTCATTTTGCAGCTGCTTCAGACCCAGTAGAAGTCGGTCGCCCGAACGCTTCACTTGCTCCAGCAGATTGTCCCTCTTGATCACCTCGAGCACACCCTCTAGCAACACCAGCTTGCCAGGGTCACCCATCCAGGTGTTGAAAATTCGATAAGCCTGAGGAGGTCTAAAAATAATAGTAAAAAATTAATAATTATTTCCGTAAATGGTTTATTTATCAAAAGGTCAGAGAGGAAGGGGAATTTTACCCTCTTATTGAGGAAAATAAAGCCATCATTTTGTAATGTTTGCAAATAATTAATTACAAAGTTCTTCTTTGCTTTAAGTTCGTGTACCCTCTGCACATATTTCTCATTTATAGCAGCCTTGAACTGTAGCCAGTCAAGTATTACTCGGAGGGAAGATAAGTGAATTATTTATATTTGCGCTCCAAAATCTCAATGGTCTGTCAAAAGATAAGAAGGGCAGACAAAATAATGACTATCACCAAAATGTGAGTAAAGCATTTTAAACGTTTGAAAGGGTTTCAAATAGAATTTCATTAAGTATTAAAATAAATAAAAAAATTTTTATTGAATGATAATTAATTTACTAAAAAGAATATGAAAAAATATGAATTGTTCTAATAATCTAAAAAAAAATTATGTCATTTTTTAAATTAATACTTTATGTTAATTAGACTATTTTGTTTTCCATTTTAATAACATACTTGAAAGGTTTTCAAATTTAAATAGTATTTCATCAATTATTTAAATTGATAATAATTAATTAATTAAAAATAATGTGGGAAAACGTGTAGTTTTTCTGAATATTTAAAAACTTTATAAATTATTTAAAGCTTTAATTAAATTTATACTTATGTTATTAAGAATGTAAAATTTTTTTATTTTAATTACTCACTTAAGTTCAGCTGTATGATAGAATCCACCGATGAGCATTTTCTTGCTGAAAGTGACAACGTCCGGCGGGCCGTCCAAATTGAAGTGCTCGTGGCACCACATCTTTCCAGTTGGTCCTCCGCCGGTCTGCACCTCATCAATCAACAAGGACGCTCCGTTCTTGCGAGCCACTTTCTGCAGGCCCTGGAAGAACTCGGGAGATCCTTCGTTGTCTCCGCCCTCAGCTTGGATGGGCTCAACGACGATGCCTGCAACAGGGCGGCCCTTCTTGGCGTAGTCCTCGAATAATTGCTCCACGGCGGCCAGGCAGCGTTTGTCCTCGGCCGCGTTCTCTGCCTTGTTGTCCTCAAGGGGATACCTAAATAACAAGGAGCAATGAGTTATTTTTCATTAAAATAACACTAATTAAAATTGAATTTTTTTATTAAATTTCATTCAATTGAAGTAGACTAAAATAAATATAACATTTCATTAAAAAAAGGTTGAGATTAAAAAAAGTCGGAGATGAGAATTTATAAGAACTTTTTAAATTCATCTTGTTTTCAGCGTATTTTTTAAAAATGGTTTAGGAATAGTGTAAAGCTTTAAATAATTAAAAAATTTGAAGAAAATTTAATTTTATAAAATTGGGATTAAATAGTCTGACCTGTAAATCGGGAAGGGCGCGATCGGCCAGTCGAAAGCGGGCACGTCCAGTTTGTGAATAGCCTTGGAGTGAGTGGTGGACAAAACGCCCATGGTGCGGCCGTGGAAGGCGCCGTGGAATGAGAGGATGCTGAGGTCAGGGCTGCCCGGCGCCTGGTTGATCATGCACGAGGAAATTTCCTCAGGGGTGAAGTCGCCCTTGCGCTGCTTCTGGCGGTACGCCATGAAAATCGCCTTGTACGCATTCTCGTTTGAACAAGAGCCACAGGCCATGGTCGTGATTTGGTCAAGTCCGGCCGGCGCGATTCCCAGCAGAACATTCTTCAGCTTGGAGTTCCAGTCTGCGCCTGGGAAGACGCCCAATGCTGGTCGGTTCACAATTGTTTTCTGTTAAAAAAGACAAAATAAATTATAAATATTAAACAAAAATAATTATTTAATGAAATTTTTGATATATTATTTAATTTTTTTCTATAATTGAACAAAAAATTAAATATAAACTTTAAATTACAATGTTGTGGGGATTTTCGGTGAGCATTTGCAGAAGGTGAGGGTGGTTGTAGCCCAAAGGCATGGAGGAGATTTGGGTGTAGACGTCCAGCATGACGTTGCCATCCACATCGGCCAAGTAGTTGCCAATTGATCGGTCATAGTCGGCGAACAGCTGAATTGAGCCAGCTTGCTGTAAAATAATTTAAATAATTCAAAATTTAATCTTTAGAATCTATGTCGATGTAAATATACACCAATTTTTGGAAATTAAAATGTAAATGAAAAATTGGAAAAATTCAAATTATAAAGTAAAAAAAAGATTATTTTTTCATAAAAAATTAAATATTAAAACAATATTAAAAATCAACTTCAACTGCAATTTTTTATTCAGATATATAATATGTATTATCGGTATTTTTTTTCCATTTCTTAAAAATTTGAATTTATATTTTTTCGGCAAAATTCAATTTTGATAATTACTAAAAAATTGCTAAATTTTTAATGTATTTTATCAATGAAATTTTTTAAAAACGTATTTTAATTTTTTTAAATTAGTAAAATTAAAAAAAACTGATAATTTTCGAACCTGAATTTGATTGAGCTCTTGCAGCAGCTCTTTGGACCGCGGCCCTGGAATTTGGGTCTTGACAGTGGGTCCCTTTGGTTCACCAGCCACCAGCGACGAGGCAGCTCTCACCGCTGAACGCACTGAAAAATATGCCAAGCATCCCAATGAGAATAAAATCGCCTGGCACGATCAGAGGCTCGGAGATAATTTATACGAAAAATCAATGAAAGTCTCAACCCCGTGGAAAAAAACACTCACCGTGGCCGAACCTGCCGTAAATCGAGGGGATGCACTTCTGGGCGCAAAGACTCGCCATTTCTCCTCCTGCACGAGCACAACCCGAGTCCCTGGTTCGATTCTTGAACTGTCAAAAGTGTCAAATGCAAGTTCGAGCACGACTCGACGACCGACTGCGGGCAAGAGACGGTGCTGCTGCTGACAAATAAAAACAGTGACCTTGTCCTTGGCGCAGCCGTACTCCCGAGGACACGCCCATTTTGAGCAGCATCGCACACGGGCAGCGAGGGCAGGATGCTGGTGATCATGCTCTAGGGGGTCAATTGGTCTGCTAATTGAGCTCATAACAAGACGAGTGGCTTACGAAACACCAGTCAGTTTTTGGTGCAGCCAAAAAGGTTCAACGACCGCAGTGTTGACAAAATTCGAGGAATCAAAATTCAAAATTTCTATTTTTATTCTCAAATATTTTTATTCATCTTCGTAGCAGCAGCACAAATAGTCGACAACAATTCAACTAACAGGAAAAACGAACAGGTTTTGGCTATGTAGAAAAACAAAGAAAAACATTCCCAAATTTTTTTAGTACAAAAAAATGCCAGTCTTTTGCGTGCGGAAAAAACCATGACAAGTCGTGCTGCTGGTGTGTGTGATATTTAAAATCAAGTCATCCAAATAAAAATCGACTTAGAGATAAGAGGAAAAGCGCGTTCCTTCGAACTCTCTCTCACAGTTCAATCAGTTGTTGTTGATTCATTTGATAAATGATAATTTTTAATTAATTTACTTTGTCAACTAAAAGAGTCTTTGTACTGGACCACTTCACTGGCGAGAGGGAGAGAGATTCTCAGTTTGTCTCCAGCATCTTTGCCCGCAGCATTTTGAGCTTTTGCACAAAGAAGGCCTCGAGGTTTTCTGCACATCTGTAGAACGGCGACTCCTTGGGGTTGTAAAACCGGCAATTGTCAAAGATTTTGGTCATGTCGCCAATGAAGTCGCGCAGCTTTTGGTACGCCTTTTCGTTCACTCTCAGCTCAATTGTTTGTAAGTCTGAATGAAGTGAGAATTAATATAAGAAATTAAAGTTCAATATTTTGTGAAATTTAAACCTACCCATAGGCTCATTGATGACCTTATAATAATTTGGTGCCTCGGTCGGATCCACTGGCTCCATGAATGGCCACGATGACTTGTGTGTCTGCAATTAAGAAATTTTATAATTTAATTATCATTTATAACAAACTATTTTATATATATTATACTTGAATCTGTTTGATAAGTTTCTTGAGCAGTTCATTGTCGCGAGCATTGAGATTTCTCATATTGGCCTGATTGATCTCTGAGCTGCCTTGGCAATTCGGACACACATACTCATCAATTCCGTCTGCTTCCGACTGCAAGATTCCGACGCAGCGCCCGTGGAACCAATTTTGACATTGGTCGCAACAAATATAAAATCTGTAAACAATGGAAATATTTGATGAGTATAAATACATTTATTTTTTAATGTTTGCATTAGTTGTGATATTTGATTTTTCTACACCTCAATGGCAATTTATTTCTTTATAATTAAATCCAATTTTTTTATAAATCATCAAATTGAACCTACTTGGATTCGTCGTATGGCTGTTTGCAGAGACAGTAGAGCTCCTTAGTGTCTCTGGCGTGTTTGCACTCGTCGCACACGAATTCGGTCATGCCCTTGCTCTGCTGCTCGGTGATGCCGACACAGTCCCCGTGGAACCAGTTGTTGCACAGGTCGCAGCCGACGTAGAACTTTGTGTCGTCGTACGGCGTCCGACACGAACAGAAGAGCTTCTCCTTCTTATTTCGGCCGCTGGGAGATGAAGAGCGCTTTTGCCGCTTCTTGGGCGGCGTTTTGGGCACCGTCGAAGGCGCGCCGTGTTGGCCGCCGGCCACGGCCACCTGTCTGGGCTGAGGGCCGCTGCCACTGACTTTGCGTTTGGTGGTGCGCACCTCCTCTTGCTTGTTGCGCTCGGCCAGCGTGCGAGCGGCCAACTCGACGGCCACCTCGCGCTGGATCTCAGCAATGAGCTCCTTTTCGAGGAAGGCGCGTTTCTTGGTGGCCTCTTTGCGAAGGGCCTCGGTGGTGCGGAACAGCAGATTGTTCAGCTGCTGGGCGGCCTGAGCCTGTTTCTTCTCCTCCTGCTGCTCCTTCCAACTCTTGCGGTTTCGGCCGCCAGTTGGAGTTGAGCTGCTCGGAGTCGGCTTTTCCTCCCTTCAAAACCAAAATCAGCAAATCAGGACCAGGTTGGAATGAGACATAATTTAAACAAAAAGGTGCAGCAGTGCTTAGATGAGAGTGATAACGCTTTTTTCCAAATCTCTGGATGAAAATAAAGGTGGAAACTAAAAAGCCAGAATTTACAACTTTTCCACACAAAACTGCCTTTTTTAGTCAACAAATAGCAAAAACCTTTAAGCAATCAGAAAAATCATATTGATGAAACCAGAACGCACAATTTTATATTTGTACCCTAATGTTAGTACTTGGTAAGTATGAAAATGAAAACATAATTATAATCAGATAAAGTTAATATTAACAATCTAAAATTTGCCACTAATGCAAAGCCTCATCCTCACACACCCACACCAATTATTCAATTCAAGATTTTATTTTTATTGCTTTTATTCAAGATCAAAAGTTAGTTCATTATCAGGTTAACTACAGTAAAACCTTCATCAAAAAGTACAGAATGTGGAAAAAATCAGCACAATTGAAAAATAAGCAAAAACGTCAACACAATAAAGAAAATTGTATTTGCCAGACCAAGTATCTAAATGCAAGAATATGAAACAAAGTGTAAACTAAAGCCAGGGTGCGCTGATCATGCATGGTCAGTAGTCGCACACTACGTACTTGGCCTCCTTAGGAAGGTCTGGGGCCGCAGCTGCAGCCGCGCCACCACGGTTGGCGCTTCTCTTTCTTGCTGGCTCCCAGTTTGGGTCCTTGGGTGTGGCGCCCTCAACTGCAGGCGTTGCTGGGACGGTGGTGCTGGCATTCCTCTTTCTAGATTGACTCGAGCGACTCGGAGGAGTTGCTGGAGGAGGCGTTTGTTGCACCACAGGCCCCTTCATCTGCCGCTCCTGGTAACGCTGCATTTGCAGCAGTTTCTCTTCTATCTCAGGAGGAAGGTTGTCTTGTTTCAAAGCTGATTTAATTGCTGGAAAAACAAAAAGCCAGCAACGTTATTTATAGGTTAACAACATTATAGATATCATTAAATAATTATTAAGAAAATAAATTTGGCTGTACATTTTTAAATTGCAAAAAACTTTTTTTGCAATATAATTTTTTTGTAAATAAACAAGAGAAATATAATATTTGAAAGCAAACTTACTTTGCTGTATGTAGTCAGGAGTGACGACAAACTGACCCTTATCATTCTTTCCAGGCGGTGACTTCGGCGCCTCTGGCTGCGCTGATGACTGGCCGTTGACCAGCACTTGGCGTGCCACCTGCTGCATGGGTGGTTGTTGCTCTGCCTTGACAACCACTTTGACCTCAGGCTTCACCGGCTGCACAGTTTGCACCACAACCTTGGGCTGTTCGGCAGGTTTAGCGACCAACGGAGTTACAGCCTGCACAGGAGCCATCACGGTCTTCACAATAGTCTGAGGAGTAACAGGGGTGGCCGAAACGGCAACAGGTTGCGAGGTGGCAACCACTTGTTGGACAGGGTTGGCTGGTGGCATTGAGATCACCATCTGATTGCCCGACAGTTTGTTGGCCTGCTGCTTGAGCACATGCTGCTTGACCTGCTCCTTCAGGGAGGCCAACTGCTGCTCTGTGAAGTTACCTCTCAGCCCTTGAAGGATGATGCTTGGCCCGTTTGGCGTCTGGATGACCTGAGCGGTTGGATTGCCAAGCAATTTGGGCAGAGGAGCTCCGGGTTGGGCAGCAGGAGTTGTTGAAGAAGGTGCAGCAACAACAACGGTTGTTTGAGGAGTTGGCTGAGGCTTGGGAGTTGTTTCCTTTGAAGGAGTTGAGGGGGTCTGCGGGGTCGCAGGTTGTGCAGCAATGACGACTGGTGTTTGAGTGGTGGGCGTTGTGGTTGTGGAAGCTGTGGGGGTTGTGATGTTGGAAGGGACACTTGGTGAAGAAGCGGCAACTACAGTAGTAGGTGCAAGTGCAGGCTTTTGGACAATGATTGGCTTCTGAACGATCTTCTGACCACCGGGAGTGGCACTGACAGTCTTGACGATCATGTTACCCTGAGCAGGAGTGCCTGCCAAGGTCATCAGGGTATTGTTGGGGCCTCGAATAAGCACCTGTTGGCCGTTGATGATTCGGCCGCCAATCACAAACTGCTGATTTCCAGGCGTTCCACCGGCACTTTGAAGAAGAACCTGCTGGCCGCTAGGTGTGGTGAAGACTTGGGCGTTGCTCACAATGACCTGATTGCCTCCTGCAGACACAATTTTCTGCACTGTTGGTGTGCCTCCAGGAGTCCCCTGGCGAATGACCAATTGACGGGGAGTGGTTGTGCCCGCTGCAGTCGGAGAGGCCATCAGCTGCTGGGCAAGCAGATTGGTCTTACCAACACTTGACGGAGCAGTCACAACCTGAAACATTTGTTATCTATTTTAAACAGTGATCATTTCATTTTAGAATGAGAATTAAGTAAAAAATACAATGATTAATATTTATTTTAAAATAGAAAGAAAACTTTTTTATATTCTTAATTTGAAAAATAATAGACACTTCGATGTGATTCAAAGTTGATTTTTTTTTTAATAATACATCATTGAAATGTAAATTTACCTTAACAGTGGGTCCAGGTGTAGAAGTAACAGGTGTGCCAGAGGTGGTCGGTTGAATTGCTGTTTGTGTAATTTGCGTTGGCTGAGACACAGTTTGAACCACAGTGGTAGGCTGAGTGACAACTGTAGTCACTCGAGGACCAGCAGCCAAGGCCGTCTTGCTGCTAAGAGGCGTTCCAGGAGCTTGCACGGTCACAGTCTTTAGGATGGTTGGAGTAGTCACAGTGGAAGACACAGTCGGCGATGTGTACATGACCTGTATTTTGCCACCAGGCAGTTGGACCAGCTGTTGGCCAGGCAAGAGGCCCCGCACTTGGTACTTTCCATCGGGCCCTGGAATGATTTGGACTTTCTGCTGGGTTGGTGTGGTTGGTGTTGCGTTGGCAGTGCCTGGAGTTAGACGGATCAGGGACTGTTGAGGTTGTCCAGGAGCAACAACGGCTTTGGGCAAAATGTTGGCTTGCTGTCCAATCATACGACTGGCACCGTCTTTTGTGACAAAAACTCTGGTTGTGACAGTGGCTTTCTGACCAGCTCCCTGTTTTGCTGCAGCTGCTCCTGATGAATGATATATTTTTTATTAATTTTTGCAATTTAATTAAGAGTTCATAAAATATTGTTGAAACAGAAAAAACAATTGCAAATTATTATTACTCACCTTGTGCAGGACTGGGCACCATTTTCAGAATGTTCGGTTTGGGAGAAACGCCATCAAGAGCTCGTTTCTGTTGCAGAGCTGCCCTTTGAAGTTTCAAGTTCTGCTCCAGTTGCTGTTTGATTTCCTCAGCTGATTGCACCTTGGCGACTTCTTGCTTTGTGCCAGTGGTCGGAGTTGCTGGCTGATCGGAGGGCTTGGTTGGAGCCGAGGAGCCAGTTCGACTCCTAGTAACAACCAGGTTATTAGCCCGCGTGAGCCTAGCGAGAAAAGAGAAAAAAGGCATGCGTCACACCAACACGACACACATGACAACAAGTGAGATTTGTACCTGTCATTGTACTGCTTTATTTCCCACAGCTCCAACTTTTCTTCGTCAATCCAGTCTTCAATTACCTTTGGCTCAGTGTTTTGAGGAGCCTCTTCTCGTTTTCTCTTGCGCAGGCCAACTCGCATGGACGTAACTTCTACAAATGTTATAGAATGTTAATTAGTGTGTGCAAGTTTAAGAACAAAAATATTCAATCTTTAAAATTAAAAAAGCGATCTTACCTCGGACTGATTTGGGCAGGTCTATGGGAATGACAACCTTTCTTCGAAGATACTGCGTCTTCTCCATGAATTGGCCAACATGGCGGTGCTTCAGAAGCTCCGTAGATGTTATTTCAGTGTCTGTAGTGACTTGATTCTTTCCATCACTGTTAGGTGGTTTAGTCTTAAAATTTAGAATAATATTAGGTGAGCACAAAAATTGGAAATATGAATTCAAAAGAAATATTCCGGTGTAACTGAATCAATTTATCTTACCTGCATGTCGTCCCAACGCATGCAATGCCAGAAAATCCTCAGCTGCATGGCCACTGTGGCAAGAGAGGTAGCCAAGGTCATGCGGTACATCCAGCATGTCTTGAACAATGGTCTTGGGCAAGGGTAAGGCCAGACAGTTTGGTTAGCCTTAGCTGTGTGACTAAATCCATAGGCATAAGTGTAACCTCCTTTCCGTGACATTTTCCTCAATTCATGCTGCGGCAAAGCCAAAATGGTGTTCTTTTTGCTGAAACTGCAGTACTTGGAACTCAAAGGATATTTGACTTGGATTTTCTTCCTGCGGCCGCCTGCCAAAACTGTGCTGAGGGTCGAGGTTGTAGTTGTCGTAGTAGTTGTTGTGGCCCGCACAAGTTTTTTCAGGTACAATTTGCCTGAGGGATTGTCAGCAGAATAAACCCTCTGCTTGTCTACAGGCTCAGGTTGAGGTCTTGACATGTGCTGCCGACTCTTACTCAGAGCAGCTTTCAGCACACCACTATCTGAGGCAGTCACTTTGGTTGTCACAGACTCGGTGACAGTAGTCGTTGTTACTGTAGTGGTTGTCGTTGTGACCTGCAACATACAGAAATGTTAATGATTTCAAATTGTTTTCCTGTCAAAACTTTTAATAATACTGTACCTGCACAGTGGTTTCATCTTTCTTTTCAACTGTCAATTCACTTGACAATGTTTCTTCCTGCTTCACTTCCTGTTTAGTCTCCTGCTTCACTTCCACTTTTTCGGCAACCTTTTCAGGTGATGCTGGCAAAATAGGTTCTTGCTTGTCTTCAGGTTTTGTCTCTTCTTGCTTTACATCAGACTCTGTCTTCTTAGTGGTGGGTGCTTTTGAGTGAACTGAAGCCTGTGCCCCGATTTTGCTGTTAATGTCAATCCCCATGCTCTTGGCCTTGCAAAGAGTCATCAGCAACTCCTTTCGTAGGCGATACCTCTGTATGCACATGGGAGAGTAGCAATTGGGTACGCTCGAGTTGGGTTTGCACAGTGGGTTGTAACAAGGGTGGTCCTTGCTTAGTTTGTGGGCTGAAGAGTACAATTCAAGGTGGTAGGCCACTTCTTTAGACATCGCTTCAAGCTCCTCTCTAGTGTGCTTTGGAGGCTGGACCACTTGAGTGGTGGCACTTGAGCTATTTGCTTGAGCTGGAGAAGCAGTAGGCTGCTTTTGGGGAGACATTTTGTTCTGTAAAAATTGAAGTTTTTAATGAATATCACAATATTGTGTAATTATATATAATCTTGTCTCCTCTTTAAATCATTGAGCTTTATTTTGCAACCCTAAATGAATAAATATTCACCTCAGCAGTGAGCGCCAATGTCCTTTCCTCTACAGCTTTCAACTGAAGTCTACGATGAAGGAACTCATCCAGCTTACTCGGCTTTGCCACCTTTGGGTAAGCAAGTCTTCCGGGCATGGTCAAAGCCCTGCTGATATCAATTTCATCAAATTCACAAACAGGCCTAAAGACAAGCAGCCTGTGACCGCTAGTGCTGCTCGCTATATAAAAATATGGAATTCAAAATTATTAATACAATGGTTGATTGAACTTTACCTTCTTTAGGAGTTTCTGGAGCCTTTTGTTCCGTCTTGCTTTCGGATTTTGGTGTTTCTGATTTATCTTCCTGCTCTGCTTTGACCTCATTCTCCACAGGCTTGGCTACCTCTTCCACTACCTTCTCAGGCTCATCCATCTTTTCTTCCTTTACATCTACTTCCATTTTCTCAACTTTGTCTTCAGTACAATTTTTAGCAGTCTCCTCCACTTCGGGAGATTCTTCTTTGATCAGCTCGGAATCATTCTTTATTTCCTCAGATTTTTCCATCTTTTCACTGTCATTGCTGACGGATGATTCTTCCTTAACCTTTTCAGTATCATCCTTCTTTGGAACAGATTCCCCTTCCTCTTTTGCATCATCTACTTCCATTTTCTCCTCTTTGATTTCAGTCTCCTCCTTTACAGGTTCATCCTTCTGCTCATCTGCTTTTCCTGGCTTTGCTTCTGGTTGTTTCTCGGGCGAGTCAGTCACGTTGACTTCTTCCTCTTCCTTTACAGGGGTTTTTAACCTCGAGGCCTCTGCCCTCTCTTTGAGTCTGGTACTGCTTGGTACGTAGCCCTCAGGCTTTGGAATTTGGCTGTCAGACACAGTTAGCAGGTCTGACCTATCAATCAGCTTGTTGTAGACAGGTAAGTCAACAGCAATGATTTTGGTCACTCGATCCTCTGCAATTAAAATAAGTTAGCACAGATTAATTCAATTTTATTTATACAATTACCTTTGACTTGCACCATCAATTTTTGGGGTGTGCCTTTTAGACCCATGCCGGCACAGCTTTCAGCTTTGAATTTTCTGGCTTGGTTCAGCCACATCCAGCCCCACTGACCATGTATGCGATACTCCTCGCCCCTTTGCTTGTAGACTTGATGCTTCAGTCCAAGTGTGTACTTGACCAAACTGTAATTGAGCCGATTTCTCTCCTCTTCCTCATCTTTCTCCTTCTTTTCCCTCTTTTCAAGTTTCTTTCTATCCTCTCGTTCAGCAGCAGTGAGCCTCTGAAGCTTTGTGTGGCCTAAAAAAATGTTGCTTCCAAACATGTCACTGTCTTATTATTTTTTTAACTTACCAAGAGATTCATGCCAGACGGTAGCAAACACGACTGGCTTCATGCAAGCTTGCAGAATAATCAAAGCTTTGGCAAAATCTTTTGGGTTGATGCTGGCAGTGACGGAAGCCACCCATTGCTTCTTCAACAAAGGCCAGTTTGTATGCATGAAAGCCGTCTGCATGTTGGTTTCAACCTGAAGCATCGTCTGCCTGAGCGTGTTGATCAACAACGCCCTAGTGCCATTCACAGGTCCAGCCCACTTGAATTCAGACGCCTGCGTGAGGGAAAACTTGTGGGAGAGATGACGTTTTTTGTCTCGCTCTTCGTTGCGCTGAGCTCTTGTCAGAGCACCTGGAATGACCGAGTAGTGGTTGACATAGTTCTTGAAACCTCCTTCCATTCCAAGTTTGAAAAGGTAAGTGCCAGACGCTATTTGATGGGCCTTCAGCCTAGTCATTCGCAGTCCTTCAGATCCTCCACTTTCTGTTGCTGCCGCTCTTCTGCGCAGATCTTCCATGTTGAAAGTGCGAGGGGTCAAACTTCCTGTCTTAGATCTAGTCACAATCACATGTTTTCCTGCAGACAACAAAATCATCAGCAAAAGTTGTAAAAATTTTCCAAGTTAAACTACCATCTTTATCTTTGACTTCAGTTTCCTCTTCCTCTTTCTCTGATTCATGATCACTTCCCTCCTTGCCTGGTTCCTTGTCTTTTGCAGGAGTTACCGCAGGAGTGGCTGCTACATCTTTTGCATTAGCTGTTTCCACCTCCTCCTGAAATTTAATTAAAAAAAATGTTCATTGCTTGATTCTTTTCATATCATCTAGTTTTGATATGTCTTTAAAAATAAAACATCAACTTACAGTGACAACTTCCTCTTGTACCACAGCTTCAGGTGCTTCATCGACGTCCAGCCCTTCCTCTCTCGCCTTTGCTGCTTCCAACTCTTTAGCCTCTTTCTCCTCTTTGTCTTTCTGGGCTTTGATTATTGCAGCTGTGAAATTAATAATGAAAATGAAGCCATTAAAATAAGTTTTTTTTTTTTTTTTTTTACCATTTTCACTGTCTAAGTAGCTTTTCTTATTGCCCTTCTGAGAAATAGTGACTTTTTCAGTGATTTCCATTTGTCTCACAATCTCGTCATGGCAGTCACTCAACTCCCTGCACAGCATGGATTCCATGTCTTCGTCGTCAAGTGCATCCAACAAAGCATCTAGCTGAACTTTAGTAGAGTAATACCAGATTTCACCTTCTTCATTTTCACTGTAGATTAAAAATTAAAATTTCAATGTAAATCAAACATATTTATACAGAGATTACTTACACAAAAATTCTTCTAGCAAGGAACCAGTACTTGCGACCATGTCTATCATAACCTAAGTGTTCTTGTCTGTACAGAATGTTTGACTTCTCGAGGGCCGACGAGCAGTCACTGACCCCCGTCACTTGGTTTGCTTTGCACAAAGCACACTGCCAATCATTGTTTGGCACCTCTTGCAGGGCTGGTTCTATGCATTCCAAATGGAACACAGCTGGGCAAGTTTCGCAGCAAAGTAATTTGCCAACTCGGTGACAAATTCTGCAGTGGTCATCATAGGAAATGTTGCCTGGAAAAATAGAAATTTGATCTGTACAGGAAAGTCCAAGACCTAATGTCACACACATTGTCGTAAATATTGCATTATTTTGCTGACAAAATATATTTTTTTTTTTCATAAATATTTTTTTTAACTGTATTTTAGCTACAATTATTATTTCTGATATTAATACTGTGGCACTAGAAATTTAAAAAATTCCTACCTTCACTCAGCAAGTCCTCTCGAACAGGGTTGATTGTGAGGAACTGATCAGTGAGAAACTGGAGCACCTCTAGTCTGTCAGCTATGTCCACAAATGGGTAGTCCTCGTGGCTGACAATCTGTTGTACTCGTCCGTATGCAACGAACTCTTTGTCACTCTCAACATAGGCTTTAAGAGCTTCAGGCCAAGTCAAGGGGTCAATGAGATACAACAGAATGTTGACGCTGTCTCTGTGGTCCAGAGGGCCAAAGTGAGTTTGTTGAGCGTCTTCCTCCCTGAGCAGAGCCTTCAATAGAGCCATGTGTACCTCAGCTAACAGGGCACTCTGCTCCTCAGACACAAGACTAGCGCAGAGGTCCTCGAAACGAAACGGAGAGAGCCGCACAAGGGAGCCAAAGTGGCGCACCACCTCGTAAACTGATAGAACTTTCATCACGTATTCTCGAGGCACCATCAGGTCGTCTGAAGAGGCAGGTAGCTCCAAGGGCGGGCACTCTTTATCATCCTGAAGCCATATAGGTATCGGACTCGGTCTGAAAATCGGATTTTTTTAAAATTAAAACTTCCTTCTTTTACTTTGGCGCCAATTTTTGTGACAATAATTTTTACCTTTGAGACGCCTTTGGACGCTCACTGGTGAGGGAGAATTCCTCATCACTGACTTCGTGAACCGACTCCTCGTCAACTATAGATTCATCTTCGCTCTCAGGCGAGTCCAAGTCGTCCTCCAGGTCACTCTTGTTGCTCGCTGAGTCATCGTCCTCAAAATCGGAGCCGTAGTGAAATTCTTGGTAGCCGTAGCGACTTTTGCCGCGCTGATTGGCGCCTCCACGTTTGGAACTGCTTGGTGTTGAGTTTGTTACCGAAGGTCGGGACGCGGCTGTTCTTTTGGAGGAACGCCGGCCCAGGGAAGAGCCCGGCGAAGAGGCCCGTGAGCTGCTGGGCGTCTCTGACCCGAGCAAATATTTCGGTTTCTTGACCACCTTGCTGCTGCTCTTCGGGCGCTCGAGCGACACGGCCTTAGGCGGTCGGCCGCGCTTCTTGCCACCCCGTGATGACATCTCCTCGTTTGTTTACCTTTTCACGTGCCTCTCCAAAACATGCCACCACAATTTGCCAAAATGGTCCCTCAACTGCCGCCTGTGGAAATCGGCCAACAACACGGGCTCGCCACCGGCGTGACTCCCGTGCCGCGCAAGTCCTCCGCCTTCCTTGGAAATTCTTACCGGACACTGCTTGCTCGCTTCGGGCCTATTTTATCGCCACAGTCCGTCACAATTGCGTTAAAATTCGCCTTTATTCCGACGCGAATGGCAAAAGCAAGCCGAAACTCATCGCATGCAAGCGACGCGCTGATTGGCTGCAAGCCTAGCCGCCATTACGTAATTCTTTAACCGATTTCAACATTCAGCCGTGAACAAGTCGGCAGCCGACCACTTTTTCCGTCTCGGCGGAAGTTCCGATGTTTGATTTTGGCCTAATTTTTTGACTTGTCGACGAATTTCACGTGAAAATCGGCAATCCAAGTTTGATAATGCAGCCACTAGTCAATATTTGTCAACCAATGAGAACGGCCGGAACAAATTAAAATGCTTTCACATCCTCCGTAGATGGCTCTGATTGCCAACAATCAGCCAATCAGAGATGCGCTCTCAACCGTGCCTGTATTACCAAATAAAAGGCGCAAAAATGTCAAGGGAGCGTGAGAATAAAGGATGATTGAAAAAGGAAGTCATTTGAATTGCTTTGAATTAATTTTCTTGAAGCGGAAAATCTTAATTCGAAAGGAAAAAATTCATTATATATTTAATGCGATGAATTTATTTATTACTTTACAAGTTTTAAGCAGACGGCCGTATACAATAATCGCTTAAAAGTTTGTTGGCACGTTGGCGCTCGATCGCTACCTCTCACACTATACACGTATATATTGCGCAATATTAATTCTTAACTCTGGCTGTAGATAAATGTCAAACGATTAAATCAACTTTATTTATAAATATAACTAATAATTCTTACTTTAAATTTATGCAGATATTACATAATGTAAATAGTATATTTTTTTTTAATTACTATACATTACGCTTTCGTGAATTTATATTATAGATTTTATTGTACTAGGCGCCTTATCTTATCACACTTTGTTCAGGAAACGATGCAATTCAGCATATTTAGTGGTTGGCGGAGGTCAGTAGCCACATGCAGACTTGACGAGTATTATTATAGTATTGACCCGACCGGGTCAGTGATATATGGAGGGTCGCGGCCTCATTGCGCGAGTGGTGCTCCTCCATGAAGCAGCGGCGGCAGTCAGCGTCTCACGCACCCAAATTAACAACTTTTGCTGAGGTAAACATTTTATTTATTTCATCTCGGCGCGCTGCACACATTTGGCAAAAAATCATATCAGCGAGGATGTGACGCGCCGCGGCGGTCAGATAAATTATAATTCGCTTAATCGATCGGTCATCCGCTTCATGCGTAATATCTATTTAACCGAGAATACAAAGCAACTCTCTAGAGCGCACCTGCTCGAATTGATACTGAATAGGCGATACACTGCAGTCAGTAATTAATCGTCTCTCCTCACTGTCAGACACTCAACACCTGTTATTTAATATAAATTTGGCAGGTATTTTCAATAACACTCGGATACTAATTTTCACGCTTAAATTGTTCCCCATTTTCATTAATTTTCCTTGACAATAAATTCCCCATTTAAACGAAAAGCGATTAATTCCTTCTCCTTATATAACACAACCAAAAACCCTTTCCTCAATTTTTCTTTCAATCACCAATTTGTGCACCTGCGCCTCCGAAATGTATATTTTGTAGCAAATAAACACCCCCGCAGTGATATATAAGGGGCCAGTTAACGTGTGAATTTACCATTTGTTGGTCGGTCTTATCGCAAAAGCCACGCGCCTTCTTTTCCTTTTGCAGATGATGCCTCATCAGAAACTGGTGCTGACTGCGGTCGTGATGCTGACCTGCACGTCTGTCGTCATCGGCTATCCACATGGACTTGACACCAGCATCCAGTTCTGCGGCTCCAATCTGGCCGACGTGCTGGAGCTCGCTTGCCAATCAAGAGGAGGACTCCACGGACCGGGCGCCCTGCCGACGGGCAACGTCGGCCCAAGAAAGGGTGCGGGCGGCGTCACCCGTGAGTGCTGCGACCAACCTTGCAGTTGGCGGACGGTGCTCTCGTACTGCGTCAACAGTACCATTGACGAGACGCAAGAAAATCTTTTGCCGCCGCCACCGCCGGTCAAACCCGACGAGGACAACATTTTCAGCAGCAACGTTTACAACTTGATCTTTGAGCCAAATCCAGTTCCGAAGCGGAGGAGCAGGAAGAGTGAATGTCCCATCAAATGCAACTGCGTCAAGCGCACTAGAAAGGTAAAACAAACAAAAAAAAATCTATAAAAATTATTTAATTTCCATTTATAAAATAGATTCTAAAATGATGAATTTTTTAAAATTTTTGTTATCTTATTTATTTTTTATTTTTAATTAAATAATCAGAGTGTAATAAAATAATTGGTTGAAAATTTATAAAAATTCGTAAATCCTATATTTATAAAAAAAAATTTTTAGAATCAGCCTGACCGCAACCGATTGTCCAACAACCTAAACGTGGGCACGGTTCCTCCTGCTCTCGCCCGGCATCCAGTGATTGTCAGGAACCTGTGAGGCTCCGAGCGCGTGAAGCAAATTGAAGAGAATTCTAATCCAGACTCCGTCCAACACTGCTACCTCTGTATAACATTAAAATTAAATTAATTTATATTGGAAAAATAATTGTTTCGATTCCTTACGCGAACACAATACACATGTAATATATTTCACATCCCTCGTTTCTCTCTTCTCTCTAATTAAAAATTTCGAAAATTTCATCCAGACTAAATTTTTCCAACAAATTTAATATGAGAGTGAACTGCAAAAAAATTAATAATTAATTTAGTAGAAAGACGGCGCATTAATCGGCATAAAAGCAGAGCTCACAATCGCTGTACAATAACGTGCAGGAGGGTTACGGGCTGGTTACGGGGGTGCAACAGGAGGAGTGAGTTGTGCTGGCGGGAAGCGGTCACGTGTCCCAAGCGGCTACCAAAATTAACAAACTCACCAACATGACAAAAATAGTAAACAGAAACATTATACATTTGCCGCTTTATTTTAGTTTAAAAGTTAAGGTTGAAATAAAATTAAGTACTATGTATGAAAGGTAAGTTTAATTAGGCAAATTGCATTCTTATCTGCCAAATATTCCTATTTTATGCAATTGCTAATTTTGTTGGCAATTTAAAAAAGGAGGCGTGTCTGTACTGTCTGTTTTTAAAATTGTCCGACTGTTGTGTCCGACGTCGGTTTCTGATGTTATTGTTTTCGTAAATCTTAGAATTTTTAACAGCGTGTTTCAAAAGTTATAATTTTATTGACAGGTGCGTAGATTGATTGTCAATGAACTGATCTGATTTGCATTTAGTGTAAAATATCCGAAGCAACCTGTTCTAAAAATCAGAATTCCAAAACTCTCGCCACGCTGGCCGGCCCGTTTCTGCAATGATTTTGTTGCTGTTCGTTTCATGCGTTTTTCTCGTCCTTTTGCGGTTGACGTTCACAATTTTCCTGCGGTTCAGCCCCGAAAAATTGAAATGCGTAGACGGGGTGGCAGTGGTGATCGGTTCGGGGGGCCACACGGCCGAGATGCTGCGGATGCTGAGCCGGCTCGACCCTGCCAAGTTCCGTCGCCGGGTGTACCTGATCGCAGACTCGGACACTTCAAGTCCGGCCAAAGTCCTGGCGTTCGAAAGCGGCCGAGAGGACTTTCAAATCCAACTGGTGCCCCGGATGCGGGTGCCCCTCCAGTCGTGGACTTCGGCGCTCTTGAGAGCTCCTCGCGCCTTTGCTGTCTGTCTGAAGGTGGTCTTGGATGCTCGTCCGAAACTGGTGCTTTGCAACGGGCCGGGCACGTGCGTCCCTGTGATAGTGGCCGCAATTCTGTTGGAAGCTCTGCTCTTTCGGAAGACGCAAATCGTTTTCATCGAGTCCATCTGCCGAGTGCAGACGCTGTCCCTGAGCGGCCGGCTGCTCTACTACCTGTTGTGGAGGCACCAATTTCTGGTGCAGTGGCCGGAGCTGGTCCTCAAGTATCCGAGGGCTACTTACATAGGTCAGCTTGTTTAAGCAAAGGTACTACTGAGAATGTTTATTGTTGTTAAAATTTATTTCATAAAAAGAAAACAAACTAGTAAAAATTTTATATTTTAAATTTATAGATTCGTCCATGGATGCGGCAAAAGAATCATTGCTGGAGGCTTGGAATGAAATTGAATTGAAGGAAGTTAGCCCTCAATATGCTGAACATTTGTATTTGTATAAAGAGGCTCGAGCTCAGTTTTTGAAAAATGACTTAAGAAAAGCAGCTGATTATTGTGAAGTAATAATTTTCTCACTTGTTATTATATCAACTGATAAATTTAATTGTTTTAGCACGCCAAAGAAGCCACAAACGAGGCAGTCAACACTGGAAAATTCAGCGAAGCGGATGAATCTCGTGCCTTATTTACTCAAATTGGGCTTTTAGAAAGTCTGATTGCCATTGAACGAGGAGAAATCACCGATGCTTTGAAAAATCTAGATATGGTTCTCCTCCTTGGCACGCCAAATGAAGGAATAGCCAGGGCAGCTGACTTGGTGGCTGAGCAACTATCCAAGGAAAAAGATTCCAGAGATGTCAACGAACCTTGGGAGGATGACAAAAAGGACTTCGAGGGCTGGAAAAACTTTGAGTCTGTGGAGGAAGTTGAATGTCCTGCTTTAGAGACTTTCTGGCAAAAATACATGTGGAAAAAGGCTCCTGTTAAAATAACAAAGAGTGTCGAGCATTTTCCAGCAAGAGAGAGATGGACCATGAAATATTTGCTTCAGGTGAGAATAAATGTTGTTTAATATTTAACTCAAATAATTAATAGGCCGTATTTTAGTGATATGTTATTATGTTAATTTTTGTGTCAGGTTGCTGGGCAAAGAACCGTTCCTGTTGAACTTGGTCGAGATTACACCCATCCCCACTGGACGCAGCAGTTGATGCCTCTTTGCACTTTTGTAAAACGTCATCTTCTTGAGTCCTCTCCTGTGACTGGATATTTAGCTCAACACTCGCTTTTCGTTCAGGTAGACAAAAGACAATTAATTTATTGTAATTTTTATTAAATAATTATGTGTATACCAGATACCTAGACTGATGGACGACCTCCTGATTCCTGACTACTGCACCTCCACGCCTGATATTAATATCTGGTTCGGACCAAAGGGCACAGTCTCTCCTCTTCACCATGACCCCAAGCATAACCTGTTGACGCAGATTAGAGGCCATAAAAGAATTCTTCTCTTTCCACCTCAGGAAGAAGGTCTCTATCCTTTTAGTAAAGAGTGCTTAATGTCAAACACCTCTCAAGTTGACCCCGAGAATCCTGATTCGGAAAAGTTTCCGGAGTTTTCAAGTGCTAAAGGACTTTCCTGTGTGCTAGGGCCTGGGGACGTGTTGTACATTCCACCCAAATGGTGGCATCATGTACGATCACTGTCGGCTAGTCTATCAGTCAGTTTTTGGTGGGAATAATTTTGTATACTAAATTAATTAAAAAAAAAAAAAAATTGTAACAATTAATAAAAGACTGAGGAATATTTTTTGCTCAATCCCTGCCTTTCATTTGAAAGTATAACAACACCAACTGTTTTAAAAATTTATAAACCATAATAAGATTGTTATCAAAGTTACCTTTTTTATTTGTTCGCAGTGAAATGCTGAAAATAGCAACATGGAATATCAACGGTATCCGCTCTTTTTCACAATCGAAGTTGAAAGAGGCCCTTGATGAGATTGATTCGGATATAGTCTGCTTGCAAGAAACTAAAATTACTCGTATTTGTTTTCTGTTGTTCGTAAATTTCCACATTTTCTTATTTACTTTTACGCAGGTGATGTGATTGATGAGCAAACGGCTACATTTGAAGGCTACCATTCCTTCTTCAGCTTTTCAAAAATTAGGTCTGGATATTCTGGTGAGACTCAAATATAATAGTAATGCTAAACTAAATCATTTTGATCTAGGTGTTGTAACTCTTTGCAAACATAACTTGATGCCTTTCAAAGCTGAGGAAGGTCTTAGTGGAGTTCTTGCGCCTCCAGAGTCGACAGACAATGTTGGCTTATACGGAACACCAAATCTCTCAGCAGAAAGACTGAAGCAGTTGGATTCGGAAGGCCGAGCTGTTGTTACTCAATTCCAGCTCAATGTAAAAGTTTCACTTTTTATATACCAATAGTTTTGAAAATAATTTCATTTTTAAAGGATGGCAAACTTTTGAGCGTTATAAACGTTTACTGCCCAAGAGCTGATCCTGACAGATACGAAGAGCGCCTCTCATTCAAGCTGGATTTTTATCACTTGTTAGAGTGCAGAGCCCAAGCTCTACGGGCAGCTGGAAGCCATGTTATAATTTTGGGTGACCTGAACACATCACATCAACCTATTGACCACTGTGATCCAGGAGACTTGGTAAAACCAATATATTGCTTACTTACTGGATTTAAGAAAATAATTAAATACTTTTTACCATTTTTAGGTAGAATTTAAAAGTAATCTGGGACGCCTTTGGATGGATCGTGTCATTGTGATAGACCCAAGTCAATGCTCATTGTCAGATGACAGCCTTCAACTTCTCGATTCCTTCCGACTGCTGAACCCCAATCGAACAGAGGCTTTCACCTGCTGGAACACCCAAAAGAATGCCCGGTCAACAAACTACGGCACTCGAATTGACTACCTCCTCTTTACACCCTGTCTGGTGGAGGCACTTCGGTGTGCAGACATTTTACCCGAAGTCCACGGCAGCGACCATTGCCCCGTCCGGGCAGAGTTCCAGCTTGAATTGTCACCTGCAGGACCGGCGCCATCCTTGTGCTCCAAGTTCCTCTTCCAAGGTAGGCAACAGAAGCTTTTGAATTTCTTTAACGTCTCGTCAAAACCTACTCAAACGACCGGCGTGAATCAAAAGCAGAACGGGTTGAAAAGTGGTGTGCGGAAGCAAACTAATCTCATGAGTTTTGTGCAAAAGAAACGCAAACTTTCAAACGAAGAGGAAAGTGGTGAAACGAGCGAATTAAAAAAAGTGGTTCCCCCTGCGAATTCGGATGTTTCGAAAAATAAGTTAGCGGCAAACGCGTGGAAATCTGTTTTATCCGGACCTCGACCCGCGCCAATGTGCAGTGGCCACAATGAAGTGAGCGTTGTTCGAACAGTGAAAAAGGAAGGTCCCAATTTCAATCAACAGTTTTACTGCTGTGCAAGGGGGGAAGGACGTAAAGACAACCCTGAAAGTCGTTGCAACTTTTTCCAATGGGCAACCAAAAAATAATTATTGATTAAATTGAATAACATTTTTGAAACAATTTAAAGAGCTGAATTGTTTATTCTTTTTTTTACCTAAAAACAGTCTCTATGTAATTATCTATATACATATTAACATAATATAGAGCTATAAAATCACACAGGTTTGATTCCTTCCTGGAAAGTAACACCTTGCTGTTTTTTCACTTCGTCTTGCAACTCTAGAGCTCGAGCTTTGTACAAATCTGCTTTTTCTTCACTCTTTTCGCCCCCATCACCTTTCCTGCTCGCAAAAATATTATTATTATTATTTAATAATTTGAAATTATCCAAGAAAAATTGAAATCTTACCTGTACATTTGACTCAGATTGGCACAAGCATACATATTTCCCAAGCTGCAGGCCCTTTCGGAAAACTGCCTAGCTTCGGGCATGTTCTTTTCGTGCAGATGAATTCCGCTCAGGTAAAAGCAGCTGTGGTGGTTGTTTCCATCACAGCCCTTTTTCAGCAGATCCAATCCCTTCTCCCTCACGGTCTCTTTGGCCTTGCTGTTGACGTGAATGAGGCCTGCGTTCAGACACGATTCGGCCACGCCGAGGCCGCAGGCTTTCTCGAAAAACGTCAGGGCTCCGTTGGGGTCGGCCGCTCGGAATGCGTAGGTGCCGCTTTTGTGGCAACTCCTGCCGAAGTCGCGGTCCTCGCAGTTGGTCTGGTAGACCTTGCGTGCCTTCGACTCGTCCTTCTTGACCGCCTCTAAGTAATCGCCCAAAAGATGGCACACTGAAAATATTCGATGAAAATGTGAAAAAAAAATTTAAAAAGGCAATTTACCATCGGCCTTCTTTTCCGAGTAGCACCCAAATCTGTACTCAATTCCAAGTTTGGTGATGAATTCCTTGACTTCCTCTTCTTTTTTAAGATCATAAGCCATGGCTTGAATAAAAAAGACAAGAAGAGAGCTGAAAAATATTCAAAATTTATTTTTTTCAATATATTATATAATAATCGAGATAAAACTATAAAGTAATTGATAAAATGGCATGTAAATTCGGTTCTTAAATTTAAAATTTACTCACCTTGCTTTGAAGTTTGACTAATCAGCCAACAAACACTGAGAGGATGTTAAATCCTCAATTATTTATTTTGCGTTTCAACTTTTTGGTGGTGGTTGTTTCGATTCTGATCAGATGTTCCATGTGAAATTTCCGCAGCGCCTGCGCCAAAGTCTCTCTCAACCAGTCTTGGCGGAATATCCACGTGCAAATGGTCTTCACTCGCTCAGTTTTATAATGATTGTTCAGTAAATTCATCACATTTGCCAAGTATTATCTCTTTTTTCAATAACATGGTTTTTGAAAGAAATGCCAAAATTTTAAAGTTCAATGATGTAATATTTATTTTAGATTGGCCAGGCAAGGTTGAAAATTTTATTTATCATTACAGTTTGAAATTATTAGTACAATTTGCAAAACCACACAAACAAATCTGGTTATGGACTGAAATAGATTTATTAATTAAATTATATAAATATCAGGATTAAAAACGCATGAATATATTAAATTGATCACAGCAAATTGCTAATATCTGATTTATTTTAGACTTTGAAATCGAGGCGGAATATTTTCTTTATTATTAATATGCAATGTTTTTAATCTTTGAAGCTGCTAAAATTTACTTACCAGTTAGTACTTTTTTTTTCCTGTTTATATTTTGCTTTTGCAAAACACTTACGGTCTAGGAAGATCACAAACAAAATAATTCTCTAAGCTTGTAAATATTAAATTTCACAATATCACCTCATTTTGATGGATAGTAAAATTCTGACAGGCATCGTGAGGAAAAATGCCCATTGAAAAAATTAAATAAGTCAAAAGATTCAAGCAAATTTGCCGAAATTTGTCATCGACGTTTCACTAGTTGGACTTATTGGGCTGGTGGGTAAAGATGGAGGTCTTTTGTATCCGCAAATCAACGTCCTAGAATAAGGAAAATGAATTGGTCAAACTGAAATTATCTATTTGCAAAGGATATCGTGGTAGAAGAATTTATTGTCTTCCATTGCTGGATTTTTGGTTAGAATCTGTTTTTACAAATAAAAAAATTTTACTGTAAATAAAAATATGATCTCAAATTTGTTCAAATATAAATATAAAAGAAAATAAATTTTATGAAAGGATTTTCCTTACTTAAATGCGTTTCGGTATCTTTCTGACATGATATTGTAAAGGATGGGATTAGAAGTTGACGATATGTAGTAGGAAAAGCCGGTCACTATGTAAAGCCACTGATTCACCTCAGGCGATGCGCCAAGCTCGTTAATATAATTCGAAAATATCCGCTGAGCATGAAATGGGGCCCAGCAAACAAAGAATGAAACCACAACTGCAGCTGTGAAAGAAAATCAACAATTGAAAGCTAATCAAAGTTTTATACTCACATAGCATCATGATGACAGGTTTTTGAGACGAGGCGTTATTTTGAGACTCGCCAATATTTTTACGACGGCTGACGACCAGTCCGATTTGAGTGTACATGATGAGGAGAATTGATAGTGGGATGACAAAGAAAACCACGCAACTTGTTTCAAAAACGGGAAAAGAGCCAAGTTTTACGAATTCCATTTGACAAGTTGACAATTTCTCGATGGCAGACTTCAAAAATTTTGTTAAAATTTAAAATTTGTGTTTTTAATTTTAACTAACCAAGGAAAGAATACAAACCTCTGGTCTTTGAACATAGTAATCAAAAATTCTAGTAATAATGTAGAAGGGAATGGCACACGCTATTGAAACAAGCCAAATGGCTGCAACGATCCGCGACGCCCTTCGCAGCCCAGACATGGCGTACGCGTGCAGGGGGTGGCAAATGGCCAAATATCGTTCCATCGAAAACGCAACGATTGTCAGCACCGAGACGTAGGATGCGCTTAAAATTAATTAAAACTCTGTTTAAAGGAAAAAAATTTTAAAGTGAAATTTCAGAAATTTACATTTCCAAGACGTACATTCGCATTTTGCACGCTGCCTCTCCAAGTCCCCATAGCATGTTGTTCCAATATTCATACAGTTCAAGGGGTATTCCTGCAAATTTTAATAAAAACAGTGGATATTTTAATTTTTAGTCACAATTGACCATTAAAGCAGATGCATTTTTATGATAACTTAAAATTCCCTGTTTCCCATTTGGGCGTTTCCAGAATTTTAAATTTTATTTACATGCAATGGCAGAGTAAGATGAATAATTTTGCTGTATTTGCCACAGTAAATTTTTAATTTAATATAATTTTAAGAGACACGTACCAGATAGGAGAATGATAATATCGGCGGTTGCAAGGCTGAACAGGTAGAAATTGGTGGCCGTGCGCATATTTGGCTGCTTGACGATGACGACGCAGACGAGCGCGTTTCCCAAAATTCCTGTGGTGAACATGATCGCATAGATGGCCGTGATGGTGATCAGAATTGGCAGACCCATTGGTTGGAATCCGAGGATATTCTGTAAAATGTCCTTTAGGGTGGAATTGCTAAAACCCTCGATCGTCATGTTCATGTTTTGGCAGGACCGCGTTCGAGGGTTGACTGGGATCACGGAAAGAGCAGAATTTGCGGTTTTGCAGCGAGCACGAGATGCGGCGACAATAGTTTATGCTCGGTGCGTGAGCGTGGTGTTTTAATTATGCAGAAATTCGTCCATATTATCTTTGCGCATGAACCTTTGTGCAGATCAAGTTTATTAAATTTAATTAGATAATTCTCGTACAATTTTAATTATTTTAAATTAGCTTGGAAAACATTAGTCGTGAAATTTTATGGGCTCTGGTATAATTTTTTTAATATATAAAAATCAGTTTTGAATAATAGATATTTAAATTATAATGGCTAAAATATTAATTTAATGCATTGATAACATTCCCAAAAAATCTGTTTTCTATATATTAATGGCTTAGGGATCACGTAAGCAAAATCAAGACAAATTGTGCGTGCTTTTTAAGGTGTAAAATGGAAGGGCTGGTTTAATTTTTTACGAGAAAACCAATTAAGGGTTGATAAATTAATGTAAAGTAATGGAAAGATTATTAGAATGACCTTATCTGCACCAATCTGCTCTTATTTTATAATGAGTCAGTTTCAAGTAGTTTAAATAAGCACAAACATTGATTCCAATTTATAATTATTTAATTGTTTAAAATCACAATATTTTCCAGTAATATTTAATTCATCCTACTGTAAAGAGAATAATATTTGTGGATGCAAATCGAAAAACACAAATCATGCAACTAATTACTAATTATTTTCGCAATGCGTTTATTTATTTGTTAAACACACTCATTTTGACAAAAAATTACGCTGCTAAATGTGACTAATGTTTTTTTTCAATCAAAATTACATTTATTAAACCGTCTCTGCCGGATACATTTTGTTGTACGTTTTTTTAATATTGATTAGATTGATTAATATTTATTTTAATTGCTATAGTACACGATTGAATGTGTTTGTAGACACACAAATCCATGCATTTTATCTAATAGGTCAGAGAAACTTTTCAACTTGACAAGAAAATACACAATACATACACTGTGGTCTCCAATCAAATTTCAATCAAGCTTCAAGGTTGGTTTGTGTTCCACTGTTATTACCAACCGAGGACGATGAGCCGCAAAAGGTGTTCCTATAAAATTTTTAATTGTACATAGCAAATAAAGCGTAAAGTTTTTTTAACGTACTTAAATGCTTTTCGGTATTTCGCAGACATGATGTTGTAAAGAATCGGGTTGATTGTAGCATTGAAGAGGAAAGAACATTTGATAATGATGTTTAGCAACTCCTGATTATCATACAGCCCAAATTTATACATATATTCGTCGAACAGTCGGATCAGGTGCAGGGGTGCCCAGCAAATGAAAAACCACGTGACAACGGCAACTTAAAATAAAATTTGATTAACATATATTTCAAATTTTTAAAACACCGAATTTATAATACTAAGCATTATAATAACCGCCTTCTTTGAGGCTTGTGCTGTTGGAGTTTCTCCCACGTTGACGCGTCGTTTGATTGTCAGACCGATTCGCGTGTAAAGAACAATTAGAATTGCCATCGGGATGAAAAAGAAGATGACGCTGATCAACTCATCATATGGTAGCATCTCAAGCAAGAAGTTTGTATTGTAAAAGCCGCATAGAACAATCTCTTTGTAAAAATTGTCATAATCCTTTTTTAAATATCATCAAAATTAATATTATTTTATAATCAATTTTCTTACGGGTTGACCTTCGAATAAATTTCCAGTGCGGGCGGCAAAACCGTAAGGAAGAGCAAATACGAATCCTATCAGCCAAACTGCAATGATGATGTGAAGGGCTCGTTTGAGACCCGACATGGTGTAGGCCACCAAGGGATGGCAAATGGCCAAGTACCGTTCCATAGAGAAAGCCAATATCGTCAACACCGACGCGTTTGAAGTGCTGAAATTAAACAAAATTATTTTAAATAGAAGCAAAATTGATAAACTTACGCTTCGGGAATAAAAAGGCTTAGCTTGCACGCAGTCACGCCAAATTTCCATTGATATGCATACCAGTATTGGTGCAGCTCGTTAAAGGCACCTGCAAAAATAAAATTAGCAAATACGTTCATTTTCACATAATCCTGGATTCAAGCGCTTGATAAAAAATTATTTAAGTAAGTAAACCTTGGTTTGATGAGGAGTGTTCCTATTCCAAAAACAATTAATTAAGGAACTTCTTTTTCAAAGCATGTTAGTGACAGATGCAAAAAGGCCGTAACGGCAATGTATGGCTCGGGAGATATGAGGAATTTATCAGTCGATTTTGCTCGCCGTCTATTTGCATTAAAATTTGCCCCGATAGCTACTTATGACATTGAAGCCATTTAGTCACACCTAAATAAAGTCTTGCGACTTTTTTATTTTGGAGAAATTAATGACAACTTTTTATAAAAAAGTACGAGGTATAGGAAAATACTGCAACCAAAAAATTTTTTGTCACAACCACCATAAACAAATACAACTTATCCCCTACTCTGGCATACGAAGAGTTTTTAATCATTATTGAAATTAGAGCTGAAAGGTAATTTGATTTAAACTTCTTTGAAATGCCAGCTATGATAAATGACTGCTGGAAGCAACCCCTTTTCAAAAATACACACGCTTTTACTCGATATGCAATGAATGGGTTTCATTATCTAATTTGTAAAGACAAAATTTTTCACTCTACTGCTGGCCCGGACTGTGTGTGCGAGCCATGTGACGAAAAATGTATCCAATACCATCTTGAGTTCTGCAAGAAGAGACTTCACTCAATAAACTTTTACGCCACGATGAAGAAGAAATAGTGCAATTTAATCTTGAAAATTATATCTGTATGAATGTATCAAAAGTTTTACCCAGATGGGTTTAATAAATAAATAAAATAATTTTTACATTCATGCTTTTAGAACGGTATTGATTCCTCAATACATTCAACATTAGAAAATATAATTTATCAAGGAGGCTACATGAAATATATTAAGAAGAAATCATGAAATTTCTCAACAAATTTCTGAAGATTTTTTGAATTCATAGGATTCCCCAGCTTATTTAATAATTTTTATTTTTAAATACATTTAAATGTAAACGGCGCTCTAATTAAAACATTTCTGTAAGCAAAAATGGATTAAAACTTGTACCAAGCAAGAGAGTTGTGACGTCGGCGATGGCAAGGCTGAACAGATAGTAGTTGGTGGCTGTTTGCATTTCGGGTTGCTTGGCGATGACCACGCAAACCAAGATATTTCCGAGGACGCCAGTAATTACCATGAATCCGTACACAATGGTGATCAAAAGAAGCACTTCGTCGCGAAGAATTACTGAGTCCGTGGAACTTGCTATAAAATCCTCAGCTCTCGTTGTTGCGTTCAGCTCATTTCCTAAACTTCCCTCGAGCGAGGTGTTCCGCGTGTGTTCATCGTTGAGCGTGACATTCAAATCGGAGTATGTTGCGTTCATGGTGGTCTGTGGAGAACTGAATGATGATAATTCTTCCGAGGGAAGGAAGAGAGAAACGAACAGGGCGTGCCCTTTAAAAATAAAACTAAATTATCATATGTTCGTGTTTAATTCTTAATGAGTGTAAATTGATTAGGGTTGAAGATAAAATATATATTTTACTGAAAATAATATTATTTTATTTTCATGAACTTTTCTTGTCCAAATCGTTTATTTGACACTTTCCGTAATGGTTTGTGATGAAAAGAATTAATTCAATTCTGTTTAATTCTTTTTGTGCTTATTTAATTTATTTTTGTATATACATATTTTTTTTTTTTTAAATAACAGAAATCACAAACCTTGGATTATATTATAAGTTGCTAATAATATTAATAATTATATTTCCTGCATCTTCATATAATGTAGATTCACAAATCTATAAATTTTATCAAATATGTCAGAGAAACATTTTTTTTAACTGTACATTGAAAAATTACAAATATTATTAAAAAAAAACACACACTCTTAACTTAAGCCTCAACGGTTTGTGTTTCATTCTTATTATCAACCGAGGACGATGAGCCGCAAAGGGTGTTCCTAAAAAATGTTAATTTTCATTATATAAAATTACAGCCTCAAATTATTTTCAACGTACTTAAATGCTTTTCGGTATTTCGCAGACATTATGTTGTAAAGAATCGGGTTGATCGTAGCATTGAAGAAGAAAGAAAATCCGGTGATGATGAATAGCCAATTTCGCGACTTCTCATAGAGCTCAAATTCAAGCAAATACCTGTCGAACAGTCGCATCAGGTGCAGGGGTGCCCAGCAAATGAAAAACCACGTGACAACGGCAGCTTAAAATAATATTAGATTAACTTTTCAAATTTTTAAATCCCAGATTTAATTATACTAAGCATTCTAATAACCGCCTTCTTGGAGGCTTGTGCTGTTGGAGTTTCTCCCACGTTGACGCGTCGTTTGATTGCCAGACCGATTCGCGTGTAAAGAACAATTAGAATTGCCATCGGGATGAAAAAGAAGATGACGCTGCTCAACTCTTCAAATGGTAGCATCTCAAGCAAGTAGTTCGACTTGTACACGTTGCAGTGAAGAAGCTCAGGCAAAAACTTGCCAGACTCCTTTTTTTATTTTTAAAATAATCAAACCATATAACTTTATAATCAATTTTCTTACGGAAGGATATTCCATAAAACTTTTAGCGTCGGCGGCAAAACCGTAAGGAAGAGCAAATACGAATCCTATCAGCCAAACTGCAATGATAATGCGAAGGGCTCGTTTGAGGCCTGACATGGTGTAGGCCACCAAGGGATGGCAAATGGCCAAGTAACGTTCCATAGAGAAAGCCAATATCGTCAACACCGACGCGTTTGAAGTGCTGAAATTAAACAAAATTATTTTAAATAGAAGCAAATTTGATAAACTTACGCTTCGGGAATAAAAACTCTTAGCTTGCACACAGTCACGCCTAATTCCCAAGGATATTTATGCCAGTAATGGTACAGCTCAAAAATGACACCTGCAAAAAATAGCAAAAACGTCCCTTTTCACAAAATTCTGGATTCAAGCGCTTGATACAAAAATTACATTCATGCTTTTTGAACGGTCATTCAATATTATTAAATATAATTTATCAAGGAGGCTACATGAAATATATTGAGAAGAAATTATGAGATTTCTCAGCAAATGTACTGAAGATTTTTTGGAATTCATACGATTCTCCAGCTGATTTGATAAAAATGTCTTTTAAATTTTTTATTTTTTCATCCCAAAAGAAAGAGGATAATCGAAAGCATAAACTGAAAAATTTATTTCTTTGCTGGTTCACCGAGCCCTTCATATAAATCCAAATAATTAAACCTACCACAGCAAATGCAACTTGGTTAACCACGTATAACTCTTGTGGTTTATTACGGCAACCACATTTAAATGTAAACTGAACTCTAATTAAAACATTCCTGTAAGCAAATATGAATTAAAACTTGTACCAAACAAGAGAGTTGTGACGTCGGCGATGGCAAGGCTGAACAGGTAGTAGTTGGTGGCCGTTTGCATTTCGGGGTGCCTGGCGATGACCACGCAAACCAAGATATTTCCGAGGACGCCAGTAATTAGCATGATTCCGTACACAACCGTGATCACAATAAGCACTTCGTCGCTCGGAAATGCTAGGGCCGTGAAATGCGCTATTAAATCCTCAGCGCTCATCGTGGACGGTGCATCCGTCCACGTTGCGTTCAACCAATTTCCTAAACTTCCTTCGAGCGAGGTGTTCCGCGTTTGTTCATCGCTGAACGTGACATTCAAATCCGAGTATGTTGCGTTCATGGTGGTCTGTGGAGAACTGAATGATGATAATATGTACTTCAGAGGGAGGGAAGAGAAAAACGAACAGGGCGTGCCCGTTTTTTAGAAAGCTAAATTATCATATTTTCGTGTTTAATTCTTAATGAGCATAAATTGATGAGGGTTGATTATAAATTTTTCTACTGAAAATAATATTTTTATCAACTCTTTTTGTCCAAATCGTGTATTTGACAGTTTCCATTAGGGTTTGTGATGAAAAGAATAAAATTTGTTCTTTTTTTGCTGATTAAATTGATTTTTGTATTTTTTTTTTAAATAACAGAAATTACAAACGTTAGATTACAATATTATTTGCTAATAATATTCATTGTTATTCGTGATAATATTAAGACGAGGTAAATGTTTACAATGTTATAACTTATTATTAAAATTGCTAATAATTATAATTAAACGTTGTGCTCTTGAAAAGATCCTTCTGAATTACGAGTCCGTAGTCATTTAGATATGATCAATATTTTTCAATTGCCCATGCACAAAGAATAGTTTCAAAGTAATCAGGAGAATAAAGTAATCTGCAATAATAATTGTTATCCTCAATTGTACCTGGAAGTCACGAAGGGTCTTAATTAAAGTTCATTTTATCTATAAATTCAAAGTTTGCCTATTACAACATCATATAACAAATGCAAGAAACAACCTTATATTAAATAATTTAAATAATTCTTTTCGCATTTAAAAAAATTGAAGAATAAAATTTGTATGAATTGAATCATAAAATTGTTGCAAAATATTATGATTTAAAAAATCAGCACTTTGAATTAATTTTCTCGCCAACAACTCTAATCCTTAAAATGAAATTCATAAAATTCATAACAGTTTTAACTCATTCTCTTCCACTCTGCCAAAAGTTAATGGTGGCTCTGAAATTATCAAAGCGGATGATAAGTACCAAAAAAATATTCCTATTTTTTTCACACTTGCCTGAATGCTGTGCGATAATTCACAGAAGTTGCGTTGTAGATGATAGGATTAATGACGCAATTTAAGTAAAAGAGAAGCATCGAAATCAGCACAACCGCGTTCATAGAACTCCCATCCAGTTGCAAATATTTGCCAAGTATTGAAATCAAGTTCATAGGTGCACAGAAGATGAAAAAGCAGAGCACTAAAATACCTGAAAGGATCAACATTAATGCGACAGATGAATTAATTTTTTTAGAATTACCGATTGTTTTAGTGATAGTTGCATTTGAAGCATTTGCGTCGTGCGATTCTCCAATATTTTTGCGCCGCCGGATGACCCACGCGATGCGTGCGTAGAGAACAGTGAGGACCGCCATGGGCATCAAAAAGAAAAGGAAGACGTACATCTCGTTAGCAGGAAAGTCGTTCGGAAGAAAAGGCAGCTTTTTTTGATCTTCTATGCACGTTTCGTAGTAGCCAATCAAAGTTCCGTCAGGGGCCTAAAAGAAGTTTAACCAGATATCAATTTATGTACTAAATTTGGTCAGTTTCCATACGTAATCTTCAAAGGTATAAAGTGTAGTAGCAAAACCTCCAGGAATCGTCACCACAGCAGAGATAATCCAGATCAAAGCAATTATCCACATTGCTCTTGTTTTACCTGAAAAAGTGTGAGCGCGAAGAGGGTGGCAAACGGCGATGTAGCGTTCAATGGATACGACGATAATGGCAAGGACTGAAACTCTCCCAGCCCTTAAAGAGAAAATTATATTTTATCAATAACAAATAATTTAACATTAAATTTGAGAAATATTTAGTTTAAGTTGAAAGTAAAAGTAAAAATAAAATTACTTTTTATTATTAAATTTCTTGAGCGAATAGTAGAAAAAAAGGAACTTTTGGAATACAGAATAAGGACGGGTATTTTAAGAAAATTGGAATTTTGATATGTGCAGAGGTGTTTACAAATTTTATTTTCATTCCAAAAGATTTACTTGTGAAAAATTATGATTGCAACTAGGGAAAATTGCTGATTATAACTATTATTTTAAATTATTTAGATGTTTGGAATTTTCTCTAAACAGGATTAATAATTTACAGTATTAAGTGTTTTCAAGTTAAAATCTAACTCACGTGTAAAGCATGACAAATTGCAATTTGCAAGCTGCTTCTCCAAAATTCCACTCGTTATCTTGCCAAATCTGAATTGACTCGACAGGCACGCCTGGAAATAGGTCAAAAAATTAATTTTATTATTGTTGCCATTCTTAAAATTTGAATTATTCCTGTTGATTTATTGCAGTTTCCATTTCAATCCTCACCTTTTTATTTAATTGTATAAAAAAATTACCTGTTATCAGAATTAAATTATCAGAGACTGCGAGGCTGAACAAGTAGTAGTTGGTTGCGGTTCGCATTTCAGGTCTTTTCGCAATGATCATGCAAACCAAGGTGTTGCCCACGACGCCGAAGACCAGGATTGCCACAAAAACCACCGTAATCCCAATGAGAAACCAATTGTTGAACATTCTATCATCGGCGTTAGCCACACCGGAGTAAAAAATTGATTCTGAAAGCGATTCGTTGGTGCTCGCGTTCATGTTGCCCGTGAAACTCGAAATGAGAGGAGTTTTCCATTTGCATGGTGCGAGCCAAAAATGTGGCATGACACCAGCCAAAATTCCCTCGGGACGCAAACAAAAAACTCATTTAATCAGACACTAAAATATTTTTCACATCTAATTAAAAGTAATGGAGATTGTGAACGATAATTAAAAGTAAAAATCATTTTAATATACCTAGAGGCAAAATTAATTAAAGCGTACTTACTCTTCAAAAATATTTTCAACAAAACAGCAAATGAGAGAAATGTTTTTTTTTTTTTAGTTAAAGATAGGTATTATTTTATGGAAAACGTCAAAAAGGATGAAAAAAATCTGCTATAATACATTTAAAACGTTTCTGTCCTTAAATTTAAACACTCTAGGCCTTTTTTGTTTGCTTTTGTTTTAATTTACGCTCTTAAAATCGTACCAAAATTTTTTTTTACGTTCGTTTTCATCCTTAAAAACAGTTAATAAAAAACTAAAAAATTGATTGTCCAACAGAAAAATAGGTTTACATTTTTAGGTCAGGTCTTACAATAAGTTTGTTTTATTCAACATAATTAGGGATTTATGATGTTGATGTATGATGAGATTTTCATTAAATTTAATCTGGCAGATTTTTAGCAAATTTTCATCATAAAGCAATGCTAATTTACCAAAACTTTAGTTTTCGAGGCTAACTAAAGCCATGATACTTTAATCAGCCTTTTGTGTTTTCATAAAAATGGCACTTAATATTAAAAAGTAAACTTTGGTAATTGAAAAACCAAGGTTAATTTTTAGCTAATTTGTTAGACCAGCTTCAGAGTTTAGAGATTTTCAAATTTAATTTTTGGTGAAAATCGTTTTGAAGAGCAAAACTTTGTAGTTTTATGTTTGATTTATTATGTTTTAATGTGGTAAAAATGGGTCTGAAGAAGCCAGAAAGCCATCTATTAAAGTGCTTCAAGCCCCTCTTCTCGCGCTTGTCATTTGTGTCAGCTGCAGAAACGCACACGCCTTGTGACTCTTGTGAGCTGCCGGTTGCATATTTCGCGGTGGTGCGGTTCCGTTCTGCTTTCCCTAGTCAAAATGCTAAATTACATCGCGTCGCACATAATATTACACGCAAATGCTCAGGCGTTTATATAGTCGAGTGAGTGAGTTAGCGGGCGAGGAACAGCTTCGCATGACAAAGTAATTTGCATACATCAGTTACGGTGCCGAGTTGTCCAAAATGCCAAGAATGCGTGTGTTGCCGTCCTAAACAATACAGTCGACATTGCATGGAACGAGTCAATGATGAAATAGCGGTGATTGCGTTATTTGTAAACAAAGGATTAGAATGTATAGAATTGCAAATTGAAAAATCATGAATAATGCGGAAAACTGATTTAATTTCCTAATTCATTGAAAGTTTTAAATCATTTTACTTTTAATGTGTTTTAATGTATCTTTGATTGCTGAAAATTAAAAAGACATTTGAATTAAATTATCCTTTCTATAAAGTAAATGATATTAATAAATAAATGAATGCAAACTTTCAGCAAAATCTTTTCATTGGTTGTTATGTAGTGTTTAAGTTTTTTAAATTATTGTATTTTATAAAAATTTGTAAAATATACAATATTTTTCTCTTTTTAATGACTCTTTTATTAATTCATGTGATTTGAATTTTAATACAACATTGATTGTGAGTTATTCCACGAATTTAAAAAAGAGGTTTTAAATTAATCTAAATTTTAAATTATTTTCCTTTAAACGCACAAAAATTTTATTAAAAAGGCAAACTTTAATCATATTCGTAAAGTAAAATTAATTAATACACAAAATTATCCATATAGGTTTTGACCTAAAAATTACTTTTTTTTAGTAATTATAATATTGAGCTTCTCTCATGGCCAATGTAATGATTAAAATATAATATTATCACATTTACTATAATTTTCTCATCTTTTGTTAATTATTTAGAATATATAAATTAGCCTTAGAATAACGCTATGTTTAAAGAAGATGAAAAATACTTATATTTTTATTATTTTTTTTTTTTCAGAAGAAGAAGAATAAGCAAACATTTGACACATTTTAATTTGATTTATTATTTCGTAACAGTCAATAGACGCAGTCAACGGGAATGTCAAAACATCGATGTGCACTGCAATTGCAGAAAGTCCGTTCTGATTCACATGCAGGTCTCAGCCGTGCCGGGGGCCGTGTTGGCCAGAATGTCGGGCGCCACCCTCGAGTGCTCGTCGTCGACCTCGGCCACGGCCGTCAACAGTCGCTTTCCGGCCTGCCCGCCGCCCGCGTTTTTCTGCACAATGAGCACGATGGGCTCGAGCAAATTAGCGTCCTCCTCCACCAAAAGGGTGACTCTCACCCGCGATGAGCTGGCGTGCTGCCGCGACAGCCACGAGTTGCCACTCGAGCTGCGCGACTGCTGACGCACGTCGTCCCGCTTCGACGCCGCCATGCTCGTCTCGCGCACCGACGTCGCCATCGCGGCCATCGCCGACGTCCCGCACAAAGTCGCCCTGCGAAAAATTTCATTGGTAAATTGAAACGTAATTCAAATGAGCAACGTTGAATAATCTATAATTTGGAATTAAAAAAAAATACACATAATATTTATTTTTATTATTAATTTCTTTGTGTTTGAAAACCAGCAAAGATGATTTTTATTTTTAAATTTCATGTTAATAGAGTAAAAGTTGTGTTTTTTTTTACAACTTATAATTTTACTGTTGCAAAGGGTTTTTATTGATTTATCTTTAGGGCAATTAATGCCCAAATGGATCAAAGAATTATTCATGTAAATCATAAAAGAGTGTAAAAAAATTCACTTTTAAGTCTGAACTTGGAAGACGTTGCGATAAAATGCTAATTCATGGACTTTCCTGACTTGAGCTTGAAAATCAACTGATTCGTAAAGTGTCTGTCGAAGAGTAAGAATAAGAAAATTAAAAAGTATTCGGTTTAAAATAGTTGATAAAAAAGCTGCATTTTTTCCAATTACTATATTGGAATTGTCCGCTAAAATTTTCACCTCCACTTCAAACTCCCCCCCCCCCCAATCAATTAATAAATATATTGCATGGAATACTTTCGTTTGAAGTGATCAAATAAAAAAAATGAATGAGAGGATTCAGTTGCGATGCTTTTTATTTGATTGAAAACCAATCAAACAAATTTTTTTCTGAAAAGATTTCTGGGAAATTAGCTGAACATAAATAAATTTACTGATTTCAGTCCCAAGTCCCAATCTAGTGACATTTGCCTCATTTGTATATAATTTAATTGGCAAAACTGATATTTGAACCCTCGCGCATCATACATTGTAGGATAAGCATTCTAGCATTTTCCAGCCCGATTTACAAAACAGAAATACTTTTATCGCGTTATAAAAACACGATATTTTTCTCTTCCGAAGTGATTTTATTCTCCTCAAACACTCTATTTATTGCAAAATTTGTATGCGAATTTTGCATTATTATTATCCTCCACTGTGGAAAGAAAATATAGCTCCTTTTTTGCTGGATTGTGATGCGTGTCGGCATTTTTGTGTCGCAAAAATAGCACGCTTTGTGCATTGAAAAGCACTCTGGTGGCAAATACACGTTTCGCGAAATCCGGCCTGCACAAAGCGAGCGCGAGGAAATGAAAAGCCGCAGATCTACATTATATTTTTGGCAAATAAAGTGACTTTGCGGCGAAAGCTTTGGTGTCGCCAAATCGATTTTAATCCACGTCTCGGCGCAAAAAGGCGGTCGTGAATAGCAGAGCTGGAAAAAGAGACTTACTTAAAAGCGTTGCGATATTTGGCAGACATGACGTTGTAAAGAATCGGGTTGACTGTGGAGGAAAAGTAATAAAAGCAGCCGGTAATGTGATATATCCATTCGTTGTACTCGTTGAAGCCATCCATTTCACTCAGGTAAACGTAGAGCAGGCGCTGCAGGTGGAACGGCGCCCAGCAGATAAAAAAGGAAACCACCACCGCGGCTGAAACAAGACACGACGCCACGTGTAAATTTACATGTTTTTTGAGGCGCACAATTCCGAAAGGATTTGCGGCGAGCTACTTTCACAGGAACCTTTTTGCTTTGAAAAAAACAAACACAAAACAAAATGCTTTTGTTCTCGACATGAACAGGAGCTTGCGTGGATATTTAACCCTTTTGCGTACATGCTCAAACGGTTGCATAAGCATGCTGCTTTATTTGTTAAAAGTCATGATTTAAGCTATAAAGTAACGCTTTCATTAAAATTTTTACAGTTGATAATTTATTATCATGTAACATTCTTGATAAAAAAAAGAGTAAATTGAGTAGCCAAGTAGCTTAGTTTTTGTTTAAGAGATTACACATGTTTCGTTTTTCCCATTTTCTCTACAATGAATGCATCAAGTAAACTCTTTTTGCACTTCAATAGATGTAATTAGACTGTTGAAAGAGTCTTTCATTTAAAAATTGTACTTTCCAGACTCAAATGCTAGTTGAAAAATTCGTTTTGGAGGAGAAAATAGTCGTGAAAATTTATAAAATTAAATATTAATAGAAAAAAATAATTGTGTTGAAATTTCTTCAGCGTTGACATTTTTCCGTACATTTTTTTTTGTACAAATAACAATTATTTGCTCTAAGATTCCAATTAAATTTGCAGTAATTATTGTCCAAATCAATTTCAATATAAAAAAAATTACTGATATTATTCTATTCCTCGCATTTAAAATAAAGCTTCAAAATTTAAAGTTATTTCAATATTAAATTATTAGGAAGAGTATTTGTTTTTAATCTCAAACTGTATAAATTTTAAATTATAATTTAGCAAAATTAACAAAGATCCATCATCACAATGGATTTAGAGCGAATGGGAAAACAACATCAAAAAGGCCTTTGAACAATCTAAATATAACAATTTTTTATCTTTTTCTATTGTGATATCAAACTGTATCATGCACAAAAGCTGAAAGTAGCTTGTTGAAAATATTATGTCCCGCAATATGTGGGTTTTTAATATGGGCTGTCGGTCAAAGGAATTCGCAGGGAGGTTTTTTTTCACCCTGCAAACGCGCTTTGTGTACGTGTATCAAGTCGCAAACACGGTTCCTCTGTTGACACTTACCGAGCATTCTGAGAATGGACTTCCGAGACTTGTTCGTGCGATGAGACTCGCCGAGACCGTGACGCCGGGTAATGAGCAGCCCCATCCTCGTGTACAGCACAATGAGGATCACCATGGGCAGGAGGAAGAAAATCACGCTGCTCGTCTCGTAGAGGGGAAAATTGTCGGGAACATTGAGCATGCCGCAAAAAGCGGACTCGATTATTTGGTTGCCTGAACCCTGCGAGATACAAAAATATATTAAACAGAACAGAGTTGAGATCAGTTAGAGGTAATGATTTTTGCAACTCTTCGAATCTGGAATGTATTGTTATCATATTTAAATTTTAGTATTTTTTTAAAATAAATTAGCTATCTGGAATAAACAAAAAATTGTATTTCCGGTAAATAAATTTTGTTTTTAAAAAAAAAATGGAAAAATGATAAAAAGATGAAATTAAAAAGAGCATTGGAATGCACAATACATGTTTAAAAAGTTTTCTTCAGAGGCGTAAGCTCTGTTTCATCAAATTAAAGGTATTCCCCAGTTATTATTTATATTCTTGCAATTAAAAAGTATGCAGAAAATTTTATTACGGACATTGAAAAAATTTTCTGCTAAAAGGAATGAAACAGGTTGATCAATTTTTCCCACCAAACGTATTTGAACCTGTCTTGGCTGATAAGGCTACATCAAGACATAGAAATTGACACTAATTCCCTTGAAGTTTAAGTACTTCTGACCGGAAAAACTTAAAATAACCTGTTTCATCCTATTTTTAAAATCACAAAAACTTCATTTCTGTGGAAGCCCTTTACAAAAATTACAATTTGGTGTAACAATTTGGACAAATAAACAACAATAATTAATTTATTTGTAAATAAAAAAACCAACTTTTCACTTATAAGATTAATGAATTTATAATGAATTTTAATAGCTTACATAAAAGAAATTTGCTTGTAATTTTATATTTCACAATGACCCATTTTTTGACTCACCCCTTTTGTACTTTGAGGTTAATTAAATGGAACAGAAACTTACAGGCGGAAAGTCGAGATAGTTGATTGTGGTGAACAAGGCGAAGGGGATGGCGCAGGCGAGCGACACAAGCCATATCGCGGCTATGATGCGCGACGCTCGACGCAGGCCTGTCATGGTGTACGCGTGCAGAGGATGACAGATGGCCAGGTAGCGTTCCATGGAGAACGCCACGATCGTCAGCACCGACGCGTACGAAGTTCTGCAAGCAGACGGGGAAAAAATGAGCCGCGTGCTTTTGGTCACGTCCTTCTTATGTGTTTTGCATGTGACGAAAAAGGGAAAAAAAGGAAAGTAGAAGTGCGCCTCCCTAGAAACTAACTTTTTTCCTGCAGAGGCGAGGCGACGTGAAATGCGAATTTTAATGGAGCTAAAACTTTGAGCTGCTTACTTAGCCGGCGTAAGGCCAGTGGCGGTGGCAAGCAAAGGCAAAGACACAAAGTGGATTTTATCAGGATTTTATCTGGCTTATGCTTCCTCGACGTTTTCTCTCAAAGGAAAAGGAATTTGCTTGTGCATTTTTGGAGAAATTATAATTTTGAAGATCCAGGAAATTCAATTTCGTAGAAGCTGCTTATCAAAGTGGTGATTATATAACTACATTAAAATAATAGCTCATCTTGAGGGGAAGGAAAATCTGGGAGTAATTTTAGCAAAGAAGCGTTGAAACTAGGAAAATCTTTTTTCATATCATGATTTAAATTTTATTCTGGTATTTTAAAGAAAAAATATTTAGGAGCAACTAGAACAGAAGATTTTTTGTTAAATATTTATCATTCGAGCAAAGAACAGACGTTTTTGTAGAGAGAAACAAAAAACAAATTTTCAATAAAGACAAAGCTCATTTTCTTCTTCTCTTTCCTTGAAACAATTTGTTGGCAGAGCTTAAACATGCCACTTTTTCATCAACTTCATAAAAGTAAAAAAAACTTAAACTGAAATTTAAGTTGTATGGTTTAATTAAGAAAATTGATGTACTCACGCTTCGGAGATGAGTGCCCTGAATTTGCAGAGCCCCTCGCCCAGTTCCCATGGATACTGATGCCAGTAGACGTAGAGGTCGTTAGGCAGGCCTGCGAACACACAGAAGACGGCTGGTAATTCTCATTTTGAGTGATGCCTCCGCAAGTGTATTACGCGGAAATATCAAAGGCAGCACGAACACTGCCAATTTAGTTTCATTAACACCTCGATGCGTGCCGAGAGATACTAATTTATTTTGATCGAGAGAGAACTGCTGAGAATTTCGGAATTAAGGCAAAGGTGGTGCAAATTTATTTTTATTTTCAGACAAGCGTTTCCCTTTTTGAGCGTGGAAAGGACGAGCGCAGAAGTGCATTTACGTCATCGGCTGATTTTCCCCCTTTTACTCTCTCGGCTCGAATCGAGCGCGCCCCAGGGGACTTCTCGTATTTGACTTGGTGAAAAATGGCCTCGTTGTCATCGCCGCTCGTTATTTGCGACCGACGCGATAATTTCACATTACGAGACGAGCCTCCTTTCTCTTGTCTTCGCTCAAGTATAAGGGGAGAAAAAATAATACAAGTGTTCCAATTGCAGCAGAGTTGTATTTTCTGAAAGGAATTCGAATTTCGAGACGGGAATGCGAAACGAAGTCGCCTATCCGTGTTTCGCTGTGTTGGCAAATAACGCCTAGCTGAAGGGGGTTGATTTGCAGAGGCAAATATTTGCGACGAGTGGATGCGAATTGAAACGCGAAGTCGAGTGGAAACTCGTGCATGTGATGAAATATTTCAGGTATGCTCGTCGTTGATTTTTAAAGGTCTCCGTACGCGTTTTGCTTTTCCTCAAGAGAAGCTATTTTTGCCTTTTGGGCAAAGGCGTTTGTTTGCGAAAAGGTGCGGGGAGCAGCATCTTTGCCCACGGAACACGTCGTAAACATCGAAAATTGCAAATTGATGTTTGCCTTCAATAAGGGCCGGTGGTACATAAAAGTTGCGAGAAAATATTTTTAAAATTCTTGTTTTTCATTAAAAAAAGGTTCAATTTTGTCGAAGCAAACCTGGTTCAATAAATTTCATTGCAAAAGCGTTTCTCTTTAGCGAACTTTTAAGAAAATCAATAACTTGGTCACAACGATTTACGATTCATGTGTGAAATATGTTTTTACCCCACAGTTAATGGTTTTAATGAAACGGATCTAGATTTATTACATAAACAATGAAACTACTTTAGAAAAAACTCAATAAGAAAAAATCAAACCCTATCCAGCTTGTTTTAAAAACCACCAATATCTCGTGATCAAATAATAATTATAAATAAATATAATTGTATTTTTATTAAATAATTTAAAAGAATAAATAGAATAAAAGTAGTAAAAATTAGGAATTCTTAATTAAGTTATTTTAACTTAAAGTGGAATTAAATGAAAGCTCTGAAATGGATCGCAATTTTGGGAAAGAATTTGTAAATATCAAATATATTGAAGAATAAAGGTTTTAGTTTGTGTTGTGCTCAATTGTTTTTGTTATTTTTTTTTTTAATTTTATGTTTAAATAACTACCACTTTTCATTATGAACTAATTATGTGAAGCTATGTATAGATTTTGCTCCATGAAAATACGCACGACACAGAAATTACAAAATTTAATCTCTGAACTATAAAGCACAGACAGAAATGAACACATTTTGCCTAAATCCCTTTGGCAATGCCAATGCAAAACCCATGTTCTGATTTTGAATGGATTTAAAATGTGACGAGGTGATTCAAATGTCAAATGAACTAATTAGCATTCCTTTTTGCCTTAAGCGAATCGAATTGTTTGAAACGCGTTGGTGTACAATTCAATTATTAATGAGAGCTGAAAGAAAATATTGCCGAGGGAATAAATTGAGCTCTTTTGTAGAATTTTCAGAAAGATAATTAGCAGCTGTGTCCGTTTTTGTGTTAAATTCTGAAGAAGACGTAAAAGCTTTTCCACGTGGCGGTGCCTCCAAAGTTTGCAACAAAAAGTTATCTCTGCATTGCCGTCATACGCGTTTTGTAACCGAAGACGAGTTTTGAAAGTAAATGTGAAAATCCACTGTGCCGTAATTGTTATTTCCGAGAAGAAAAGAATATAATCATGAATTCCAGTCTTAATTTATGCGTATTATGGCCTTTCAGAGCTTTCGCAGCAAACGTTGAAACTTCCCTCGGCTAATTATTCCCCGGAGGTCTCTTGACTCATTCAAATTTTTCGCCCTTTTTGCCCTGTCGAGAGTTAATTTCGCGAAAGTTGGCCAACTTTTACATTCACACAGCCACGTCGGCCGAGACTACGTCTCCTTTTCCAGATTAAAGGAGGAGTGTTTATTTAATTTTTTCGCCTGCGCCAGACTGCGCGAGTAAGTCCTTTATCAAATTTCCCAGAAAAATACATGGAATTTAATTAACGTATGAATAAACTCCCGTCGCTGAAATGATTAGGCCTCGGTTCAAAAGCGGCGCATTAATTAAGGTGGGCGAGGCAAACTTGCCAACTCTATGGAAAGATGACAGAGATCTTCATATCAAAGCGGCGTGGTGGGTGATTTAGTTATGCAAAAACGCTCGTCGGGCCAGATTTTGAATACAGCCGAGAGCACAAAATGGATAGTGAATGGCTCGGCGAATTTGCAAGCCGCTGGGGAGATTAATTGCCGCGCCCGGGCAAGAGTGACGCGACGCTCACAAAATTCCCAGTCGGAGACAAATGGAGCTCAATCTATTTTCCGAGAGCTTCGTTACTGTCGATGGAATTTGAAGGATTTAATGATAATAATAGTATTACCACCAATTAGGACTCATCACAAAGCGAGAGCTAACCAAAGTGATTAAAAGTATCGATCGCACCAACCGCAGTCATGAAAGAGATAAAAAAGTTCTTTTTATTGCACCAAAGGAGAATAATTTGTGTTGAAAATCGTTTTTATGACTGCAAATACATCAAATCCCCTTTAAAAATAAGATTCACAAAAACTTAACCAGAGCAAAATAAGGCGATTTGTCATTAAAATGTCTTCTTCAAAAGGACCTTTCAAACGCTAAGATGAGAACGAAAAATGATTGGCCTGGGTAAAAAGTCTTTTTGATTTTTTTCACTCTAACTTTTATTTTGACAACGGATTTTGCTAATTTTTGTCAATCTGGCTCAACATCTTGGAAACGAGTCTTTTTTTTCCCTATCAATATCTAAAACAGAAAGATTTTTTTTATTTTTTTTTTAATTCTTTCTCAAATTATAATTCATACTGGATATATTTATAGATCCAAACTGGATGATTTTGAGACTTTTTAGTAGAAATTATTGCTGGAAATATCTTCCCGATCTTGCGCTAAATAAAGATTATTTTGACCTCTTTGAACGGAATTAATTAATCTGCTGATCAAACAAATAATGTTTATTTATCCTGCCGGTACCGAAAGGTAGAGGAAAAAACATCAAGTTTTGAAATTTCACTAATTAACTTTGCCCTCATTTCTGACAAGAAAATAACAAACGGCGCGCAAGTTCCGTTTGCTTTTTCAAAAATGCAAACCGCTGTTGCCTCGGACGCAATTTACCTCCTGAAATTTGCATCTTTTTTACTCTCTTATCTGGCAGTATTTTTGACTTATTATTCGGCAGAGGGGAGACCAACACTGGAGGCGGCGAGCGAGCGAAAACGCGACGCCTGCTGCTTGTTTGTATGCAAAACGGGGTTAATTAATATGACGCATCGCGCACGCCTCCTTGTTTCGTTTATTATTACAGAATGTTTACCCACGCAATACCGCATCACTCAAAGACAACAAGCTGCGAGTAGGTAATATTAAACTGTTAGTCTTCCTCAAACGCTTCGTTCAATTAGCTCCGTTGAGAGCTCGCAACTGGGAAATGCTAAAAGGTTAAGATTTTAATAACATCAGTGCATGATAATAAAATTATAAATTTTCTTTTGTTAAAAATTCCTTGAATTTCCTGTACAAGCAAATTGTACAAGTATTTCTGCAAAGCCTTCCACAAGGCAAATATGAAATTTACAATAAATTATGTTATACTAAAGTTTCCCCATTAAATTTGTTTTCAGGGCTTAAATATCTCGCAAAAAAACGGAATCATGAAAAATTGAAGCCGAGCGAATCTCTTTGCAAAGAAAAAAAAATGATTTTTTTCTTCAAATGTTCCTTTGCAACGAGGTTCACCCATTTTTAATTTTTCACAAAAATCCGTCGCAAGTGTTCATATGTAAAAGCATCACATTTTAATAAATTTCATGATTGTTTTGTAAGTAAGTATATAATTACTTTTCAAGTGTATTTAAATATAATTTTTTATCAACAATTGCTTTGATTGGTGAAAAGTATTTAAGATTATTTTTTATTATGTGTAAATTAAACATAAATGCTTATAAAACACTAGCTAGTGTCATTTTGTTTTTCTCCGTTTTTAATTTGCTAGAAAGTGTTTAAAGTGGCAATGGTCTTTGCGAAATAAGGAATAATGTTCAGATTCAAAATTACATGCTAGAGACTGAAAATGACTTTTTCATAAAAAAAGGGCTAATTTTTCTGCGCGATTTAATTGATGGACTAATTTTTTATCTTCTTATGGGCAGAAACTTAATTTTTAAGATTTTTATTGTCTGAAAATAAGGCTTTAACTTTGCAATTCATTGCACAAATCCGATTTATTTGGATTTCAAGTTGTTTTCTTCATACAAAAATCTTATTGTTAGATCAAAAATTTAAATATCCATCTTTAAATTAACATTTGTTTGCTTGAATTTAACTTTACCTGGGAGTTCTTGCGCTAAAATTTTATTCTACATGTCAACTTCTGGCGGAAAAATAATTAATTATTAAATACACTAACCCTGGGATGCTACCCTTAAACTTTTAAGTAATTAGAATGCTTGCGAGCTTAAAAAACCAGCACCTTCTGAAAGAGCAAGATAATCAAGCAAGTTTAATTACGAGGCCCGCAGGAAATCGGGCTAAACCACCCCCTAAGAGGATTAGACGACAAGTCCTTTGATGGACAAACCGAGAGAGCGAGTTGTTCGTCTCCTGCAAAAGCAACCTGGTCTTTGACAACGGCGGCGGGGGACG